TGAATAAAGTCATTTGGAAGTCGTTCATTTGTTCACCGTGTCGTTCACAGACTGACTGAATCATTCCGTTCACATACTGATACAGGTTGTTCACGGACATTTCGTTCACTGAGTGATACATATCGTTCATTCGCTGTGAGTGAATCACGAGACTCGCTCGCTAGCTCACTGCCTTGCTGGCTGGCTGTGTGTCGTTCACCAAAGAGTCAAAGACGGCAGTTCCACTCCCGACAGGCATGCCAGGCTCGTGGCTGAGCTCAACTGAACTGAAAAAGGAACGAATCAGGTCTCGGAATGTTCAGTTCACGTCGTTCACTCAGCAGTTTTAAGCTTTTGAACGAAACGTTCATGAACTACACAACACTAGTTGCGACTTAAGGACCATGGGAAAATGTGGGTCCAAGAGTGAGACCAGTTGAGAACCACTGCCTTAAATCATCCCCGTTATCTTCCCAGTTTCCTCATCAGTCCCGGACCAACACTTTGTCTCTTTGAGGACTGAAACTGTTTAACTTCCTGTAATGACTCCCCCTGTTTACATTGGATATTTAAAGACTGAATTGGATCGGTCTCTGTGCTGATAATGAGGCATTAAGTTTACTGACTTTCTAATGCTGCTACTCTGATAAAATTTCCTGGTGTTATCCGTCAGATTGCAGGGATTAAACTCTAAATTCTGCCTCATTTGTTAGCGTCTTTGGCCTGGAGGCCTTCAGCTCGTGTTAATCCTCATTTATCAAAGTCAGTCCGTCTGTGGTTCACACAGCAGCAGAGCTGGAGGACTCTGTGTTGGCATTATGAAGACACACAAGGCTATCACAGAGTTTGTTTGTGTGTGTGTGGAGGTCACTCTGGTCCCTGTGCTCCTCTTTAGATCTGAAGAAATCTGTTTTAGTGACGAAGGGAGGGAAGGTCTCTCATTGTGTGACCCCCGCTGCCCTGCCACCCATGTAGCCCGTGAGCTAGCACAGGAAACAGAGGCAGTTATGGCACCCTGCTCCGACCTGCAGTCCCACGCTTTCATCATTGTTCCCCCTTCTCCTCACAGGTAGCTGCAGGACGACTCTCACCAAACCTCATGTTGCTTTCAGCTGGTTTTGTCCTGGTTTGTTGTGTTTGAATCACTCACTGTCACTGAGCGTCGATGCAGATCCAGCCTGTGATTGATTACTGAGTGACAAACAGGAGAAGAAAAATTGATTGGCAAGTCCTCTGCAGCTGCAAACAACTGGGACATTGAAAGATGCAGACTTTTAACATTCAGTCTTATTGCTTTGGTTTTTGTCTGTCCAGCCTCTCTGGTCACTTAAAGGTGTGGTAGGTAGGAATCCGTTAAAGAAGCATTTTTTGTGGTGTATATACAAAAAAGCTTTTAATATCAGTCAATAGATATAAGTTAATAATGACATTTGGTAATATCATGATATCGCTGAGTTCTCTTATGTCTGTGTAGTTAACATTTTAACATTTTTGAGCGGCCTACTCTTTCTGACTGTAAACAAAGCCGTTCTCCGTCTCCCCTGACCTGATTGGTTGTGAGCATAGACTGTATATACTATGGACAACTTGGTTTAGCCTTCTGCCAGTATACGGATTTGAAGCCAAAAAGCTCTCGATAATTCCGCGTTTCCTCTCCATTTCCTGAAACCAACATTGCGCAGTAGCGTTGTATGCATTCGGTGGGGGTCACCGAGAGTCGCTGTGATGATGCTCAGCTCAAACAGCGTATCCCCCAGGTGAGCTACACAATCTTCTTATGCCCGTAAGCTGTATCAAGTGTCAATCATGGAAAACATGAACCCCCTAATAACTTTTAAAAACAGAGCTGTACAGAAAAAAGAGGACTTGAGCACAAACCAGCCTGACAGTAACTACATGTCAACATCGCAACCAGGGGGGAGAAACATTTATATTCTGTGTAATAAATTTCTTAAGTTTGTCCACAGCTCCATAGGGATTGCTGGCAGAGGCGGCATTTATTACCTATTCTGCAGCCCATCACCAGAGGGTGCTGTTCTCACAGTAGCTTCACCCAGCAAGGAAGCAGACGGCGTCCATTCTATATACAGTCTATAGCTGTGAGGTGGACGCTGCTCCCCCGTGTTGTGAGGCACGCTCCACATCCTTGAATAACATTCATGAGCCCAAACAAAGTTAGCGTGCTACAATATCTGACAGTAGAAACCAACCAGAAAGTACAGAAAATTGTCAGAATCCTCATTTGGCCACGACTGCCAACAGAAGCAAGAAAACGAAGTAAATACCAGAGACTCTGGTGGAATAACGGGCGCTTAAAAAGGAGGTAGACCGGACAAGAGCTAAAAAGCCGGGTCAACATAAATGATGGGGGGCGGTTCTGGATCTTCCGGACCCTGTAACCTTTCTGCTGGACAGGTAAACCGCTTTACCAAAGTAAGCCAAGTGTCTGTAACAGAAGTGTTTCTTGTCAAACGGGACCTGCTGTGTGTTGTAGCGCCGCTAAACTGTTGACATCAGCTCCTGGACTATGTCACTTTATCCTAGTTGTAAAAGTCCTGCAAACATTGTGTTTGCTGGTAGTCTGTTGGCATCTACAGTAGCACCAATGCTTTTTACTTTCACACTGACTGGGCCCCATTTGTAATTATCTGAAGTATTTATCTGCATTATATCTGAATTTAATTGGAACGATACGAGCGAGCAGGAGAATCTTTTTGTGGGCGGGGCTTGCTGGAGCAGAGAGGGAGGGGAGAGGAGGAGCTGAGGGGAAAATGGTTTGGAGGGGTAGAGTTTACATTCAAGATTCCTCCCTAAAACTGGAACTTCCTCAGATCCTGACTACCCACCTTTAACGGCATAAATTTGTGAGTCTTTTCACCCTAAAAGCTGTGGTTTGGATGCATAATACTGCCTCATGATCAACAAAGGCCCTGCAGCGTTTGGTTGTGAGTCACCTATGAAACAAGAACTTTGCAGATGCCCACGAGCAAAAGGAGGAAAGCTGTTATTGAAAATTACTGGGTCTGTGCAGCCACCATGGTGCAGATGCAATTAAGATAAAGTGAATTTAGAAACTCACTTTTTAATTCGTCTGTAAATAAATCACTGCCCATGTCTTAAGTTTGGTTTTCTGTCAACATCGAGCTCCGTTTTCAGAGGAGAGAGAGGAGACACATCCTCTTGTTGTCACTCTGGAGGATTGACAGAAACACAGTCAAGTAAATATTTTTCTCACTTATATGTAACCCTGTCGTGTTGGCGGTTTCATCCCACTCAGGAGAGACAATGCTGCATTGTTGTCAGATATTTTCTTTAAAACACAGAGTTCCTACCAGGATGTCTAAATTCAGACATGTGAGGGCACCAAGGACGCTCTCTCTCTCTCTCTCTCTCTCTCTCTCTCTCTCTCTCCTGCAGTAGTACTTGGTTTTTTTTAAGCAGCTCTCTGGATGCTCTTTGTGTACTGTTTTTTGAGCTTTATATCATTCCGTGACTTTAACTCTAGTTTTCAGCGACTGTCAGTGCTTCACACAGCTGCGAGAATAATTTATCGAAGGATAGAAATAGACATGCAGGTACAAACAAGGAAGACCTGAACAAAAATAGGAAATGATAAGCAGAGGCATGTATGTACTGAAGAAGTAAATTTACAAAACAAATATATGACCAACAATATACCATTTAAACCAGAATAAACACATTATATTGTTTAAAACTGAGGATGCGGCATCTATGATTTCCAATTCTTCATTGAAAGGACAACTGGACTTACTTGAAGTCCAGTTGTCCTTTCCAGAAGAGTGTCAGATTTTGATCCATCAAACCACAACACAGTTTTCCTCGTCCCCTCAGTCTACTTTAAAGGGATATTCCAGCATAAAATTAATTTAGGGTCAAACACACTGTGACACCTAGTTAGACAACCCCATCAAGATGATTTCTTTATGGAAATGCAATCAGACCAAGAAGCCAAGGCGGAAGAACTACTAATATGGTGATTATTACATAAGAAGCGGCTGCTGGAAGAGAGTAGGTGAGTTGTGTTTAGTCTCTTTGCTAAAGAAATTAGTCAAAGTTAAAAAGATGTTTGGTGGCTAGTACTATGGCTGAGACCCTATATGTACTGTTGATGAAGTTAGGTGCTGTTCTGAGCATTATTTGTGGCTATAGAATGGTGTTTTCGAGCGTGTGGCTCTCTTCATGCTATCGTGCGGTTGTACTAAAGTTGATATAACTAGAGAAGCAAGCGGTCGGCAACATTCATCTCTGGAGCCTGGAGGGGGTGTCTAACTCGGTGTTGACCCTAAATTAATTCTATGCCGGAATTTCCCTTTAAATGGACTCAGGTCCAGAGAAGTCTCTTGTGTTTCTGGTTCTATCCTGGTCTCCTCTTTCCTGGTTCAGTTTGAACCTCACTCGTAGATGCAGTGATGAACTTTGTTTAAATTCAGTAGTTTTTAAAGTGATTCTGAGTGATTTCCACTCCAGAGTCCTGTCTATTATTAATGCCCTGAAGATCCAGTCCTGATTTTGGTCCTTGTCCCTTTAGTACAGAGATTTCTCCAGATCCACTGAATGATTTTTTTGAATGATTGCATGTTCTGTAGATGATGAAATCCATTCACTTTGGTAGCATTATTCAACTTTTTCTGAGTTTTCTTGTCTCTCAAACAACTTCCCTTTTTAATGAAATGTGAATTTTGCTTTTATTTTTCATAAATGGCATTTGGTCAAAATGCTGTGTTAGAGTTGCTTTACATGGACTGATTGGCCAGGGAAGAATGAGTAGATGAATAAATGAGGTACGAGCGATCTGTTTGTCTTTTTTGTCTTTTATTGTTGTCTTGTCATATGTACTGTTTGTGTTGTATTGTGAATTTATGTTCTTAAATGACAAAGGGTTAAAGTGTGTAACCCTCCTATTGAATTTTTTGTTTCCTTTGCTATCTGAAAAAAACGGAGCAATACTGCCACCTGCCGATAAAATCAGTGAACTACATGCAGTTTTTTTTTCCTCATAATAAACACTGACAATGAGTGAATCAGTCTGCATGCATGAGGACAGGGTCTGGCGAGGAGAACATGGCGACAAAATCAGGGAAATGTTGAATTTTCTCTGATTTTTACTCCGTTTTCTTTTCTCTCGGTGCAGTTTTCGCACCGTCTTGTTTCTGCAGCGGCGCATTTTTCTATTATTTATTGTTTTCTTCTTCTTCATTGTAAATTCGGCTGCAGACCCGCCCCTTCCCTTCAGTTTGGACCCATTTCCCACCAACTGAGTCTGTCCAGAGATGACGGCCAACAGCAGGTACAGGAGCCGCGCGCCCCGGTCAGGTAAGCTAGTGCAGGTGATTAATTCCCTCCCGCGCGACACAACTGCTTAATTTAATGAAGCGTCTGCCCATTCCTCGTGCTGAAAAAAACACACATGATGCTTTTATTTCCCCCCCTCCGGTCCGGATGCTCTCCGGTGTCTGCTGGAATCTGACTTCATCCCTCAGAGGAGGCAGAGGTAAGAGGCACGCGACATATAAAGGTGTGTGTGTGTGTGTGTGTGTGTGTGTGTGTGTGTGTGTGTGTGTGTGTGTGTGTGTGTGTGTGTGTGTGTGTGTGTGTGTGTGTGTGTGTGTGTGTGCGCCCTGCTGTGCTCCATTTAACATCATTCCTTTGTTTTGGAGGCTGCACAGATTTCAGTGACCCCCTCAGCCAAGTCAGACTCCCCTCCTTTGTCCTCCTCACTCTGGTATCTGACTTAATAATGTATTTTAATGTTATATTCTGCTGCTGAATAGAATTTTCTTCATTTTCTCAAATTTTCAACATCTGTACACATCTGCGAACTTGGATTAGGATCTGAAAGGACCAGTAAATGAGAGCTTTTAGACTTGTTTAGGCAGAGATGTCGGCTCTGTGGTGATTCCAACTGAATTTAATGATTTTATCTGTGATTTACGGTGAAAATTTGATATATTTGTAGTTTTTTTGTTTATATTGGACTAAAAAAGACATTACAGGGTGTAAACCTGGACTCTCAACACATATAAATCACTGCTTGCTGACATTTTACAGACTAAGGCCACAATGGTAAAAAAAAAAAAAAAGGATCTTTAGTTTCATCAAGTCTAAAACTTTCAGGAGACTAGTGTTTAAAATGAGGAAATCTGTAATATTCCCATTAAATTGGGCAATGGTGTACCAACAAAATCATGTCTCTTTTTGAATGTTTGTCTCAGTTTGAATATAAAATATCTTTAAATAATCTAACAAGATGGTATAAAAAAATCCTGTATGACAAAACAAAGAAAATAGATGATTTACAGCCACAAAAAAACACTTAAACACAGTGTATCAATATGTCAGAACAGGTAGAATCAGATTTATTTTTTAATTTTCAAAGGAATAGTCTCATAGAGACAGAAGAAAGATGTACTAAATTTGTCCCTCAGACCAAAGGTTACAGCTACTGGTAGGTTTAGAGGTCAGCAAAGGACATCATGTAACGTAATGTAAAACTTTATTTCAGACCCAGTTGGTCCATATCATACAAAAAGAAGAAAATTTGAAACATTTTCAGGACATTTCACTTTCAGCTTCTTATATTAGACTCTCATTTTTGTTAAAAGACATATTTCCTTGACCAAAACACCAAGGTTTTTAAATGTTAGGAAAAAATTCATCACCTCTATATGAAGTATATCAAGTCAAAATCTGATGTTAATCTCTCACTGTTATCTCAGATATTGAAGTCAACTGTCATTCATAGAAAAGCAGTAAGTAGAGGTTGTTAATTAACTGGACTTTCAAAGGAAGACAAAGAAGTGTATAGAATCGTATTATCAGTATAAAATTGAATCTGTGCAGCAGTGACAGTTTGACACAGGTTGTAAATGTCAATTAAACAGGACCCAGTATGGAGCCTTGTGGGACACATTTTTGCATATTAAAAAAACTGGAAAATGGATCCACAATAAACTGTTTTTTGTGGAACCCTGATGTTTGTTGGCCTCTAGAAGACTCAAACAGTGTGGCTTAAGACTTTCACAACTGTGTTATTTTTTTATGGGCGAATATAAAAATCTTACCATATAACAACCGTGAGGATTACATGACTATTCCTACTAGTTATTATTAGAAATTATTCTTTCTTACTACTATCACTACAATACTATAGATTCTGTTTGCAGTGTTGTATAAAGAAATGTCCCTAAAATAGTTGTCTTTGTTTCTGTAACTGTCCTCTGACAAGCTCTTATTTTCCTGGTTACCTTGGTAATCAGTCCCGCCCAATCTGGTTTATGATTGGTTGGAACAGCAACACAGGTACCCACCTTGCCAAACAGTAGGTCTGTTTGTTCTTCTTAGGACCAGATCTGCAAAAAGCTTTAAAGACATACATCACATGAGAGTTAACTATATCTTATTTGTGGTTTTGAAACTGTGAGTGTTCAACCCCATAAATAAAGCTGGCTAACTCTGAGAGGTAGGAATGAGCAGATTATGCTGATTATAAAGTAATTTTCTGTCAATAAAATCATCAATTCAGCTTTACAAAAGAATTAACAAGTTCGAAATAGGATGATTTCCACAACTAAGAGCGTCTTAGGTTTGAGGATTAAATGCTCATCTTTATTTAACACCCAAATTAGTGAAATCATAAATCATTATTATCTCTGGAGATTCATGCTTTAATCATGGGTAACTCAGTCCTGTATAAACTCCAAGCACAGATGTCCTGGTGTGGCCTACATTCAGCAGCTCCTCACCACCTCCACCTCCACTGTGCATCTTTATTTTCAGAGTTACATCCCCAAAATCCCACGGGCACTTCCAGGATATCTCTCCTTCATCCCACTTCACAGCTCTGTGTGTTTTCTCTCTGTGAGGAGTTGGATGGCAGAGCTGGGGCTGAGTCAGAGCAGCGCACTCAGACGCAGCTCACACTGTTTCCAGCAGTCTGAGATCTGTGTGTGGGAGCCGCTTGCTAACACGTCCACTGACAAAATGTCAATATGGAAGCAATAGCAAAAAACCAAACACCCCCACACCTACATATACACAGAAAACTCCTCCTGAGGTAGTCAAGCTAATGCACTCTGTATTAGATTTGGTGTAAAGAGACATCAGGAGAATTTAACCTGACCTGTTTGGTTCATTTCACACCATCTGTCCCTGAAAAGCTTTGGTTTTATCTCTTCTCTTTAGCCTCTTTCTGTGTGTTCAGAAGTACACATATGCCTTTCTATTATCACTCCCCACCCCCTTCCTGCATGTGTGCCGCCGGCTGCCTGCCGTACTGTATTATGAATACTTGGAGAGCCTCAGGGCATGTTCTCGGTCTCTGACCGCCACTTCAATAAAATATGAAAGGAATCATGGGAATGTCCTACTAACACGACAACTGAACTTACACTGTTACCTACGAGGGAGGCTGTGACCCAGACCACCCTGCGATAACCATACGCCCCCCTGTGATCCTGTGATGTAACTACACTGTGACCTGATTATAAACACTATGAGTGATATCTTTAAATGACTAAACCTTCGAAAAAATTAAGTAAATGCACACTTTCTGCTACATTAAAAAAACTGTTTTGCTTGATTTCCCCTTAATGAACATCAAAAACACCAAGTTAGACATCCCCTCCAGAGATGGATGTTGCCGACCGCTTGCTTCTCTAGTTATACCAACTTTAGAAACGAGAGCCATGTGCTCAACCAAAATACCACTCTATAGCCACAAATAATGCTCAGAACAGCACCTAACTTCATCAACAGTACATATATGGTCCCAGCCATAGTACTAGCCACCAAACATCTTTTTAACTTTGACTAATTTCTTTAGCAAAGAGACTAAACACAACTCACCTACTCTCTTCCAGCAGTTGCTTGTTTGTAGGGAGACCTCAGGCCAGTCCATTACGGACTACAGCGGGGTGATGCAGCTCAAGGAAGAACATTTATGATCATTTCTTCATGGAAATACAATCAGACCGAGACGCTAAGGCAGAAAAACTAATGTGTCTGCAGTGCAAAATGATTAATATGGTGATTATTACTTTAAGGAAATGATAAAGAAATGATTATAAATGTTCTTCATTGAGCTGCGTCAACCCGCTGTAGTCAATGGACTCACCCTGAAGTCTCCATACAAACCAGCAGCTGCTGGAAGAGAGTAGGTGAGTTGTGTTTAGTCTCTTTGCTAAAGAAATTAGTCAAAGTTAAAAAGATGTTTGGTGGCTAGTACTATGGCTGGGACCCTATATGTACTGTTGATGAAGTTAGGTGCTGTTCTGAGCATTATTTGTGGCTGTAGAGTGGCGTTTTGGTTGAGCACGTGGCTTTCTGTATTGCTATCGTGCGGTCGTTACTAAAGTTGGTATAACTGGAGAAGCAAGCGGTTGGCAACATTCATCTCTGGAGGGGGTGTCTAACTCGATGTTATGGTGTGGTTGACCTTCACTTAATTTTACGCCGGAATATCCCTTTAAAGCAGGACTTAGCACCAGCCCATGGCACCAGAACTACAACAAAGTGGTTTTCTGACCAAGATTCTGGTGTGGTTTCCTTTCTATCAGGACCTGCCCACAGCACTGGGACTACAGCAGATTTTTTCCAGACCTTGATATTAGTTTGATTTCCTTTTCCAGCTGGACTGAGCATCTGCCCACAGCAGATAGGAATAAAGCTAACAGAGGTGTGTCTTCTCTGTAAGCAGGTTGCAAAACATCTTGTTTATATCTCTATCTATCTATGTATCTATCTATGTATCTATCTATGTATCTATCTATCTATCTATCTATCTATCTATCTATCTATCTATCTATCTATACATGAGATAGCAACATCATATATAAAAGTGAAGTTTTCTCTCTAACTTTAAAGGATCTACGTAAAATGAGAAATATGAATTCATGCTGGAGAAAGAAAAACAGCTAAGGTAACAAGCTCTGCATGAAGATAGTGTCAACATGATCGCGCACCAAGAGACGGCACTTCCTGCTGAACTAAGAAGGAGCAAGATCTCAATTTACTGCATGTTTTATTAAACACATATATTAAACTGAAAAACATCCCAGAAAAGACAAAATAAGGTGTCAGTTTTCAACGCTTCTTCGACGTTTATGTCCATCCATAAACTTGATTACTTGTGCATGTTTACGCTCTGTTTCATTGTAAGTGCCAGTGCTGGAGTCATCTTTTTACCATCTTTCCTCTCATAGGGAAAAGAAGCAGCAGCCTCTCGGTTTTGCTTATTTATTGGACAGTTTGGATTGAGTGTTTTCTTGTTCTTGTGTTTCTAGGAAAAGGACTATGTCGGTTTTGCGACTCTGCCCAACCAGCTGCACAGGAAATCGGTGAAAAAAGGGTTTGACTTCACCCTCATGGTGGCAGGTCAGTGACGTCTACACTTTTAAGGAAAGAATAACAGAGGAGATTTCGAAGTTAAATGCTTTTTTATGCTAGGTGTGACACATGTGACATGAAGCAGGAGTCAGTGCTTGAACATTTTGTCCAGTCGTCACATTTTTCTTCGTCTGCATATGGATGAAATTATAAGATTGCTGAGCATCAGAGACTGAAACTGCTTCCTCTTAGGAGTAATTTTCCTTCACACCTCCGCACCGTCTCAGATTTCACAAGTTCTGGGTGTTCTGTGAAAATTTTGGGCTCTGTTAAAATCTGAATTTTTAATCAAGATGAGTCCCAAAAATCTCTCTGAATGAAAAACAGATTTAATTATTCTTTGAGTTTGTTTGTTTGTTTGTTTGATAGTTGAGTTTGTTACAGGGACAGAGAAACTATTCTGTGTGTGCTCCAGGTGAGTCCGGTCTGGGTAAATCCACCCTGGTGAACAGCCTCTTCCTCACTGACCTGCACAAAGACAGGAAGCTGCTCAACGCGGAGGGTGAGTCACTGACCAATCACAGGCCTCCGCTCCTCTCACATCTGTCATTATGACTGTGCGGCGTTTTCCTTTTGCAGAGCGCATCAGTCAGACGGTGGAGATCACGAAGCACACGGTGGACATCGAGGAGAAGGGCGTGAAGCTGAAACTCACCATCGTGGACACTCCGGGGTTTGGAGACGCCGTCAACAACACTGAGTGGTGAGTCCGCAAACAGGATGTGATTAATGAAGCGGCTCTGGAGGCTTGGACTGTGAATAAAAAACCACTGAGGGAGTCTTTTCTGGCTGTCAGCAAAGTGAAACCTACACACCACTTATCTGACCCTTCTCCTCGGCTCCTTGGTCTCTCTCACCCACGTGTAAATAAAGCTCTGCAGTCCTGCTTCTCTGCAGTAAAATGACAGAAACCAAACGGCTCGATTCACTTTGAGTCGACCGAGAGCTGCAAACAGAAACAACAAGTGCTAAAACAAATACTATGAGAAGGAGAAAAGCTTCATCCTTAAACTCAATCAATCAAATAAATCAATCAAATTTTATTTATATAGGGCTAATGTGATTACAGTCAGCAGGCCTAATAGTAGTCAACTCTAGTTTTTTCTACAATTGTAGACGATGCGGCTGGAGTCAGGAAGGTCCTCCTCCTTATGACATATAAAGCGCTTAACGGCCAGGCCCCATCATATCTCAACAAGCTTGTTATACCTTACTTTCTGTCTAGACCGTTACGCTCACAGTCTGCAGGCCTGCTCGTTGTACCAAATGTCTCTAAAAGTAGTATTGGAGGAAGAGCTTTCAGCTACCAGGCACCGCTCCTCTGGAATCATTTACCGCTCGAAGTTTGGGGGGAGACACCATCCCAACTTTCAAGAGTAGACTTAAAACGTTCCTCTTTGATAAAGCTTATAGTTGGGGCTGATTTGAACCAGCTCTTAGTTATGCTGCTATAGGTTTAGACTGCCGGGGTTATCTGGCACACTGAGCTAGAGTCTGTCTCTACCTCTCCTTTAGATCTTTATGTCCCATATAAGTCACTAACCACTCTCTCTGAGTGTCTCTGAGTCTCTTAGCTTCCACTAGACTAATGCTGCAGACGGTCTGCTGCGGAACTGCCTGACCCCAGCTGCATCTTCCTCGATTGTCCACCTCAGGCCCTGAGTTCCTCCATCTCTTAGGTTCCTCTGGACAATTGCTGCAGGCACGTACGTCAGCCTAACTGACATCAATAAAATAAAACTAGAGTAAACTACCATTGAGTTTTAACTTTAATCACCTTAAATTAATTTAGCATAGTCCATAATTAGTTATTTCATTATCCTGTACATCATTTTCTCCCATCAAATTGCTAACCAGATCTCTCTAACCAGATCTCAGAGAAACAGTTTTTTAAAAATCGTTCCATCGTACTTTTCCATGTCCTAAAATAAGAGCTGCAAATCAGTGTTTGAGGTGTCGTGTCCTCTGCTGCTGTCAGTGTTGGGAAAGTTCACTTTCACCCCAAACTAGTTCAAAGTTCAGTTCACACATTTTAAAGTAAACTTGTTCAGTTCATCATTCATAATTCCACATTTTGAATTTAACTTCATGGTTCCCGAAAATGAACTAATTTAGTTCTTCTTTTTCTCCAGTACTTTGATGTAAGTGATTACAGTGATTATTTTAGCTGTTTTAACACTGAAACTACGTCTGATTAATCTTCATATCCATTTTTGAATCCTAATCGAACCAGGTTTACAGTAGCATTGAGAGGACAGCCCTCAGAATACCGGCGTTTCCCTTATGTTTTGTTCAGTCCTCACTAGTAGGAACGTTCATCTGTAGCCCTTTAATGCCTGAAACCACAAATTATGGCCAGAAAATTAACATTTTTTTGCAGCTGAAATGTTTATTTCACTTACTACTGAAAACCAAAAAAATCAAAATTTCCTTAAAATTTTACAAATATGTTTACTTATCTTCTTTGATACATTAGATGTTTTTGGAAACTGAAAAATTACAAGAGGACACTGTAATTTTCAATGTATTCAGTTTTTTTTTTTTTTGTAATTTGTTTACCGCATTGAGTGGATAGAAGTATATAAAAGTATGTATCAAATATGATGCAAAAGGCATTAAAAGGCTAGAGTATATTTTCATAAACATGAGGAAACATGCTTGAATGGTTTTTAGACTCTTTATTAGGATTACAACAACAGGACTGTCGTCCTTAAGTTTTTTTTTCTTTTTTCATTTCTATTCTTTCCCAAACTGACCTGGAAACAATTCACATCAAATTCCCTTTCAGTCATACTAAAAAGGAACCAGAACAAATACTGGAAATAATAACAATTAACAATAATGATATGATATTGTGACATGATATGATATGATTTCATATCCGTCTAAGGTTTGCTAATGACGTCGTCGATGTTCAGACTTGCTTCCTCAAACCAGGCGGACAAAGTTTACACATAAAAGCTAGATATTTACTGTCTGTGTCGGCGCTGACTTTTACATCAAACTCTTTTAAATGCTCATATGAGTCTGTGTGCTCCTGGCAGCTAGTGCTACCTCCCTCATCCAACATGTTTACTGACGTATTTATTGGAGCGACAGACAGGCTGCTTGCGGTTGCCAGATTGGGTGGCTTTCCGCTAAATATGAAGGCCTGTTTACGGTGTGTTTTAGCTGGGCTTTCGCCTGGAAGGCTCTGGACATCTGGCACACTCATGAACGGAGTTTAGAACGCCGCTCACAGACGCCAGAATGAGCACGTTCAACACCAATGCGATCATACACAAATAAAAATGATACGTTCACGTTCACCCGAAATATGAACAAGTTCATGATCGATCGTTTATTGAATGCGTTTGGGCACAACACTTGCTGCTGCTGGTGTTTGCTCAAGTCCAGAGTCGACACCAGGAGGTTTTAGAGACCTTCATGCTTCCATCTGCTGACAGGCTCGATGGAGATGTTGGTTCCCTCCAGCGCCAAAACTCCTACCAAATGGTTTCCCGACTATGATGCTATGAGGCCATTATCAAAGTACCCTGGGCTCCAGTGACCCCTCAGCAGAGACCACAGACCGATCTTCTCCATGCCACTTCATAATTACGCCACAAGTCATGAAAAAGGAGCCCCAAACAAGCACTGAGAGTTTAACTTTTAATGGTTTTAGGAAAAATTCTGGTCATCTGACATGCTACATTTCTGATTTTCATGAAAATTTTGAAACTTTTCTCATTTCTCATGTGTGTTGTATTTGTCCCTGTGTTTCTTTCAGAGTGGAGCCGCAGTATTGATTTAACTTCATCAGCCTTTTAATTATTTCACACACTCTCTCTCTCTCTGACCCTGATGATGTTTCGATCTCTAATCGCTCTGTGCTAATGTTTTTTCTCTGAGGCGTCATAAATCTTTCTCTTGTTTAGTTGCTGTTTTGTACTTCTGTAAAATACTGAAAGGAGATGTAAACGTGCCCCGGGTTTGCTACTCTCTAAGTAGATGTAGTAAATTTGCAGACCTGTGAGGGTTTAACGGCCTCTGTCCTCGTACACCTGGTGTTTGGTCCCGCTGTGTTAAATCTGCACACTTCAGCGCTGACATCTTCTCCTCCTGCTGCTCTGCTGATAAGCTCACTGCGACAAAACCTTCTCAAACTAAAGTACCCATCAGCAGGAAAAAACACAGGAGTAGGTTTCTGTTGAATAAAGGTGAATAAGTAATGTAGTAAATATCGACGCTGCCCATCAGACCAGCCTGTGAGGGAGGGACTGACCTCTGCATGCATCGACATGCAGAGACGTGAATACATCAGCAAATTATGAAGTGGAGTAAAGGAAAGACCCGTAGGTTTAGAGAAACATAAATGCTCTAACGGGTTTGTTTGCTGGTGAATTTAAGCTGAGGTGATCTGAAGAAGAACACTGCAGGTGAAAGTAAGGAAGATTCACAGCAAGTGTGTGGGCGGGGTGATGTTTTTTAACATGCAATCTGTGCAAGGCAGGTGTGAGCCTGCTCTCCACAATCTGCTGTTACACTCACTCTCACCACCACTGTGCAAACATCCATTTAGATTTTACTTCCACACAAAGGCAAAAGTCGTCAACACAGAGCGGGACTGTCATTACACAGAGACCACTGCAGGGTCCTCTAGGGGTCTCGTCCTGTCTCCCTTCACACTGAACCTCCACCCTCAGTCAAACAGAAAAATCACACTGTGGGCAATTGCGTGTTTGAAATCAATATTACAGCTTATTCAATGAAACGGTGTCCTGAGGGCTCTTTGTTTACATTGCAATCCCTCAGAAAGCAACCAGACCGCACTTTGTTTACAACTTCATTTTCACAAAAAAGGTAACCAGCAGAAACTTTGATTTACAATGTATCTGTATCTGCTGTCACTTTACAATGTTTACATTTGACAGACTAAGAAAAGGAACCAGAGGTTAACGTTTATGGTTTACCTTGTTAAGAAGTAGAGAGTGCTTTGTTTACATTTGACAGACTAAGAAAAGGAACCACAGGGTAAAGTTCATGGTTAACCTTCTTGAAAAGTAGAGGGCTCTTTGTTTACATTTGACAGACTAAGAAAAGGAACCAAAGGGTAACGTTTATGGCTAATCTTCTTGAGAAGTGGAGGGCGCTTTGTTTACATTTGACAGACTAAGAAAAGGAGCCACAGGGTAAAGTTCATGGTTAACCTTCTCGAGAAGTAGAGGGCACTTTGTATACTTTTGAGGGACAAAGAAAAGAAACCACAGGGTAATGTTTATGGTTAACCTTCTTGAGAAGTAGAGGGTGCTTTGTTTACAGTTGACTGACTAAGAGAAGAAACCAGAGAGTAATGTTTATGTGAACCTTCTTGAGAAGAAGAGGGTGCTTTGTTGCCATTTAATTTTGAAAGTGCAACCAGAGGGCGCTTTGTTTACAACTTCTTTTTCACAAAAAGAGAAACCAACAGAAACTTTGACTTACAATGAATCCGCAAAAATTTAACCTAAATGCTGAGGGTAAATTTTAGCTTTGTAATGAGTTATCAGAGGGCGCTTTGTTTACATTTGACAGACTAAGAAAAGAAACTACAGGGTATTGCTTATGGTTAACCTTCTTGAGAAGTAGACAAATTAATTTACTCAAATGAAATCACTAATTTTGACAGCTTTAATGAAGAATGAAACAGAAGGAGCATGAGGAGCAAACATGGATTTACACAATTTCTCTCTGCAGTCATTTTCACTTGCAATTTCAACTGTTTTGTAATCAGAGTAGGCTACAACTATGTTTTTGGAGATGTTAATTAACTATTTGGATTGCAATTGTGATGTTTCAGAGGAGTAGTGAGTGTGTATTTGTGCAATACTTACGCATTCAGGCGGTCTGCAATACTTTGCCACGCTTTTTCTCACTGTTTTATGGCAGTGGTGGTGTTTCTTTTTTATTAATTATTTGATCTTTTACCTCTTTATACGCTTCCATAAGTATATCCTGCTCCGATGGGGAGAAGTATGCTCTGGTTGTCATGGTAAATAGGTGAATCTGTGATCGATCGCAGCGGTCTATTTAAGGAGCCAGGTGCGCGCACTTATCCAGGATTGCTTTCAGTTGGCTTGATGAATCCGTTTCTTCTCATCCTGGATTAGCGTTTATGCAACCGAATAAGCCGAGACACTCTTGTTTTGGATTCGTTGAGATCAGCTCAGTCACTTATCCTGGATATCTGAATCCTACTTTTATGCAACAGGCCCCAGAGAGTAATGTTTATGTGAACCTTCTTGAGAAGCAGAGGGTGCTTTGTTGACATTTTAATTTTATAAGTGCAACCAGAGGGGGCTTTGTTTACAACTTCTTTTTCACAAAAAGAGTAACCAATTGAAACTTAGACTTGCAATGAATCTGCTAAAACACCATTCTGAGGGCCCTTAAAGTTAAATTTTAGCTTCTCAATGAGTTACCACAGGGCGCTTTGTTTTCATTTGACAGACTGAGAAAGGGAACCTGAGAGTAATGTTTATGTGAACCTTCTTGAGAAGTAGAGGGCGCTTTGTTTACATTTTTGTTCAGCAAGTAAGCAAACAGTAGGCGCTTTGTTTACATTTGACAAACAAAGAAAAGGAACCAGGGGGGAAAGTTCGTGTTAACCTTATTTAGAAGTAGAGGGAGCTTTGTTTACATTTTTGTTCAGCAAGTAAGCAAACAGAAGGCGCTTGGTTATCATTTGACAGACTAAAAAAAGGAAGCAGAGGGCAATGTTTACATTATCCTTCTTGATAAGTAGAGGGTGCTTTGTTTACATCTGACAGGCTAAGAAAAGAGCCAGAGATCAATGTTAATATGAACCCTCTTGAGAAGTAGAGAGTGCTTGATTTACATTTTTGTTCAAAAAGTTAGCAAACAGAAAGACTAAGAAAAGGAACCAGAGGGTTATGTTTATGCTAACCCTTTTGAGGAGGAGAGGGCGTTTTGTTTACATTTTTGTTCAACAAGTTAGCAAACAGAGGGCACTTTGTTTACATCTTAATTTTTAAAGTGCAACCAGAGTTTGCTTTGTTGGCAACTTTTTGTCTGTAAAAGAGTAACTTAAAGGCATTTGAGTTACATTTTATGTCATGGAAAAGCAACAACAGTGCTTTTTGTTTAGATTTATCTTCTCAGAGAGCGCTTTGTTTACATTTAAATATCTTAAATATCAATCAGCTGGTAATTTGTTTACAATTTATCTACTGGATTTGCACTTTGCTTATTTTTTATTTACCAAAAGAGCAACTAGAGGGCACTTGATATACATTTAAACTTCTTCAAGATCAATCAGAAGGCTTTTTTTTTGTACATTTTATTCAATAGTATTGAATCTGAAGGCCCTTTGCTTACGTTTTATCCACTAAAAGATCAACCACAGAGCGCTTTGTTTACATTCAATAGACCAAACATATTTCCGAACTGTTTAACCCTTTGTTCATCAGACTGGTTGTAAGTTCACATAAAAACATGGAGGTATTTCTGTGTGTTTCAGCTGGAGGGCAGTCACAGACTACATCAATCAGCAGTTCGAACAATACTTCAGAGACGAGAGCGGACTCAACAGGAAGAACATCCAGGACAACCGAGTTCACTGCTGCCTCTACTTCATACCTCCGTTTGGACACGGGTAATATATTCACAGTGACGGTTTCATTATGCAAACATGATTTTAATCACATATGCGAGTTTTTAAGGTTAATGACCTCCTGCAGGCTGCGCCCAGTCGACATCGAGTTCATGAAGGTGCTGCAGGACAAAGTGAACGTGGTTCCTCTCATCTCCAAAGCCGACTGTCTCACTCCCTCTGAGGTCAAGAAACTCAAAGAGCGGGTAGGACTACTAAATGCAGAATAGATTAAATATATAATTAGTGATTAACAGAGAAGACAACTCCAGCTGAAGTGTAAGACATGATGTTTCTGTTCTTTTTACAGAGTCATTTACACTTCTTAAGGCTGAATTTATGCTCTGACCTTTCTGTTTCAAAGGTTTCTGCAGGAAAATAACACCAACAAAGACCTTCATATTCACTCAAGTACAAGAGATGTCATGATGAAGCTATGAGAGCTACCCTGTGTGGGAAAACAGCAGTTTAAATGTTTTTTCAGACCGCGAAAAGGCTCAAATCTGTTATAAAGTTGTTTTTTAAATGAAGTTACATACATTTACTCAGACACAAAGGGGTCTGTCAAACTCTGAGAAGACTTCAATCACTTGCTGTTTATCGTCACCATCATTTAAAAGTTTTTAAAAGTAGCTCCAGGCTGTCTCTTCTTTTCTTAAAGGGATATTCCGGCGTAAAATTAAGTAAAGGTCAAACACACCATAACATCGAGTTAGACACCCCCTCAAGAGATGAATGTTGCCGACCCCTTGCTTCTCTAGTTATACCAACTTTAGTAACAACTGCACAATAGCAATACAGAGAGCCATGCATTCAACCAAAACGCCACTCTATAGCCACAAATAATGCTCAGAAAAGCACCTAACTTCATCAACAGTACATATAGGGTCCCAGCCATAGTACTAGCCACCAAACATCTCTTTAGCTTTGCCTAATTTTTTTAGCAAAGAGACTAAACATAACTCACCCACTCTCTTCCAGCAGCCGCTTGTCTGTAGCGAGACCTTTTTTTTTTTTGAGCTATTGGAGCAGCCAAGCATAGATATAAGTGTCCAGATTCATTTGTGTGTTTGATTCAGTTTCAGCTCTTTGAGTCAGTGAGTTTTTATCTGGACTGAGTCGTCAAACTTTTCTATAGGAGACAGACTTCCTGTGTGTGTGTGTCTCTGCTGTTCTCCACCACATCTCCTGTGTGTGTTTCACTTCCAGCTGAGGGAGGAGATTGATAAATACGGGATAAAGATCTACCAGTTTCCTGACTGTGACTCTGATGAGGATGAGGAGTTCAAGCGGCAGGATAAAGAGCTGAAGGTCTGATGGGAAAAACTGGGATGGTTTGAGATCATTTAGGTGCTGTCACTTTAACTCTTCACTGCAGGATCTGAGTCCGCTTTTTTCCCGTTGGTGTTTTGTGATGCAGGAGAGCACACCGTTCGCCGTGATCGGCAGCAACACGGTGGTGGAAGCTCGGGGTCAGAGAGTGAGAGGGAGGCTTTACCCATGGGGAATAGTGGAGGGTAGGAAACCCTCTGCAGTCGTCTATCTCAAATCTCTGCTGCTATTTTTACCTCCCTGTTCCCATGACAACACTGATAAACAGAGAGGGACCCGCCCTTATGTCAGTCTTTTCCTCTTGCTCCTACTGCAGTGGAAAACCCGTCCCACTGCGACTTTGTGAAGCTGAGGACCATGCTGATAAGGACCCACATGCACGACCTGAAGGACATCACCGGGGACTGTCACTACGAGAACTACAGAGCCCAGTGTATCCAGAACATGACCAGGTACCTGCACCTACAGGACCGCCATGACTCTACACTCTCAGTCTCCTGGCTGTGTTTGAACTAAAGAGGGGCTCATTCCAGCCTGAGAGGCAAAACTCGGGAGAAGGTTTGCAGAAATTTTAAACTTGGACTGTGAGAGGACGGCAGAGAGATTCAAGCTCTTGGAAACAACCGTGAACGTAAACATTGAACTTCATTTGTATGAAGATTGCCAAAGAGAGTGAGGTGAAGTCATGCTATTTGTAATGAAACCCACGTTTGTTTTAAATCAACCTCTCTGAACCCTGAGACCCTCAGCTGTCAGCATGTTTGTACTCATATAGAGGTTTGGTTTTACAGGCCAAGGAAGTCATACAGTCATGTGACATTAACTTAGAAATATTAGACACTGAGCAATGTTAGAATTTTTATTTCTTGTCATTTGTTGCAGTTTTGAGGACCTGAATTTGTTCACAAAATCCTGAAAAACTGCATGTGCACCAGGTGTGTCAAATGTTCAGCCATGAAACAGGAAGTTGGTTTATCTCAGCCATGCATGCTCCAATCTACACCAAACTTTCTCAGGAAATCTTGAAGATATTTGTCCTGAAGTTTTAACAAAGATGGTGAGTTTCTGTCTGAGGGTTTGGTCAGGACAGAGCCTCAAACTTTGGTTTCGACATGTTGTCTCACCGTATGATTTAAATTGTTCTGGCTCAGCCCGACTTTTGGACATTTCTTGGTGGTGCTTGAACATATTTATCAAACCACAGCGCCACCTACTGGTAACAGGGAGTATATTCTTTCCCATAACCACCTTAAAATCCTGTGTTCTATCATATTCTCTCCTTGAGTGAGTGGTTATCGTAAACAGACAGTTTCAAGCCTAAATGGGGCCCTAAGCAAAGTTTGATTTTGGGGCCCTCTATTTCTGCCAATAATATTGATTGTTGATCATTCACACACCTTCACAAATCTCTTTGATTAACATTCCCTGACATGCAAACATACCTTTATCTTGGGTTTTTTTCTCTTCTCCCTCTTTCTTTTCTCTGCTCCTGAAGGATATATCCTTTTTTGTGACATTGTTTTGACCCACAACTACCAGCGCTTTGGATGCTCAGTGCACATTGCACGGTCGAAGGCACTAAACGGTAGCAGAGCTTTGACATAAGAATCATAGGCCTACATCAGCAGCAGCACTAAAATGTTTTTACTTTATTATTGTTTTATTTTTACAATAATATGTATTTGATCATATAGAAACCATCACTCATACATACGACGGAGTATTAGGGCCACATTAAGAAAAACAATTTAAGACTTCGTAATTACTTACGAGAAGAAAGTCCTGATAAAATCATTTCTTACGAGAATAAAGTCGTAGCTAATAGCTATTTTAACCTGTTGTTAGTTGTTTAAATGAGCGCTGTTTTAGCATCACATTGTCATGAGTGTCAGGACATATGCAAGAAATGCGTCTTTTCTGCAGAAAGTACCAGGCGGACATGTAGGGAATCGCTGTTTTTGAGGAGGGGGAAATGGCTGGAAATGGCTGTGCAGAGGCTAAATCCCTCAACATAGCAATAGCAATAACATGTGGCTTTAGTTTATCGATTTATTACGACTTTATTCTCATAAGTAATGACTTTAATCTCTTAAGTCTTGTTTTTTTTCTTAATCTTAATGTGGTCCTAATACTCCGTTGTACTTACATACAAAAAATAAAAAAATTATAATTTTTTTTTGATTGCTCTTAGGGGCCCCCTATTGGCTGCGGGGCTCTAAGCAGACACAGCAGCTGTGTATGGAGTGGCGAATTGAAAACTGTTGAGGGTGTCTGGCCCCTGAGCTGTGGTTTTAAATAAAGAACAGAGACTTGCTTTTGTAAATATTCAATTAAACTGAAAAGTTTAGCAAAAGTTTAGCAAAGGCTAAAGGCCTTCCAAAGGCCAAAATGCACAGATAAAAAACAGAGTTTTTAAAAATCTCTGCCTCAGTCTTTCAGACGTCCACTTTGACTGAATGATTTTGGTTTATCTCATGTAGACGTTCATTTATAGCATGTAAACATTGTCAAAAACTAAGAATTCGGCATCAACCCCACATTCTCCATGTTCTCTGCATGTGGAGGCCTGAAAAAGGTTGATGTTTAGTGAGAAAATACTTTTTTTCCCTGAGTCTCTTGAAGCTGATTTTCATGCTGCGGTGAAAACACTCATTTATCATGTTTATCTTTTTTTTCTCCTCAGTAAGATGAATGCTGATAAGCGAGTGGAGAGCCCCATCCCCATCCTGCCGCTTTCCACACCGGATGTGGAGACGGAGAAACTCATCAAGATGAAGGATGATGAGGTGAGAGGAAACAGGTTTTTTCTTCTTCTTGCTGTGTAATAAAGCTCAGATAGTGAAAAATGCACCGCAGCAGGTGTTACATAACCAAGACACTGATTTAAAATGATGACCCATATGTGAGATGATGTAATCTGTCTCTGATCCCTCTTGTTTCCTGCCTCTCTGTCTTGTCATTATCTCCTGCAGCTGAGGAGGATGCAGCAGATGCTCCAGAAGATGCAGCAACAGATGCACGAGCAGGACCTGTGACCTGGGACCTGTGACCTGATTTAATCTGAGCCCTTTAGTCAAGGTGTTAAACCAGAATAAAACCCGACACAGCACAGACATAATCCTTTAAAAATCTGTCTCTTTAGGGGAGCAGAGGAAGAAATATTTACCCTACTCCTCAAAAATCGCTCACACACGCATGCTGGAGGTGTACTTTTAAATGTTTTTACCCTTTATTTTGCTTTTTTTACTTTACAGTCTTTAGCCAAGTGAGTTGTAGTTAGGCAATAGAAAGTAGACCTTTAATCCACTGTAGACTTGAAACACTGACTGAGACTAATGCACCTTAGCCTCCACTTGTGAAGTAGTTGATGCACTGATTACCTGAGGAGTGACACACAGGCGGAAAGTCGCTCACCGTTTGCATGTTTGGTTTGGGTCGTGTTTGTGATCTTTAAGCTGTGTGTGAGAGAAAACAGGTCTTCAGGGTCCGGTTCTGCAGATGTTCACTTCGCTAACGAGACAAAAGTTCATGACAAATATGTGTAATTCACTCTCGCCAGACTGAAGTTTTCCAGCATGGGAAACATTTATGTGTCTGTTTGTTAAGCAGTAACTGTATCACCAGTTAGGTGTCGAATGGCTCTGCTGTTTGTTTGTATGGAGAGCAAAAGCAGGAGGAGCACAAACCACCATAATGTAGGGTGACCATGCGTCCTCTTTTACCCGGACATGTCATCTGTTTTGGGGGCTGTCTGGCTTTGTCCGGGGAAGTTTATAAGACCCTCCAAAAGTCTGCGGTTTTGTACAGAGGTTTCGAGTTTGTGTCACATGGACTTAGTGAGTTAGAAGCGCATAAAAGATGCTCGATCCGACCCGAAAAACTCAAAATTAACTTTTGGCGACTTAGTGACTCCGTCCCCGTGTGGTTGTGTCCTCTTTTTGGGAAGTCAGAATATGGTCACTCTACCATAATGACATCCTGGTTAATCTGATGGAAACTCACTGTGCAGATTAGTTTACAGTGAAACTGACCCCCAATTTTCACCACATCCGGAACGGCTCCGATCTGGAACCAATTCCTACCGGATTTGTGAGGCGAATTTCGTGGCGGATTACAGACAGCAGGAATCGCAAGAACTCACAAGAATCCACAGATTCATGTGCAATCATGCAATAACGAGTTGTCTCTATAAAGACAGCCACATAGACATATAAGCAGTAGATTGTGTCCTTCCAGAGGAGGAAATCTACTTCTAGACTTCTAGAATCAGCATCTCCTCATCCATGGTGTCATCGGGGTGAAATGACGTCTAAAATCTTTTCACTTGTTCGTCTCCGCCCGTTTGCATGGTGTGAAATACGATCCGACTGAAACATGGAGTGTTTTATTTTGAAAAGAAGTCCGATGTTTTATTTTGTGTCTGTGCCCGACTTCCTTTAGAGCACGGGTTAATCTGTGCTGAACTTATCTGGCATGCTCTGTCGTCTGGAACAAATAGAACTTATAACTCTTGCAATCAGCTGAGGAGTCCGGCAATCCGCTGCAGAACGGAAAAAAGCCGGTGGAAATTGACACATTAACTTGAATGGTTACGATCAGCTACAATCCGCGGATACAGACTTTTTGTAGCCATTATGGATGCAGTGGAAATTGGGGGTTACTGTATAATCGCTTAGGTGTCGAATGGCTCTTTTGTTTGTTTGTATGGAGAGCAAAAGCAGGAGGAACACAACTGTAATGTCATCCTGGTTAATCTGATCAGGATAAATTTCTCATTATAAAAAGATATCAGCATCTAAGTTCAGCCTCCAGATCAAGAGACACAAAAATCAGAGTTTAGATTTCCTGACTTCCTTGAATGCATCAGAAATCGTGTCTGTGACCTCTGTCCAACAAACAGACATTTACTAAGACAATCACAATTAAATCAATGTTTTCTGCAAGTTTAAACCACAAGAGTAAGCCAAAGGAAGGCCTCTATGTAACCTACCATCAACAGTAAAACTGAGACTCACTGTGCAGGTTAGTATTTACAGTGAAACTGAGACTCAACATGGCACTTACAAGGAACCTACATATGGATGTGTTTACTTTGCAGAAAATTTTCTTCATTTTGACTTTAAACAATGCAACCAACAGAAAAGACTCCTGATTACAAACCAACCAATCACAATGGAGCTTCTTTTGAGTGCTGGTGCAGCGGCGGTGTGAGTGTGTTTGAATGTTTGTGCACATGCTAACATCATTATTAGCCTGGTCTTTAGCAGAGACATGGTTAAACGTATTATTGACGCTCTTATCATAAATAAAACCTTTGATAATATATTTCCAGTGAGCAGGTACCACAGTGAACAATCTTAATAATTAATGTAAAACAATCCTACTTATGGTACGCTAGCTCAATTATTAGTGTTTATGTGCATACTATATCTATAAACCAGTATTCATTCAGAGCTGACAGATGTGATTTCAGTATAAAATGCACACAAGCGTCCTTCTGCAGGTTATCCAGAGCTGCAGAAAACTGTCAGATTAATCAGGATTCAGATCATTTTACAAGCTTTTAAGTAATTTAAAAAAGTAATAATATCTTGTTTTATAATTGTCTTTCTTAAACGGTGTTTCTGAGTGCTGTACAGAAAAACAAGGATCAGTTACTGTGTGAAAAACTGAATAAAATGTTTTCATCTACAACCTTCTGCTTCTTTGATTATTTGATTATTATCTATTTTTTTACTGCTATGATGGTGAATAACAAAAGTACATGAACTTACGGTGGCCGAGAAGAAAAAAGCCACAATGGAAGTGAGCTGCCGGGGACCAATAATGAAAAAAAGTGAGGGGGTCTGCGTTCTTATTTATATGAATAAAGCAACCAAACCATAAGGCTACCGAACTCCATTTTCCTCTCGTGGGTGGTCTTTCCGGGGTGTAGTGGGTTTCCCATGTTAGCCGAAGCTAACATCACACCGACATCCTCCAGTTCAACTTCATATTGACTCAGTCGCTACATGGTCTAACCAAATGACACATTGAAAAGTTTACGAAGCGAAATTAAATAATAACCTTTCCACTAACTTCTTTGCTCGTCTTCTCGCCGTCGTCGTCTGTGCCTAGATCGTAAAACAATCGGTGCATCATCATTATTGGTTCCTAGCAGCTCACTTCCATTGTGGCTTTTTTTTATTTGCATCATTTCATTTTCACAGCAAGTAACTTTTTTATTTTTTTGCATCACCACATTTTTTTTTGCAGCATTTACTTCCGTTGTGGCTTTTATCTAAACTGCATCGTTTCTTTTTTATTTGCAGCGAACTTCAGTTTCTTTTTCTTGCATCGGTAAATTGTGGCTTCTTTTTTTCCATCCTTTTTTTATGAGCAGCAAGCTTCCTTTTTTTGCATCGGTAAATTCTGTTGTGGCTTCTTTTTTTTTGTATTCTTTTTTTATTTGCAACGAACTTCAGTTTCTTTTTTTTTTTTGCTTGGTAAATTCTGTTGTGGGGTATTTTTTTGTATCTTTTTTTGCAGCAAACTTCTTTTTTTGCTTGTTAAATTCTGTTGTGGTTTTTTTTTTTTCATTTTTTTTGCAGTGAACTTTTTTTTGCATTGGTAAATTCTGTTGCTGCGTCTTTTTTTACAATCTTTTTTATTTGCAGCCAATTTCTTTTTTTTTTTGCATTGGCAAGTTCCATTGTGGGGTCTTTTTTTTTTGCACCTTTTTTTTGCAGCGGGCTTCGGTTTCCTTTTTTTGCATCTGTAAATTCTGTTGTGGGGTATATTTTTTTGCATTTTTTTTATTTGCTGGTTTTGGTTTCTTATTTTGCATTGGTAAATTCCGTTGTGGCTTTTTTTTTTGCATTCTTTTTTATTTGCAGCAGTGGCAATTCTAGGCTACCATATAAACTGATCCTCATTGAGTGAAGTAAACCCTGTAGCATCATATCCTTGGGTTCATCAGCTGCTTCTTTAAAACTGAGATTTTGTGGGTCCTGCTTATTTATTTTTTAAGCAAAAGTTTTCATCTCATATTATTATTATCATTATTGTTGTTGTTTTTGTTATTTTTCTAATTATTCTTTTATCTATTTTCTTTCCAGTGCAATTGCTTATTATTTTTCTTTATTAATATTATTTTTATTTTACATACAATTTTGCCCCCAAACCACATACATTGTACTCATCCACAAAATCAAGCGATATTTCTTACCATAAATTTTGAACAGTTGTGACTGATACTCCCTACTCCTGTCTCATTTGCGTTTTTGCTCTGCTTGCCTTTTTTGCTGATGTACCATTATCATTTTTTTTTATTTTTACTTATTTATTTTTGTTGTTGTTGTTTTTGTCTCTTGTTATTCTTTGTTGGTGTTTATTTTTCCATTTTTTGTTATTTCTTGTTTCTATTATTAGTCATAATGCACCACACTCTTTTGCATGTTTTGTTAAATGTTTGCAATAAAAAATAAAAAAATGTTTTCATCTCAGGTCTCATTGTGTTGGTTTTTGAGCCTAATCTGATTTTGTAGGGGATGAGTCGAGGGGCCTCATTTAAAGTCCCCCCTCAGGGCTCCTTAAATGCTTAAACAGGCCCTGTTATCTTCTCTTTTTTTCTCTCTCTCCGCCTGTTGTTGTAAATACCTCAATGAAAAGGGGGCTGGACCACCTCAGCTGCCAGCGGTGCAGCCCACCATCAGTGTCCAAGTTTCCGTGTGTGTTTCTCGGTGTGATACGGCTGAATGTTTTCAGTGAAGGTTGCGTAACTTTACTCTGCAGATCGGCAGCCTGAGTGTCGCCTGTTTGAGCCCAGATCAGAGGCGGGAATGGAGCGGAGCGACGAGGAGCAGAATGAGAGTGGCTCGTCCCAGCAGCACAGCACGATGTGGAAACAGTTTCAAGCCAAAGCGAAGCCACTACTCAGCCCCAAACTGGGCTCCAGAGACCCCGAGGACAAAAAGGAGAGGTCCGGATGGATGTTTAAGAAGATGAAGCGGAAGGAAAACGTCATTCTGGACAGAGTGATCTCCTCCTCACAGCCGGACTTGCTGTTCTCCTCCCCCCAGGTGGAGGAGGCTCAAGTATGCGGCAAAGCGGTGGCTAGCGGCTCCGGAGCGGGCCGGGAGAAACTGCTAGCGTTCAGATCCGGCAGTACGAACAAGCCCACGTTGGCTCATTTGGTGCAATCCCATCATAAAAGCTCCTCACTGGGGTCTGCGTGTTTGGAGAGGCTGGCGGAGCCCCCGGGTGGCGGCAGCGGCGGAGGACGCGACGCGGCAACATCTTCCGTAGCTGCAGAAGCGCCTCTGGAGAGCAAGGATGAGCAGCCGGTGAGCTTAAACCTGCCAAATATGAGGAGTTGTTTGTAAATATCACATGCACTTACATGCACTGCTTTAACCGATTATCAGATGGTCGGTTAATCGACGATTGAACACTTCTAAAGGCAAGTTTCGTTGCAGGTTGCTGCGCCTGACATGCTGCTGACAGGAATGCAAAACAAACAAGACAGATTGATGATTTTTCAGGTTTTGGGTTCAAAGAAGGAAACCCCAAAGAAAACAGCTGGTGTAATATGTGCCGTAATCAATCTGCAGACTATCTACTCGATTAATTGTAGTTAACTTTAAACAGGGATATGTTCAAGGTGCTCGTTTATCTGAACTGTAAACGTGCGTTAGACCCCCCCCAGAGATGAATGTTGCCGACCCCTTGCTTCTCTAGTTATACCAACTAGTAATGACTGCAGGATAGCAATACAGAGAGCCACGGGCTCAACCAAAACGCCACTCTATAGCCACAAATAATGCTCAGAACAGCACCTAACTTCACCAACAGTACATATAGGGTCCCAGCCATAGAACTAGCCACCAAACATCTTTTTAACTTTGACTAATTTCTTTAGCAAAGAGACTAAACACAACTCACCTACTCTCTTCCAGCAGCCGCTTGTTTGTGGCAAGTCCTCAGGCCAGTCCATTACGGAGTTCAGCGGGGTGACGCAGCTCAAGTAAGAACATTTATGAAATATTCAGAGGCGAATTTTGACGCGCCTGACTATACACATCAAGCGCGATGCGATTTTGCAACTTTCCGGGGAAAAAAAAGAAGCGTCACGGGTAGAAGCGAGAAGACTGACACAACAGCAGACTAACGGTTTTTCAGTTCTGATTAGACACTAGTGTTGAGATGACTGTCTGTCATGATAGCATACTGAGTCGGGGCCAGTACCAGATAAGCACATAAAACTATCATCCATAAACGAAAGGTAAAAACTGAGACCTAATGGTGCTGTGACAGCAATGCGTTTGAGTTTGAGACAGTGAAAATACATATTGTATGTTGTATCTGAACAGGTTAGCTTACGAGCTAAAGTTACTTAGCACAGATGAAAGTTAAAACAAAGTTAGCAAACTGTTAAAACACACAAACCATCGTCATATGAGAAATCCAATGCTATGACTCTCCACAAGTTGTCCTTCAGGTCGTTATCTTTGTAATATTTGTATTTTTTATCAAAAAGCACTCTGTTCTCCGACATGTAAATAATCAGCCAGTCGGCCATGTTGGATATACCAGTGAATCAGACCTTGCAACAACACGCAATCTGATTGGTCAGAAGTGGACACACAGTATGTGAAACTTCAGAAAATTCTACAGTGATACGGAAAAAATAAATGCAGCAATATCACAGGACGGGAAAACGTCACTGATGTGAATGCTTGTATTGACAGGATACGGGTTTGAAAAAAAAATATTGAAGTCTGAAATAATTGCACGAAAAAAACGCTCCCAGCGTGAAAGGATCTTTATTTGTGGCTATAGAGTGGCGTTTTGGTTGAGCCCGTGGCTCTCTGTATTGCTATCCTGCGGTCGTTACTAAAGTTGGTATAACTCAGTGCTTCTCAATTATTTTCTGTTACGCCCCCCCTAGCAAGAAGAAAACTATTCGCGCCCCCCACTCCCCACCGTGACCATCTCTGCATAACATTTTATCCTAATTAACATTAAAGAAAAGAAAAAAAGAAAGACATATGGTCAAACTTACAAAGAATAACTTTATTAAATCTATTTTAAGTCTGCAACAGAAAAGATTTTAAGTGCATCAATGCCTGAAATTAAAAATAAATAAATCCTTGTTTAAACTGTAAACATGTTTGACCAACTAATTGCACCATTGCAAAATTAAATCAAATCAATAAATAATATTTAATAATTATAATAACTAATAAACTACAAAAACTAAAAAAGTAACTAATTTATATTCAGTTCAGCAACATTAACTCAGGAGCACAATATATAAAGCACTTGAACCTACAAAACAAAAATGAATTAAACAATTTGTGCTCTTTTTTTCTTTCTTTTTTTGATCAAAATGAGGAGGAAGTCAGGTTTAATGGCTACAATGAGCACGTTTTGCAGTGCACAGCTTTTCGAAGCGAGGTTCGAAGCATGATAGTGCAACTCTCAGCTCCTGCTCAATGTTTACAAAATAGTACATACAAGCAGAGATCATTCCCACAAAATTAATTCAATGATTGTTTTGTATGAAGGAGTATGAGGGCCGTATTTAGAATTTTCTTCGAGATTTAAGTTGTGAATTTACGAGAATAAAGTCATTAATTTATGAGAATGAAGTCGTAACCTGTTATTTCAGAGGAGACTTGTTAAAATTAGGGCCATGAAGCATTTGAAGGAACTTTGCTTCAGTATAGTTTTCACAAACAAGGAGATACTTCATCCTTTGGTACATCAGCATCACATTGTCATAAGTATAAAGACTTAAAAAAAGAATGTATGAGAAATACGTCTTTTCCACGGGGAAGAAAACTGGTGTACTTGAAGGAAATCGCTGCTTTTGTGGAGGCAGAAATGAATATGATGATGATATATCTGTCAATGCAGCCGTAAATATCCGTGAATGACATTGAGCTTTAATTTATGATATGAATCCATATGCCATAATAAGGTGTTGGTGTCTCTGCAGGTGTAGGCTACCGCCGGTGTCAGAGACGTGGTGCTCGTCGGAGCTCGACTCCCTCTGGATCACAAATGTTGATCATCATCAGTTTGATTGTTTCTTCAGAAACCACAAAGCTGACCTGTCTGCTGTTTTTGGATTTCTTGTACTTTCTTTTAAGACACGCTGTGTCTCCAAGCGAGTCCAGCCTCTCACCTGAAATGCGCAGCTGTGCAGCGGCACGCAAAGCATTCTGGGATACCGACGGCACGAAAGCGTGCATAAATGCACGCTTGAAAACATGCTAAGCGCGCTTAGCATTTCTTAGCATCTCGTGCCAAATGGGCCACCGTTCGCGCCGTCATGCACGCTTCAAATGCACCGTTCAACGGTGCAGAAGTGCACTTAGCTCGATGCGGTCTCTGAAATGAGACACAGCCCAAGGCAAACCTGTTGTCTTGTAAGTCGTAAAATGTTGCACTGTCGCAAACGTGACAGAAGTAACAATGAGAGCGCCACTGCCGCCTACTGTAGTGGATGCGCAATTACACTTTATACTAGTACGGCCAAAAAAAAAAAGCCTGTTCCCCAGGGTCACACGCGCCCCCCCAGATATCGCACCGCGCCCAAAGGGGGCGCGGTGCGATATCTGGGGGGGCGCCACTATTTGAGAAGCCCCACTATTTGAGAAGCACTGGTATAACTAGAGAAGCAAGCAGTCGGCAACATTAATCTCTGTAGGGGGTGTCTAACTCAGTGTTACCGTGTGTTTGACCCCAGATTAATTTTACACCAGAATATCCCTTTAATTTAGTTCATGTATCCTAACTTCATAATGAATCCATTAATCATGTCAGCTTTCACATGTTGATCTTGCTCTCGGTGTTACAGGCTTCACTCATGATTAAAAACGAGCTAGACTCAGTGGAAGCAGCTTATGTGATGACAGGAGGAACCTTTTGTGTTGTAAAACAAAGAGGGGAAACCCTGGAGCTGTCGTACAGGAGCTATAGGGGTAGAAAAAAACGATGCACAGAAAAGTTTCAATAATTCATTCTTCCTGAAAAAAAACATACTGAGATGGATGAAAGCCCCGCTGCAGCATTGATTCAGTGCAAATTGGTAGTTTGATTTATAGGATGATAAACAAGTCCATTAAACAGTCTAACAAACCAATTATCGGCTTCTCAGAGGAGTGGCAAAGTGGAGAGGGAGGGAGGGTGGAGACTGAAGGACGCTTCAGTGGATGAAAACAAAACATTCAAGGAGACGAGGAGGAAAGACACATCAAGCTTAGTCATGATGGGAATAAAAAAAAAGTTGTGTTTGCACTTTTTCTAAGCTTCTTTCAGAGGGTGTATGTGCGTGTGAGTGTGTGTGTGTGGTTTACAAGATGTCGCTGATGCTGCAGCCTCGGGTCATCAGGAAGACGAGCTGCAGGAGATCAGAGCAGACAGTTTGATGGAGAAAGTGACTCGCAGGATGAAGTGCAGCTCTTTCAAACATCCCAGGAGACGGGATCATGTCAGGTTTTTAGCTGCTCTGAGGAGACGGTGCAGCGTTCAGAAAACATTCAGAAATATACGATCGGGATGATAAGGTTTGAAATGTGCAGGAGTGTGTCTGATTGTTCCTGTTTGTTCAGTCAGTGTCAGGAAAATTAAGATAGAGTTAGAGGAGCTGCAGACATTAAGCTGTGTGGTGTGAGGGTTCAGTCAAACAGCCGCCCCGGAGAGCTTTTATGGCTTTTATGGGTTGTTTGTTTTTATTATTCAGAGGAGCAGGGCCAAAAATTCAGTCTGAATGAGGCCGAGACCTGAAACACAGATGGAGACTAAAGCAGTGAACAAAACCAGATCCAGAGTCAGGAGCTGTTTTTCATTTTTATCAGTAAATCAATGAATTCAAAAGTATGTAAATATAGTTTATTACAAGGGCTGGGGGATAAAATGATAACGATATACTGTAAATTAATTTCCCTCAACATCAATATGAAACATGGTCAATATGATTTTTTATAGTCGTCATTCTGCCATGTTTTGGTAGACTATATGAATAGCCAATGAAAAGGGGAGTTGTTCCAGGTCCGCTTTGTGCTGAACCAATCATATACTGAGTTAGAACCACATAGCAAACAACTGCGCCATAGCAGGCAGCAGCTACACAACCATAGCACTTTAACAGGTGAAGCCGACAGCACTGTTGGTGAGAAAAAAAGATGAGTGCTATCCCCGACAGAAATTATGATGAAGGCTCAACAGATGGCGACGTTGTCAACAACACTGGCACGAAAACGGTCAGTGGTGTGGAGGTATTTTGGTTTTTTGAGGTCAGACATGAATCAGAGTAATGTGTACTGCAAATTATGTCAAGAACATGTTCTCACAAAGTCGGGGAATACCTCAAATCTTTTTCACCACCTGAAGCAGCACCGCGCGGCAGAGCACGCACAACGCAAAAGGTTACAAACCCCGAGAGGTGCAAGGAGCCTGTGGTGCCTGTGCAGCCGAAACATTCAGTCCGCTTTCTCTACGAACAAATGCAGACCTCACAGATGCAGTAGATTATTGTATTGCAAAAGACATGCTACCAATAAGCACTGTTAAATTTCATTTTTTATATCGTGATAATAAATATATCAACATCGACTGATATGAAAAAAACATATCATGATAAACTTTTTCCCATATCGCCCAGCCCTGTTTATAAGTGTAATGATATATAAATGTACATCTATCATCAAGGTACAAAAGTTGAGCCCAGTTGGAGCATGATGTTTATGTTCTGTTTGCTGCTTCAGGAAAAGTGATCAGCTGTTTGTCTCATCCTTGCAAACCTTTAACTAAACAACAGCTTTCTCATTCGATAGGCAGGACATTTGTTTGGTTTCCAGCAGCAGCAGTTTTCTGACTTGAAAGTATTCACAACTGTAGTCAGGGTGATGTCCACTCATGGAGTCATCAGGCTGAGTGTCTCTGCGAAGTGAACAAAGGATACTGAGATGACTGTGGAAGGTTGTTTGTTGTTGTTTAGTTGTCTTAAAGTTAAGTCTTGTTGTTGCATGGTCAAGAAAAACACTTCAAGAGTCTGGATCCTCCCAAACACCAGAGAAAAAAAGTCCAGAAGGATCACCTGCAGACGAGTAGAGTCTGGGACAAATGCGCTTTATGGCGTCTTCAGCAGCAAACATGAACACTGGACCCCGAAACAGAGCCCGCTCCGCTACGCCGCCGTTATATATCAGCTGTCATCACGACCTTGTACTTTCAAATCAATCCTGCAACAGGGTGTCATTTGTGTTTCAGTGTGATTTCACATCACAGGGGTGCTTCAAGGGTAGTGGAGCAGTCTAGCTGGCACAAGGGTGGAGCTGGGGTGGAGGTGGGTTGCTGGTTGCCTGGCAAAGCAGAGGAAGAGGCTTGGTTAGGGCAGTTTTAAATAGGGCGCTCTAAAGGACCAATAGGAGCTAGGAGGAAATAGCTGGGCCATCAGCTGGTTGAGGTGGCTACTTGCCATTGGCTGCAGATCAGCGCTTGACGTCGTGACCTGCCAGAACTAACACTATGCTTCATATAGTTTCATGAGTAGTAGATCATCAAGGCAGTAATCCACCCTCATGGAGTGAGGACTTTTTTGGACATTTTCAGGCATTTTGTGCTTTTTTAAATACAGACATCAGTGCGATCTGTGTGATACATGCAACGGCCTCACGCTCCTATAAGTCAGTCCAGTTTACGCTCTGAGAGTTTTCCACAGGTGCTTTAGTTCATTCACTGCACTACAAAGCGATCATTGCTCTGAGGTTTCCGTCCTCCCGCTCAGGTGAGACTCCTAACCCCTCCGATCCCTTATCTGAGATTGATTATCCTCCCTGACTGCCGGGTCTCTGAAGCTGAATTTTCAACACTTTAATGAACACATGACATAACTTTGACCCTCACGTCTCTAGATCTGAGTTTAATAATCCTCATCAGGCTGGTTTGAGGCGACCTCAGAGTCTGCAGAGCTCGGTTTGGTTCGATGCATCGATCTGATGCGAGGAGATTATTAAATGAAGAAAAGGCTGTGACTCCTGTCCTGTGGCTGTAATCTGAAATCTATACACACACACACACATATATATATACAGTCCTCTGTGTAGATAATGTATATAGAGTGTGAATGCATTTATGGATGGCTGCGCTGCCTGTGTAATAACCATCCTCCTCTGAGGGGGGAAACCCTGCAGCTCAGTCACTCACATGTGACGGAGGAAGAAGAGGAGGGCCCTGCACATGTAAGCAGGACTCATGTAGAGATTTTTTCTTAATGCATTTCTCTGAAAAAGGAGGAAAACCAAAAGAGGACATGAGCTCTCATAGCAGCAGCTTTTGTGTAAGTGAAACCGGTGATTATCCGAGTTCCTTCAGGATGGTAAGTGGAACAAAATCCTTTTTTAGGCGCTCTTTTGTGTGTTTTTATTCTTCAACAAAAGTGTTTTAATTGAGAGGAATGTGGAGAGCAGAGATTCAAAGCATTGGCCCGCATGTCAGGAGGGATTCAATTACAGGAAGTGGCTCCAGCGAACATGATAGTCGTGGGATAAAGACCAAGACAGATATGACATCTGAAATCTGTTCAGTCTGGAGAAACTGCAGTTGGTGTGCGCTCTCCTGTGTTCTGGTCAGAGGACACAGGAGATACAATACTTGTCTTTGTCTGGAGCTGTCTGCGCTTCCTCTGAGACATCAGAGCGGACTGTTTTCCACCTGCTCTGACCTGCACAGGTCAGATCTCAGACTTCACAGAGACTCTGCGTGACTCAGTCTGCTCCGATAAGACACAAAAACAGACTTTTTTGAGCTGAGAGGGATTTGTAGTCAGTCCTGGAGTGACTCAGATGCTGCAGTGAGATTAATGCACCTGATTGGTTATCGAAGATTTGTCACAGGTGGAGATGTTTTAAGAGGAAAGGGGTGGATGTGTGGAAAATCATAAGCATGTGGCTGATAGTAAATGTGCTTTTGTTTCTGCATCAGTTGAAGCTTGAATGTCAGAAATATTCGCAGTGATCCTGTTTCTGGTTCTCCAGCTGAACATCTCTGGTTTAGAGGACGTCTCCTCTCTTTTTGGAGGTCAAGATGAAACTGCCTCCTCTTTTTTTTTTGATGTATTTGGACTAAAAGTTTTTTTCAACATGTATTTTGTTCCAACAAAGTTACAGACGTGTATGTTAAAATAAATAATAAGAGTCTGTATGTTTATTTCCGCTGTAAAGTTTGACATCTCAACATGGGGCTCTATCCAGGTTGACTCACTTTTGGCAACTGCCTCAAGTGGACACCAGAGGAACTGCAGTGTATTAGTATTTTTCAGCCCTGGAGGTTGATACTCAGTACTTTTACATGACACTCAAGAAAACCTAATTATTGCTTTACTCCGATTAAAGGTGGGGTAGGCAGGAATCCGTTAAAGAAGCATCTTTTTTGTGGTGTATATACAAAAAAGCTTTTAATATCAGTCAGTAGCTATTAGTAATTGATGACATTTTGGGAATATAATGATATCGCTGAGTTTTGTTGTGTCTGTGTAGACAACATTTTAAAATTTCAGAGCGCTCCGCTCTTTCTGACTGCAAACAAAGCCATTCCATGCCTCCCCCAACCTGATTGGTTGTGAGGCAGACGCTGCTCCCCTGTGTTGTTCATGAGCCCAAACAAAGTCAGCGTGCTACAATATCGGACAGTAGAAACCAACCAGAAAGTTCGGAAAATTGTCTGAATCCTCCTTTGGCCATGACTGCCAACACAAGCAAGAAAACGAAGTAAATACAGGAGACTCTGGCGAAATAACGGGCGTTTAAAACGGAGGTAGACCGGACAAGAGCTAAAAGAGCCGGGTCAACAATGATGGCGGACGCTTTTGGATCTTCGTGATCGTGTAACCTTTCTGCTGGACAGGTAAACCGCTTTAACAAAGTAAGCCAAGTGTCTGTAACAGAAGTGTTTCTTGTCAAACGGGACCTTCTGCGTGTTGTAGCACCGCTAAACTGTTGACCTCGGGTCCTGGACTATGTCACTTTATCCTAGTTGTAGAAGTCCTGCAAACATTGTGTTTGCTGGTAGTCTGTTGGCATCTACAGTAGTACCAATGCTTTTTACTTTCACGTTGACTGGGCCCCATTTGTAATTATCTGAAGTATTTATCTGCATTATATCTGTTTTATTTATTGGAACGATAGGAGTGAGGACGAGCGTCTGTTTGTGGGCGGAGCTTTCTGGAGCAGAGAGGGAGGGGAGAGGAGGAGCTAAGGGGAAAACTGGTTGGGAGGGGTAGTGTATACATTCAAGATTTTACTCAAAAACTGGCACTTCCTCAGATCCTCACTACCCCACCTTTAAGACTGCACAACTGAAGTGCATGTAAACACCTTATTTCGACTCCAGTCGAAGTTTGAGGACTCCAATTATAGTCGGAAAACTCCTATTAAGACACCCAGGTAATGCGATTGGAATTCGATTTTCTCTACCATGTAACCAGCGTAGTCGGAGTATGATCGCACAATGCATGTGTGCGTGCGCCACGCCCCCGTAACCCCGGAACAAAAACACCAGAGAAGAAGTGGCGCTATCATTTCAAGAATCTTCAACTCAGAAGCAACTGCAACATGGCTGAAGCACGAAAGAATGTTGACTTTTGGAACAATGAGGAGAGCGCCTTTATGCTTTCTGTCCTGACAGAAATTGACATTTTAAATATATGGACGGCTGCAAAACGAGGAATGGAGACACCTTTTTAAAAAGGCCCAGAAACAGCGCAGCTGAAAAGACTCATATCGCCCCCTAGTTTTGGGGAGGAGGACATGTTCACATCAACAATTCGATTTTCTCATATATACGCGGACAAAGAGAGAAGTCCAAAAAATGAACTTTGAACTTAGTCGGATTGAGCTGTGCATGTAAACGTACTGAGTGTTTTCTGTTTGGTCTACAGTAGCTGGAAAAAACTGATCTCAGATCTGCTGTGTCATGTGGTTTTTCCTTTTTTGACCACCAGATGTCACGCCATGAGCTTCTAAGCGCCACATTTCTGTGTCCACCTCCGCTTCAACTATCTGTCCGTTTTCTATAGAGCTTATCCCGTATGGAGAGGTTTTCTTTCCTCACTCTCGACTTGACGGGACCTCTAAGGTCTGCATTTTTGGACTCTACCTGACCTTAAATCTGACCGATACCTCAGGAGACTTTCCTCTGGGCGTTCATTCGAGGAGCCTGTCAGTCAGGATTAATCCACTACAGGAGGATTATAGTAAAGCCAACCAGCACAGCTCCTCCTCCTCCCCCCCTCCTCCTCACCTGTTACTTCCTCTCTCATTCACACACACACATACACACAAACACACACACACACCTGCTCCTTCTCGCCTGTTTTCTCCAGAGACCTTTGAGGAGTTTGTTTTCTCTGCAAATCTGGATCTATCCTGGAAATACACTATCTTTTTCTCCCTCCAGAACGTCTCCCACATAGTCTCTGTGTTTTTCAAAAGACCTTTCCACCCCTCTGACGTCTCTTTACCGCCTCCTCACCCGGTCTGTGTCCCCCCACCGCCACCTCCTCGAACCCTGGATCTCCTCATAAATGAGGGCCCGGTGGTGGCAGAGTCCCGTCATGCCATTCGAGGGTTGCTTCGCTGTGCCTCCTACGATGAAACGTTTTCCTTCGCCTCCACCTGTGGTCGACTGCTGTCGGTGAGAACCATCCTGCTGTGTTTGTCTCTGATCGGATAATGAGTGCGAATGTTTACAGACGTGCGTCAGCTCTGTTTTTGCGTCCTAATTAATCTACAGTTAAGAAAAATGAAAGATAACATGGTTTTTCAGCACAGAGTGATGCTCTGAAATCGCCACATTTTGGATTTCTTTCATTTAAACTTGAAATGCATGTTTTAGATTAATTTCTTTGAAAAAGTGAGAGAAAAAATAGCACCTTTATATCCAGATTTGTGCTTACTCTTTAAAAAATATCCTGGTCTCCCTCAGCAGATGCTCCAATTTAGATTCATGTGCAGATGTTTCAACCCCCAGTGTTGGATTTGTTTAACACTGTTGAAAATAAATGTATAACCATGAAAGGGATGAAAAAAAATACAAAATCCAAATAACAGAGAGTGTAAAGTTGCTTTAAAATTGTGTACTTTAATCGCAGATAAAGCACAACAAAATTATAAGTGTTACTGCATCGATAAACAATGACATGACGTATCCTGAGTGACAGCGTGAACGATAAACTAAGAGTAAACATGGTCGAACTGTACCACATTCCAACTTAACGTAAAACCCTCTCAGTTGGTGAGACCAACAGCAGCAAATGCCTGTGTTTTTCCGTGACATCCAATCCTTTATAAATGAAGGCCATCTGTCATGATTTAAATTGCAATGAAACCCTGAATAGACTGACTCTGTCCAAAGAAGTCCATAAATAATTGGACTGATGAGCAGAATTGATAATCGCATTGGTATTCGCCAAGTCCCCTTGATTCCTATCCCTAAAAGAGTGGAATGGAACCAACAGCTTTCTTGGGCTCTTTTCACTTGTTCAGTTGACGAGCACATACTTCTGGTTGGTAGTTTTAAGCACATGGATAAATGTGTTGCTAAATGTTGTGTTTGCTCCTGTTACGTCTTAATCTTGTTCTGCATTTGAATCTGAGAAGTTAAGTTCACAGTAACTTAAAAAAATATCAAATATTCAGACCAGTATCCTCATGTCATAAAGGAAATTGATTAGTTAAGATGTTTGTGTTCATGTTTGTGTGTCTGTGTGCGCTCTGACCCAGACTGTGATTAGAGATCAGTTCGTCTGTGTGAGAAGTGTGGTGACTCATGTTGTGTAGATTAACACGTCACTTTTAAACTTAGCTTCGACCCACATTTGATCAAATACCTCCTCTCTTTTATAACTGAGCACGATCAAAATTAACAGCGCTGGAAAAGTAAATCTTATTTTAACAAAGCAAAATATTATGGAAAAAAAGCTGATTATTACTATTTTGAAAGGAATTTAGCATGTTAATTCAAGGCTGTGTATGAGTTAATGAATAAAACCAATGCAGAAGTGTCTTAAACCTGCATTTTTTAAATGGCCAGCAGGGGTCTCTACTTGTTCTTAAAGTACCGCCTTTTTGTTCTGTGCTGTAAATGTTTGTTTATGCTATAAAAAATACATTTTAATATGTAATCCACCCAGATTTTTTTTACGTGAAACATCAAAACAATTCTGAAACTGCAAAAATATTTTGCATTATAATCACAACAGAAAAAATCCTCTCACAGAAAAACTTTCCTTAAAAACACATCAAAATAGTATTTTTGTGTTTTGGAAAGTGGTTATAGTTTTATATCATTTTTGCATTCATGGACGTGTGAAAGATTTGTACGTGAATAATGCAGTATTTTATCTGTTTCACATTTTTTTGCATTTTTTAAAAATCATTATTTTGCCAATGTTTTGCAGATTTCGAAAAAAAAAATGAGAAAAATTTGCATTTCAGAAATGTTCATATCTATAAAAGGTTTCTGAATTTTGTGAAATTTTTGTTTAATTTTTTAAAAATATTTTTTGTGCTTGAGAACCTTTTTGCTCTATTGTAAAATTTTGCAACTTTAGATTCGTATTTGCAAATGGCAAATTTTTTTGTGTTGAATTAAATTAATATTTGTTTTGGGAACTGTTGATAACTATATAACTTTTTATTTTAATGTAAAAAATGTTATCCCAATTGGTTTTATTTGTAGGGAACTTTTTTTTGATTAAAGAATTTTTGTAATTCTTATTAAATATTTTTAAACCTTTTTGAACTTAACAAAATATTTTTCCTTCTCCTGGAATATCATTTAATTTCATGAAATATTTTGGTGGCATTGTCATGTTTCTGCAGCTGACCTGTAAGAGCCTTAATTTCTTGTTTTTGCAGACAGCCTCTAGTGGACTTTTTGGGTACTGCAGTTTTTAGCAGTTAGAGATTTCATCTCTGCTCTGAAACACAAAGTTGTTGACAGCGCTGCAGGAAGTTGATGCTAAAGGGGAGAGGTAAAATTATTTTGCAGCTCAACCTGTTTTTGTTCAGACTGTTTGCTGAGTCAGCTCTACACAGACTGACATCATCCTCCTCTGATATTTACCCACAAACACAAAGAGACAAACACAGATATTTGAAAAAGGACAGTAAGCAGAAACAGCCCGAACACTGCTGGTGTAGCCTTGAAAAATGTGATTTTTAACTCACATATTTATATTTCTCTGTTACAGATTGTGACTAAAGGCTTGAATTACTACAGGACATAAACACTGATTTATGTGAAAGGCTTGTACAGCTCTTGCTGGAGTGAGCATGCTGGCAGCTCTCTCTCTCTCCTTTCACTTACTTATTGATCACTTGGCTGCAGTGTTGATGTTAATGGGCCCTTGAGGTTTCAGCCTCGTGTAATGGAGGGCTCTGCTGATGACATTAGGAAGATATATGTTGCTCACATGTATTCAGATCACCTTTGTGGGTTTATTGACTGTATATCTGGCTTCCAGTGTGGTCTGTAATCTAATTTCAGGTGTCTCTAGCTGTGTACACAGCGCCACACAAAGTGTTTTATTAGATTTACATAGACAGATTTGAAAAAGTGGATCTAAAGAGAATTTCTCTTTTCAAATCTGGTTTTCTTCAACCATCTCTGAAGCAAAAATAAATGAAAGTTTCATGAATTCAGCTTCTTAAATTTACTCATTTTGTGTGTTGAATATTTTAGACACACAAAATGAGTAAAACCTTTTCGTATGAACCATTGATTGCTTGTGAAGCTGAGGTGTCGATTCCGCCATCCAAACCGTAAGCTGTAAGAAACATGGAGGCAGTCTCACCCCCAATTTTCACCGCATCTGGAACAGCTACAAAAAGGCCGTATGCAATGATCGTAGCTGATTGTAACCATTCAAGTTAATGTGTCAATTTCCACTGGCTTCTTTCCGTTCAGCTGCGAATTGCCGGACTCCACAGCTGATCGCAAGAGTTCTATTTTTTCCAGACGACAGAGCATGCCGGATAAATTCAGCACAGACTAACCTGAGCTGGAAAGGAAGTCGGGCGCAGACACAAAATAAAACATCCGGCTTCTTTTCAAAATAAAACACTCTGTGTTTCAGGCGAATCATATTTCACACCATGCAAACGGGCGGAGATGAACAAGTGAAAGGTTTTTAGACGTCATTTCACCCCGATGATACCATGGAAGAGGAGATGCTTGAATCTAGAAGTCTAGAAGTAGATTTCCTTCTCTGGAAGGACACAATCTACTGCTTATACGGTTAGCCTCTGTGGCTAGAGACAACTCGTTATTGTGTGATTGCACATGAATCTGCGGGTTCTTGTTAGTTCTCGTGATTTCTGCTGTCTGTAAGCTGCCATGAAATTCGCCTCGCTTAACGAATCTGGTAGGAATTAGTGTACGGCGAAAATTGTTCCGGATCGCCGTTCCGGTTCGGAGCTGTTCTGGATGCGGTGGTAATCTCGGGTCAGTGTCATCACTTTATACAAAGCAGTAATGTCTATAAAACAAACCTGTTCTAACACTACACTCTCTGTGTAGTGTGTGCTGAAAGATAGATAGATGGGTTAATCAGACTAAAACTGTTTTTATACCAGGCTGCAAACATATTAAATTTGACTGTGAAGATGGGCTTTTTAGAATGAGTGTGTATGTGGATTGCTTGGCTTTTGTGGATAGCCTATAGTGGGCAATTGAGGAACTGCTGATTTTGGATTTCTTTCTCAAAAACAGAGCATGCTGCTTGATTTTAACTCATGTCACAGCTTTAACATAGAGGAGGTGGACTTAATGACTCCACCGACTGGGCCAGCCAATAGGGGGAGCTCTAAATATTGTGGCATCACTTTCAGGGTGAACCTATGGTCTATATGTTTTTGAATTTTTTTAGTAAAATGCTTTTGCATCTAATAAAAACTTTTTTTATAAAATGTTTTTCCATTTTTTAAAAACTTTTGTGCTTCAAATATTTTGCTTTTAGCAATTTCTTTTTATTTCATGAAAATTTTTGCCTTGTTGAAAAAGATTTTTCCTCTTGTGAAATATTGTATTAGAGAAATGAGTTTTTAGAAACATTAAGTGTGTTTTGAGTAATGTTTCTTTTATTTCCTGAAACATTTTTGTGATGTTTTTGTGGTTTTAAATGATTGATGTTTTATGGTGTTTGATGTGTTTTGTAGTTATGAAGTGTTTGTGTGGTTGGCTTGAAAGGACACTGCATTCCTTGTCTTTTGGAGACTGCCCCTAGTGGACACTTGAAGTTTAAGATTTTCATCTTACAGGTCCTACTGAACTGAGTCACTTTACAGGTTTTATAGAAAATCCTTTAAACAGAACATTTCAACATTTCTTTACTCAAACAGTTCATCTAAAGAGGCAGAGCAGATTAATCACTCATGAAACTAAAGCCTTGTCGACAAAAGATTGAACCCTTGGCTGCGTTTACAGAAATGTGTCTGTGTGTGTGTAAACATGGATGCAGAGTTATAAATGAAGTCTGCGTCCATGGCTGATGGGAATGTGTGTGATCTGGTTCTATTCTGGGCTCGGTGCTTCCTGATTTACTCCAACTCTCAAGATAATCCTTTAAGCAGCTTGTTAACTCTGACAGTGTGGTCCCTCCTTTAATGTAAGCCCTCTGACTCAGCCTCTGTTCACACCTCTCCTCTGCTCTATTCATACCTGCTAATGTGATTAAAAGCAGCATTACATATTGGGCCTGTGCCATAATGAAGTTTTTAGGGTCAGGGTTAGGGTTTAGGGTTAAAATCACTGTCCAGGACCTATTTAGGAGCACCATTGAGACCATTTGTTTAAACAAACAAAAAAAAATAAAAAATAAAAAAGTAGGAAAAATGTCGAAATTTTTCTAAGTGTGAGGGTTATGTTAATTAGGGTAAGGGTCAGGGGTTAGGGGGTTAGGTGTAGTAAAGTATTAGTTAAGGTATAGTTAAGTAGAGTATAGTAAAAATGTCATACTATACTGTGATGTCATATTATAGTATGATACAAATATCATAGTATAGTATGACAAAAATGTCATAGCGTAGTATGATAAATGTTTCAAATTTAAATATGTAAAATAGGTCATAGCATAGTATGATAAAAATGTCATAGTATAGTATGATAAAAAATGTCAAAGTATATTATAATAAAAATTCACATTGTAGTATGAAAAAATGTGATAGTACAGTAGAAAAAAATGTCATTGTGTAGTATGATAAAAATTTCAAATTTTAGTATGATTAAATGTCTTAGTATAGTATGGTAAAAAAAAATTATAGTATAGTATGATAAAAATAAAGTATTAAAAAAGGTCATAGTATTGTATGAAAAAAAACTGTCATAGTTTAGTATGATAAAAAATGTCAGTATTGCATGATAAAAAAATTACATTAAAGTATGATATGGTATAGTATGATAAAAATTTCACAATTTAGTATGAATAAAATGTCTAAATAAAGTATGATAAAAATATGTCATAGTATAGTATGATAAAAATAAAGTATTAAAAAAAGGTCATAGTATTGTATGAAAAAAAGGCCTTGTTTAGTATGTTAAGAAATGTCACAATGTAGTATGACAAAAAATATCCTAATATAGTTTTTGTTTGTAAAAAATGTTAAAGTATAGAACGTTATAAAATGCCACAGTAACGATGATAAAAATGTCATACAAAAAGATTATAAAAAATTTCAAATTCTAGTATGAAAAAAATGTAATAGTATAGATGATAAAACTTCACATTATAGTATGAAAAAAATTCATAGTACAGTGTGATAATAATTTCATATTTCAGTAAAAAAAAAGTCATAGTTTAGTAAAATATCACAGTATAGTATGTTTTGAGTAAAAATTTCTAATTTGAGTATGAAAAAATGGCAAATTACAGTATAAAAAAATATCATAGTATAGTTTGATAAAAAATATCATTGTAGAGTATGATAAAAATTCCACAATTAAGTATGAATAAAAAGTCATAGTATAGTATGTTAAAAAATGTAATATTATAGTATGATAGAATAGAATAGAATAGAATAGAATAGTCTTTTATTATCATTGTTACCAGTACAACGAAATTAAAAAAGTGCCAAACAGTCAGTGCATCATTAAAAACAACTACAGTAATAAATAGCAGTACTAAATAAATAAATAAATACTAAGTCACACATAACCTTCCTTAATGCATTGAGGGTAGTTATTGCTGTTGGATAAAAAATTTTAGTTTGCAAAAAAATAATGTTATAGTATGTTATAAAATGCAATAGTATAGTATTATAAAAATGTCATATTAAAGTATGATAAAAATTTCAAATTTAAGTGAAAAAAAAGTCATGGTATAGATTATAAAACTTAACATTTTAGTATGAAAAAATGTCATAGTACAGTAGGATAATAATCTCTTATTTTAGTTGGTTAAGAAAGGTAATAGTATAGTAAAATAAAATTTCACATTAAAAATATAATAAGTGTCATAGTATAGTATAATAAAAATGTCATTAAATAGTATGATAAAAATGATAAATTTGAGAAGGAAAAAAGTCGTAGTTGAGTATTAAAAATGTCATAGTATAGTAGGATAACAATTAAATATTTAAGTATGAAAAAAAGTCATGGTATCGTATGATAGAAAATGTAATAATACGAAGAATGTCATGGTAAAGTATGATAAAAATTTTAAATTTAAGTATGAAAAAATGGTCATAGTATAGTATGATAAAAATGCCAAAGTTTAGTATGATAAAATTTCACATTTCAGTAGAAAAAAATATCATAGTATAGTGAGACAAAGAATCATTGAAAAATGTGATAAAAGGGTCTTTTCAGAAGTTGTCTGGATGTTGGCAAAATGGTTAGCACTGGCAGACAACAACCTGAATGTCTTGGGTTTGAATCCTCATAAGGTACACAATGATAAAAATAATGTATGAAAAAAAAGGAGATATTTTAGTATGATATTAATCTCACAGTCAACAACTATAAATATTTTAAAATATAGTATAAAAATCCATAGTATTGCATAACAAAAGTTTGAAATTTTAGCATGGAAAAAATGTCGTAGTAAAGTATGATAAAAAATGTAATAGTATAGTATAATAAAAAATGTCAGTATAGTATGATAAAGTTTCGAATTTGAGTTTGAAAAAAATGTCATAATGTCATATGTCATAGTTGAATATGATAAAAATTTTAAATTTTAGTATGATAAAAAATATCATAGTAAAGTATGATAAAAGGTCGTAGTGTTATATGATAAACATGTCATAGTATAGTGTGATAAAAATGTCAAATTTTAGTATGAAAAATATGTCAAAGTAAAGTATGATAAAATTTCACATATTTGAAAAAATATCAAAGTATGATAAGATCAAAATGTCATAGCATAGTATGATAAAATTTCACATTTTAAACACAGAAAATGAGACAGTAAAAACATTAGAGTAAAATTTACACTGAGTGGAGACAGACACTGAACCTGAGACTCAGCTTTCACAGTGACATCTGAATTAGGGTTCTGCACAGACACATTCAACAAAACTGTGACTAAGCAGAGATGGATTTACAGGCTGCTGGAACAGAGAACCAGTGGATGATGCCCAGCAGGGAAATCCTGGTTTTGATCCAACTAACAGGTCAGCAGACTGATCCCTGGCCAACTTCATGAAGCAGCAGGAGAGTTGGTCCAGACGCGCCCGGGAGGGTGAGGGGGAGGAGGAGGAGGAGGAGGAGGAGGGATTAACCTAGCTGTGTGGGAGTTCAGGTGATTTCTTGGACTTGAATCCACTTAGATAAATACTTAAATAAAGACACTATACACACATTACTTAAACCCATTCGTGGCTAATAACAGCAGCTTCATCAGATGAGCATTCGTCCATATTTTCAGTTATGTAAAGCCGACCCGGGACACGTCATCCTCTCCTGTTTTACCTGCAGAGATCATCTCCTTATTTAACTCCATTATGGCTGAACTGGACTTACCCCACTTGTCAGGTCCTCCAGTGAGGAGAAGGCTACATAACACTCCACCAAACCTCCACCTTCAGTAAAAACCTGCTCGTGTTACACAGGAAGGCCTTTTTATTTTTATTAGCCTGTTTTTTTTTTCTGCTAACAGCTCAGTGGGATTTCTGCAGCTTGCAAAATTTCAGAGCAGAAGTTGGCACACTTCAAACGGCGTCCGGAAACAGGAGCGTGTTTCATTCTGTGTGCTGCAGGTTTCTGTCAGCGGCCAGCAGGAGAGGAGAGATACATGATGTTTCTCTGGCTCTAACAGGATAGTTTGAGTAAAATGCCCTTTTTTAGGGTTTTAGGAGCTGCTGAAGGAGAAAACAGACATAGTTCTCAGTGATAAAAATGTGTTAAACAAATAGATTAATCTCAGCTTCCTTCATGAAAACTGATTTTTGATAATGAAAAAAAAAAAAAAATGTCTGAACAATATCTAAAGGCTTAGGAGCAACATCTGCTGCCATCCAGACAAAGACTTTCTCAGGGAAGACCTTCATATGATCCAAAACCACATTCTGACAACAGGGATTACAACAGAATGACTCTGAAGATGAAGAGTCCTGCCTTCAGGAGACCCTGAATTGTTGAATCTGGGTTGAACAAAGCTGTGGTTCATTTGCAAACATGATTTAACCTTTAAAACATGAAAGGCCTCGAGACAATGAGATGCTGTTAAAGATTAAACCAATTACTCCTGGTAGTTTTGACCTCTGACCTCCTGTAAACATCAGTCAGCACTTCAGCCTCTTGTTAAGTCTCAGGTTTCCTGTAAGTTCCCAGTTTGACCAAAGACACATTTTCCTCTCAAAGCTGTTATTTGAATAAGAGTTTTAGCCCTGGAGAAGAAAAAACACAGAGCTTTTATTTTACTAAACAAGCAAAAGTTGAGTCAAACTTTTCAGAGCTGAGACTAAAACTTCAAACATGGATCATCGCTGTGACGGAGCAGCTTCACTCTGGACAGTTCTCCTCTGATGTGAGTGTATATACTATGTAATCCTGTTTTATTTAACCAATATGACGTGGCTGTAATGTTAATAGTTTTTATCTAGCCGGGAAGGAAAAAAAACACTTTCTACCTTGTTTTTATGCAGAAATCTCTTTTTTTGCAACTTAGGGTTCATCGTCGGTTTTATTTGCTGGTTTTTGTCTCGTCACCTGCAGCGGTTGTGAACAGAAGAAGCTCTCTCTGTTGGTGTTTAAGCTTATTTGAGATGCTTTGAGCAGTTCCTCTTTCACGCTGCATAAAGTCCTGTTTACTTCTCTTATTTTAATGAATTTGTTGTGAAGTACTTCCTCACTCTGGTTTTGATGGTCGTCTCACACAAACTTGTGCCAAACTGTTGTCGTTTTACGCCCTCTTCCGGAGCTTCAGCCTTGCCTTTGCAGAAGTATCACCAGTATGAGACAATTAAAGGTGGATAAATCTCCACAACAGATGCAGCAGAGCTTCAAGATAGTGCATTCATAAATAAGGAGAACCTAGATCGTTATCTAGAGCCTTGCGTTGGAGTTGAGTAGGGGGTGTCTGCAGCACCGGAGAGCCAAACAGATCCACAACCATGACAGATCCACAACCTTCTTTTTAACCGCTGCTCCTTTTTTGAAAGTTATCGGCTCGAACATAGAGGCTCGAAAAGAGTGATGTCGTGATCAAGTATCAAACGTGAATCATATAATATTTTAGTCCTTAATAAAGCTATTGTCTTGAATTTAAAATAAATGTCATTGTGACAGGCTTCGTTTATAACATTTTTTCCCTATCCATCTTCCATGATTGACTGAAATGCATATCAAATCTCGGTCAAGCTAATGCTGCTTTTATTCGGACAAGGCAAACGCTAAAATAACTTTCGTAGATGTAGCCATCTTGTTTCCGCCTCTGATTTTGCTTTTTTCTGACTTGGTAACTGAAATGCTGGGAACTCGGGTGTGACGATATTTTCAGCTAGGACTTCTGACTTCCAAGGTAGCTTGTTGGAAGTCAGAAATGTACTATTTGACCCATAGGCTACTAGCATTGTAGTGAATGAAATAGAAGTGTTGTGACTGATAATGTGCATGAGATTGCACATGAAAATATACAAAATATCACATTCATCCAGCTCTGCAGACACATACTATTGCATTCAGGGGGTCAAAATTATCGCTGAAGAATGAAGAGTATAAAAGCGAGGCCAAACCCTATGATAATGGGATAATATAAGTTGATATTTGGTAGAATAAACCTGAAATATTATAGGTAGGCAGACTATACATAAAAAAAAATGATAAGTAAAAAAATCATAAAATAATAAAATCTAGATTAATATCTAAATATGTGACTGTTGGCACTTATTTATTTATAAATTTCAAATCCTTAAAAGGAAATGGGCTGAGCCCCAAGAACTGAACCCTTTTTCACAAATTTCAAAGACTTTTTATTTTGAGTCAATAATAATATGTGACTGTGATCACTTATTTATTTATTAACCTGTTTATTAAATTACATTTCTGGGCACAAAAAGGGATGTGGAAAAAAAGAGGGCTGGATCTGTCACGGTTGTGGATCTGCTTGGCTCTCTGGCTCTGCAGACACGTACATTTTTTTAATTCCTCCTTGATCTGTTGGTAATCCCTCGAGGCTCCAGTAGGGGGAGCACGCTCTGCTTTATCTCTCAATATAGACTAGTGATGGAAAGAGCGACATATGTGTGGTTTTCCTCATTCTCTTATCAAACCTGTTTCCCCTATTTAGGGTAATTATTTTAGAGTTAAGAAAACACATTAGTAATAATTTTCCTTCAGTTATTGGGATGTTGTTTCAAAGAAATGTGAGTTTTGTACGTGTTGAAAGAGTTTGGGCTAATCCTGACAATGTCTAAGCTAGCGCAGTCATGGTTATGTTTGTAATAGAAAGTGAACGTGATAATTTTTGCTCTCACGCAGTTCATATGACAGTTGTAATAAGTTAATAAATCAGTAATAAGTTTAGAGGTTAAAATGCAATAATTAATTTGTGTGTTCAGTTATAATTTAATTAAAAAGACATATATGTAACAGTACTGCTGGTCCAGAAACTGAATGTGCTTGTGAATATATTAATATTGCTGTTCCGCTGTCATTGCAAAATAACTCAATGTGGACAGTGATGGAAAGAGTTTGTGGTTTTCCTCATTCTCATATCACCACCATTTCCCCTTTTGGAGGGTATAACATGTAAGCTGTAAAAGTGCAGTCCATGCATGAGTTTCAGTGAATTCACATATTTCAAATTAAGTCTGAATAACATTTACACAGTTATGAACTGTTGACATAGTGAACAAAAGTAATTATTTATATATTCACAATGTTAAAAAAACTTTCTCTTTTCTTCTTTCTAAATGTTTCTCTGTGGTTTTTTTGACCTGCTTGGTCATCTCAGCCTCTGATTGGATAGGTCAGTGACATGTGATTAAGCAACAGAGAAGTGCTGTTGTTGTGGTTTTAGTGTGGCTTCTGTAAAGTGCATGTGAAGCCCTCATGTTACGAGATCATAGGACACATTTCAGACTCTAATTCTTGACGTAAGCCGGGAAGGTGTCGCTCCGTCCTGTGCTTTTTGATGTGGAGACTTTATGGTCTCTGTTGTCAGCCAGCATTTTGTTAACTTGTGTTTTTTTTCATAGTTGATTGCAAAAACTGCGCATGCTATGTTTGACAAAAGGGGTTCAGTTTGAACCGGTCTGGTGGCCTGAGTTTCATGCATTCGATTTGTCTTGCACACTACTGAAATATCGGCAAAACTTCTAGTAGGATCTGATGCAAGAAGTTGCAAGACAATGGGAAAAGACAACCCAATCAGATGACCTGCAACATTCAGACATCCTCGACAACAAAGAGAAAAACAACGAGAGCTGCTCAGCCGCAAACTGAGGTATTTCCTCTGAGGTCATCTGTGTGGCCGAGTGAGAGAATAGATATAGTCCTGGTGGAAATGTTCTGCACAGGTAGAAAGAGTGTATATACCGTGCAGGAAGACAAACATTGTCCTGGTGGTATATATGTTTCAGTGTATGAAGCGAGATGTGTTGCACGGCCAAATAAATGTAGATAAAAGGGTACGGGGGCTGTGTGTGAGGATGGTGACTCATAACATAACTCTGCTTATTGTTTCATTGTTTCTGCACTCTGCACAGCCCAACACATCTAGTCCTGGGAGGTTTGATATTGACGATGTTTGGTGATAGGAAGGGCTGGGAGATATGGGAAAAACTTTATCAAGATATATTTTTTTCATATCAATCAATATCTATATAATCATAGTATAGAAAATGAAATTTAACAGTGCTTATTGGTAGCATGTCTTTTGTGATACAATAAGCTACTGCATCTGTGAGGTCTTTGTGTCTCTTTGACGTTTTTTCTCTAGGCGTTGCACTAGAGAAAGTGGACTGAATGGTCGGCTATTTCGGCTGCACAGGCGCCATGGGCTCCTTGCTCCACTCGGGGTTTGCAACCTTTTGCATTGCGCGTGCTCTGCCGCGTGGCACTGCTTCAGGTGGTGAAAAAGATTTGAGGTATTCCCCGACTTTATGAGAACATGTACTTGACATAATTTGCAGTTCACATTACTCTGCTTCATGTCCGACCTCAAAAAAACAAAATACCTCCACACCACCGACGTTTTCGTGCCAGTGTTGTTGACGATGTCGTCATCTGTTGAGCCTTCATCGTCATTTCTGTCGGGGGTAGCACTCATTTTCTTTTTTTCTCACCAACAGTGCTGTCGGCTTCACTTGTTAAAGTGCTATGGTTACGTGTAGCTGCTGTCTGCTACGACGCAGTTGTTTGCTCCTTTTTTCAAATTCAGCACATGATTGGTTCAGCCCGAAGTGAACCTGAAACAACTCCCCTTTTCATTGGCTATTCGTATAGTCTACCACAACATAGCAGAATGCCAACGTTCAAAAAGAATATAGACCGTATCTTATTACCTCCGCCAAGGAGGTTATGTTTTCGGTAGTGTTGGTTTGTTTGTTTGTTTGTTTGTTTGTCTGTGAACAACTTGACGGAGAAAGTTGAGGGTTAATTTATTCTGTCTCCCTAAGGAGACATTTGTCTTGGACATATGGGTAGGCAGCATACATATAATACAGTACATACAGTACAATACAATACAGCACAGGACAACAGAAGCAATAACAATATAGTAAAGTGCACACTGACGCAAAAAAGCTCAAGTAAACCTCTAGATCACCCTCCAATATAATAAATAGTAACAACCCCCACTGCATTCCTAGTGCATCAGGAAACACCCACCCATAATCTTCCCTGCCATTTTGACAAGTCTAAATATTTCGGATTTATATTTCACAGACAGATTTCCAAACCAACTGATGATACCTTTGCACATATATTTGTCACATGAGTGTGCCAGTTAACCCATTATCAATATGTACTCTAAGATATTTATAGGAGATGACTTGCTCTATATCATGACCATGTATGGAGATCATAGTATGATCACCTAAAGACCTGGGATCCACAACCATCTCCTGGGTTTTCCTCTCATTAATTTGTAGGTGATGTTCATCACACCAACCTACAACTGTAACCTAAAGTTATAGACGGATTGACCTGAAATTTTCACCAGAGGTGCGTCTCAGCCACAGGACGATCCCATTAAATTTTGGTGGTGATCCGGATCGCCTTCTGGAGCCAGGAATTTGAAGGATTCTTTATCATTGTGAGATTTTGGAATTTTTGCATTTAACTCTATAAAAATGGCCAGAGTCTTTAGTAAAAAATTACACAAAAGGATCTCAATGAGTTTTATGAGATGTCAAAGGTTGATCCTGATCCAGACAAAATTCCGGATACTGTGATCCAGAACACACAAAAATAAGGATATCGTTGGAATTTTCAATGCTGAAGGATAACCAATGGACGGTACAGTGGTGTAGTGGTTAGCACTGTCGCCTCACAGCGAGAAGGTCCTGGGTTCAATTCCGGGTCAGGGCATTTCTTGTTTTATGAACCGTGAACATTCCAGTTTAAACATAAATAAAAGTTAATAAAAGACACGTAACACTAAAAGTTTTATTTTTGTGTGTTCTGGATCACAGTATCGGGAATTTTTTTCTGGATCAGGATCATTGAGATCCTTTTGTGTAATTTTTTACTAAAGACTCTGGCCATTTTTATAGAGTTAAATGCAAAACTTCCAAAATTTGCCCTATCTCACAATGATAAAGAATCCTTCAAAAAATTCCTGGATCCAGAAGGCAATCCGGATCACCACCAAAATGTAATGGGATCCTCTTGGGGCTGAGACGCACCTCTGGGGAAAATTTCAGGTCAATCCGTCTGTAACTTTGTCCGAAAGTTGTTCACAGACAAACAAACAAACAAACAAACAAACAAACAAACCAACGCTACCGAAAACATAACCTCCTTGCTGAAGGTAATTAAGGGAAATTAATTTTGGATATATTGTCATCGTTTTATCGCCCAGCCCTAGTGATAGGATTCCGTATCAGTAGACAGAGGTGAAGGAGTAAAGTGATATAGCCTCGTGCAACTGCTATATACTTGTTTAAAACCCAGATATTTTCATTTTTGAGTCACTCCAGAGTTCCCAAAATACTGTTATAAAAACCTACATGTAAGTTAATGCAGGTTTTTAAAAGAGGTTTCAGTGAAACAAAGTTAACCAATTTAACCCTTCTGACTTTCTCTAGATGCGGCCGTGCATGTTCTCCCTTTGCTCAAAGTTTACAAAGCTGATTATGAACTAAAATCGGACAAAATCAGTATTTGTATTAAAGAATAAATGATGTTTAAACCAACATCTCCAGCCCTCCTGTTGCCCTGCTGTCATATCTTCAGTATGGATCCTCTGAGCTGTAATCCACGCTGCGCTGCGAGGCCTCTTTTCATCTCTCACAGCCCAGGTTATTATACGACATCATAAGAGTATTGATCGTAGCCTCTCTTTGTAAGTGGATCTGTCTGTGTTGACAGGATGCCGAGGCCTCAGCAGAGCCGCGCTCTGGCTTTCAAAATGATAAATGTTGTGATAAATGTTTGATTAAGTGCTGCTGCCGACATGCAGACAGCAGGATACTCTTCTGCAGAGACTCTGATCACATTTCTACATTTTCATAAACTTTTGGTCTGTGTTTATTCGTGACAAACTGAAGGGAAGAATTTTACATTTTGAGTTTTGTTCCTGTTTGTGTTAAATATTTGTTTTCCTCTGGAGTCACTTTGCTCCTCTTTGTCGAGGTTTTGCATGTCTGTGAAGCTGTTTGCATCTTCTCTGTCACTCTCAGGTGTTTGTTGTGGTTTTACATCTTATCATGGTGATTTAAAGTCTCTCTGCTACCTCTCTTGTGGTACATCTATATTCCTCTGGGTCTTTGTGTTGGTCTTTAGTTTTCTGTCTGTTTTTTGTCTTTCTTGGTGATTTTTTTTCTCTTATTTATTTATCTGGTTTGCAGAGAAATCCCAAACTGAATTTTAGTCACTCCATCTTGCAGTAGCTAGTCATTAATTAAAGCGTTGGTGCACCCTGGTGCCCTCATGTCTGCAAGAAAAGCAGCAGAAGTGCCCTCTTATCTGCCTTTGCCATAGATAAACAGTATAAACTTCCCTCTGTGGTCCTCTTTCTATGGAAACTGCATGAAAACTGATTACATTTCTGATCTTCTATGAGATAAAACGATAAAGAGGTTCCTCTGGATATCCCTCCTGTATATAAAACTCAGGAAAATGCTCTTTGAATGCTTCTCCAATACAGTGGTTCTCAACTGGTCTCACTCTGGGACCCACATCTGGGACCCCATGGTCCTTAAGCCGCAATCCACATTTATAGAATTCAAACCAAGCAAATTAATTTTTTATTAAAAAAACAGCAACTTAATATTTACTTTTTGACCAGCTGTTCGTGACCCATCCAGAACGTGTCTGTGACTCACTTTTGGGTCGGGACCCACCAGTTGAGAACCAATAAAAATATGATGTGATTAATACTAATAATTTTATGTTTTTCTTTAAAATTTCCAAAAATCTTCACCAGCATTCAGGAGTTTAGAGTTCGATGTCCTCTCTTAACATTTGTGTTTCATTTCTCATGTTTAAATGAACCCTCACTGTGGGGACCAGGTCTTTGAAAAACTACTCCAGCTCTGGGACCTCTCGGTTATTTACTGCAGGGCTGCAGTGTCCGATTTTTACCAGCCAAACTCTGATTATTTCTGACAGAGTGCAGCAGGTTCTGTAAAAATAAAGAGCATCAGAACGGACTTTAAACCGCTGTAGAGACAGATTCATCAGGAGGTTCCTTTTCCCGGTCTTTGACCTTTCACCCTGACATAAGTCTGTTGTGTTTTTCCCGCCATGTGAAACTTTTGAGGCGGACCACAGCAGTTGTCTGTTGTCCAGCTGTTTTGGCGGTAAACCTCCATGGTCATGATCTGTTTTTTGGTATTCAGGGGAAGGATGGGAGTTGATCAGCTGATCAGTGATTCTTTTTCGTGCTGACTCATGCAGGTTCTCAGGTGTAAAACAGCCCCTGACATCGGAGGCTGTGGGCGGAGGTGAACTGTTCGGACTCCTCCAGACTGACTCAATATGATCTGACATGTGAAATCAGGTCATCTTGGCAACACTTCACGCTCACATATGAAACACCACTGCCATGGGGTTTTACATACTGCACCGCCTGTAAAAACGCTAAGGTTTTGAAGTAGGATCTTTTCTGCGTGTTTGTCCTGCTCTCTTTCCCTCCAGGACGAGGTTCTGATCCAGCCTCTCTGACCCTTTCTCATGAGCAGTGTTGTGCTAGTTACTGAAAAATAGTAACTAGTTACAGTTACTAGTTACTTTGTGAAAAAAGGAACTCAGTTAGTAACTCAGTTACTGAAACCAAAAAGTAATGTGTTAAATTTTTTTAATTTAAAATTTTTAATCAATTTTTGTTGTCAGGTCATTTGTCTATGAAAAAGTACGAGGGCTAACGTTAGTTGGATATTTAAGTTGACCCACCGCACCGGACACAGTACAATTTGTTTGCTGCTTCAATTTTTGCAGAAGACAGAAGTAATTTTTTGTTTCACTTATCTGATTCTGGCTGGTTAGCAGAAGACCGGCGAAGCACGTCAAAGACGGGCACTCAGGTTTTTCTCCTCCGTGAATCCTGAGGTGTTAAATCATGTTGGTCATTCACCCTCCTTTACATGATATAACTGTGTTGCTAATGTTGTACTGAGAGAAGAGGTCATTCTTCCTGCTACAGTTACACAAAGGCTTTGGGTTGCAATGCACTCTCTCTCTTTGTCTCTCTTCTCTCTCTATGTGGCTTTGTCTCATACGCTTCATCCTCGTTGGTTTTCGGCGGCTTCTTCTTTGTTGCTGTTTAGCAGCGTCTTCCTCGTTGGTGGCTATTTCTTCCGGTTGGCGGACTCCGGCATTGAAACTTGGAATTGAAATTTTTTAAAATTTAAATGATTCTGGGAGACTCGGAATGTTAGTCCCGGTCCCCATCGATGCTCAAGACTCAATGCAACCCCAACCCTATTGCTGAATAAAACTGTTGATTAAAACAACCATTTCAATTCATTTGCATATCATTTGTTCTGCACCAACACAAACCTTGACACTAACACCAAAATTTTACCGTTGGACTCTTGGAATAATAGCCTGATTTTGCTAAAAAAAGATCCAAATAGACAATTAAACATACTGTGCTATTGTTTTATCAAGTTGTGCCTGGATATGGGTCCGTCTTTTGAACTCCAACCCCTGCTGCTTGGGTGGAGTGGGTGTGTGCTCGCTGCTGTGACTCTCGGTCTCAGATGCTGCGTTACCTTATCTGCTAACTTTGTCGAAGCATGCTGCTCCTCTAGGTGCTTCAGTAGATTGCTGTTGCTGTTATTTGCCAGATTTTTGACCTAGGACACAGTTTACATGTTACCAAAATGTTGTTTTTCCCTTTGCTCTCGAGTTGAAAATAATGTGAGTTTATCCATGAGGAGAAACTTATCTTCCTTTTCTCGCTCGCCATCATGCCATTCACTGACCTGTCGAGTCCTCTTCATGGCGCATATTTAATTACGTGTGTGACACTAGAGGATGATAAGTGATTTGTTTTTCCAATTCAATTAAACTTTATTGATCTTTAAAATGTTATGGGAACTATGTGTCGTTGTAAAACCTCACCAAAAGGAACAGAGTAACACAGCGTTTGGTAACGGAAAAAGGGATACTGAATTAAAGCGTTACATTATTAGTTACTGAATAAAGTAACGGCGTTACTAATAACACATTACTACCCAACACTGCTCGTGATCCTGCTGTTATTGGCTGTAAATGATGCAGAAAGTTCTGGGTGGTTCCTCTAGTGCACCTTTATCAGAAAAGGAGGTGGTGTGATCTTTGGTGGTGTCTGGTGAGAATCGAGTTTTCGTGTCAATGTAGAGGCAAAGAGATATACGATAGTGAGAAAAAAAAAAGATTACAACACTCTGATGGGAGGAAGCTACTCTAGTGTAATTTCCTGTCAGCGGTCACCCCTGGGACGGTTACTGAGCTGTATTAGACACTTCAGTCAGAGGTAGCAGAGAAAGGAGAAGTGTAGCGCTTTCACTTCTCCTCATCATGTCGGTGAGTTCGATTGGAGCGTGCGGCTTCTGTGGCGCCTTCAGGTCAGTAATGACTCCATCCTTCTCTCTCCTGACAGGGTATGGGTGCTCCCTGCTCCTCCGGGGTCACTCCTGAGAGGTCCGTTCCCAGCTCAGGGATGTACAAGCTGGAGGTCGAGCTGAAGAGAGGGACCAATCTGGCCGTCAGAGACAGAGGAGGTACTTTCAGTCTCTCTTTGTGGGTCTTTTGATCCCTCTGTCAGTTTTCTCCTATCATTCTTCATTTTGATGTTGTAAAAATACTTTCAGCCCACGAATAGAAAACATTTTCATTTTAATGTCTTTAGGCACAAGTGATCCGTATGTGAAGTTCAAGCTGGCAGGTAAAGAGGTGTTCAGGAGTAAAATCATCCACAAAAACCTGAACCCGGTGTGGGAGGAGAAGACCACGCTGATCCTGGACAGTCTGAGTGAACCTCTCTACGTGAAGGTAAAGACTCTCCCATACACACACACACACACACACACACACACACACACACACTGACATGTTCAGAGCATTTTCTTTTCCACATGAATCATTGATGATCACGAGAGTCAGCGAAGATTTCTCTGCAGGTGTTCGACTACGACTTCGGCCTCCAGGATGACTTCATGGGATCTGCTCACCTTTACCTGGAGTCTCTGGAGCAGCAGAGGTATGTCAGTTTGATATGACTAAAACCAGGTCTCAGGATGACTTCAGGGTCCCCCCTTTTAAAGATCCTGTAGCTCATAAACAGCTGATGATCTGAAGTTGCCCAGGTTTTCACAATTAGACAGAGATTAAAACACAGAAAAACTCAGTAAGCAAACAAACATTTAAAGCTACAGATGGTGTTTGTAGTGCAGAATGTTATCTATAAGAATGAGAATGAATGAATGGGTTATTAAAAGAAGAAAGAAATCAAATGTCATATAGATGAACGGATGAATAAAAGGTTGGATAGATGGATTGTTCCTTAAAGGTGGGGTAGGCAGGATTCTGTTAAGAAGCATTGTTTTTTGTGGTGTATTAACAAAAAAGCTTTTAACATCAGTCAATAGTTATTAGTTACTGACGACATTTGGTAATATATCAGTATATCAATACAAATTTCAGAGTGCTCCGCTCTTTCTGACTTTAAACAAAGCTTTTCTCCACCTCCTCGACCTGATTGGTTGTGAGGCACGCTCTATGTCCTCGCAATATTGTCTGAATCCTCCTTTGGCCACAACTGCCAACTCAAGCAAGAGCTAAAGGTGCTAAAAAGGAGGTAGACCAGACAAGAGCTAGAAAGCCGAGTCAACATCAGCATAAACGACCCTGTAACCTTTCTGCTGGACAGGTAAACCGCTTCAACAAAGTAAGCCAAGTGTCTGTAACAGAAGTGTTTCTTGTCAAACAGGACCTGCTGTAGCGTGTTGTAGCGCCGCTAAACTGTTGACCTCGGGTCCTGGACTATGTCACTTTATCCTAGTTGTAGAAGTCCTGCAAACATTGGGTTTGCTGGTAGTCTGTTGGCATCTACAGTAGCACCAATGCTTTTTACTTTCACATTGACTGGGTCCCATTTGTAATTATCTGTATTATATCTGAGTTTAATTGGAACGATACGAGCGAGCAGGAGCGTCTGTTTGTGGGCGGGGCTTGCTGGAGCAGAGAGGGAGGGGAGAGGAGGAGCTGAGGGGAAAACTGGTTGGTAGGGGTAGAGTTTACATTTAAGATTTCTCCCTAAAACTGGTGCTTCCTCAGATCCTGACTACACCACTTTTAAATTGATGGATTTATAGATGTGAAGAAATAAATGGATAGATGGATGGATTTGACAGAAACGGATGCTTGTACGGACAGATGAAGGAATGAATGACCAGATAGATGTATACATGGATAAAAGGATTGATGGATGGATTATTTGAAAGGATGCTTTCGTTAATGGATATTTGCTTAAAAAGAAAGATGGATTGATGGACAGATTAATTCATGGATAGATGTTAAGTGATAAATGGAAACATGAGAGGTTGGAGGGATGGAAAGTCCTTGAAGACATAAATGGATAAACAAATAAATAGATGGATGGAGGAATTATAGGTGGGGTAGTCAGGATCTGAGGAAGTGTCAGTTTTTAGGAGAAATCTTGAATGTAAACTCTACCCCTCCCAACCAGTTTTCCCCTCAGCTCCTCCTCTCCCCTCCCGCTCTGCTCCAGCAAGCCCCGCCCACAAACAGACGCTAATAACTAATAACTATTGACTGATATTAAAAGCTTTTTTGTGTAAACACCACAAAAAAATATGGTTTTTAAACAGATTCCTGCCTACCTCACCTTTAATGACTTAAGGTTGATATTACTGATTTTATTTTAGAGAAGAGAAGTTTTTTTTTTTTTCAGTTTTGACGTCAAACTAATAAATCCTGATTTCCTGCTGCAGTCGTTTAATCGAACCAACGCTTGTCTCAAACTCTGGGGAGGAGAAGGTCATAGAGCAACAGAGCGTGTGTGAAGTCTGAGCTTCTCTGCTGATAGGGACGGAGACGCAGACACGGGTTTAAACAGAGAAGACAGAACTTCCTGTGGTTGTCGATTGTCTGTTCAGACTTATTCAGCACGTCTTTGTGGTTATTTCTCAACTTATTTTTCCCTTTAAGTCAAATCAGACAACAGATGTGAAGACTTAAAAGAGTTGCCGCCTTGTTGTTTTCTTTTCTCCGATCATGCATATCCTGTGTTTCTGTACTTTTCATACTTTTACCTCTGTATTTATCAAGGTCATTGTTTTGAATTAATACATATTCATACTCCTGGAAAAGCAGGCTCTGCAGTCAGGATTAAGTTTATTTCCAGATTTCGAGCAGAGGGTTTTTGGTCTTTTGCTGTAATTGAACAAATAACAAAAACGAAGAGCAGGAAACTAGTGTTCACAGAGAGTTTTTCCAGTTCGAACGTGTATCTGAGGAAAGCGTCTGAAGATTACAGTTGTAGTTTGTTACTCTGAACCACAAAACTCACTCACCACATCAGTCATTTGTGATTAAATAAACCAGATCATCGTCTTTTCTCAAACTTTTTGTTTGAACCCTTTTCAGGATGATCCCGGTGACTCTAGTCCTGAAGGATCCTCACCATCCTGATCAGGATCTGGGTTCTCTGGAGCTGGCTGTGACCCTGACCCCCAAAGACAGTCCTTTAGAGGAGCGACGGGACTCTACGGTAGGTTTGCAGCTTTGCTTTCCTTTGCCTTTTCAACTCAAGATGTTGAGGTTTTTTTTTTCACTCGAATAAACAAAATTAAATAAAAAAGTTAAAAGTGTTGAAGTTAAATCTCGTTTGTTTGGATCTGTAACCTGCGAACTTAACCTCTCATCAGTTCTTGGATAACTTTGAATATTCTTCTGTTTCAGTGACTGAGAGGATGATTTTAAATTACCAGGTTTCATCAGATAAAATCTAAAAGTGAAAATCTGACAGACTTTCATGTTTATGCTGTCCAGGATTATTCAAATGTAACTGAACTTCCATGTTGATTTTGTTTTTTCCTTCCACTAGAAGAATTAAAGTGTAAATACCTGATTTAACTGGTAGATATATGGGGCTGCTGGTGAAAATTTTCACTCTTATTTTCTACACTAATGGTTTGAAAACAACAGTGGTTGAGTCCCCCCCCAGTTAAACTCTGTGTTTGTGCTGGGTTTGTGTTTTTTTCCTGCAGCAGTCAGTGGTTAGGACGTATCGCTGGAAGCCGTATGTGAATAAAGTGAGTTTAGAGGCGATCGCTTCCTGCAGCTCCACCCTGATGAATTCCTCCCAGTTTAATGAGCGGGGGTTTCCAGTAGCTGTAGTTTTCCCTTTACTCTAACATCCGTACTAAAACTGCAGTTTTTTAGTTCTTTTTAAATTCTAATGCCTCTGTAATCCCAGTTTGTAGTTTTTGTTCTTGTAGTTTTGAGATTTCAGTTTTTGGTGTCTTTGGCTTTGTTTTCCTCCGAGCACTTATTGGATCCTTTTGTAAATTTGTTTAATGTAAAATATCAGACAAATTCTGAGTCGTTCACAGTTTTAAACTATTATTAAATTACTATAAAATGAGCTGTATCCAAGAATTCCACTTTTACACATGCACAAGACCCTCAAAATCTTCCTGAAATGTTCTAAGCAGGCAACATGTGGGCACCTAAGTCAAAAGTATCTACCTGAAACCTGTTTGTACTTTCCTTTGTGGTAAAAATTTCATATGGATCCAGGGTGATCTGATGTGAGCATGCAGCAAGAACAACCAAAAAATTTACAGGAGGTGACATGTGTGAACACTGAACTCAGGAACATATCTGGGACAAAGGTCCTGAAATTTTCCTGAATTTTCCAGAGTGCATATGTAAAAACCACCTTTAAAAAAAACTTACAGTAATGCTTTACTTTTTTTTATAAGCGTTAATATTAAACCATCCTGCTTTCACACCCTTCACCATGATTTTTTTTTTCAAAAAGGCAAAATTATCTACCTGAAACTTGTTTGAATTTTTTCTCAGTAGCTCTCTGGTAAAAATCCCATGTGGATCCAGGGTGAGCTGATGAGACCATGTAGCAAGAACAACCATAAAAATAACAGGGAAATCTTGATGCTGTGAGGGGACATGTGTAAACACTTAAATCTGTAAATTTGGAGGGAAAAGCTCCTGAAATTTTCCTGAATTTTCCAGTGTGCATGTGTAAAAAACGCCTAAATTAAAATTCACAGTAATGCTTTACTTTTTATTGAGCTTTACTATTAAACTATACTGCATTCACACCCTTCACCAAAAAAAAAATCCTTAAACTATTTTAGACGTGGTAACCTAAGTCAAAATTATCTACCTGAAACTTGTTCTGACTTTTCCTGGTATCTCGCGGGTAAAAATCCCATGTGGATCTAGGGTGAGCTGATGAGAGCATGTAGTAAAAACAACCATAAAATTAATAGGGAAAACTTGGTGCTGTGAGGGGACATGTGCGAACACTTCTGAAAATTTTTGGGGAAAAGCTTCTGAAATTACTCAGAATTTTCCAGAATGCATGTGTGAAAACCACCTTAAATAAAAACTCATAGTAATGCTTTACTTTTTAATAAGCGTTAATATTCAACATATTGCATTCACACCCTTCACCAAAAATCCTGAAATTTTTCAGATGTGGGCACCTATGTCAAAATAATCTACCTGAAACTTGTTCGCATTTTTTCTTAGTAGCTCTGTGGTAAAAATCCCATGTGGATCCAGGGCGAGCTGATAACCAGGGAAAACTTGGTGCTGTGAGGGGACATGTGCAAACACTTCTGAAAATTTTGAGGGAAAAGCTTCTGAAATTACTCAGAATTTTCCAGAGTGCATGTGTGAAATTTGCCTTAACTGAAAACTTACAGTAAGACGGACAGTAATACTTTACTATCCAATAAGCTTTAATACTAAAATATGCTGCTTTCACACCCTTCACCCAAAAATAAATAGATGAATAAATTCTTGAAATTTTTCAGGTGTGAGAACAGAGGTAAAAATCATTCACCTGAATTATTTTGGAATTATTCCTGTCACTTACCGGCTAAAATTTTCATGTGAATCAAAAATAAGCTGATGTGAGAACTCGGCAAAATTTAGTCTCAAAAGGTCACCGGCGATATAAAAATTTGAAGCTGTGAGGGGACGTGTGTTAACTTTCAACCAGGGAAAATTTCAGGGACAAAGATCTTGAAATTTTCCTGAGATTTTCAGTCGTGCATGAGTGAGTAATGTGCTTACAGTAGTGCATACGTATTAGATATTTCTGACCTCTTAAATATTCTCACTTTTGGCTCTGAAAAACGAGAGCCAAAAACAAACCTTGGTGGTTGTTTGATGCTCATTTCCTCACAAAGTGACTCATAATTTTCTGTAAAATTCACAGTTCTGGCCTTTTTTGTTTCTAAAATTTCTGACCATAATGCTCTTTGCTCACCCCGGTCTTTATCTGGTTAAAAACTGTAAACTCTTTGTTAGCATTTGAGTATCAGAAGACAGTTTCTGAATGCCGCTGCTGCAACATGGTACAGCCTGTCTCTGCCATGTTTTATTCAATGTATTTAAATTAATCATTGGTGTAAGTCTCAGCCAGCGCTGGAGCTCCACACAGAGAGGAACAAATCCAGAAAAAGATGACAGGAAAAAAAAAGAGAGAGGAAGAATAAAGTAGTAAAAAAATCAACATGCAGCCAAAGACAACATTCAGGAGGATAAAGAGACTGAAGATGGAGAGAGCACCCAGAGATCAAAGCTAATGAGAGCATGAATAATCAGCAGCAGAGGGAGTGATTTCCCCTCTTCGTCTATTTTCAGATGCTTTATTCATGCAGCTTAAGTGAGGGTGCACACCTCCCCTTCATATCTCCTTTTTCTCCCTGTAGTTAGAAACAAACCCGTCCTACAGCGCCCCTTGGTGGCTGCAATTCCTATCATGATGGTTTTGTTTGTAGTTGAAGTTTTTCAGTCTGCAGGATTCAGTTGGAATAATGTCTCTTAATGTGTTCAGACTATGCTGCTCAGGAGATCCTGGAAACGGTCCACTAAGGTAAATCTTCATCCTCCTCATCATCCTCATCATGGTCTGTCCCACCAGCGATATTTTTTTTTCGTAGGATGGTAGGGGGAGGTCCTGCCTCCTTCGCCTCTGATTGGCTAGAAAAGCTGGAAACGTCATCAGACGCTCAAGCCAAATGCTGGCTGTCGGCTCTGTTCATCAAATAGAACATGACAGAACATTATCGCACTTCTGAATCTCCTAATCCTAACCCTAACCCTAACCCGACAGACGATGACGTTTCACAGTCATAAGGACAAACCAATAGAGCCCAGCACTTCTAGCCAATCAGAGGCAAAGGAGGGCGGGACCTTCCCCTACCATTCTACATAAAAAAAATTTGCATCCCGCCACAGCTTCCTCTGACAGCGTTCCCCCGCCCTCTGTCGCAGTGCTGTCACTCGTTTAATCATTAGCAGCTTGTGTTTGTGCAGTTCATGGTATATTTGTACCGCAGAAATACACACTGTTGTGTATTTTGCTCTTAGATGTTGATTCCTGTTGTGTGTTATTGCTGCTTTTGTTTCACTAGTTTTTAGAAGTTTCTTCTTTGTGTGAACTTTATGCACCAGGCTAACATGAAGCTAGTGGGCTAACTTAATCATGCTAACTTCTTTAAAGGGATATTGCGGCATAAAATTAAGTTCTGGTCAAACACACTGTAACACCGAGTTAGACACCCCTCAAGAGAAATGATCATTTCTTTGTGGAAATGCAATCAGACCAAGACGCTTAGCCAGAAGAACTACCGTGTCTGCAGTGTAAAATGATTAATATGATGATTATTATTTCAAGGAAACGATAAAGAGATTATCATAAATGTTCTTCCTTGAGCTGCATCACCCCGCTGTAGTCTGTAATGGACTGGTCTGAGGTCTCACTACAAACAAGCGGCTGCTGGAAGAGATATATATATAAAAAATATTAATTTTGGAATGAAAAGTGAACCTTTCATGCCCTACCATTCAATGCAAATAGAGGCAGTTATTGAATCTGTAAAACCTTTGTATTTTGTGCTTAAGAAATGAACTTGAACACACTAGAAAACACCTGTGTGCACAGATTAATCCCATTAATAAACAGATCATTTATTGATCTGTGTGCCGAAGTCTTATCTTAAATTTTCAAGTAAATATCTTGTACTAAAGACTTGATAACAATAAAGTGGTCTTGTTTTTGCAAGATAAATCATCTTTTTGCACAGTCTAAATAATAATTCTTAAATATTCATGTAACATAGTCTGGTTGTTATTTTGCATACAGGATAAGTTGTGCCATAATATCTCATGAACAGAATTTTTAACATGAAGGAACAAGTTTCTGTGTAATTATCTTGAGTTCACCAGACTATGATCATCTTGCACACACTGTCATTATTTTGTACACGCATGATAAAAATGTTATTGAATTTCATATAAAATGAGCACCTAACATAAAAAATGATAACTCATGTGCACAAATTTTTTTTTTAACTTTTTGAGCTCCATAGTTTTTTGGTTAAAACCATAGACTGTATATAAAATGGATGCGGTCTGCCTCCTTGCTGGATAAAGCCACTCGGAGAACAGCACCCTCTGTTGTTGGGCTGCAGTATAGATCATAAATCCCGCCTCCGCCAGCAAAGCTAATGGAGCAGTGGACAAACTTTAGAAATTTATTACACAGAATATACATTTTTCTCCCCCCTGCTTGCGATGTTGACATTTAGTTATTGTAAGACTGGTTTGTGTTCAAGTCCTCTTTTTTCTGTACGACTCTGTTTTCAAAAGTTATTAGGGGGTTCATGTTTTCTATGATTGACACCTGATACAGCCTATGGGCATTCAGGGATTACGTAGCTCTCCCGGGGGGTACGCTGTTAGAGCCGAGCGTCGACTCTCGGCGACTCTCCCGTTGAATGCACACAATACTACTGCGCAGCACTGGTTCCAGGAAATGAAGAAAAATCCTGGAAATACTGAGAGCTTTTCGGCTTCATATCCATATGCAGGCGGGAGGTGGAACCAAGTTGTCCATAGTATATACAGTCTATGGTTGAAACCCAATAAGTATTTCCTCTTTCTTGACTTTTCTCTCTTGTTCATTTGAAGTTACTGTGAATTCATCTGAACAAGTTTTTAAAAAGTTTAGGAGACAAAATCAAAAGCTTTCAGATTAACCTTAAATTTGGATTATTATCCTTTTCTTTATTTTTTAAAATCATTTTTGAGAAGAAAACAGATTAATATGTTTTTTGCTGTATTATAACGTCATTTCTAAATTTTGCAGAAAGAATAAAATTATAATATAAAAGGACTGAAATTAAATGTTTTCCCATTTATATCAATCCAAATCACATTTGAGTTTGTGTCGGTTATTTTAACAGTTGGTACTTGTGTGTTTTTCTGCACATGTGTTCATGTGTGTGTGTGTGTGTGTGTGTGTGTGTGTGTGTGTGTGTGTGTGTGTGTGTGTGTGTGTGTGTGTGTGTGTGTGTGTGCGACCAGCAGCAGCAGTCTCTGCGTCTCTCTGAGCTTCACCGTAAGGCTCAGCTGTGGAGAGGGATCGTCAGCATCGCTCTCATCGAAGGACGAAACCTGATCCCCATGGACCCCAACGGACTGAGCGACCCCTACGTCAAGTTCAGACTGGGACCCCAGAAGTACAGGAGCAAAGTACGCCACCACTGACATCTGACCCCGATCAGTGATAGAGCAAGCGCTTAAATAAACCTCTGATGAATGTCAGTGAAGAATCAAAGCAAGAAAGGTTTGGAGATGTTGTCTGTGCTCCTTCAAAATAAAAGCTGTTACAACCCAGTTTGGAAAGGGGAAAGGACGTAACATAAACCCCGGTTAAGTTGTTGTAAAAATTGATATTTAAATGCAAAATAAATGAGGAAATGCTGTTTCAACATAAGTTTGAGGCGAAAAAACAGAGGAATACAGATAACTGCTCAAAGAAACAACAAATGCAACAAAAAGGGACTGTAACCTAGAATGAGAAACCAAAATCACATACTCAAATTAACACAACTAGGAGTTTAACAATCCAAGGGTGAGCAGCTCCCTAATCCTTTACAAAGCAATAAAAAAATATATATACAATGTCGCCTCCACAGCAATTCACACACACATGTATCTCCCTAACAAAATGTCTAATGAATGAACGCGAGTGTCTGCCCCCGAGCACTCCATTCGGCAGCCTCTTCAGTAGACAACCCACTCCAATTGGTCCTGCTGACCTGACCCATCATCCAATCCACTCGCACACACCCACACCCACACATACAGAGAGACACTACCAAACATGGTAAAGGCCACAGGTAGCCTTCCTTAGAGGAGGGACACAGCTGTAGCCATAACAAAGCATACTCATAATGACTGTGATTGCAGACGGTGCCGAAGACCCTGAGTCCTCAGTGGAGGGAGCAGTTTGACCTCCACCTGTACGAGGAGACGGGGGGAGTGTTAGAGATCACCGTGTGGGACAAAGACACTGGGAGGAGAGACGACTTCATCGGAAGGTCAGTTTGTTTTCTGTTTGTACAAATATTTTTACAGACAGAGATTTATTAAATGTTCATTTATTGATCCTGTGTCTGTCCTCCAGGTGTCAGCTGGACCTCTCCACCCTGGCGAAGGAGCAGACTCATCACCTGGAGCTGCAGCTGGAGGAGTCCCGAGGCTACGTGGTGCTCCTGGTCACTCTGACGGCCTCCTCTCACGTCTCCATTGCCGACCTCTCCGTCACCCCGCTGGACGACCCTCAGGAACGGCGGGAGATTCTGAAACGATACGTAAGCGCTCTGAATCATGTGGAAACTCAAACAGGAGTCTGAGATCAGGAGTAACTCCTGTCCTTGTTGGTGTTTTTCCTCCTGCAGGGTGTGTTGAAGTCACTTTCTAACCTGAAGGAGGTGGGCATTGTACAGGTGAAGGTGTTGAGAGCAGAAGGGCTGATGGCTGCAGATGTGACAGGTGAGAAAATGTGCTTTGTATCAAACTTTTAACATCCTCGACTTAACTTGACTTTTTTTTGCATTTTAACCCCTTGTACCAAACTCCTTAAATGTGCTTCAAACTCCTCTAAGCCTCCTGTAGAGGACTTTATATTTCCTGTATGTACTTTATTCATCTTGTGCATGACTTTTAAAGGTGAGTAGTCAGGATCTGAGAGAGTTCAAGTTTTTGGGAGAAATCTTGAATGTAAACTCGACCCCTCCCAACCAGTTTTCCTCTCAGCTCCTCCTCTTCCCTCCCTCTCTGCTCCAGCAAGCCCCGCCTACAAACAGACGCTCCTGCTCGCTCGTATTGTTCCAATTAAATTCAGATATGATGCAGATGAATACTTCAGATAATAGATAGACCTTTACTGTCCCCGGGGGGAAATTCATTTTCACAGACACTGACATGGACACATAGGGCTCTATTTTCGTGTCCCCCGGTGAGGCGGTGGAGGGTGGCGGATCCGCGCAGTGGTATTTTCGTCTGGCGGTGCCCGGCGTACAGCAAGTTTGGTATTTTCGTGGACTGAGGCACACTGTGGTCTGCCAAGCTGGGTGTGGTGGCGTGGCAGAGGGAGGTGTCGACAGAATCAGTTGCCGCAGTGACATTTTCGTGCTCGCCAGTGCCGTATAAAGTGCGCTGAAAAGCTCGCCGATTTAAACCTGGTCAGCTTTCAGCGCAGGCGGAGTGCAGCTGGTCTAGTGGTATTTTGGTAGACCAGCAGCGTATCGGCATATGTCACCAATGCCTCACCAGCAGGTTTCCACAGTGTCAGGCACATTTCAGCGCAATAAATAATCATCAACAACTAATTTTCTGAGTCAGCACATACATTTAGATCTATATCGATCTATTCTGATCTATATCTGATCTGATGAGTGCATTTGGCACACGTTTGGACACACAACCTGAACGAATCAACACAGCTGAAAACGCATTAAATTAAATTAAACATCTAGTAAACAGACACACATGATGAAGTGAACAAGATATTTAATTCGTCTCCCTCCTTTTCTTTCTTCCTCTTCCTCCTATTTCTCGCGCAGCTCGACCTGGACATGTCTCTGTGTCCTACAGCGGCTGAACAGATGATTTGTTTCAGTGCTCAGAAGAGTTTTTTACTTTAAGCCTACATACGGATATTATAATATTCAGTTTTGTGAGGCAAATTTATTTTATATGCCAACATCTATGAAAGAAAGAGCCAGGCCACGGAGCGCGATGCGTCCTTTACACACAGATGGTTCCGATTTTAATGCCATTATTTGAATTTATGATGTGATCCCTGCGCACAACCCACCTTTGTCACGTGAGGTTTGAATATATACAACTTTATGTGAGTGTCTTTATTTGTGTAAAAGGGTGTTTGTCTTACCAGTGGGTCCAACATTACACACACCAAATCCATCTGTGCTCATGTGAGAGAGTGTGGAGGACACCCAATGCAGCGCTTACAGTGACACTTGTTGAGGAGCTGCCTTCTGTCGCCATCGTGTGGCATTACTGTCTTCAGACATCTCTTGATCTCTTTGACTACTTCACGAAAATAGTAATACACCTCGCCGGTGGCGGATTTAAAAGCGAGGAGAGGAGCTGATGTTCGTGGTCAATACAGGTCACTCTACGCCCTCTCCCCTCCCTCACTACGACTTACGCCGCTGGGAGGAGCTGAGTTAGGGAGGGGGTATACTTGTGCCGGCCACGCCGCTCACCAAAATACCAAATTGTGCTTGGGAACGCCTTGTCGGCGCGGCGGACCTGACTTACGCCTGTGCCACGTCTCCGGCGAAGCACGAAAATAGAGCCCACAGACTTAAGGACAATAAGGCATGTTACATAATAAGGGACAGAGGGGCACACAGAACATCACAGTGCCAACAATAAGGACAAAGCATACAGCACAACACATGCAGATGAGGCATGGGATTAGCTTTGCAGACTGTTCAGAGCAGCAATGGCAGAAGGGACAAAGCTTTTACTGAAGCTTGGCTGCTTCCACCTCAGAGTCCTGAACCTGCGGCCTGAGGGCAGCAGGCAGAAGTGACTGTGGAGAGGGTGATCTGAGCCTGTGCTGATAGTCCAGGCCATGCGTGTGATGGAGATATTGTTGAAGTGTGAGAGGTCTGTGATGGGCAGACGATGATTTTGGATGCTGTGTGGGTGACCTTGGTGAGTTTATTTCTGTTAGTGATGGACAGCATGTTAAAGTAACAGGGGGAGCAGTAGAGAAGTATGGGTTGAATGATGCTACTACTGCTACTCTACTATATAACAGTAGAGGAGTTTTGGTTTGACAGACAGGGAACGGAGCTTGCGGAGGATGTGGAGTCTTTGCTGGGAATGTTTATGGATATCGTGACATGTTCGAAAGTGAGTTTATTGTCAAGTGTGAGTCCAAGATATTTGAAGTGATCAACACGTTCGACTCTTTTGTTGTGTATGGTAGTGAGTGCCAGGTCCAGGGTCTGTGATTGTGTGTGTATTAGTAGTTGTTCTGTCTTGTCCACATTCAGCTCCAGAGAGTTGTCAGAGCACCACTTGGTGAAGTGGGTGACAGACTGGTGGTAAGAAGTTATGGAGTTATTGTCCTTGAGAAGTGCAAGAATGGCAGTGTCATCTGAGTATTTGAAGTATGTGGTGACAGGTGAGGGGCTGGTGCAGTCATTGGTGTAGAGGGTGTACAGAAATGGACTGAGAACACACCCTTGGGGGGCGCCGGTGTTAGAGGTTCTAGTGGATGAGGTGAATGAACCGATTCTGAAAGTAAACCGAAAGTAAAAAGCATTGGTGTTTCTGTAGATGCCAACAGTCTACCAGCAAACACAATGTTTGCAGGACTTCAACAACTAGGATAAAGTGACATACTCTATGAGCCGAGGTAAACAGTTAAGTGGCGCTACAACACACAGCAGGTCCCGTTTGACAAGAAACACGTCTGTTACAGACACTTGGCTTACTTTGTTAAAGGGGTTTACCTGTCCAGCAGTAAGGTTACAGGTTCACAAAGATCCCGAGGCGTTCACTGATGGTGACCCGGCTTCTTAGCTCATGTCCAGTCTACCTTCGTTTTAAATGCCTGTTATTCCGCCAGAGTCTCCGGTATTTACTTCGTTTTCTTGCTTGTGTTGGCAGTCGTGGCCAAAGGAGGATTCAGACACTTTTCTGTACTTTCTGGTTGGTTTCTACTGTCCGATATTGTAGCACACTAACTTTGTTTGGACTCGTGAACGACACGGGGGAGCAGCGTTTGCCTCACAACCAGTCAGGTTGGGGGAGGTGGAGAACGGCTTTGTTTACAGTCAGAAAGAGCGGGCCGCTCTAAAAATTAAAAATGTTGACTACACAGACATAACAAAACACAGCGATATCATAATATGACCAAATTTCATCAATAACTATTGACTGATATTAAAAGCTTTTTTGTATAAACACCACAAAAAAAGATGCTTCTCTAACAGAATCCTGCCTACCCCACCTTTAAGAGTGCTTTAAACTCCTCTAGGCTTCCTGTAAAGGAGTTTATATTTCCTGTGTGCTTCATTCATCTTTAATTTTCATTTTATTTACTTTACATATCCTCTATTCTACTTCTACTGTTTTGACACAGCCTACTTTCCAGTTAATGCGTTTACAATTGAGCTAAAGCTCCGACTGTGAACTTTCATTTCCCCCTTTTTTGTTTCCTCGACTCCTGTTATGGACGTTATACATCCTGTACTGTATTTTAAAACGTCTCTCCTCAACTTTATACATCCTGTGCTGAGGGCTAAACCCTGTGGTGCACTTCAAACTCATTTTGTTTGTTTAATACACCCTGTTTTGTTCCTTATACATCCTGTACTCTGCTATTTATTGCTCTCTTTCTGTGATGGGACTTTTTTTGCAGGTAAAAGCGACCCTTTCTGTGTGCTGGAGCTGAACAACGACAGACTACAGACTCACACTGTTTACAAGAACCTCAATCCAGAGTGGAACAAAGCCTTCACATTGTGAGTCAGCAGAAATATGTTCAGTACTTTGGTCTGTGTACTTTTACTCAGATAAGGAGGAAATGCTGTGATTTTTGTAGTAGTGTGTTTGCACCTCAAGATTCAGACGATCTTTGTCTAATAAAAGTGAACAAATATAATATGATGAGTTATTATTGATCGAGATGAGACAGGACTCTGTTCATCCTCACAAAAAGTACTGCTAAAATATTCCTAGAAGATAAATTTAGAAACTTTAATTTGAAAAATGAAGCTCAGAGTGTTTTACGGGAAAGACTGAACGAACAGTCCAAGTGTCAAAATCTGATTCGGAAGATAATCTTTAGTTTTAGGACGGATCCAAAGAAGTGTGTCAGCCAAGTGTGAGACCGGATGATCCACATTCAGTGTAATCCATTTAATAATAAATCTCTATCCGCTGTCTGTCTGTTGGTCAAAGACATCTGCTGCTCACACAGTACTAAGGAGGTCAAACATAATTAAAAATGTGGAGTTATTCAAATGTGACGAGCATCTAGGATCAGCGAAGGATGGTTATAAATCTAGCTGGACCACATGGTTTATTTGTTGTAATTTAACTTAATAATTTAAAGGTTAACATCTTTTTACGGCGGTGTAAAGGTCTGTGGTCCTGAAATTCAGATTTGCGAAAACTACAAAAAATACCTCTGACACATCCTGTATATCTTCCAGTGATCGTTTTTAAAAAGCTACTTAATCAGGGAATAAAACCCGAGTCTCCTTTGAGTTAAACATGTGACATTTTTATTTTATAATGAACTATTTTATTATTTCTGTATATTTGCCGCCCTTTAACTGTGCTGTCAAATAAAGATTAAATAAAATGTAAATTGAATAAATGTAATGTAGGAATTTTTCTCAGTGCTTGTAATCTGATAAACTGTTGTATTTGTACATATGAAGCATAAATCGAACTCACTCCCTTTTTTAATTTGGTCAGTAATGTGAAAGACATCCACTCTGTGCTGGAGGTGACCGTGTTCGACGAGGACAGAGACAGGAGCGCCGACTTCCTGGGGAAAATCGTAATCCCGTTATTACATGTGAGTAAATTAGAACAGTGAGATATATAAAACATACATTTACATATGTTAATCGTAGTTTAAAGAGTCAGAAGAAGCAAAGAGACGGATTTGAAGCTCTGTATTTCTGTAAAAACAAATATTTAATTTTTTTTAGCAGCCCGGTGTTGTTTCAGCTTTGAGAAAGTAAAACTTCAAACTTTTATTTGTTTGTGTAAATAAATGAAATAATTTTTTATTTTATTTTGATAGTGTCCTTCTTAACTGACGTATTTAATTCTAGTGAATATCACGATGGATGCTTTTCCTTTGAAAAGAAAATACCGGAAGTGTAAACTATGGAAGCGATTGTGACTCATATCTCAAATTCAAAAGCATTAACAGAAATGCTTTTTCATTTCAAAGTCATGGCTGCACTATTTGACTCAAAGATAGAAATAAAAAGCAATATTCCAAAATGCAATTTCATTTTCTTCTTCAAGACTGCTCATTTTGTGACTGAATTAAAAAGCAAAAGCAAATCACATTTAACATTTAATTTTCAAAACAATCACAAAAAGGTAACAAAATTCAATTTGAAATGTCAGATATGAAAATTCAAAAGCATTAGCAGAAATGCGTTTTCATTTCAAATTGAATTTTGTTACCTTTTTGTGATTGTTTTGAAAATTAAATGTTAAATGTGATTTGCTTTTGCTTTTTAATTCAGTCACAAAATGAGCGGTCTTGAAGAAGAAAATGAAATTGCATTTTGGAATATTGCTTTTTATTTTTATTTTTGAGTCAAATAGTGCAGCCATGACTTTTAAATGAAAAAGCATTTCTGCTAATGCTTTTGAATTTGAGATATGAGTCACAATCGCTTCCATAGTAAACAGCGTTCATTTTGCAAATAAATGATTGATAAAAAGTGATTTAATGTCGATAAAGCACCTGGTAGTTTAAGGTTTAAAGTGTTTCCTTATTCAAATTTAAGTTATTGAGTAAATTTTTAACATCTTTCTGTATTTTTGTCACGTTTTAAAAAAAATTGTGTTAAAGCTAGCAAAGATGCTACAACAATAATTACGGTAATTCAATAAGGCTCATTAATATATTGAAGTGGATCCGTTTGTATTTCATTTACAGTTTATTGGTAAAGTTTGCATAAATAATATAGTTTAAATGTTTTTCAGGGGATTTGGTTGTAAAAGAGCAACGTACATTGTAAGGTAGCATGAATGAAATAAATCTCTAATTTAAGGTTTTCATCAGTTTGTTTAAAAATCTGTTTAATTCAGGATTTCAGATTTTTAAAGGAGTAATGTTTTTTGTTCATGTACGAGTTTCCAGGTCAGAATTAAAACCTTGAACACCTGAGTGAGTCTATCTGAAAATGGCAGACAGACTTTAAAAAGAGTCTAAATCTAAACCTGTGAGTGTTTGTGTGTTTATTTGTGTGTGTTTGTGTGTGTTTGTGTGTTCCCGTCAGGTCTGTAATGGTGAACAGAAGAGCTACATGTTAAAAAACAAAGAGCTGACCGGGCCGACTAAAGGACACATCGACCTGGAGATCGACGTCATCTACAACACGGTGAGAAGTTTTATTCAAAGGTCAACTAAAATCACTAAAATGACCTGGAAAAGTCTTGGATTTTGAAAATGATCGGTCATTAAAGTCTTAACACAGTCTCAATCTAATGACTCTAAATTTCAGGTGGGTCATTTCTGAGGCACTTATAAAAAATAATCTGATTATATAATGTTTACACATTCTTATTTTGTTGATTTGTTTGTTCACGTTCTGCATTCTTAAACAACAGAGATTAGAAGAAGAGTTCAAGCACATTTAAGATGTAGCTTTAAATGGATAAAATCAGGATTACAGGAATATTTGATCTTGTTGAAAACGCAGCACACGACTCCGGCTGTAAATCTGCTCGTAAACTGAAATGGTGTTTGTCTTCAGGTCAAAGCGGCTCTGAGGACGGTGGTCCCTGCAGAACAGAAATACATCGAAGAGGAGCCCAAAGTCTCCAAACAGGTGTGTGTTCAGGAGCATCTTAAGGCTCACTTCCTGGTCACCTTGTTGTCTGTCGTAGAGCCTCTAATGCACCTCTAATGCATATATGTCTTTCAGCTGCTGCAGCAGAACTTTAACCGCGTGAAGAGGTGCATCATGGTCCTGATCAGCTATGGCACGTACATTAACAGCTGCTTTGAGTGGGAGTCTGCGCAGAGGAGCATCGTCTCCTTCGTGGTAAGAAATGAAGGAACTGAAAAGATGTGTTTGAGTAATCCGAGTTGTCTCAGTCAGTATGTTTACGTGACACTCAAGAAAACCAAATCATCACCTTACTCCGATCAAGACCGGACAACTGAAGTGCATGTAAACACCTTAGTCTTACACCTTACATGGTGTCTCAATCAGAGAACTCTAATTGAGACACCCAGATAATGCGATTGGAATTCGATTTTCTCTACCATGCGACCAGCGTATTCGGAGTATGATCGGACAATGCGTGTGCGCCACGCCCCTGTAACCCTGGAACAAAAACACCAGAAAAGAGAAAAAAGTCAACAATTTGATTCTCTCAGCTGCATGTATACCCGGACAAGGAGAGAAGTCCGATTCGGTGAAAAAAAAAAATTATGAGCTCCGATTGAACTGTGCATGTAAACACACTGAGTAACAAATTTTCCTGACGTTGTCTCCAGCTCTTCGTGGTGGTGGTCTGGAACTTCGAGCTCTACATGTTGCCTCTGGGTCTCCTGCTGCTCCTTGTCTGGAACTACTTCTTCTCCTCCGTCAGAGAAACAGCCGACATGGTGAGAAAATAAAAACAGAAATCAGGTTCATGTTTAAAAAAACGACATGGTGATATTCACTGCGTCTTTTCTGCTGCAGTCCATGGAGGCCATGTTTGAGTGGGAAGAGGATGACGAGGACAAAGAGGACAAGGTATCTTGGTCACCTGGCCCCCGTGTGATGTTGGTACCCGTGTTTTTCTTCAGGCACTAAAACAGACTTCCTCTTGTCTCTGTCAGGAGTCGGAGCACAAGGGCTTCATGGATAAACTCTACGCCATCCAGGACGTCTTCATCAGCGTGCAGAACGCTCTGGATGAAGTGGCTTCATACGGAGAGAGGATAAAGAAGTAGGTGACAGGGAGCCGGATTATCGACTGAGGACTCAGTCTTGCCCCCAATTTTCACCACATCTGGAATGGCAGCAATTTTTCTGTCCACCAATTCCTACCGGATCTGTTGGTGAGGTGAATTTCATGGTGGATTACAGACAGCGGTGATCACCAGAAATCACAAGAATCCGCGGATTCACATGCAATCGTGCAGTAACAAGTTATCTCTACAAAGACAGCCACGTAGACATATAAGCAGTAGATTGTGTCCTTCTAGAGGAGGAAATCTACTTCTAGAGTTCTAGAATCAGCATCTCCTCATCCATGGTGTCATCAGGGTAATATGATGTCTTAAAACCTTTCACTTGTTCATCTCCACCCATTTGCATGGTGTGAAATATGATCCGCCTCAAACACAGAGTGTTTTATTTTGAAAAGAAGCCGGATGTTTTATTTTGTGTCTGTGCCCGACTTCCTTTCCAGCACAAGTTAATCTGTGCTGAATTTATCCAGCATGCTCCGGCGTCCGGAAAAAGTAGAACTCTTGTGATCAGCTGTGGAGTCTGGCGATCTGCAGCGGAACGGAAAGAAGCCGGTGGAAATTGACACGTTAACTTGAATGGTTACTATCAGCTGTGATCGGCAGATACGGCCTTTTCGTAGCCGTTCCAGATGCGGTGGAAATTGGGGGTTACTCTGAGCTCCTCCTCTTTATTCTCGCCTGATTCTGTCTCCACACCTTTCTTTCTCCTCTCCCTCTGCAGCACGGTGAACTGGACAGTGCCTTTCCTCAGCTGCTTGGCAATCACTGCCTTATGTTTAGCCACAGTCCTGCTCTACCTCATACCTCTGCGGTACCTGGTGCTGGCCTGGGGTGAGTCCAGCTTTCATTCAGACAGACACACCAACACAGAGACCTTTTGAAGGTGGACTAAAATCTTTGTATCCCGCAGGCGTGAATAAGTTTACCAAGAAACTCCGAGATCCATACATGATCGACAACAACGAGCTTCTTGACTTTCTCTCCAGAGTGCCGTCTGACGTACAAGTGGTGAGTAACTCCTCTTTACTCTGTCATGTACGTAGGAAAAGCCTCACAACCCTGACCCTGAACCAGGGGCCGTACACTCAGATGTGAGTGTGTAATAAGTCTGACAAACGTTCCTACTCAAAAGAAATTATCATGTACTTGTTCTTAGGAATGTGCGAGAATTTAAGCCCAACTCTGACCATGCTTACACACAAACCCTAGTGGTAGATCAGTGAAACTACAAACAGAATCCATTAAAGGAGTCACAGTATTCAGCAATCTCAAACTTCACACATGTTCTCTGTTCCCTCTGTACAAAATTTATCAATTAGTTATTGATCAGACATTTTGGATGATTGGTGTGACAAGCTATAAAAATCAGCTGTGACAGGACAACCTCAGAAGAATTCTAACAAGTACAAATACAAGTATCATGGTTTATTTTGAGCTATTGGAGGACTTGGAGAACCGTCTGCTCCTTAGGGAGTGCGTTTTCAAAGAGCGCGCTGATCTGTTCAGTGAGAACTCAGAGTGGATTCTAAGCAAGTACCGCTTCCCCAAAAACATTTGAATGGATTAATGCCGTGATTTACTACCTGTGTTGGAGTGAAAGACGAAACGCACAGAAGCCATCCCACATCGCAATAAAAGCACCTTCATGCAAAAAATCCAGTTTTGTCAACGAAAGGATTTCGATCAATCATCTGCAAAATCCATTCACGCATTTTTTAAAGGGATTGTTGATACCATATGTAGTCAACTAGAGGCGTTTCTGAATGCAAAAATAGAACTCTTGCAATCAGCTGCAGAGTCCAGCGATCCGCAGCGAAATGAAAAGAAGCCGGTGGAAATTGACTTGAATGGTTACAATCAGCTATGATCAGCGGATAAGGCCTTTTTGTAGTCGTTCCGGGCGTGGCGGAAATTGGGGGTTACTCTGAGCTCCTCCTCTTCATTCCTGCCTCAATTTACAATCCGTGTTGTAACAGACATATACGGCATTTCACTAGCAATGACCACGGCACAATGATATAAGTTTGAATATTTAATACAAATTCAGGAGTGTGTATATCTTGTCTGACGTGTGTATGTTGTGATGGATATTGACGTTGATGAGGAGTGTCGCATGTCTGGTTGGTCTGGGAGGTTCAGTAGAGGCCCGGCAGTGAGAGACTCAGGATGGGGGTTTCGTCTCAGGCATAGCTCTGCCCAAGCTTAGTCCAATAATTTCTCTGGCCTCAACTTACATCCAGTTCCCAAACACACATCACCAACAAGCCGAAATAAAATGGAGCCATAGATGCACCCATATCGCAGTACAAGCACCTTCACACAAAAATTCAGTTTTGTCAACAGGAAAGGATTTCATTCAATCATCTGCGAAATCCATTCACCCATTTTAAAGTGATTGTTGATACCATATTTGGTAATTTGGCGTTTCTGAATGTAAATGACCCTAACCATGCACGAGCACGGTAGTAAAGAACAGGTGGGATTTATCATCACTGGTGTGTGTACAACCGGTGTCTGCATGTTTGATAAATGCAGATTTTTTTGTATTTACGCACATTCAAAATTTCAATCCTACGCCAGAATTTAGAACCTTTTCTACACATCGTTGATAAATGAGGACCCTGGACTTTCACTCCTCTGTTCCTCCTGATTGTTTATATGTTTGTGTGTGCAGATGCAGTACCGTGAGCTGAAGCTGGACCCCGGTCAAAGTCCAAACAAACGCAGGAGGACGAACCCAAGCTAGCTGCTGCTGCCGCTGCTAAGTCCTGTCGGTCATCATTCCTCTCTGACTGTACACACTGTAAACTATCTTATTTATATATTTCTGCTCTATTTTCAGTATTACCTGAAGGTTTACGTGTTCAGTTGTTTCTTTTTTTTTATTACCGTGGAAAGATTTATTTTCTAAATCTTGTAAAGAATGTTTTTACTATCTTTTATTTCCTGTAAAGACGCTCCACACACGTATATATACGTGTTGATCATGTTTGCTTTGAATGTAAATGTGCGCGCTGCAAAGACTCTGCATGTATGAAGGTGTGCCGCTGTTGCATGGAAGTGTTTCATCTGTGTTTTATACCCGTTTTCAGTTTTCGTGCTGTTTTTACCTCGAGTGTGTCGTCAGTGTCTGATGTGACTTTACATACAGAGTTGCATGATTTTATTGCCACATTATTACATGTACGATAATATTTACACTCAGAAAAATAGTACTTTATATGCAACACGTCAGATTTAGACAAATCTACATAACAGCTATAGTAGCATGTTCGACTCGCTAACTGTTTTTCAGCCTGCTTCGTGAAAATAGATCGCTTCAGCAATGAAAACCCTTCTTTTCTTTTGTACGCTTTAAACGCCATTTAGAGGGGCATTTCACTGATTAAACACGTGGGTCATTTGAATAAGGCTGCACAGCCTTTGGAAACACTTGAAAACTCTGTGTTTCAGACAAACGTGACCGTTTGTAGATAAGAGGGTGGAGCTGGAGAGAAATGAGGGGCTGGCGAACAGAAAAACACAAGAGTTAGCTCCGTTAGCATCTGTAGTCTACAATAACTGGGAGGCGAAAAAACAGAACCCCCATAATAATGAAGAGACTACTCAGAGTGTTTGTTTTTTACTGAACTTTAAGTATATGCATTTTTAAGGCATTATGGTAGCAGTTTGTTAATCTGAGGTATCCTCCCCCGCCTTTTGGTTGATTTGACTCTAAATGGGCCAATAATTGACAGAATAAACTATGTGCAGTTCTAAAGAAGACTTAAATCTAGAGTTAAGTCAGACCACAAACTCTTAGAAAATGTTTAATGTAAGGGAATAAACCAATGAAAAAATAGGACCATTTTCTCATAGACTTCTATACGTTTTTAAAGGGAGTGGGGTTCCTCCTGCTGGACGTTACAAGAACTGCAGGCTCTAAACTCCTGTTTATTTCACTCCTCCATTTTTCTTAAGAGTTGCATTATTTGTGTTCAGTTTTATGATCTGAAATGTCTCCTGATGTCTCATATTGTAATATTTCATTTTGTGCATATTTACCTGTGCAAACAAGTAAATCTCATGCACACAGTACACTGAAGTTTAAGGCGGCAAATCACTTATTTTGTGCACTCGGTGGAAGTATCTTGTGTGCAGAAGTTAATACCTTCTAGGAGCTGTACAGTTATCCCCTGGGAACCAGATATAATCTCTCTGCAATAAAGTTAATTATACTGTGCATGCACAATAATATCTTGTGCACTCAGTATAATAAATGTGTTACTTTGAGATAATATCCTGTGCACAAGTCTTTATCTTGTGTGCACATTATACTCAACTTGAAAATGTATTTTCTTGTGCATATGAATTAATATCATGCTCACAAGTAAACACATTTTGCACGCAGGGTTATTCCTTGTGTTGGCAACTTAATATGATGTGTCTTTCAGGAATAGAACTTATATTGAATTGGGTAAAAGAAACTTACGCACAAGTTATAGGCACAGTTAAACTAAACTGTGTACAAGATATAAGTAAATATCTTTTACATGCAAATTAACACACAGGTTAACGTCTAATGTATGCAATTTATTAACTTGTGCACACAAAAAACAATTACCTTGTTTGCACAACATAAATATATATATTACTTTTTGGGCCATCAGGAGCTCCATAGGAAAGAGTTGATGTCATAAAATATCCAAAGACCAGGTATCTATGCTCCATTTTTTCACAGTAATTTAAAGTGATTTTTATTATTATTGTTATTTCTGATTTATGTTGGTCAGGCAGCGTCAGCTTTACTTTAAAATGAAAATTTTTGTGCAGAGGAAGTATTTAAAAAGTGACTAAAACATGATGCATTAAAATCAAGATTTAAATACCAGACATTAAATATATTTTTACCTGTTCATAATCAGAAAAATGATCTGCCGTGGTTTTAATGTGTCTGAAAAAACGAGGATATGCTGGATTTTCTCTCTTTTTTTATACATTTGGGTTCTTATGTTTAAGATTTTATGTTTTTTTTTTCTGCATGTTTGTGTAAACTGTCATTAATGTGTCATTATATATGTTGCATGACTGAACTTAAAACTTATATGCAAGAGCATTTACAAGTTCTGAATGTGAAAGGTTATCCTTTAATGTCTGTGTGTTGTCCAGATTCACCTGAGCTCCAGGTAAAGAGAGGACAAAGCTGCTGTACAGATCTGATCTTTCAATGTTTACTCTCTCTCTCTCTTTACCGCCGAATCGTCACCTCTTCGATCCGTTTCTGATTCCTGTCACACCATTTCGCTGCTGTCGAGCAATTTACTGCCATAAAGTCAGGACTGACTTTAACAACTGTGTAGCATTTCTTGGTAAAAAAAAAATATATTTCTACACACAGCCATTTGTCTATTGTTGTTTTTTACACATGTTAAAAACTACAGACCAGACCATACATATTAACTTTCCTGTAAAAACGAGTTTCAGCTCATCTCTACAGATTTCTGTATTAGTAGAAAAATTTTAATTTACCAATGAAACACTTCCAGATAGTTAAAACTAACAAAAGGGAACAGGGCAGTGAGTGGGAGTGAGCAAGAGGGAGGCGGTCTACCAAAAGGAAGTGTCCCAGGAGTGCTTACTTACCTACCACACCTGAACTCACTGCAACAAAAAGGTGTGGGGAACCACCCAACGTGCCGAGCCTCCACTGCTTGCCAGACACCACTGAGAAAGAAAAAGTTACACAAAGAAATGATTAAAACTATAGAAAAAAAAACCTAGCTGGTTCTATTAAAATGGCTCTTTAATTGCAATCAACGACTAAAATGTTGACAACACTAAACAAACAAAATCTTAAAGACAAAAACAGCAGCTGATGTGTCTGCACCAAAGGCTGTATATAGAATGGCCTCTTCATCCTCGCTGGGTGAAGCCACTCCAAGAACAGCAACCTCTGTTGATGGGCTGCAGTATAGATCATAAATCCTGCCTCTGTCAGCAAAGCTTATGGAGCTGTGGACAAACTTTCTCCCCTGTGGTTGCGGTGTTGACATGTAGTTACTGTCAGACTGGTTTGTCCTCAAGTCCTCTTTTTTCTGTACAGCTCCTTTTTTAAAATTTATTTGGGGGTTCATGTTTTCTATGATTGACACTTGATACAGCCTATGGGCATACATAGGTTGCGTAGCTCAGGGGGATATGCTGTTTGAGCCAAGCGTCATCACAGTGACTCTCGGTGACTCTCCCGTCGAATGCGTACAATGCCACTGCGCAATGTTGGTTTCAGGAAATGGAGAAAAATCACGGAAATACTGAGAGCTTTTTGGCTTCAAATCATAGACTGTATATACTACGGACAACTTGGTTCCACCTTCCGCCAGTATACAGATTTGAAGCTAAAAAGCTCTCAGTATTTCGGCGATTTTTCTTCATTTCCTGAAACCCGCTGTTACAACCTGGAAGAATGGTTAGGGGAAGATGTCCATAACACCAGTATTGCGCAGTGGCATTGTGCGCATTTGGTGGGAGAGTCGCAGAGAGTCGCAATGATGAGGCGTGCCTTTTGCTGTGCAATGTGCACTGAGCATCCAAAGAACAGGTAGTTGTGGGGCAAAACAATGTCGCAAAAAAGGACATATCCTTCAGGAGGAAAAGAAAGAGGAGAAATAAAAAAAACGCAGAGATAAAGGTATGTTTGCATGTCAGGGAATGTTAATCAAAGAGATTTGTGAAGGTGTGTGAATGATCAACAATCATTATATGTTCATTTTCATTAGGGCCTCATTGAGGCTTGGGCCGGCTCTGTGTCTGCAGTACAAAGAAAGAGAAATTATTGCACTGTTAAAATTTAAATAATAATAATAATCATGCCGTTGTCTTCCTGCTTAATATCAACGGACACCAACAGACCGGGAAAGTGCAAACTGGAAGCAAACACAATTCAGCCACTGATAAAATGTCAGAACACAATATAAACTGTCAAATAAGATGAACCAGGTCTCATTACTTCTGTTCAGACCATGTGGCAGTAAGCAGGCACAGACAAAGGAGAGGCAGCTCACCTGCCACGGGTGCTTTAAATAGGAGGGTGGCGGAAAGGGGGAGGAGTTGACCTAATTTTCCTCTGAATCCTACCCGCTACATGTGTATAATTTAATTATTTAAATAATTTTGTATTAAATAATTTTTGTTTCATTAAAATTCCCGTAATGCTTTGGTGAACGGGAAGTCTGTCCCCAGGAGAGTGTGAGCCGTTACCCCCCAGCAGAGCACTTTCTACGTTTTACAGACTTCATTTGGAAACTAGCACCATTAAAAGTACGCCGAGTTAATCATTTGAAGCCCCTCTTTACAGTCTATCACTGGAACATTTTAATTCTAAATAAAAAATAAAAATATACAGAAATTAAGGCAAGTTCTGCTCTAAAGGACAGCAACTTTCCCCCTTGATTTATAAGTGACTTACAATATTCATCCAAGATTGAAGGCAGACATGATGACATCCTCGAAAAGTTTAAGTCTTAATAAATCAATAAGATTTTTATGTTTGTGTTTTCAGATTTTATTGCGTAATAAGATGGAGAAAAGTGTTTTATTCACAAATCACACCCCGTCCAGAATTCTCGCATGTCTTAGAGCACACGTCACAGAGGGAGGAGGGGTCTCCAAGTCACAAAATCAGGAGCTATATTTAAAATTTTGTACATATTAAATGTAGAGAGAAAAAACATGATTAAAAATCATCATTTTGTGACTAAAAAGACCTGAGGAAATGGTATTGAAAACTGTCTACTTTGTCGGTGTAGGTCAAAGTTTTGACCACTAGAGGGCCTCATCTCATCCCCACACATGTCACGGTCTGGTCTGGAGGACCCATCTAATTTGGATTCCTCATTCTGTAAAGTTAATTGAAACACATTGAGGTTGGTAGTTTATATTATAGTAAGAAAAAGACTTAAACCTTTATCTGTAACTTACATGAACCACATCAATACAGGGATGAACACCAACAATAAATATACAGTTTTCTCTCTAATAGACTCAGAAACATCCGAATTGGGACTAAAGACAGATTTCTCAGATGTTGTATAGAGTTTTTGAAGCATATTTCTCTGCAGGCGTTGTCTGGTGTCATTGTTGTCAGTCTCATCTTCGTGCCTCAGCTTGGCTCGCCTACAGTGAGCATCCTCTGATTTATTTCTCCCCGCTGGGCCCAGCAGGATTATGAGTGTTTACTCTGTGACCTTTTTACTGTTTCAACCACCACGAGGCAGACAGCTGTGTCATCAGAGCTCAGGGTGTCTCACACAACTTCATCTGAGAGACAGAAATCCAAACAGACTCTGACAGTCTCCACAGGAGGGCTGAGAGTTAGCTACGGCCTGCCTCCTGGCTGATATTGTCCAATCACAGCTGAGGGACCAGCTGAGGCGCCTCATTATTTACATTTGTCCACCTGCTGAAAAATCAGAGCCCAGATAAGAGAGACTCCAAATCATTTACACAAGAACCAGACACAAAACTCTCCTGTCTGTTTCCAGCACTTTTACATGCGTCCATGCAGCCATTATGTGTAAGCATGCACATAAATAAAGCATCACCATATCTGCAGAAATCTTCATATCTGCTGATACTAATATCATACTGACAATAAAGTGTATCCCTGTTTCCTGCATCAAACATCAGCTACTAAAATCCACCATGCACAGCTTTGAATTCATACATCCAAAAACATAGCAACGCAAAACCGCAGCTTTTCTGTTCCTTTTATTCTCAGAATGTGACTTAAAAGTGAGGTAGGCGGGATTCTGTTAAAGAAGCATATTTTTTGTGTTGTATTTACAAAAAAGCTTTTGATATCAGTCAAAAGCTATAAGTTATTGACGGCATTTGGTAATATAACAATATCGCTAAGTTCTCTTATGTCTGTGTGGTCAACATTTTAACATTTTTGAGCAGCCCGCTTTTTCTGATTGTTAACAAAGCCATTCTCCACCTCCTTGACCTGACTGGTTGTGAGGCAGACGCTTCTCCCCCCCGGTCGTTCACGAGCCCAAACAAAGTTAGCGTGCTACAATATCAGACAATAGAAACCAACCAGAAAGTGCGGAAAATTGTCTGAATCCTCCTTTGGCCACGACTGCAAACACATGCAAGAAAACAAAGTAAATATCAGAGACTCTGGCGGAATAACGGGCGCTGAAAACAGAGGGAGACCGGACAAGAGCTTAAAAGCCAGGTCAACATAAACGATGGGGGACGCTTCGGGATCTTCGTGACCCTGTAACCTTTCTGCTGGACAGGTAAACTGCTTTAACAAAGTAAGACAAGTGTCTGTAACAGAAGTGTTTCTTGTCAAATGGAACCTTCTGCGTGTTGTAGTGCCACTAAACTGTTGACCTCGGGTCCTGGACTATGTCATTTTATCCTAGTTGTAGAAGTCCTGAAAACATTGTGTTTGCTGGTAGTCTGTTGGCATCTACAGTAGCACCAATGCTGTTTACTTTCATGTTGACTGGGCCCCAGTTGTAATTATCTCTAATCTTCGCAGCTCTCGAGTGAACACTGTTATAAACACAGTCCTAGTGAAATTAAATCAAATCAGATTCTCAGATGAATAAAAGTTTTGTTTTTAACAACAAGATGAAATTATGTCAGCTGGATTGTTGGACAGTCCAAATTCATCCTGTTGATCTTATCCGTCACCTAAAACATGAGCAGTGACTCCTGTAACAGACTCAGTCAGTATCTTCTTCAAAACTTCCTCCTCTCTCGTTTTCATTCATGAACTTTTCCTGATGCTTATCGGTGATAAAAACAAAACCAGCAGCAGCGCCAGGATGACGTCGGTTTGATTTGACATTTTCTGTGAGCTATGTGTCTGAACCTCATTTGTCACAATAATACACTAAAAATCATTTCAGATGCTGCTGAGAACGCCAGGAACTGAGTGTCCATCCAACCTACCAGGCCAGGGGTCTATGTAGGACTTTAGGACATTAACCAGAAATAAAGAGGGTTTTAAAGTGTACTACTCTGTGCAGATACATTTTAAGTATCTCAGTTGATTGTTAACAGGAGTCAAACAAACTCATGTTTAAGTATTGGGCAGGAAATTTCAGATAAACATGAGGTAGTAATGAAAAGAAAACCATCCCATAATATTCTCATTTCAATACTGATATGTTATATAACCCACCACATGCCCCCTTATGTCCCCCAACACCCGAGCATAGAGATAGATAGGAGTAGATGGGCACTGAGAGCTGGTTACTCACCGAGGTTATTAAACAGGCGCCTCCCTTCCCCTGTGGTTCCTAAAGCTCGCCCCCGACACCTCAGGGAGGGTTAACAGCGTCCTAAAACCATGCCTCCATCATAATCACACCCACACTACGAAAAAGAAAAGAATACAATATCTAGTTCTAATATCGCAAACATATTTCACTATCTAACAGTTTCAGAGTAATGTTCCTGAGTGGAGTTCATCAGGACTGGATGGTCCTGATCTGCAAGGCATTAAAAACAGACAGGACTCTGGAGTGGGAATCACCACATGGACTCAGAATCACTTAAAAAACAATTGACTGTGAATGCAGTTCCAGGGCTGCCAAGTTTCAGAAAATGACAATAGTGAGACTTTAGAGTTATGATGTGTTCAAAATTTTTTTTTGCCTTTTTCAATGTCGATTTATACCTGAAGACTGATGTCCTCACCTCCATGCCAGCTGCTCTCCCTAATGCTAGTCTTAACTAACCAGATATTAGAAATTAAAATTGTAAATAGAATTTTGACAAAATACATTTATTTGTCAATATTGCATTACGCCGAGTGGGTTTTAAATGTCTGCGCTGTTGTGTGTGAAAGGTACTTCGAGACGCCAAGACCAAAAAAAAAACCTCAGTTTTAGTTACAAAGTCGGAAAAAAGCAAAATTGGAGGAGGAAATAAGATGGCTACATCAACGAGAGTTATTTTAGCGCTTGCCTTGTCCAAATATAAGGCAAGAGCTTAAATAACCTTTATAGACGTAGCCATCTTGTTTCAGGCCTCCAATTTTGCTTTTTTCCGACTTGGAAACTGAAACGCTGGGAACTCAGGTGAGACGTCACTTCCTCAAGTGATTCGTTCAGTTGAGCTAAAGTGAGAAACAGCATTGCCAGGCCAGCAGCTGGCGAACAAGGGACCACATGCACCAACCCCTGAATCACTTGGTGAACGAATCACGCCACGAACTACACTCTCTGGAATCATTTTTGTCGAACAAGACTACCTTTTTTTTCAGTGCTAAATTGCCACCACAACAACTTGCATACAATAGGACACAGCATGTAACAAGTAGTGCATTAAACCCACATCATCCTATCATTGCAGCAGTTTGCCAGGGAACGGTACATGTTCAGTGCCAGTTCTTCTAAGAGTTCAGTGAACAAATCACTTGCTGAGCCCAATTTACCAAGCATGTTCACACTCTCTATTTGATTGATTACAACTCTGCACTGACACAAAATATGAAAATAATAATAATTATAAATTTTATTTATAACGCGCTTTTACAGGTGCTCAAAGATGCCTTACAAAGAAAAAGAAGAAAATGAAATGAAAAAAAAAAACACAATTTAAAATACAGAAAATTATGAGAAATAAAATATATAAAAGGTTAAAAAAGATGCAATAAAAGAACAGATTCATAGGTTAAAAACCGATTCAGAAAGGTGTGTTTTTAAGAGTGATTTTAAAGTGTGGGGGTTATCCCAGTGCCATAGTGAGCACCATCTTGGTGAAGTGTCTCAGGGTAAAAGTTGAGGCGAGAAGTCCAAAGAGTCCTCAAACCGGGCAGGGCAGAGTTTTTGTTTATCGACAATATATTTCCGCAATTTTGTTAGAGATTAATGTGTTCCTATGATCCATGTAAAAAATGCCAAACCAAGCAATTAAAAACGCTGTTAATGACCTGTTTTCCTCAGATCACGGTTTGACTAGGGAGCCGCCATCATGAATACAAAATATATACCTTTCATCTGATTGACATTTTGTTTATATACGATGTATTGATTCCAAGAAATATATAAGAGTGTAAAAAACAACAAGCCCCGGTCTCCCCTATTCACAGTAAAAGTCAACAAATAATTATAGTACTTGAACAGTTTTCTGAATTAGGTTACAGGGATGTACATCAGGTGATATTTTCCCCAAATCTGTTCCTTATGAGACAGGAGTTATGTGAGGACAAGTAGAGACATTTCCTGTCTGTCTGTCTGTCTGTCGTTACTTGTTGATGCTACAGGCTGAACTTCATCTCCTGTCTGTCTGTCTATCTGTCTCTCTCTATGTTTGTGTGAGAGTGAGTGAGAGAGTGAGTGAGTGAGTGAGTGAGTGAGCAGGCAGGCCGGCCGGTCTGCGCGCACATGCTCAGTGAGGTTATTTTTGCGCACAGAGGCTTTAAGAGCGGAGCGGCTGGAACCAGACGGCAGCAGAGAGGAGCGCAGAGACACGAGAGAGCGAGAGGAGCGGAGAGAGAGAGAGAGAGAGGAGAGCCAGCCCATCAGCTGAGTGTCTCCCCCACAGATGAGCCACCACGGACCCGGCTGTAGCCCCGGCTCTGTGCTGGGCAGCCCGAGCTAGGACGCATGTCTATGCGCCTCGCGGCTCTTCCATCAACTTCTCCTCCATAGACTCTTGATTTGATCTTGTTTGTCCCATTTTTCCATCATGGTGCTGGGTAAAGTGCGGGCCTTGGCGGTCTACTTTGACAGTCTGAATGACAACAACCTGCCGGTGTTCTCCGGTGGAGACCTGGTGTCCGGGAGGGTGGTGGTGGACGTGACCGGGGATGTGCGGGTGAAGAGCCTGGACATAACCGCGAAAGGAGTCGCCAAGGTGCGATGGACCGAGTCGAGAAACGCCGGAGCGAACACGGCTTATGCTCAGAACTACACGGAGGAGGTGGAATACCTGCACCACTATGACACGCTGATAGGAGAGGAGAGAGGTAAGGAGAGTGTGTGTGTGTGTTTGTGTGTGTGCATCCTCACCGACACGCTGCTGCTTTGCGCTGTGTGTGCGTGCGTGTGTGTGTGTGTGTGTGTGTGTATGTAGCGATGCGGGCTCAGCTGGGCCACGCAAACTTCTGACACCAGCTTATTATCAGTGAATTAGATAAAAGAACTTTATTTATGCAGGGAAAGGTTGAAATCACGCGTGAAAACAACCCGCAGAGCCCCCAAACCCCCCTCAGTGACAGTGGTGCTGATGCAACAGCTGATCGTGGATGTGATCCCCCCTCACAGCAGCGCACCCCGCACTTTAAACCCACTCCCCTTCAATAAGAACACGCACAAACACCGCAGAAACGCAGATTAACATGAAATGCGAGGCTTTTATACAGTCTGCATCATCTGCTGCTGCAGGAGACGAGGGGAAAAAGTTGGCACGTCGGAGAGAGACTTGGCGTAAAAAGACGGAAATCGACCCAAAATCGAAACAGGATCGATTGTTTGGTTGTTTTTCACAACTGATGTAACTGCCGAACTGATGAGGGATTAACGTTTTTACTGATGACATCCTGAAGTAGGCTAGCACAGGCAACTCCCTTTGTTAGAAGCGGTTCAAACCTGTTCAGAAACTGCCAGAGAGGGAGGGGAGGAGGAGGAGGGAGGGAGGGAGGAGGGAGGAAGGACCCGGCTGACTCTGTGTGTGTGTGTGTGTGTGTGTGTGTGTGTGTGTGTGTGTGTGTGTGTGTGTGTGTGTGTGTGTGTGTGTGTGTGTGTGTGTGTGTGTGTGTGGAATAAGATCTCAGCTGCTGGTTACCACTTCCTCCACCTGTGCTGGTTTGTGTTTTTGCTTGTTGAACGTGATGCAAATGTGTAAAGAGCAGTTAGATCATGGAAATGAGAGCACAGTTACATCAGCTGCTGTTCAGCTGGTGACTGATACACTCAAATGAAAACACACCATGGTACAGTATCAAGAACCGAGGGACCGGTCTGGACCCTGCGGGACAGATCTGCACCTCAGCACCAGGGTCGATGTGTGGCTTCTGTCAGAGTTTGATGGGATGTTGAATTTCACAGATGAATTTTGAAGTCCTGATTGATTCAATGTAGGACTGAGCGATTTGGCAAAAAAAACACAAAGATCACGATATATTTTGTCATATCGTCTGACCTCAATTATTATCACGATTTTTTTTTTAAACTACCAGTTTTAAAGCATCTGTACTAAAAACTAAAGAAACTAGAGATTAGTTCAACATTTTATTGACATGCATAACAAAAAAGTAAATAACAAAGCAAATTGAATAAGATAAACTTATAAAAATATAAAAACCATTTTAACTCAACAATAAAACAAATGTAGATGAATACTAGAGATTCTAGAGATGAACTAGTTTACTGAGACTAGAGATGAACTAGTTTACTGTCCTAAATGTTTTTGCAGGTATGCAAGACCCAAAATAAACAAATCATTAGATGATGTAAATGTAGATGATATGATTTATTACTTTGGTCTGGTGGCTGCACCGATAGTTGTGGCTAAACTGCTAATGCTACTTGTGCCATCAGCAATATTTATTTTGGTGGACGGTAGGGGAAAGTCCTGCCTCCTCCACCTCTGATTGGCTAGAAAAGCTGGAAACGTCATCACACGCTCAAGCCAAACGCAGGCTGTCGGCTCTGTACATCGAACAGAATGTTACAGAACATTATCGCACTTCTGAATTTCCTAACCCTAACCCTTATCCTAATCCTAACCATAACCCAACAGACAATGACGTTTCACAGCCATTAGGAATAACCAATCGGAGCCCAGCACTTCTAGCCAATCAGAGGCGAAGTAGGGCAGGACCTTCCCCTACCGTCCTACAAAAAAAAAATTCCACAGGCTGTACAGACTCCACCCACACTTTCATACTTCATGCATAATCACTCGGGAAGTACTTCTTGAAATGATTGAACAGATCTGTTGGGTTGCCAGTTTTTGAGGACACATCGGCCTAATTGCTCGACGTCACTTTGGAGATACCCAAACCACCGCCACAACCGACGTTGAATAACTTCTCAACAATAACATCTTTGAAGAATGACTCAAAGTCGTGGCTGACATCTATTTTGCTTCCCTCAGCTCCGCGTTTAGCTCCACGTTCGGTCATTCTGTTTACTTCACTGGCAATGTACGGAAGTGAGCAGGAAAAGCTCCACTCTGATTGGCTGTTGTCACGCATATTTCCGTTATGTTTGATCGAGTAAATAAGCTCACAGCTGATCACCGTGATCAAACTGAAATTAATCACGATGATATAATCGCCCAGGCCTAATTCAAAGTCTCTCCGGTTCAGAGAAACCATCATGAAAACTTGAATACAAGATATACAAGAATCAGCCATTTTCCTCGTGTTTCTGCACACACACACATAAAGATAAAACGCTGCTCTCTATGCCTACAGAGGAGAAACAGAAAAATACAAATGTATCAAACAACACGAGTAAAAAATACTCAAAACAAATCCAGATCCACACCGCCTGTAAAGGAGGAGCAGAGGGAGCAGAGCACATTACTTTTAAAGTTTGGTTCAAAGTTTAACTCTCAGCTGGATGCATGCCTTCAAAATTCAGATTCATCTCCGCAGAACAATCGGATGTAAATGCACATATGAGAAAACAAAGGCGGTCCAAACGTGTGCAGTGTACTCTGCACTTCACTTAAAACACCCAAACTTTCCTCTGTTAGGCTTTGGAAAATAGCTCATGGGTTGGGTTTAAACGGAGGGAAAAGTAAACAAGGCGACGCTTTCCTGCCGAGGATCTGAGCTAAGTATTTGAGTCAGGAGTCAGTTTGAAGCGCTGAAGCTCAAAACCTTCACTTTAGGTTGACTTTCCTGCTCCTTTATTGTACCTCACTGTCTGCAGTTTAATTCACTTGATTACAAACTTGTCCTGCCCTGACCTCTAAAAACATGTGTACCTCTAAAAACACAAACACATGATGCGCCTTTAAGTTCTGGCACTTCTTCATCTGTTTCTAAAACCAGGTCACACCGAGGAGAGAAACTCCACCTCTCTATACGTCTGCTGTTCCTGCTGCAGCTCTCAGCTCCATCACATGACCCTCCTCAGCAGATGGAGTTGAGAGCTTATTTTCACCAAACGGTACATGGAGGAATGCTAGAAGTTCACTGGAGCCGGGCTGATGAGCTCACCAAAGTATCAGCCGACTTTTACCGGGAACAGATGAATCAGTTTAGAGTTTATGTCTGTGGAAAAGACGAGCAAAGTTGACAGAGTTCGTTTCTGCGCTGCAAACAGAATCTAAGCTGGCCATCTAAAAAAACAGGATTTAGCTCCTGCTTTTTTCACGGTGTGCAGGTTTGCACTTTTGCACATCCAAGAAAAGCCGACAACTCAATTATTTTCACAGATTTGGACTGTAAAGTCTCAGAAAACTCTGAGATTCATCTCAAACCCAAAAAAAGTCAGTTTAATGTCACAGATGAAGAAGAAGAGCAGCAGCAAATCCTCCATTTTCAGCTTCTTAATCTGATCTGCGCTGACACTTCTGCTTGAAAAATTGACCCAAATGTTGAATGGGCTCTCGCTGAAGTCACAGATTAGGCAAATGTTTCAGCTTTTTCAGACACAGTGAACTTTTCCTGCGTAGAAACAAACGCAGAGAGGTTCATCTGATTCTAGTGAGTGTTTTCCAGACGAGTTAAAAGTTTTTTTGCAGAAACTTTTTCAAACTTTCAGAGGAGGAGAAACTAAACTTGTCAGTGTGTGTGTGTGTTTTTGTGTGTCTGTGTGTGTGAGGCTGAATTAAAAGCTGCCAGTGTGACAGATCTGCTCCCCGTCATCATCCACTTCCATCATTTCTTTGCGTGAGAGTTTCAGGTCCACCTGGAGTTCACAGTCAGAGTGGGACACCCTTCCTCCCCTCCTCCTCCTCCTCCTCCTTTTCCTCTCCTCCTCCTCTCACGCAATACACCACATGGTTGTGTTCATGTGGGCAGGGGCTTGTCGAATCTGTACCAATCAGAGAGCGAGCTGTAATTCATGTCACGCTCTCGTCCAATGGGAGGCTTAGTTGTGATGCATGCGTTGGAGTTTCCAGCTGAAGGAAGCTGCTCAGTCTGGTTCATACCGGTCTGCTCCTGCTCAGACTGTGTGCCGGTGACTTGACTTAGGCGCACATCCGCGCACACACACACACACACACACACACACACACACACACACACACACACACACACACACACACACACTCTCTCTCTCTCAGGCTGTTCATGACATCTCAAACATACTAACACAGACAGACTGATCTGAGGTGAAGCTGAGTGGCTGCTGAGCTGGCAGCGTGTCGACGGGGATCTGCTCGACTTGAGATTTTCAGACAAACACAAACAGAGAAATGAGGAAGTGACAGAGGTCATGTTCTCTCTTTTATAGGGTGTAGTTCAGTTTATCTCGGCTGTGAAAACACACAACGAAACGCCTCAGCCTGAAATATCAGGATTTCGCGACTTTGGCTGGTTTTCTGCTCTGTGTGTGTGTGAGGAGTTTGTTTTTTATTTGTTTAACTCTGACAAATATGAAGGTGTGTTTTTCTTCAAATCCTCACAGAGGCCCATTTAGACAAAAATCTACAACTCAAATATCGCAGAATAAAAAATGCTAACTGACTTTTAAACTTTGTCGTATCAGAAACCAAAGTTGTTTGTCCTACAATCTTTAGACGCTTAGTATCAAAAATGATGAGTTTGCCTCATAAAAATAACAAAGTAAAGCAGAAAAAGGATCAAATATAACAAACCTTAAACTTTTTGTTCAAACTTTTAGTCACAAAAATGATCCTGAGTTACAGCTTGTCCACAAAAGTTAGTAATTAGTACCAGATTAATTCAATCTTCAAATTTAACTAACTTTCAGTCACCAAAATGTGTCAAAATGATGACTCAGCAACACCAAATAATGACTCAGCACGGCAAACTTGTGGATTATTATCTAAAAATAAAGACGATGATCATTAATAAAAGATGTATCATAAAAAAAAACATGCTGTCTTAAATATGACAAATTTACAAAATTCTGTCTAAATTCCTGAAAAGGAAAAATTTTTAGTCTGAAAATGAAGCTGTAGAGTTTCTTAAAATCACAAAATCATCATCTAGCGTCTCAAAAGTAAAGACTTAAATGAAGTGGTATCTTCAAAACTCTAAAACACACTGCCTCAAAATGATTTCTTAGTATTACTGAAATGACAAAGAAATAACTGTGTGTGTGTGTGTGTGTGTGTGTGTGTGTGTGTGTGTGTGTGTGTGTGTGTGTGTGTGTGTGTGTGTGTGTGTGTGTGTGTTTTAGCAGATGGTGTGGAAGCTTCAGGTCAGTCACTCAAACTCTCTCTTTGCGTTTCAGACGAGGACTGTCCAGAAGAAGGTCTGACCGTTCTGCACCCAGGACTTCACGAGTTTGCCTTCAGCTTCAACCTGCCGCAGATGTTAGTACCAATGAAGTATTAATGAAGTACTTTTACTCAGTTTGAAGTATAAAAGCTAAGTTTTTACTTCAGTAAAGCAGCTTAAAAGTTTAACTCAAATGAGCCGGTCCACTTTCAGTCGAATCACTGCAGCTATGATCCGTGTGTGTAACGTTCCCCTTCGATTGAAGGACCACTGCAAAAACTTAACGAATGAGTAATCCCGGAAAATTTCGGTGAAGTGTGTATCAAAGCTTGTTTTGATGACATATGTGATGACGTCTGAAGCCTCGTGAGTATATTTTTTCATAGGATGGTAGGAGAAGGTCCCGCCCTCCTTTGCCTCCGATTGGCTAGAGGTGCTCGGCTCCAATTGGTTATTTCCTATGGCTGTGAAACATCATCATCTGTTGGGTTAGGGTTAGGAGATTCAGAATTGCGAAAATGTTCTGTAATGTTCTGCCGACAGCCCGTGCTCGGCTAGATCGTGTGATGACGTTTCACAGCCAATGAGAGGCAAAGGAGGCAGAACCTTCCCCTACCATCCAAGGAAAAAAAAATCGTAAGCCAGCCGTATGACGAGACTGATTCAAGTTTGCGGGTATGGTGGATGATTAAAAAATATAAGTCTGTTAGGCAAGTTAGACAGCTGATAGACACAAGCACATCCACAAAGACTGTCACATAGATGAAATAAATAAATGAAATATAGACTGTCATACAAGAAATTAAAATATCGATTGTGGTCTCAGCCTTGACAACTCGTGCAAAGTGACTCACAAGTTGGCCCTTGTGTACAAATAGCTGTGAAATAACTGTACTTCATGATTAAGTTTTTTTTTTTCTCAAAGAAAATCTGCCATTTCAATATGTCCAAACATCCCGACTCATAGCCACGTTATTAAGGTCTGTAATAAACAAATCTGTCAAGATTTCAGCGAGTTAAGAGTATTTTTGATCATGCAGATTACTCACCTTCCCTCAGCTACCATAGAGTGTACTAGAATGGTATACCGGGGTAAGATGACCGCCATGTAGGGACGCCGGTGACTCGAGTCATCTAGCCTTCTTATTCATATCTATGCATCTCACCATCACTAACATTAACGTAGTATTAGCTTCGCTTGTTAGCTTTAGTAACGCGATATAATATATGAAGTATGCTAACTTCGGTAAATATAAACAAACTTTATGTAAATCACGAGCCATACTTGGTTGAAAACACACACGAACGCACAATAGTCAACTTAAAAATCCACCTCGTATTTGATGGCAATATTTCGCAGTAAACTTTAGGACCCCAAAACTGCCTGTATCAATGCCTGAACAAAAATGGGTTGAATCCCAAGGATCCCGGGCTGCCCAAACAGGTGTCCGAACAAAACCTACTTGAAGTGGGTTTCAATACATAGATAGGAAAAAACAAAGGAAATTTATAACACAATTGTAAGAGTAAAGAGGCGCAACTTTCCCTCTTATAAAAAATACACATCCATCACTTTCTCCACATATTTTTCATCATTCTGGCTGCAGCTGCACACTTTAACACCAAGATCAAATTACAAACAATTATTTTTACTCATTACACGCTACACTGCTCTACATGCAAAGGTGCAAACTTTAAATGCACTGTGCATTAAATTAAACTGAATGTATTCTTCATTTTTGAGCTTGCTTCAGAGTTCTGCACGAGAGTCTGATTTTCTGGAGGTTTTTCAGGGTTTTTTTTTGCCCCATTTTGATGAAAAGTACAATCACATCTCATGTAGTTATAACTTTGTTTGAGCAACACCTTTAAATCAATCTTTTACAAAGTGCTTTGACGGACAGAACAAAAGCAGAAACTCAAGAGGATGACAAAGTTCAAGCAATGCAAAAACAAACCGAAGCACAAAAGCTTGGTGAGAATAAAAGCAATAAACACGTTGAGCTTCAAGGGCAGTGGAGCAATCAATCAATAAATCACCTTAGATTAAAGCTTTGAAGGGTGATAAAAAGGTAATAAGACGTGCGAAACATTCAAGTGTGTTACATGTGGTTAAAATGCTGCAATGTATCATGGGGGTTTGAGGTTTTAAAGTTTAGAAAAACAGATCCACCCAGAGGCATTCAATCCACACTCAGAGTATAGCATTTATCTGGTTATACTTCAACAGATTTAATCAAGTGTTTGTTTTAAAGCCGTTTTAAGGATTTTTCACGCTAGACCACCCACCCTTCATTTCCTTTCCTACACCCCTCTCTTTTCTCCTCCACCCTTTCTCACCGTCCTCTTCCTCTCGTCCGTCAGGGCCCTGGCCACTTCGTTCGAGGGGAAGCACGGCAGCGTGAGGTACTGGGTGAAAGCTGAACTGCACCGTCCGTGGCTGCTCCCGGTCAGAGTGAAGAAAGAGTTCATTGTGTTCGAGCACATCGACATCAACACGCCGCTGCTGCTGGTACGAACGCTGCACGTCTGCCTGGCTTCATTACGGCTAAAATAAGAGATAACAATGCTCCCACTCTCATGTCCGTACACCAAATATGAAGCTCTGCTGAATTTTATCTCAATACGGTGAATTATATAGAGAGAAAGGGTTCTGGTGCAAGTAGACCTCTGCTTTAATCCAGACTTTTATGATAAAACCGTATAAGTATCCTGACACTTTCTCATGTTTCGCCCCAATCTGAATATTTGCTCCTTTTAAAAGTCACAAATGGTGGAGGCAGGCCAAACTGTAGCATCGTCCACCCCCACTAGGGGGCATTTCAAGGTGTTCCCAGATGAGTTTGAACCCTCACCTTTAAGTAAAGAGTGAAAGATGAAGATCCTGAATACGAGAGGATGAAAAGAGTTTCCTCAGCTGCAGAGATAAGGTCAGGAGCCCAAAGTAGAGCCAGCGAGTGGTTCGAATAGTTGTGATCACGACCCTCCTGGGAGATTTTCCAGGCATGTCCAAGTAGTAGAGACCTCAGGGTGGACCAAGGACTCACAGGAGTTTTTTTTTAATGGGCCTAGATAAGTGCTTGAAGTACCATTTTTACAAATTTAACCTCCAAGAGCATTTGTTCGTGTTTTGCACAATTTTCATTCAAAAAGAGGCTTTAATCGATTTGTCCTCTGTAGTTTCCAGTCAAGGTTAAAAGCTGAGTCAAAAGATCTTCTCTCAATTTATTATTATGCTTTCAGGGCTTTAAAGGCTCGACAAGGCAGAGAGAAAAAGATGTCAGATTAAAACCTCAGTTCAGTTTTGGTAAAGGCAATTTTTAGCTGAAATTCTTGACATGAGCTCTAAAATATAAACCCGAAAACCTCTTAAGTACAGAGGATTAAATCAGACTCTCTGTGGTCCACTTCCTGTAGGTTTCAGTCCTCTTTGGACTTCTCTTCTTCTGCTGTAATCATTAAAAAAAACCTAAAGATGAGTTTCTTCTTTAATAAAAATACTCTGATTTAGTTTTATGGTTCAGGTTTTATTAGCAGGACAGATCTTTGAGATCTGCATGTGGAGTCCCCCAGGGGTCAGTCCAACCACTCCTTTTTCTGCTGATAACATGTGAGGTTCCTGATATATGCAGATGATACTCAAATTATCCAAAGTGAAATAACTTGATAGTATCCGAACTTGTTTCATTTGAGTCTTAAGGTCCTTACACCGGGAACGTCGCAAATATACGACGCGAAATTACGAAATATTTGGAGGTGAATTTTGACGCACCTGTCTATTCACATCAAGTGTGATGCGATTTTGCAACTTTCTGGGGGGGAAAAAGATGCATCCCAGGTGGAAGCGAGAAGACTGACCCAACAGCAGACTGACTGTTTTTCAGTTCTGATTAGACACTAGTGTTGAGATGTCTGACTGTCTGCATGTACTGAGTCGGGGCCAGTACCAGATAAGCACAATAAACTATAATCCATAAACGTAAGGTAACAACTGAGACCTAATGGTGCTGTGACAGCAATGCGATTGGGTTTGAGACAGTGAAAATACATATGGTATGAACAGGTTAGTTTACGAGCTCAAGTTACTTAGCACAGATGAAAGTTAAAACAAAGACATTTAGCAAAGTGACACACAAACCATCGTCATATGAGAAATCCGACGCTATGACTCTCCACAAGTTGTCCTTCAGGTCGTTATCTTTGTAATGTTTGTGTCTTTTATCAAAAAGCACTCTGTTCTCTGAGACGTAAACAATCAGCTGATCAGCTGATCAGTTGGATATACCGGTGAATCAGACGTCACAACAACACGCAATCTGATTGGTCAGAAGTGGACACACAGTATGCGAAACTTGAGAAAATTTGACCGTGAGATGAAAAAATAAATGCTGCAGTATTGCAGGACAGGAAAACGTCACTGATGTGAACGCTTGTATTGACAGGATACAGGTTCAAAAAAAATATTGACGTCCGAAATAATTGCACGAAAAAAACGCTCCCGGTTTGAAAGGACCTTAACTGAAACGGTCACAGTGAGAAACTTTTTGGTTGTGTTGATTCTGGCGCCCCCTGTGGACAGAGCGGTTTGGACCATATTGAACATCTCTTGTCTTGCTGACTGTTATTTTTGTTTGTTCTTTTTTTTGGAGGGGGGTTAATTTTTTCAATAGTGCAGGAAACAGGAAGAGAGAGTGACGTTTCTAAGAAGTCGCAGGTTTTTCAGATTTCAGCCTCATATTCGGGGTACAGGTGTGAGAGTGGGATCAATCTTCTCTTCTCGGTCACTCGGTTAAGAAAGTTTGATTCCTGAAATGTGTTTCTTTTTTTTGGAGCTTTCAGAAGAAGACCAAATATTTTAATCAGCTGTTTTAATTGTTTGTGAACAGGCTCCTCAGGCCGGTACAAAGGAGAAAACTTTGTGCTGCTGGTTTTGTGCTTCCGGCCCTATCTCCCTCAGTGCCAAGATAGAACGAAAGGGCTACACACCAGGTGAGCCCCCACCTCCTCCACCCATCTTTTCTTCTTCTTCTTCGTCTTCTTCTGCTTTGTCTCTACCTTCTCACTTATCTCGTTTCTCTCTCAGTCTGACGGACTGATCTCTGCTCCTTCTCTCCCAGGCGAGTCCATCCAGATCTTCGCCGAGGTGGAGAACTGTTCTTCCAGAGTCGTGGTTCCCAAAGCTGCACTGTACCAGACTCAGACCTTCTTTGCTAAGGGGAAGGGGAAACAGATCCAGCAGCTGGTGTCCAACCTGAGAGGAGACCCTCTGCCACAGGGGAAGAGCCAGAGCTGGGAGGGAAAGCTGCTCAAGATCCCCCCGGTGTCCCCGTCCATCCTGGACTGTCCCATCATCAGAGTGGAGTACGCCCTTGTGGTGAGTCCGGGTTTTTCTGATGTAAAGATTGACATACAGACCGAAAACTGGATTATTTCAGCTCAAAATATTTGATTAAAGTCCAAAAATCATACACCAGGAGTTTCTGAGAGTACTGATTTATATTTACAAAGACAAAGAATAATCTTAGTAAAACAGCACAGAAGTTAAATTCACTAAAAGGCTGAAAACAAAGCCATCTTTTGTACTTTAGATCAACATTTCATACTCAGAAAGTTCAAGTTAATAATAACAAATAAATGCAAATAATTACCTGTATTAAACCATAATAATGACCTAACCTGCACCTGCTAGTTACCTGCTCATAACCAGATTAATCTCGTTTTAAAAACCGACCAATGAGGAAAAATGTCAGCTCACCTGCTCCTATTTTACAAACAAAAATCTGCTGCATACATTTACAAAAAAGCAAACAATGCAACTCCTGACACAGAGCAAATAACCTCCTGATAGCCTGTTTACTGCCTGTTGATGCATTACTAGCTCTGCAAACTACGGTGGCCCTGAAGGTCAACTGCCCAAATACTTCAAGACTGCAAAAAAACCATTTAACTGTGTTTCTCAAAACTGATGAATACTTGATAAAACATGCAAATATTTCACTGAAACACAAGAATGTCTCAGGAAATACAATAAAAAAACGTGGAAAATATTTTGAATTTTGTAAAAAAATATTATTTTAATTCAATTTTTTTAATTTTTAATTTGGCATTTGTCTCCTGAATATTGTTGTTTTCTGTCCTTGACCTTCAGGGCCACCATACTGAATACTCTCCTGTTTTCAGTCTCTTAAAGTAAAAATTATAAAAACCTGCAAAACCTGCATGTTAGTGACCCACTTCTGCATTTTAACAACCAAATAACAACTGTCTAAACCTGCAGAGTCAGTGTGTTAAAATACTCAAGAAACACAAGAAATTACTCTGAATAATCAGTTCAGTATCAAAAAAAGAACAAAATGCACTAAAGAGACAAAATTATTTTTATAAAATGTTCAGTGAAGAGGAAATTAAAAAAAATACTTAGAAACACAGCGAAGAAATACAAGATATACAGTTTAGATTCATAAATCAAATTAAAACAAAAATCCTGTAAAATCTGATTTAAGAAGCAAAAGGAAAGTTTAAAATATTCAGTATTTTGAAAAAATAGTTTATAAATGTTTTTTTTTTTTTGGTCACGGGCTGAAAGAGAGGTTCAGGGACGTCTCAGTGAGTGTATTTTTTAATAAATGTCTGACATAGAAAGACAAAATATGCTGTTAAGATTTCACAAAATAGCGACAACAAAACATGCAAAATTAAAAATAAAATGTCTTAAATCCTGAGATTTAGTAAAAAGTTCAGCCAAAATCCAAAAACACTGAACTAAAATAAAAGAGAACATAAAAGTGGGTAAAATATCAGTCTCTTTAAATAGAAATTTAAAAACCTGCATGTTAGTGACCCACTTCTGAATAAACTAACAGCATTTAAACAACCAGGTAACTACATCTAAACCTGCAGAGTCAGTGCGTTAAAATTAACCTACAAATACCTGCGACTGACCAACTGAAACAGGCAGAACAAGGTCGAACAAGCGCGCGGAAGCAGGCTAACTCAACTCATCTTTATTTGCAAAGCACTTTAAAACAACCACAGCTGAACAAAGTGCTGTATGTAAATAGACAAAACAATGCAAACATAAAAAACAATCAAAAACAATGGATAAAAAAAACAGATATTAAAATGAAAAATATAGTTTCTATGTTTTTAAAAACTAATTTAAAAACATAGAAACAAATAACTAAGAACAAACCATAAAACACTAAAACAGGAGCCGAGTCTCATGCAGGGTTGAAAGCCAATGAATAAAAATGGGTTTTAAGACGAGTTTTAAAAATGGACAGTGTGGCGGCTTGTCTGGTTTGTAGGGGTAGCTTGTTCCATAATTTTGGGACCGTAACAGAAAAAGATCTATCCCCTCTGAGCTTCACTTTGGACCTCGGTACCTCCAGGAGCAGCTGATCAGCTGACCTGAGGCACCGAGCAGGGGTGTAGGGGTGGAGAAGCTCAGAGAGGTAAGATGGAGCCAGACCATTTAAAGATTTAAAAACAAATAAAATAATCTTAAAATGAACTCTAAAGTGCACGGGTAACCAGTGGAGGGAGGCCAGGCTAAAATGGAGACCTCCTGAGCTTGCATAAACAGTGGGGTAGGATTATATTATTTGGATTGAATTGAAAGAACAAAATAACCTGAAATAGCAGAAATAATATATTAAGTATATAACTTTAGAGACAAAGTGAATCAAAGCTGCAGAACTTTATTAGTCACAAAAAAACAAAATCATGCTTTTATTTTGAAATCCACCGCCGGCACATGTCAGGTGTGAGACATTTGTGTTATTTTGACATCCTCAGTGAGGTTCAGGATGGTTCTTGTTTTGATCAGAGAGCAGGAAGTCGTGGTAGGAGTTTGTCCTGTTCTACTTTGTCAGCCTGTTATGAAACGTCTCAGGTGATGTGCATGTGAAATCCCTCAGCACCCACAGAGACACGAACAGGCATAACTGGATCCAGCAGGACAAAATGTTTGCTAAAATGGTTTGTTGTTAAAGTCTGAAACACTCCCTCCCTCCCTGCCTGCCTGCAGGTGTATGTTGATGTTCCCGGTGGTCTGAATTTGTCGCTGTCATTGCCATTGGTGATCGGGACCATACCTCTGCACGCCTGCGCCTCCCGCACCTCCAGCATCAGCAGCAACTGCAGCACGCTGAGCTGGCTGGGCCTGCAGGAGAGGCCTGAAGGTACGGAGCGCCAACATGAGCGTGCACATCCTCTTGTTTGATTTCCAGACGGCACGCAGAGATCTCTGACCCTCATGTTTTTGTTTTTCTGCAGCTCCGCCGAGTTACAGCGATCTGGCGATATCAGAGACTGAAAGGCGGGACTGTCTGCAGGGCTGTGATAGGTCTGACAGCGAGGGAGAGGACCAGGGATCTCTGCTTACATACATCACAGAGTTCAGATATCTGCCCCCACCACTCTACTCTGAGGTACGGCTAATACCCACACACACCCACCCAGATATAAACACACACACACACACACACACACACACACACACACACAGATTCACACGCAGAGATACACACCGTGGCAGCAAAGTGACTAAGATAGCATAAACATATAAAACAGCTGTCACACCCTGTTAAAGAGCAAAAACGGTGTGGTATAAATAAGATAAAACAGATGCAACACCAGAGGAGAAGCTGTGCAGAAATGGTTTGAAGGGTGTCCACTTAAGATGCAATAAGAAGTGCAAAAGATAGTGTCAGTGTAATATAAAAACTGTGCAAAATATCCAGATAAGCTGCAGTGAAAAAACTTACAAAAACAAGTGTTCAGTTTTACTTGGAGAAGTCTCCTGGTGAGATGCATGGAAAGAGTATAAAATTTTTAAACCGAGTTACAAGATCATTCAAGAATCCAGTTTTGGTGCAAAACAGAGTCAAAAGTATCGGATTAAAAAGTGAAATATGTGCTGCAGAAAAAAACTCTCTCAGTTTCATCCTGAGCAGAAAAGTGCAGAGAAAGAGTCGAGTTAAAAGAGTTAAAATACTCCGTTAGGATGCAAGAAATGACGCTGAATAATCAGTTTAGTATTAAAAAAAAGTACAAAATGCACTAAAATGACAAAAATATTTTTTTAAATATTCAGTGAAGAGGAAATAGGAAAAACACTTTGGTGGAAACACAGCGAAGAAATTCAAGATATACAGTTGAATTTCAAACATTCAAACAAAAATCTTGTAAAATCTTATTTAACCCTTGTACCTTATTAAGGTTTCTGGAGGGGTAAGGCCTTGTCTTTGATGCTATAACTTTTTTTCTATTAATGCCCTTGCAAAGAAATTCCTAGAAAATGTGTATTTTGTGATGAGGCATGATATACCTGAAATTGAAGAAAAAAAACCCTATGGTTATGGTTTTTTCTTCGAATATGCTTAATCTTGCATTAGCGCCACACAAGTGCCCCATGCATTCCAATGGGAAACCACTTGTCTTTTACATATACCCATATCAGTGGGAAAAATGAATTTCAGCAAAGACTGTTTTCCCCCTTTTCTGAAGACATTAAAGATGCACTGTGCACTTTCAGCCACAAGGTGCACCTTTTTTTTCATGAATAATAGAGGCTGATCTAGCCAGGTGGTCAAAACCCCATTATTCCTTATGGGAATTTGGCAAAAATTACAATATTCAAAAATCAAAAAATGCACATAATTTTATCACTAATAAAATTAAGCATTTTTTAATCTTATTTTTACCATTTTACTTTATTTGGGCATGAATCTGTCTCAAATTTGTTATTCTGGTGTTTTTTAATTTTTTTTACCATTTTGGTCAGTTTGACACACCCGTAAACCACAGCCTATGATAGATGCAGTCTTTTGGAAGGAAAATCTGCTACCTGTTTGTAATATACTGCCACAAGAGTTATTTTTCCCCCCATTTTTTTGCATTTTATCTTGAGTCTATTTCCAATCCAACTTTTTCAAATTATGAATGCTGAAATTTCATTTGTTTTCATATTCGTTATTGACCTTCAGTGAGAGGCCATTTTTTGCAAAAAAACAAAAGTGGACTGTAGAAGTGAATAAATCAGGTGTGCATGTATTTTTTTTTCTGTGTTAGTGTTTTCCGTGTGTGCATGGTCGTGTGTGTTCGTGTGCAAATGTTTGTGCACGCGCATGATCTTGCGCGCGCTCGTCACAGCCAGCGATTGCGTTCATGGCACATGCGCCCCAAGCGTCCGAGGTTGCCCCGGGTACAGCCGCCCCGTTACCCGTGATCAGATAGCCTTAGGCCCGCGTCAGCAAAGGCGGGGAGCCGCTGGCTGCTCTGGAGGTGGTAACCTCACCTCACCACTCGAAAACGGGGGTGTCGGATGGTCGTCGCCGGCGAATTTTACGCGCTTCGCGGCGGGGACACACACACACACACACACACACACACACACACACACACACACACACACACACACACACACACAAAGCTCATCCCCAACGGGGTTTTGCATCCGGCAGTCCGACGTAACTCGTAGGCTAATTGCTGTGCCGCGCCACCTGATCTGGAGGTACCGCCCCTCAGCTCCACAGATCGTAAGCACACACACACACAGACACACACACGCACACACACACTCGCACGCCGGCACACACAAACACTCGCTCGCAGGTACACGCGCGCGCGCACGCACGCACAAAGGTACACACAAACACCCACACACGCACATACATGTTTCAAACTAAAATTAAAAGGATTAAAAGTTTGAAAATAGTTGATTTTTTCTTTTGAGTGGTTAGAGCAGAAGTCAATGATGACAGCCATGATAAAAAAAGGGCAACTTTTCATTTGTAGATGACTTTATAGGCCACAAAGACAGTGGCAGTTCCGTGCCACTAATGCAAGATTAGTCTTTTTTTTTTTATTTTAGGCTGTGACGCAAAAACTGAAACTGCAACTAAAACTAATTTCACACATACTCATACCACTCATAGGTTCTGATAATCCTGCACAAAGAAATTTGATTTTGCATTACTCTTATAATTTTTAGCCCTTTTTTTAAATTTTGGGCATTTTTTACGGTGTGTTTACACTAAAGTTAAAAAGGTTAAAAGTTTGAAAGTGGGTGATTTTTTATTTTGAGTGGTTAGAGCAGAAGTCAATGATGACAGCCATAATAAAAAAAGGGCAACTTTTCATTTGTAGATGATTTTATAGGCCACTAAGTGACAGTGGCAGTTCCGTGCCACTAATGCAAGATTAGTCGTTTTTTTTTATTTTAGGCTGTCACGCAAAAACTGAAACTGCAACTAAAACTAATTTTACACATACTCATACCACTCATAGGTTCTGATAATCTTGCACAAAGAAATTTGATTTTGCATTACTCTTATTATTTTTAGCCCTTTTTTTTTAAATTTGGGCATTTTTTACAATGTGTTTACACTAAAATTAAAAGGGTTAAAAGTTTGAAGCTGGGTGATTTTTTCTTATGAGTGGTTAGAGCAGAAGTCAATGATGACAGCCATGAAAAAAAAAGGGCAACTTTTCATTTATAGATGATTTTATAGGCCACTAAGTGACAGTGGCAGTTCCTTGCCACTAATGCAAGATTAGGGATTCTATGTTAATAAGGTAGCAGGGTTAAGATGCAAAGGTTTAAAATATTCAGTATTTTTAAAAAATGGTTTATGAATTTATTTATTTTTTTGGTCAGGGTCGGAAACAGAAGTTCAGGGACGTTTTGGTGAGTGTATTTTTCAATAAATGTCTGACATAAAAGGACAAAATATGCAGTTAAGATTTCACAAAACAGTGACGACAAAACCTGCGAAATAAAAAAGAAATTCCTAAAATCCTGAGATTTAGTAAAAAGTTCAGCCAAGATCCAAAAACACGAAACTAAAAAAAAAAAGAACATAAAAGTGGGTAAAATATCCAAAAAGGTGCGACAAAAAAAAACATAAAATATCTGTTAATGATGAAGTTAAAGTTAAAGACAGACAAAAACAAAGACAGGATTTCAACTTTTGAAAGGAAACAAAAAGTTTACTGGAGTAACAAAGGAGTTTATTTATCCAATAAAGATGCAAACAGAATAAAGGAAGTAAATCCAAATAACATTCAACAATCAAACACAAGGAAAATATTAGTTGAAGGGTTAAAAAATAAAGTGTGAATGATCCAAAGAGTGAGGAAAGAGCAGTAATTGATTAAGGGAAAAACATTCAGTCTCCAATAATCAATAATACGAGTTTAAAGGTGGAGATTCACTAAAAAAAAAAAAAGAAACAGCAGCTGAAAAAGTTAAAAATAAATCCACTTTAGATCTGACATAAATGAAAAGTCTATTCAGTTTTTTAAATCAGCTGTCTGAGCTGCTGTGGCTCGCTGTGATTTCCTGGTTTCGCACGCCGCCCCGTCTGCAGCCCATACTGATGCAGTTCTCCCTCTGCCCCCCTTTCAGGTGGACCCCTACCCTGACTCCGTGGAGGTGTGCAGGTCCGCTGACGTCAGGAGACCCGACACGTGTCCGTCCCGCTGAGGAGAGCTGGAGAGCTCAGAGGGCTTCTGCACAAACTTGACACCGTCACCCCCAGCTTCTCACCAGATCATATATCAGCGTAAATACCGCCGCAGACCCTCCCTCACGGGGGGGAGTCAGCTGAGAGAGGATCAGGTGACCGCTGACATATGGACCAGGGATTTTCGAGCCACGCTGGATCCTCCGTATCCCGCTCCAGACGAGGCGAATGAAAAGGTTCTCTCTGACACCACTATGACTCTGAGGAGGCCGCAAACAAAGATGGTGGTCAGGAGATGCCTCCTCCTGCCTCACAGAGGATTTTGCACATACCGTTGTTACTGTTTTTTAAGGGTGGGTTTTTTTATACTCTGCAGACTGCCGCAGGCCTTTACGCTCCAGTAGATTCTGTCCACCGTGTAAACATGATTCAAGCTTAAAGGCACATTTAAAAGAGGACTTAAGTGTCCTCAGAGTCCAGAGAGTCGGAGACCTGAGCGTGCCGGAGGTCTGTAACTGAAACTTTAGAGAACAAACCAGAAAAAAAAACACACTTCCTGAAGTTTCTCCTGATAAACGACCACCTCGAGCACTTAAATCAAAGCTCAAAAGTGTGTGTGTGTGTGTGTGAGAGAGAGAGAGAGAGAGAGAGAAAAAGTGTGTGTGTATGTGTGTGTGTGTGCGTGTGGGGAGGGGGGTTAATTGACCAGATATAAACTGAAACAGGGTCTAGAGAAAAAGCACAACTCCGACCAACCCAGAAAAAAGTACCACAAGTCGCCTGCTGGTTTCTGCTCTGAACTGAAGCTTCCCACGCTGTCAATTTTTTCTAAACACGTTACGAAGCTTTGTGCTCAAAAAGAGAAAAAAAAAACAGAAAAAGAAGAAATGTTTACAGATGAATTTATCAAATCAAGAATGTTGTTCAAACATGAAATCTTCCACCTGAAACTTCAAAGTACCAAGTGCAATATATTTTTGTATTTGTGATTTTTTGCACTAGTTTTTTCATATACTCTGTTGCTGTTTATTCCATTTCTGTGCATTATATATTATTGACATGATCTTACTGCTGTCATGATCAACTTTTGATAAAATAAAAAGTTTATTTTATAAAATATTTTTATAACTTTTTCTGTTTTTTTGAAGAATAAGATCATATTACTCATGATAAGTCAGACTTTATTGGACCACGGTCCATATATTATCCGTACATTCAATTATTCCATTCAATCTATCTATTATATATTCAGTTTTGAACTAAAAATATGAAAACAAACACTAATCTTTTATTTTTTGGTCATATAGAAAAACAAATAAACAAAATGACTTTCTTTTTTGTTTTTCGTTTAGATTGAATGGAATACTTGAATGGACGGATAATACATGGACCGACCACTTTTCACTGAGCTGTCCATTTTGCACCAAAACTTCAGAGCGGGTCACAGAATCAAAAGTTTTGAACTTTTATTTTCTCTGATTGTCATACTCACTGAATCACTGTTTACAGAAACGATGAAGGTTTGAGTCCATGTGCCTTTTTTTTTGTTGAGTTTTTAATACTGAGAGGACACCCAACAGAATTAAGACTTTTAAACTTTTGCAGGAACTTCCTGATAACCGTCTTTATTTTCTGATGAATTACCAAAAAGACACCCTAGCTCTTTTTATTAATTGGAAGGACATCCAGATGACACTTTTTCCACGCCTGTAGACTTGAGGGGCCCTGGACAGCATGTTTTAAGAATTTGGATAATGAAAGGAGAAATAAAGAGAGCACTTTTAACACTTTTTTTTGCATCCAGAGCATCCAGAGGCACTTTTTCCATGTTGTATACACTGCAAGAGCATCTGATTAATATGGTTCAAAGTCTTCGATTCCACTAAGCATTTTTTGGTCTATAAGGGGTCAAATGGACGTCTAAATGAAGCCTAGACGATTGGTCTAAAATCAGGCTACCACAGATCTAAAAATGGAAGTTTTAAGATGTTTAAATTTAGACAAAGTCTAAATCTGGGCTATATCAATACTCCACTGTATATTGCTCAACGGCTACAATAATTATTTTGGTTAAGTACTTGGAGATCAGTTATGCAACTCACAGTTGCTTTTTGAAATAAATAGTTATCAAATAAGGGGTTAGAGTGCAACGTCTAAATTCCATCTAAAAATATACAGAATCTAGAAGTTTGAAATTAGGTCTAAAAAAAAAAAATTTGATGTCTAATAGACGTCTTTTTCTTAGTAGGATACTAGGAGGGAATCTAGAGGGAACTTTCAAATCATCTAGATGACACTTTCTCACAATTCATACAGTGAAACACCTTCCAGTTAGAAACTTTGGCACCATGTTAACATCGAGGGGGCACTTCTTTATTAATGTTATATACACAAGAAGAGCATCGAAATAGCATGTGTTTATGTTTTGCATGATGGAAGAGTATCAAAAGGACTTTTTACAAAAAAAAATTGTGCTGAAAGAGCATCCAGAAAACATGTCTTAAGGTTTTACCTCCTGAAAAGTCATAACGACTGCATTTTTGTTTTTAAATTTACATTTGTTGCAGAAGTGAGGCATCCATAAGTCACTTTGTTCATTTAAAAATTGCTAGGGCATCCAGACGGCCCTGTCTCCACATTTTATACACCTGATGAACTTTCTGATAGCTTTTTTTTCAGTTTAGCACAATGACTGAGCATCAAAAGAGAACTTTTCAATTGTTTTTGCATCAGAAGGACATCCAGGTGATACTTGAGTCACAGCATGTTTTGGGATTTTGTACAATCAAAGGGCATGACAATAGCACTTTTTTTCAATTTCAGCATGAGGAGATCATGCAGAGACATTTGGTTAACATAGTTTAAAGTCTTACATACTAGGAGGGAATCTAGAGAGAACTTTAAGAGCATCAAGATGATACTTTCTCACTCTTCATACAGTGAAGCACCTTCCAGTTAGAAACTTAGGCACCATGTTCATGTTGAGGGAGCACTTTTTGACACTTTTTCTTACACTTTTACACTGTTTCATCATCCAGGTGGCACTTCATTTATGTTATATACACAAGAGGGGCATCAAGATAGCATGTGTTTAGGTTTTGCATCCTGAAAATCATCATGACTGCGCTTTTTAAATTTTTTTTTGCATTGCTAGGGCATCCAGAGAGCCCTGTCTCTACATTTTATACACCTGATGAACTTTCTGAGGGCTTGTTTTTAGGTTTAGCACAATGACTGAGCATCAAAGGAGAACTTTTTAATTTTTGCACCAATAGGACATCCAGGTGACACTTTAGTCACAGCATGTTTTTGGATTTTGCACATTTAAAGGGTGTGTCGGGAGCACTTTTTTTCATACATTAGCAGGGCACATAGATCGAACTTTTTTTTTTATGTTTAACACCCTGGCATGTTATTCGAATAACATGATCTTACATTTTGCAGACTGGAACAGCATCAAGATGACACTTTTATCTAAACTTTTTGCACCAGTAAGGAATCCAGATGGACATAAACACAGATAATGCAGCTCAGAGGCAAAACTATGAAAGTTTATGAATCAGAAAATGTTGCTTTGACTTGTTTGAGGTTCCTCATGTTTTGAAGTTTTCTCAAAGTTGTGAGTTAAGTTTTGGACAAGATACAGAAAGAAACCTCCAGACGCTGAAGTAGCAAAATTTTATGGAGTCCTCTCGCTGAAATGTAAAAGAAGTCAACTTGTCTCCCACAGTCCAAGTGACAGATCCCGGTATTTTTCTCTCTGCCTTGTTGAGCCTCAAAGCCCTGAACTGCTCTGCTGTTGTGTGGTCTTCTGCAGTAGCAGCTGCTCCTCCATCCTTCTTCTCTCTCAGCCTGTTTAAGCTTCTGCTCCGCTGATTCCTGATTTCCAGTCTGATGGGGTTACAGCAAACCAAATGTAGGACAACTCTCACGTGAGCTGCTGACCTAAATCCCCATCGCAGACAGACAAAATGCATGCAGGGAGAAAATATAATTTGAGTAATGACATTTACACCCCCCCCCCACCCCCCGCTCTTTAATAACCTGTAATAAACAACTGCGAGAGCTCTGAGCCAAGATGTTGGTGCGTGTTTTTCCTCACAGCTAAATGAATTTAAGAGTCACACGCCATGTGAGCATTCGCTTATTAAGGCACATTATTGGATGATGGACTCAGACATACACACTCGGGTCGTGTGTGTGTGTTTTTGTGTTTATAGGTTAAACGGGGATTTGCTGTAGGCTGTGCGGGATGAACGGAGGAATATTTGGGGAAGACGTCAGATTAAAACCTCAGCTCAGTTTTGGTAAAAGCGATTTTTAGCTGAAGTTCTTGACATGAGCTCTAAAATATAAACCCGTTTTTCTGAAAGTACAGAGGATTAAATCAAACGCTCTGTGGTCCACTTCCTGCAGGTTTCGGCTTTTTTTCGACGTTCTTCTTCTGCTGTAATCATGAATAAATCCAACAGATGAGGTTTTTCTTTCATGAAAATACTCTGATTTAGTTTTATGGTTCAGGTTTTATTAGCAGGACAGATCTGCATATGGAGTTCCCCAGGGGTCAGTCCTTCAACCACTCCTTTTTCTGCTGACAACATGTGAGGTTCCTGTTATATGCAGATGATACTCAGCTGTACCTGTATTTGAATCCTGATGATTTCAACCATCCTAAAGGGATATTCGGGTGTAAAATTAATTTAGGGTCAAACACACTGTAACACCGAGCTGGACACCCCCTCCAGAGATGAATTTTGATAGCTGCTTGCTTCTCTAGTTATATCAACTTTAGTAACGACCGCAGGATAGTAATACAGAGAGCCACCCACTCAACTAAAGTGCCACTCTATAGACGAGTTTCTGTGAAACGTCATCTCAGATATGCGTGCGCAGCCCTGGGGCAGAAAGCAGGACATCTCTTATTTGTTTACTAGCAGAGTCAATGGAGAAAGAAAACGACAAGGAGCTGTTGTGCTGTAAATTACATTAATCGGCAAAACAAACAATTGGCAAACATTACGACCCTGCTCCTGATATTAGAAACATCTAAAACAACATCACAACCCATGTAAATTGAGTGAAATTCATGGATATTTCAGCAATTGGTTTTCTGATTTTGATGCAATGAAAGACAAAGCGATCTTTCAGTGAAATGACATTTTATTGCAATTGTGTCAGGGAGAACTTGCAGACAATACAGCATTTTCATTGATATCATTTCGCCCCAAAGCAGGCTTTTGCCCCCTGGTTGTGCATGCACCTAGTATTGTTTGTACTCAAGCAACTCGTCTATAGCCACAAATAATGCTCAGAACAGCACCTAACTTCATCAACAGTACATATAGGGTCCCAGCCATAGTACTAGCCACCAAACATCTTTTTAACTTTGACTAATTTCTTTAGCAAATAGACTAAACACAACTAACCTACTCTCTTCCAGCAGCTGCTTGTTTGTAGCGAGACCTCAGACCAGTCCATTACGGACTACAGCGGGGTGACGCAGCTCAAGGAAGAACATTTATGATCATTTCTTTATCATTTCCTTGAGGTAATAATCACCATAATCATCATTTTGCACAGCAGACGCGGTAGTTCTTCTGCCTTAGCGTCTTGTTCTGATTGTATTTCCATGAAGAAATTATCATAAATGTTCTTCCTTGAGCTGTGTCACCCCGCTGTAGTTCGTAATGGACTTGCCTGAGGTTTCACTACAAACAAGCGACTGCAAGAAGAGAGTAGGTGAGTTGTGTATTTACTCTCTTTGCTAAAGAAATTAGTCAAAGTTAAAAAGATGTTTGGTGGCTGGGACCCTATATGTACTGTTGATGAAGTTAGGTGCTGTTCTGAGCATTATTTGTGGCTATAGAGTGGCGTTTTGGTTGAGGTTTGTTTATAGTTCCTCAGATCGCTGTGTATTACTATCCTGGGGTCGTTTCTAAAGTTGGTATAACTAGAGAAGCAAGCGGTCGGCAACATTTATCACTCGAGGAGGTGTCTAACTCTGTGTTACGGTGTGTTTGACCCTAAATTAATTTTACGCTGGAATATCCCTTTAACATGTATAGCTACATCCAGATAACTCCGGAGGTTTTGGTCAGTGGCTTTGGCTCAGCAGGACTGGGGTCTCAATAGACAAGTCCTCTAAAAGAGAGAGACTGTCTCCTCTCCTGTTTGAGCTCCCCTATAATCGACTCTGATAAACTTCAGGATCTACTAAGAACGTTTGAAACACTTAAAGTACATTTCAGGTCTTCTCACTCCAAAAACAATCATCTATCACCTGAGGTCCTCCGCAGGATAAGACTCTGCTTGCCATTCTTCGAACTAGACTGAAGACCAGTCCAGTTTTTGCTCATCTGACGAACAGCTTCAAAAAGCCGAAACCTCTCCCAAAACTCAGTCTGTTTGCTTCAAAGTTATTTTGATTTGAGCTCAAAGGTCAGTCTGTTATCTATCTGCTCAGGTGATTATAGTTTATCTTTTTATCTATATCGATCATTTCCCTTCAGAGGAGCTGGTAGTTTATAGGAGTTAAAAGTTCTTCAATCATAAGTGTTCTGATAACGACAGAAAAGACTCTTTAACTTCACCATCCTGTCTCAAGTGTTTTTATTTATACGTTTACTGAAGTGCATGATAGGAAACTTCTCCTCGTCCTGTGAATAAGCACACAGACACCAATCCACCATCTCTGCTCTGACATGAAAACACCTCCTGAACTCTGAGCTGCTGCTGCTCTCAGCGTTACCTTGACTCTTCGTGACACAACACTCACATACCGAGACACACACGCACGCACGCACACACGCACACACACACACATACACACACACACACACACACACACACGCCCGAATGATGAGAGGTCACATGAACAATGTTTTGGCTTCTTCTATACAGGCTGCTTCTGTCTGACTGATAAACACAGACTGGTTTGAGCTGGATCAAGAAACAGGCAACAACAGCAGCATGAACATGCACAGACACACAGATCTGCACACACACACACACACACACACACACACACACACACACACACACACACACACACACACAGACATACACACAGAGACGGATCTGCAGACAGTTTTCAGAGACCTTGAATGAAAACCATTTCCATGAATGATAGACTCTTTTTCTTCATCCACAGACAGGCTGAGGTTTTGTTTTGTGTCTGCTTTAGGAATGAGACTCTGAAACTCGATTCTCAGGAAGCTCAGGAACAAAACACTGAGACAAACTCCAGGACAAAAAGTCTGTCCTCTGTATCTCTGATATCATGTTTTAACCACACCCTTAAAAAAAGACACACAAAGACGTCAAATCTCCAGAGAAAGGCTGATATCAGATCTTTGGGGAACTTTATCAGGCTGTACCTTCCACCTATAAGAGCTGAAACTGTGAGGTAAAGGTAGCATAGAAAGTTCATCATCTGCTGCTTTGCTCAGTACATTCAGTTCCTCTCAAACTCTTGCGAACATTAGCTCATGAACTGCACGAAAAGTTTCATGAAATGTGTGTCTGTGCCTGAAACGCTACGCACAAACCTCACATGATCGTGTTTAAAACTGTGTAAACATCAAGCTGCAGTGACCTAAGGATCTGCTGCAGAGAGGACAAGTTCTGACCGAGCCAGGAGTTTGGGATTTCTCTCCAGGAGATGTTTCAGACGTGGTTTCTACTCAGAAGACCAAAAAGATAAATCAAAATACGAATATTACTGCAGAGAAATCATTGGTGCTGTCATTATTGGTGTTGATGAAGAGATTCTCCAGATCAGTAGGGTTAGGGTCAAGAAGTGTAGCCTGTAATTCAGAAAATCAGCTCTGAGAGTGAAGCACAGCAGACCATACAGAAGCAGAAGAACAACACAAAATGGTATCATCAGCGTAAAGATCGATTTTAAAAAATGAGGTCTGCCATCAGCCTTCATGTATTTGCACTCTCTGTCCCTCCTACTTTCTGTTAGCCTTACTGTACCCTCCTGGAGCACAGCAGACCGCACAGAAGCAGCAGAACAACACACAACGGTATCATCAACATAAAGATTGATTGTATTCAATATGAAAAAGAAACCTCATCTTTTTGACTAATGAAATGACTTTAAAATATATCTGGATAACTTCTCATGGATGACTAGATGAGTACTGACAATGGTGTGGTGGTGGTTGTTGGTCATAGCACATCAGCAGGAGTAGCTGTGCTTTTCCATCATCAATGTCTTGACCTCTGCTGCATGTATTTTGCTCTAATTTTTTAAATTTAATTATTTAACTATTTTTTTTATTTATTATTTGAACCATTATTATTATTGTTGTTATATTGTTATTTTATTTTATCTTTTACTTATTTACATTTATATTTTATATTCTTCTTCTTCTTATTATTATTATTATTATTACTCTTATTTTAAGGGATGTAGATAAGAGTTGGCCTATGGGGTTTGTTCTGGGAGGGGGGCAGGTTTTGGTGAAATTTGTAGTTCTACTGTTGTTATTGAAGTTGTATACTGTTTATTAAAAATGTTCATAAATAAATTGTTAGATAAACAAACAAACAAAAAAGATTGTAAAAAATGAGGAGTTCTGACCTAATCAGTAAAGCAGCAAAGCTGCTTGAAAACAGAGAGTTGATGGTCTGCCATCATCCTTCATGTATTGCAAGTTCTGTACCTCCTACTTCCTGTTTGCTTCACTGTACCCTCCTTAACCAGCTGAGAGTGATGCACAGCAGACTGTACAGAAGCTGCAGAACAACACACAATGGTATCATCAGAGTTAAGATCGATTTTACAAAGTGAGAAGGAGTTTGTACCTTATCAGTAAAGCTTTAACACTGCCTGAAGGCAGGGAGTTTATGATCTGCCATCATCCTTCATGTATTTGCACTTTCTGTCCCTCCTACTTCCTTCAAGATTTGTTTATTTGTCATGTGCATGTTAAACAAGGTCAACAATGCAATGAAATGCCCTGGATGAGAGGACCGCTTGACTCAAAGGAGTACAGATGAAACACACAATAAGTACCTCCCCCTCCTACCCACCCACGTTCCTGCTGTATCTTGTGACTTTACAACTCATCCTGTGGACGTGTGCAATATGGTCACTGGACCTTAGTCTAGCACTTCTGTGCAATATGGGCTACATGCAATATCAATCTGACAGTATTGAATGCATTTATTTATTTATTTATCGCTATAATACATATAATTATTTATTAAATGTCTACTTCCTCCTTACTTATGAAACAATGAATCACTAGCACTGACATGTTTACTTGCACTCTGGTGAGATGTGAAAATACTTTTCGCTGTACTGTACTTGTACTGTACATTGACAATAAATTGAATCTCATCTCATCTCTCATCTCATGTTGCACATGATAAATAATGGTGTACGAATTGCTGTACTGCACATGGTATTGCACATCATAGATGATATTGCACAGTTAAGTGGGTTATTGCACAGAGTATTGTCTGGTGATACTGTCAGGAGTTTAGTACACGAGTAGTTTAATTGTACTCTCCTTTACTGGCATAGAGTGAAGCACAGCAGACTGTACATGAAGCAGCAGAACATCACACAATGGTATCATCGGCGTAAAGATCGATTCTACAAAATGAGGTCTGCTATCAGCCTTCATGTATTTGCACTTTCTGTCCCTAGCTTCATTGTACTCTCCTTAACCAGCTGAGGGTGAAGCTACAGTTTTGTGAGTGTGTATCGTGGCACAGTAACTGTTGCCGTGGTACTCCATAATAAACTAAAAGTCCGTCTGTAACCAGAAACCAGACTCTATAGACAAAAACTGTGACTATCCCGCAGAATATGGGAGTCAAGGTCTTCCTCTGCCTTTCGATGATTTGTGTTCTTGTTTCAGACACAAGTTATTCCTCCTTTCCAAACCTGTGGTAACAAAAACAATTTAATACAATGGTCTGAACAAACTAACCAATCTGAGCGAAGGAAGAGCAACAGCTCCTGTTTTCTGCAAGAGAAAGGACTCGATTTAAGGAGAGCAACGTCACGGTTGTTTTTGATTTTAGACATCCTCCTCTTTAACAAACAGCTACATCTCTGCAGAGATCTTTACTGTTTTAGTGTCAGACACTTAAAAAACAACCTGAGCCAGTGAGGGTCAAAAACAAGAACTTTTTAAACAAACCAAAACAAACAATTACATTTCAGCTTTTACAGCCTGATTCACTGATTTCACTGAAATACCTCTTGAACGTCTTCACCTGTTAAATACTCAATTATCTAAAAATAGAGCTCAGGTACAAAAACATGGAGTTTGAAACGATCGAGGGGCTTTTGGTGTGTATTTATACCTCGAGGTTATGATCATGGTCGTCGCGGGTTAGTGTTCAAAAATAAATCATCTGCATGTTTTCATCAACCTGCACATGTGTCAGACGAACATGCACGTTGATGCACACATTGGTCCAAACACACACACTCCTGTGCACGGTGCTTCAGAGGTATGTGGGCTGAGGGCCCGCTCACAGGCTGTCCTTGGTGACTCCTAAACAGGAATCAGGATTGGCTGCTGCGCTGTGTTTGGATCAGCTGTTTCCAAACAGCCCACAGAAAACTTGACTTTAATCAAATCCAAACTGTGAGAGCGGAAAATACAAACACACTTCTCTCTTTGTTGCGTGCACACACGTTTCTTCATGCGGGAGCTTCTTCATCTTCAAAAACATGCTGAGACACTCGCCCTTTATCCTGGCATCCTGTCCATGCGCAGACGGCAAGCCAACAATCTATGGACGTTACCAAGACTGCCAAAAACAAACCCGAGCTGTCTGCACTCGTATCAAAGCTCTGAGATATGATCGATGAGAGAGAGGGTTGTGCTTTCAAACCCCGCTCCTCTGCAGGCTGAGGAGAAAATAAACCGCAGCTGTACATCAGTCCGTAAAATGTTATCCACCCATATTAAAGCACCCTTACAAAGGTACAGAGGTAAAAATAAACATGCTGATACTAGCAAGTCAAGGAATAAACAAACAGACAGAGCTGGATGTGAGGCTCCTCATCTGATATTTTCATCGTATCAGCCAAATCCCAGTCCTGAATGGATGCTGGTGTTTATGTAGAAGTTGGAGTCATTGCTTGGACCTTTTAGAGGGCAAAATCCTACAAAGAGAAGAGGAGAGAACCGAGGACTGACCCCTGAGGAACTCCATAAACCAGAGTATTACAGGCATGGTTGATGATTGTAGAGATTGGTAATTATTTTGAACCATTTCTATGGCGATTATGGTCCTATGGTGCGATCTCCACAAAGTGAAGAGAAAAAAGAATGGAAAAAATCCGTTCACCCTAGCAGGTGCAGGGCTGCAAAAACATTGACCAATAGGTGCCATCCGTCCCGGACAGCTCCTATTGGTCAATCTCATGCTCTTCCTCTCCATGCAATCACCTTGCTGTATTCGACACACCCCTCTCCCTTAGTTCCGACTCGTCCCCTCCCACTCTCCCAGCCGTGATATTTTTATTTATTATTATTATTATTTTTTTTGTAGGACGGTAGGGGAAAGTCCCGCCTCCCTCGCCTCTGATTGGCCAGAAAAGCTGGAAACATCATCACACGCTCAAGCCGAGCGCGGGCTGTTGGCTCTGTACATCGAACAGAACATTACAGAACATTAACGCACTGAATCACCTAACCCTAACCCTAACCCTAACCCGACGGACGAGGACATTTCACAGCCATTATGAATAACCAATCGGAGCCCAGCACTTCTAGCCATTCAGAGGCGAAGGAGGGCAGGACCTTCACTTACCATCCTACAAAAAAAAAATTTTGCCTCCCGGCCCTCCTCAGAGCCCTTAGCAGCTAAAAGTAGTGTAGTGGCTTAGCAACAGGAGCTGTGATGAAGAAGGACGCAAAAAGAAAACGCAAGCCGACAGAAATAAGGGCGGAGACGAAGAGGAAATGTGACCAAGCGAGGAATCTAACTGGAATAAACATCGGATCATTCTTTGAGCCGTGGGGAAAGCTCCGCCAGGATTTGGGCCTGAAAACAGACGCAGAGACAGCAGAGTTTTTGTTGAACAGGTAAATAACTCTTATTAGTCTCTGCTATGTCAATACGGTAGCTGTCCAGGCAGCTGCAAACGCTGCTCATTAGCAGAGCTGGCGTTTACTGCCGCTAGTCACTAGCAACTGAACATGGTGAATCCTTTTTTAAGCTAGCAACGGATCTTCTGCCAGAGGAGGTGTGTCTTGGGGAGGGCAATACAGGTTCAGGGGGGAATTATCTTGGAGCACAGAGGGGAGAGGTTTGTGTGTGAGGGGTGGGACGCTTTTTTCAAATCTGCCTCAACAGCCCAGTTTTTTTCAACTGCTTCTCAGATGGACAACCAGGACTTCCAATTATAGTCTGTAACTGGGACTGACACAAGACAAGCTGCAGAATTCAAAAGTTGCTGTAATAACCTGTTTTTATGATAATGTTAGAAAGTTTACATACAGTGACGCTAAAGAGGAGTGGCTTCGTCTAAATATGAGTTTTACAGCTCAGCGGGGTTTTGGGTGAATCACACACTCTAATCCACCAGCAGGGGGCAGACATGGAGCAAAGATAGAGGTCCAGTCAGTTCACTACAATAGAGGAAACACCTTTACCTCAGTCTGTGACCCGGCTGTCAGTTATCAACAGGAGAAGAAAGTCAAAGTTTTGACGTTTAGCAGGTCAGTCTTAATCAAAAATTTATATAAAAGGTTTTATTCATTTAAAGGCAATAGTCCCAAACTTTGAACTTTTTATTTTTTTAACTCTTAAATTGTAATTTCTTCGTGCTCTGTAGAATTTACCAGACAAAACAAGGGGAGGATGAAATCTCGGACAATTTTTAAACTGATCCATTCATCGGCTGATTGATCTAAATTGTTTATATCTGTACGCTGTCGTTACTGTCAGCTTTGTAATATCTTCAACTATCTGATGTTGTGTGCCTTTCCATACAAATCTGTTAAAATGAGACGGTTTACAATGAAGAGGTAATCTGAGAGATACTGCGGTCTTTGGCGCCCCCTGGTGGTCAGTCTGTTAATCTAGCTGAACTCCGGAGGCGTTAAATAATGAGTCCAATGTTTATTGTTTTATTAAAGAAATACACACGCTGGTAACTTCATCGAGAAAAAGTAGATCCAGGTTCATGTTTCCCATGTTTCACCAACCCTCTTCAGACTTTAGTGGACCCAGAAGACCAGGTTCTGGAGTCTGACAGTGAGATGTTTTGGCCTGATAGAGGATTTCAGCGGCTCTATAGTCCAGGGTTTGCTTGGACCCTCTACTCTTAAAAACCGAGGATGCAGCATCTATGATTTACAATTCTTCGTTGAAAGGACAACTGGACTTTCTTGAAACGTCCCAAGTAAGTCCAGTTGTCCTTTCCATGCAGTGATTCCCACTCCAGAGTCCTGTCTGTTTTTAATGCCCTGAAGACCAGGACCATCCATTCCTGGTTTTGGTCCTTTTTTTATATTTTATGTTTCTTAAATGTTGGCAGATTTTAAAAACTTGTCCCTAAAGTTTTACTATTTTTTTTTAAGTCTGCTGTTATAGCACCGACTTTGTTCATAAGCAAATGCACAAAAGCATTTTCTTGCCTTCTTTAAAGACATTGTGTAGGAAAATAAACACAAGAGTTAATATGAATTAATACATTTCACAAAGGAAATTCAGATTACAAAATTAGAATTCTGTATTTAAGAAAACAAAAACTCTCTTTTTTGGGTTTAAACCATAGACTGTATATACTATGGACAACATAGTTCTGCCTTCCGCCAGTATACGGATTTGAAGCCAAAAATCTCTTGGTAATTCTACGTGTTTTTTTCTCCATTTCCTGGAACCAACATTGTGCAGTCGTGTTGTGCGCATTCGGTGGGAGTCTCTGTGATGATGCTCGGCTCAAACAGCGTGTCCCTACTCAATCTTGGTATGCCCATAGGCTGTATCAAGTGTCAATCATAGAAAACATGAACCCCCTAATAACTTTTAAAAACAGAGCTGTACAGAAAAAAAGAGGACTTGAGCACAAACCAGTCTGACAGTATCTACATGTCAACATCACAACCAGGGAGGAGAAACATTTATATTCTGTGTCATTAATTTCTATAGTTTGTCCACAACTTCATAAGCTTTGCTGGCAGAGGCAGGATTTATGACCTATACTGCAGCCCGTCACCAGAGGGTGCTGTTCCTTGGAGTGGCTTCACCCAGCAGGGAGGCAGACGGCGTGCATTCTATATACAGTCTATGGTTCAAATCCGGTCTGCAGCCTGTAAAAAAGACCAAACAAACTCTAAAATCAGAATAAAGACACGGACACGGAGAGCTTTGTAACAGAGCCTGTATATTTTGTATATTTTTGTACATTTTTCTGCAAAATACAAATACTAGCACATTTGTGAGTGAGGGACTTTGCTGTACATGATCTTTGACTGCGAACACAGTTTGATTTTAATCTGAGAAACATTGTCTCCAAAGTGGCGACAAAGGCCAGCTTATGCCGCTAACAATCTCTTTTTTTGAGGATTTTTACACCGGTGGTTATTTTTGAAAGCGCGTTCAGAGGGGAAAGTTGAAATTTACAACATGGAGAACATTCACCGATGTCTCTAAACACGAATTGAATAATTTCTTTTGTTTCCAGGCAGTTACTTGTTACAGAATCAAACCAAAGAAAAAACACAATAAACAGGCTATTTCACACTTTGGTTAGTTGACACTCCATCTGTCACCTCCACCCGCTCACAGTCGACTCTGCCCAACTGGAGGTGGAGCTCCTGGCTCTCCTGATCCCCCCTGGGTGGCTCTGACCGGGTGGGTGTGTTTCAGTGAGTCTGAACCGGAGACAACACACTCGTTGTAACATAAAGGAGTGCCGAAAAAAAACAACAACACGGGCTCTGCCCTTCAACACGCGGCTAACTAAAGGCAGCTAGTGCAGCTAACAGGGGGCTGAGTCTGATTTTAGTGGCTAACGGGGACAGACAGACTGCTGACTGTGGCCGAAGGTCTGAGCTCCAAATATACAGTTTTTAAACCAAAATATTCAAATGTGAACAACCCTCAGCCATAGCTCCGTCTGCTGCTAATAGAAAACTGTGGACGTCAGATTCTGTTCAGGTGTGTAAGTGTCAGAGCAGCTTAGGTACAAGGCACCAGTTATCTTCACGTCTGCAGTGACTCTGTAACTCCACGGCACAAACACAGCAGCGGAAAAATGAAGTACATTCACTCAAATAAGCCTCAGAATTTTTTTTTTAGTGTTTTTTCATTTTGAGAACAGGTAAACTTGACTTTGACTTTCAGGTGAAGCTTGAATCCCCAAAGGTGTTGAAACTCAAAGCCTAACCCCCAATTTCCACCGCATCTGATCGTAACCATTCAAGTTAACGCGGGAATTTCCACCGCATCTTTCTGTTCAGCTGCGGATCGCCGGACTTTGCAGCTGATCACAATTCAGCACAGATTAACCCGTGCTGGAAAGGAAGTCAGGCACAGACACAAAATAAAACATTGAGCTTCTTTTCAAAATAAAACACTCAATGTTTCCGGAGGATCGTATTTCACACCATGCCAACGGGCGGAGACAAACAAGTGAATGATTTTTAGACATCATTTCACCCTGATGACACCATGGTTGAGGAGATGCTGATTCTAGAAGTCTAGAAGTAGATTTCCTCCTCTGGAAGGACACAATCTTTTGCTTTTATAGTTATGTAGCTGTCTTTATAGAGACAACTCGTTATCACACGATTGCACTTGAATCTGCGTGTTCTTGCGAGTTCTCGCAGTTACTGCTGTCCGTAGTCTGCCATGAAATTTGCCTCACAAACGGATCTGGTAGGAATTGGCGGACAGCGAAATCACTGCAGTCCTTAATCGGAGCCGTTATGGATGCGGTGAAAATTGGGGGTAAGAGGAAGAAGCTTAAGGACCTGCAGTTCCTCAAGTGTCCATTAGAGGCTGGCACCAAAAGTGAGCCAGTCCCTATAGAGCTCCATGTTAAAAGTTCCAACTGTACAGCAGAATTAAACATGTTCACAGCCTGGTACAAAACCAGTTTTAGTGTCTCTGGTTTACTTTTTTGTTTGCTCACACTTCAGGAGTGATTTTTCTAAAATAACTTTTTATTATTTTGAGGCTCATAGCTATGAATAATCTGTCATAAATAGGTGTGAAGTTTCTAACCACCTTTTTTAACTGGGGTTTTACACGAGTAAATGCTCTCTGCACTTCTTCCATTGCTGCACATGCTGTTGGTTTGACCTCAGAGTCTCTGCAGGACCAGGTTGAAGTTGTGCTTTTGTCCTCTGTGCTCATTGATTGTCTCTGTCTGACACCAACTGAACAGGAAACCTTAAACTGACCTAAAATCTCCCTGAAAGTTTCATAGAAAATGTCTCTGCTTTTTTCTTATATTACTGTTTTCTTATTAAATAGAGCTGCAGACATCGACAATATCAATTTGATACAATAAGAAAAACACAACACTATAAACTCTGTGCAGCAAAGCATCAGCAACCTGTTGGATATGGCTTTAAGGAGTGCAACCCTCACTCTGATGAATCCTGCAAAGCTCTCTGCACATGCTCCACCTCTTCTTCTCTCTCTTTCTCTTTGACTCTTTTTCCGTTTGTGCTCAACAACACCATCAAAATCTGTCCTTCAATAAGTTTCAGCTCATCAAAAGCTCCTGTGAGGAGTTTGTTATTTTTTGGGTACCTCCGTATGTCTGAGAAGAGCAGAAAAAAAACCTTCACTGTCACGAATGAACTGGAGGTTTCCACGGCGTTCTCTGCAGAGAAGGCATCAGGAAAAGTAACTGATAGCTACTAAAACAACTTATTTAAAGGACAAAGATTCTCAACGAGGGGTAAACTTGATTGTTAAAATAAAGTGAAAGTATAGAGACAGATTAAAAAGAAACAAGGCGTATGCATAAAAAAACAAAAGTTCCGCACAGGAGCTTTAAAACCACAGAGCTCTGTTTTTATTTAGAAGATAATGTCGGCTGTTTAGATTTCTATGGAAGCAAAAAGGGACAAAACAATTAAAATTTTGCTGCATATCACCAATCTGAGCTACTGCTGAAATTAAAAAACATAACAGTTACCATTTAAAAGCTTTAAAGACATCCTGATTTTCAATTTCAACAAAATTGAATTTTTTTATTTTCATTTAACTTCTTTGAATCTCGGTTTTTATTTAACTTTTAAAAAAATTAGGTTCCTAAAAAGTGACGAGACAGAAATAAAGAAATGAAGATGGAAACTAAATTTTTACATTATGTTGGTGAAGTTTAAAGTCATGGATTTAATGCAGAAATTACATTTTTTGATCAGATGGATGGTTTTGGTGTAATTAAAAAATAAATCATAGGTCTTAGTTTCTTTTATCTAAAATCTATTATTATGTTTTTACACAGTTTGTAATTTTATATTTCTTAAAAATAACACTAAACTTTTACATTTTAAAGGTTAATTGATTTTTTTAATCATTTATAACATTTTGTCCTCTTTTTGCTTCCACACCTTTCTCAATCCGGATAAAAATTGCCGCAAAATAACAGATTTCTGCTTAAACAGCTCTGAAAATCATCCACTGACTCTCATTTTCACATCAAGTGAAATTCCTTCAAAGCTTCTTTTCTCTGCAGCCTGTTGTTAATCACTTCCTCGTCACTATAACCTCCTCTGTCTCATTTAACTCTTTCTCATTACATCATCTTCATCACTTCTCGCTGAACTTCCTCTTTCTCTCACTTTCTGTATATATTTGACACCCTTTACCTTCTGTACATTCAAAGTTAAATGTGCTCTAAGTTTAAAATGTTGAACCTGCAACACAGTGTGCATGCAGAGCTCCGCCCTTGCACAGAGCTCCGCCTCTGCAGTAATGCTCCGCCTCTGCACGCCTGCTCCTCTCATGCATGTTTGATTTAAACTCACCAGTAGCTTCACGTTCAGAGTACCAGACTTCTTCACTTTTTGTTAGTTTGCATACATGTGTGCACAGACTCAGTGTGCATGTAACATATTTTTGTTATTTACGTATATTCCCCTGCCCCCGAATGCACACACACACAAAACAAGCGATACAAACTCCCAGGCTGCTCACGTACGTATTCGACCCCCAAAAACAGGTTTATCAAACCAATAAAAGACTTCTGGAGTCAAAATCCTTCACTTTAAAGAGAGAAAGAAGAATAGAGGGGGTTCAAGGGTCACAGGAAAGAAAGTAGAATTTTTTATTCTGCTGAACTTTTTGCATGTTTAGACGTTTAACTCAGTTTTTAGTGGAAGTGTGCAGTGATTTTATTTTAAAATCCAGGCAACCTTCACAAGAACGAGCTTGTTTCAGGGTGATTATGGGACGGGAAAAGAAGTTCAGCTTTTGAAAAGACAAGGAAGGATAAATTGCGTCTATTTCACATCTATTTGGAAAGACAGATGTGTAGAAGAGGGAGTGAGATGTTATAAAAGCTGAGAGTATAAACTTTTTAGAAGAGTTTCTGCTCTGGGTCTTTATAGGGACACCTGAGAGAGATGCTGTAATCAGTCAGCATCATCACATCAGATCTCTTTATCAGCAGGTTAGTGTTGGAGTAAACGCCCTGAGCAACAAAGATGACACCTAAAAAAATTATTTTTTTATTGATCTGATGCACCGGGCCTAAAAGGGTTGAACTTTCAGGATAATTTGGATCAGAAAAGAGATTTTAAACTTTTTTATTTGCAGCAGAATTTTGGGGAAAATATGAAAAAAAATCTCCTTTTCTAAATCTTTTTGTTTGAATGACGAAATCTTTACGCCTCTGTGGATTATGATCAGAATTTTCATGACTGATTTTTTCTTGTTTTGCTCTCTGCAGTTTTAAATGTACTTCTCTCCTCTGAGGAAACAGAAGAAACTTTGATAAATCGGCTCCGTCTCTCTCTCCAGTGAAGGATTCTGTCCCTCTCAGCGGTCTGATAAACCCTGATCTCTGTCTGTCAGGCGCCTCTCCTCTCAGGTATGGGTCGCCCTGCTCTACATGTTGTGAAAACAGCAGCTTGTCGCTGAATTCACTCAAACAGACTTGTGTCAGCCCCTCTCATGTTCACGTTACATGTTAGCACACCCACTCAGTACAGAAGAATATGATAATAATTATAATATTAATATTAATTAATAATAATAACACTATATGGTAACTTTGCTAAGCCCCTCCCCCTCTGGTTGTAGGCCCCTCCCATCATGTGGCCCACCCCTCTGATAGCCTCATCCTCTTCACTGACGGGCTGTGCCGCTCCTCCTGACTGGACAGGGGTCGCAGCAGGAAGTTGTCATTGCCGTGGTGATCCTCACGCTCCTCGCTGCCTTCGTACGAGCTGCCACAGCTGGACGCCGCGCTGTCACCAGGAGAACGACCCGGCTCGTTGGGACCCCGGCCTGCAACAGAGGAGTACCCAGCGGTGGGGACTCCTCCTCCTCCTCCTCCAAGTCCGGCTCCCATCATGCTCCGGTCTCTGGGAGGGGAGGCGGGCTCGGACTTGATGTGGAGGTGCTGGTGAGCGGAGGGGACGTTCAGGTTGGAGTTCTGACACAAGTTCCTGAAAAACCAAAGAGACACACAAAGCACAGGTGTGTCCTGATTTTTTACCTGCACCTGAATGCAACACGTCATGACATCACAGCCGCACAGGAAAACAGAGGCTGTTTTCGAATTGGCCTACTGCGTACTCCTGCCGACCGCAGTATTCAGTAGATACTTCATACTGAGTACTGTGTTTGATAGTACAAAGCAGTATGACTGTAAGTCAGCCGTTATTCTGAAGTATGGTTGGTCCGGTTTAGCTGGTTTCCGATATAGAAAAGTCCATCGTGCTCTGGTAAATTACAACGACACTACAGTGTTGCCCATTTATTTATGCACTGTAAAAAATCTTTTATGTGTTTTAATAAGATTTTTTTCTGGATTTTTTTGCCCAGTACCAGCCATCAAAACGTGTTCTGTCTATGCAATGACTCGTCGATCTGGCAGCATTTGATTCTCATCACGGCGCTGTAAATACAGCAAAGTTATGTTGTCAGTTATGTTGTCCTGCTTTTGCTTAAATGAAAGAAGTTACAATCCTCGCTAAACGTGTTAACTGATGGCGTCTGCATGGTGTGGTCTTATTTACCTTCGTCCCGATAGTTTGACAACAACAGTAAAAACCCTCTAATACAAACTCCTGTCTCCTGTCAGTTTATTTCAAATACCGTCTAGTCTGCTGATTGACTGGCAATTTCCACCGCATCCTGAACGGCTATTAAAAGGCTGTATCTGCCGATCATAGCTGATTGTAACCATTCAAGTTAACGTGTCAATTTCCACTGGCTTCTTTCCGTTCCTCTGTGGATCGCCAGACTCATCAGCTAATTGGAAGAGTTCTATTTTTTCCAGACGACGGAGCATGCCGGATAAATTCAGCACAGATTAACCTGTGCTGGAAAGGAAGTCGGGCACAGACACAAATTAAACATCCGGCTTCTTTTTAAAAGAAAACACTCCGTGTTTCAGGAGGATCGTATTTCACACCATGCAAACGGGCGGGGACAAACAAGTAAAAGGTTTTTAGACGTCATTTCATCTCGATGACACCATGGATGAGGAGATGCTGATTCTAGAAGTCTAGAAGTAGATTTCCTCCTCTGGAAGGACACAATCTACTGCTTATATGTCTACGTGGCTCTCTTTATAGACACAACTTGTTATCGCGTGATTGCCTGTGAATCCGCGGGTTCTTGTGAGTTCTCACGATTCCTGCTGTCTGTAATTGGCCACGGAATCCGCCTCACAAAAGGATCCGGTAGGAATTGGCGTACGGCAAAAAATAGCAGCCATTCCGGATGCAGTGGAAATCCTGGGTTAGTCAGGCTGCTTTAACGTTTACTCAACTTTCTGCATTAAAGCTTTAGCCCCCGTCTAATACCAGCAGTCTGTCCCGCTGTGTGATGTAAACATCGCTGATTGACCGCGCTGTGTGTGACAAACATCACACGTACCGTACAGTATAAAGGATGAGGAGAAGCAGAAAAATTTGAGGTGATGGAAATGGAGGATAAAAACTGTACGGTACGATAACAAAACATTCTGGTCAGGGGTTTTCACACATAATGCTGAAAGAAGGAGGAGAAGAAGCGGGCTGTCAGAAGGACAAATCTTTTAGCTGTCATCTTGGAAAATGAACGCTCCGGTGAAAAGTTTTGCCGCTCTCCGCTATTCTGCCATCTGCTCAGGCTCTTTGCATTGTGGGTAACAGTAGGCTAAGCAGACTGGTCCAATGCATAGTGTGAAATTTTCCCGAATCAGTACGTCACCCGGGTATTTTTGGCATACTGCAAATTTCACATTTCTCCGCCTACTGCATCCTACATTTTGGGCAAATCAGTACAAACTGCTAGGATAGTAGGCGAATTCGGAAACAGCTACAGACACCTGAAGACTGACAGGAGGGGAGAGATGTGGCTCCTGGACGCAATATTTTTTTGGAAACGTCATCACACGCTCAAACCAAACGCGGGCTGTCAGCTCTGTACATCAATCAGAACATAACGGAACATTATCGCACTAGATTCTCACCCCATGTGTCCGAGTGCAGGGTGCTGCAGGTTCTGGATCTGCTGCTGCTGCCAGCTGGTCACTGATCCCAGACCAGAACCTCCGAACCCAGACATGGAGGACAGGTCGCCGCCCAGGGAGAACTCTGAGGGACAAACACACACACACACACACTCATTAATGGGATCGCACACAAAGGCGGGTTCTGGTGTGTGTTTCTGCTGCACCCACCTGTGCCGTAAGAGGAGGAGAGAGTGGACGGATACCCGCCCATCCCCTGACCCGGCAGGGTCTGAGCAGAGAGGGAGACGGCCGGGGTGGACAGAGTCTGAGCTGTCTGAGAGTGATTTATTCTCTGGTTCTGCAACAGAGAGGTGGATTTATCAACCACTGCTGCACAGCTGAACGGGATGAAGAAGTCGTTTGTCTTAGTCGGTTTCAGAGGAGAGATACTTGTGATGTTAGAAATACTTCCTCACACCTTCACCTCACAAAAACATTTATCTGTCTTTGTGCAGAAATACTCACCAGCATCAGATCAAAATCCTCACACTGCAGCGCAGCGTGAAAGCACAAAATGAGTTTCCATGCATGAACACCAGACTTTACAGAGATGTGAACACATTCAAATATGAGGTGGAGTCACATGACGCAGGGTAACTAAAGGTGCAATCACTCACGATGGTGGGCATGTTGCTGCACTTGTTAGAGGGGGGCATGAGGGTCCTCAGGTCGGCTTTTCGGCTCATGTTCATGTGAGGGGGGCTCTTCTCCTGCAGATTCTTAGAGACGCCCCCAGGAGAGAGGAGGCCGGGGGAGGTGCAGTGAGAGCTGTAGCTGCCGTTCACTGTAGAGGAGGAGCACAGGAGGAGTTCAGTTCAACAGCAGGTGTGATAACCTCATACTCTTATAATAATAATAATAATAATAATAATAATAATAATGATAATTATTATTATTATATATTTTTAATTGTCATTATTTATTTCATTATCATCAAGATTAATACTGTTATTATTATAATAATTATAGTTGTTGTTGTTAACATTATTATTTTCATAATCATTATCACTTTTATTATTATTATTATCAATTGTATTGTTATTACTATTCTTATTATATTATTATTACTATTATTATTATTATTATTATTATTATCATTATCATCATTATTACATGAGTTATTATCTGGAGTTTTGTTTCAGGCTTTTCTCCCTCCATCAGTAAAATAAAAGACTTGTTTAAGAGCTTTCTGGCTGTAAAGGAGTAAAAAAAGATTCTAGTCGTACCCACGCTGGAGACCACCGAGCCCGGCAGCTCCGATCCCATCAGCCCTAAAAACAAGTCAAACATAAAAACACTCGGTTAGAAAACGCAGATCAGACTTGACGCTGTTTAAGGATCAGGTTCGTGTTTACACACCTGCGTTTCCAGCGCTGGAGGGTCTCTGGGGGGACATGCTGTTCCTCTGCAGGGACGGGTGTGTGTGTGAGACGGGCAGCAGGTTGTGGTTAGAGAGGCCGCAGCCGATGGCGGGGTGAGAGTACAGCAGACCGCCGGGGTTACTGCCGGGGAGGGAGATGCTCATGTCGTAGTTAGAGGGAGGCAGACCCTGCTGGATCAGGAATCAGCTGGTTAACACCCTCACAGACGTCAAGGTGAGGAGTTGTGTGTGTGTGTGTGTGTGTGTGTGTGTGTGTGTGTGTGTGTGTGTGTGTGTGTGTGTGTGTGTGTGTGTGTGAGGACTTACGCAGAGTCTCTGTCTGTTGATCATCAGGTCGATGTCCTCGTTGATTTTGCGGTATTTGTCATCGGACTCTGGGCTCTGACCGGCGGAGTCGTCGGCCTCGATGTCAGGGCTGTCGCATCCGTTTAAACCTTTTTTACGCAGAGTCTGAGGAGAGGAAACACACACCGACACCTCAAGATTAAAAAAAAAACACTGCTTGTGTTTGTGAGCAATGTGAGACTGACCAGGTTCAAGGCTCTCTGAAGGAAATCTGATAAAAAGTTTTTGTTTCTCCGTAAAACAAGTGAGAAAACCAACAAAGGTTAAAAAGTGACTCTTAAAATACTAGAAAAGATTTAAAAAAGTGTGAATAAAAGCTGTTAAAACTGACTAAAATGAAGTTTTTCCTTTTAAAATCACAGATCAGTCCCTCCTTCTCTTGCTGGTGCTGGAGTCACCTTTTTAGTGTTTAGGTTTGCTCATATTTCCTCTCCTCCTTTTAAAGAGAACTCAAACTTTAGGTTCAGTTTGATTGTAAAGGTCTCTGCCAACATTAGTGACGACATGTTTCTTTATAACGTCCTCTAAAAGCCACACAATATATTTCAAGAGCATCATATGTGATTTTCATTCTCCCAGAGAGTCTGCAAACACAGTTTCAGATTTGTATTCAATTAAACTCATTCAAAAATGGGTGATTTCGCAGTTTTTTTTTCAGCTTTAAACCACATTAGAGTCATAAAATCAGTGGAATAACATTTTTTTTCCTTTTCACAAACAGAGAAAAGGTTTCACAAATCTGGAGCTGTGTTTTAACGAGACTGTGGACTCTCTCCAGTAAACTAGTCCACATCTGACAGGTCTAAAGATTATGGTTCTGGTGAAAAAATCTGCTTGTTTGTAGTTTTAACAAAAAAAATTGAAGATTTCTAAAATGAGAAAATGTGATTCAAAAAGTCTGAAGAGTAATCTAGTCCAGACGTTTCCTGCTTCAGCGGTTGCGAAACAGATGCTGACACACAGACTGGATGATTTGTTCGGGCTCTGACTGTTCAATTAATCTGAAACCATGTTCCTGCTGTTACATACAGATAAATCTTTGTCTTTTTAAAAATTCCTTCCTCTGTAAAACATTTAAATCACCTGAGAGTATGAAATCAGGCATACAGAGACTCTGCCCTCCCTAAATGTATCCTATTATAACTCTTTTTTTAAAGTTAAAAGTCCTTTTTTGAACAGTGTTGTTTACTTGTGAGGTAATTTAAAGGGATAATCGACTAAAATCACATAAATATGATGTAACTCTGAGAATTCAGCAAAAACGCGTGAAGTTCCTCCTGATCTTTTGGTCTCAGATCCCCAAAGCTTCATGTTGACCCTAATATCCTGCTTTAATACCATGAACAAAAACCACCGCAGTGACATGACAAACTGAAGAACCAAGACAGCAAAGAAACACCCCCTAACCAAGAGTGCAGTGTCTGTTTCAACCACAAGAGGGCGCAGCCTGAGCAGGTTTCAAAACAGCTCTTGTCATGCACCGACTTCTGGAGTCGAACAGCAGTGAATGACTGAACACTAAATGTACAAATACACAGTAAAAAAACACGTGTTTGAGTAAAGTTTGATATGAAATACTTTGACTTTGATTTACGTCTGTAATCATCCGTACAAAAAAGTGTGGATGTGTCAGTCGTGTCGGTTCAGTCGAGGATTCATCCTGGTGTTGTGAAATCTCTCCTCTCCAGCAGGTATCAAATGATGATTACAACATGTTTGTGGACTTACTTAATCTCTGCTCTTTGTCTGTTCTCATCCTCCTCAGCTTTCATTTTTATCTTATGGGGTTTTTCACCTCTGCTGACATATGATTCTGAAATCTGAGTGAATTTTCTGAACTCTGGTCTTATTTTTAGGTAAATTAAGGGTTAAAATGACCCTGAAAGTGTTGGGATTGCTCTGGCAGATTGCCCCAGATGCAGTGACAGAGGCTGTAAAAACTGCAACACGGTCAAATTACGCCTGCACAACTTTTTTGTTTTGTCACTGACAAACTCAGATTTCTATTTCAAGTTTCTGACAACATTACAGAAAGGATCCCTACATAGAAAGAGCTTTTATACTAAAGGATACAGCGATTTTTTCAACCAGAAACAACCAGTTTCTTCAACACTACCAAACCCCATTGAAGAAAATGCTAATTTTACCCTACAAGAGATGGAAGTTGCTAGTTTTGATTAGTATGTTTGGTTGTGGTTTTGTGTGGCTGTGGTTTAATTAACAGTACATTTGGATCAGGCAAAATATTTCTGTGACCAAAAATAACAAAAGCAAGCCAACCAATCACAGCAGCAGCAAACGAGACACTCCTAAATTCTGCCTGGTGAAAATGCTGTTTTTGTCAATGGTTTGGTGGGTGTTAAACAGAAGATGTAACGTATGTTTCTGTTTTTACAAAAGTACTTTAAGTGTATTTCTTTAGGGAACCTTTGTCTGTAAACAGAATATTTCCACACTGTAGTAATTCTACTTTTAAAAAGACTCTGAACCGCAGTACTCCTTCCTAAACTAAACGTCTGTGTGTGTTGTACAGTATGTGGTTTGGCCCTCAGTCTCCTGCTTCAGCACTTCACAGCCCATTAGTCCTGTCGGTCACACACACACACACACACACACACACACACACACACACTGGGCTCAGTGGTTGGCCCAGTGCAGCTATCCCACTCATCCCAGTCATGTCCACCTGTTTGGCTGTGGAGAGAAGGAGTGGGGGTCTTGAGGGAGGAAGGGGAGAAGGGGGTGGAGGGGGTGAGGGTGAGTCAGCCACCACCAATACTCGCCTGGCGACCAGAGCGATGGCCGTAGAAGGCTATTTTTTGCTCCGCGGTGGAGACTCTCGTCACTCCCATCCCTCCCTCACAATCTGTCAATCTGGCTCGTCTGTTAAAACATAAAACCGACTCCAGCAGCCCACTTTTCCCTCTTCATACACACACACACACACACACACACACACACACACACACACACACACACACACACACACGACATCTCCAGAATACACCCACTGCTTCCTTTTTCAATAAAAGAAAAAGAGCTAGTGTGGGTAACCTCCTGGATGCAGCCTGGAATAGATCGTTCTTTCAAACCTACAACATCTTGTGTTTTCGTCTGTTTCTCTGCTGCAGGAACACAAAATTTTAATCATCCTTTAAATTCATTTTAGAGATTTATTTACAACTCCAGCTTGAGCATAACAAAAACTCATGTCACAGAAATGTGTGTTCATGAGATGAAGTCCATGTCTATCTCTCTTTTTTTTTTAGCTCCATTTTGGGTCTCCACCACCCCCACATGGAAACTCTATGTCTTCGTGAATAAATGCTTCACATTTTCTTTGCCTCTTAGTAAGTAGAGTACAGATGATTTATACAGCTATCATAGAACACAACAGAGGATCAGGGGAAAAAAAAACAAAAGAGAGTTTGGAAAAATAAAGTGAAAGTTTGAGAAGAATAGAGTCAGAAAATTGTAAACACTTTTAAGAAGAATTAAAAACATTCATGGAAAAAAGTCATAAATTAACAAGAATAAAAATATAAATTAACAAGAAAAAAGTCATAAATTAAAAAGAATAAAAATATAAATTAACAAGAAAAAAGTCATAAATTAAAAAGAATAAAAATATAAATTAACAAGAAAAAAAGTCATGAATTAACAAGAATAAAAATATAAATTAACAAGAAAAAAAGTCATGAATTAACAAGAATAAAAATATAAAATAAGATGAAAAAAGTCATAAATTAACAAGAATAAAAATGTCATGAATTTAAGAGAAAAAGCAACAACTATAAAGGAATAAAAACAAAGTTTTCAGGGGGAACAAATCATATTTTTTTTTGAGTAGTGTCGCAGACTTAGAGAAATTAAAGCTGTAAAAAATAACAAGAAAAGTTTTAAATTTTCAGAGGAAAAATTCATAAATTTATGAGAATAGAGCTGTAAGTCTAACAAGAATAAAAGTCACAGATTCACAAAATAAAAAACTCAAGAAAAAGTTTGAAAATTAGGGTCTATAGTCTTAAGAGAAAATGCCACAAATTCAAGGAAATATAAAGTTGTAAGGTTACTATAGAAAAGTTATTTTGTGATTTATGTTTGATAAAGAAAAATCATCATAAAATAAAAATGTAAATTTAATTGACAGAAGTTGTAAAATCTATGAGAAAAAGTTTTCAAACTGTAATAAAAGTCCCACATTTTAGAGAAAATACAAATGAACAAGAATAAATATTGTTCCTTTTCCAGAATATAAGTGCTGTTTGTGGGAAAAGTCAATTGTTGTAGAATAAAGTCATTAATCAATGAAATTAAAGTGATAAATTTAGAAAATTTAAATTGGGAACTTGCTCGTGAAAAGTCTTGAATTTTGACCTTAAAAAGTTGTAAATTCAAGATCATAAAAATATAAATTTACAGGATTAAGTTGTTAATTTATGAGACAGAAGTAAAACATTTTTTTCTTATACTGTCGTCAGTTTAAAAAACTGAATTTTAAAAAACTATTCAGTGGAAGAAAAACAGAAACGTTTCCTAAAATATGACATTTATAAATCCTCAAACCTGACAGTGTGAACATTAGACTGAACTGCAGGAAAGATTCTTCATACTGGTGGTCAGGAATATGTGTGTGTGTGTGTGTGTGCGTGCGCGCGTGTTTGTTCGGTGGCAGGTGGTTTGAACAGCTTCCTGTAGACAGCTGAGGAGTGAGGGAAGAATATGCGTTAATATCACACACACACACCCCACTGCTCCTTCCTAACCCCGTCCACACCTCCACCCTCTCTGCTTTACTTTCCATCGATTCGCTTTTTTCTGTTTTACACCTCCAGCTCCTTCCACTTTTCGTGGGTGGTCTCCTCTTCCTCCTCCTCCTTCTTCACCACATCTGAAGATGCTCTGAGGAGTCCATGTGTGCAGCAGTGTACTAACACCACACTGAGTAAACATTACAGTGGGAGTGAAAGTCCTGCAGTCAGAGCTCACTGAGGTAAAGGTAAAGGTCTGCTGCTTTTTTATCCAATCTGAAGGTTAAATCGTCAAACTCACACGTTCACCTCACTTCATATCTGATCGATTTTCGCTGCAACATGTCAAAGCTGTCAGAGCGAGGAGGAGCGAAACAACCTCTGCATCTAAACATCCGTCAGAATTTCACCAAGAGTTTCTGAAGATGAGAATGAAAAACTCAAAAAACTCAACCCCTGTCATCCAGCAAAACTAAATATTGAAGTGATGGCTGAGCTTGGGTTTCAAAAAACAATTTTCTGAGAATCATGGATTCAAGAAGATTTTGGTCAGATTTATGGTTTTATCAGCTCCAGAAACAGGATAAAACCTTCATGAGAGTTTAACTGTCCACATTAAGGGTGGGTTAGGCAGGAATCTGTTGAAGAAGCATCTTTTTTTTGGTGTATATACAAAAAAAGCTTTTAATATCAGTTAATAGCTATTAGTTATTGATGACATTTGGGAATATCATAATATCGCTGTGTTCTGTCTGTGTAGTCAACATTTTACATTTTTGAGTGGCCCGCTCTTTCTGACTGTAAACAAAGCTGTTCTCCACTTCCTGCTCCCTCATTTTGTGAGGCACACTCCACGTCCTCCAATAACGTTCACGAGCCGAAACAAAGTTAGCGTGCTACAATATCGGACAATGTCGGAATCCTCCTTTGGCCATGACTGCCAACACAAGTAAGAAGACGAAGTAAATACCAGAGACTCTGACGGAATAACGGGCGCTTAAAAAGGAGGTAGACCGGACAAGAGCTAAAAAATGATGGGGGGACACTTCGGGATCTTGGTGACCCTGTAACCTTTCTGCTGGACAGGTAAACCGCTTTAACAAAGTAAGACAAGTGTAACAGAAGTGTTTCTTGTCAAACGGGACCTGCTGTGTGTTGAAGTGCCGCTAAACAGTTGACCTCGGGTCCTGGACTATGTCACTTTATCCTAGTTGTAGAAGTCCTGCAAACATTGTGTTTGCTGGTAGTCTGTTGGCACCTACAGTAGCACCAGTGCTGTTTACTTTCACGTTGACTGGGCCCCATTTGTAATTATCTTAAGTTTTTATCTGCATTATATCTGAATTTAATTGAAATGATACGAGCGAGCAGGAGCATCTGTTTGTGGGCGGGGCTTGCTGGAGCAGAGAGGGAGGGGAGAGGAGGAGCTGAGGGGAAAACTGGTTGGAAGGGGTAGAGTTTACATTTAAGATTTCTCCCTCAAACTGGTGCTTCCTCAGATCCTGACTACCCCACCTTTAAGTTCTATCTATCTGCCAGGACCTGCTGAGTCTATGATTTCCAAAAAGAATGTCAAATTTAGGGTGACCATATTCTGACTTCCCAAAAAGAGGACATGACTACACGGGGCGGAGTCACTGAGTCGCACAAAGATAATTTTGAGTTTTTCGGGCCCGATCAAGTGTGTTTTACGCGCTTCTAACTCAGTAAGTTCACTTAACACAAACTCAAAACTTCCATACAAAACGGTGGACATTTGAAGGATTTCATAAACTTCGCCAGACAAACCTGGACAAAGATGGACAGCCCCCTGAAAAAGAGGACATGTCCGGGTAGAAGAAGAGGTATGGTCACCATAGTCAAATTGAGCCTTGAATTTCACTGGTTGTTCTGGATCCGATCTCGAACTGGTCTCCTCTTTCATGGTTTGAACCTCATTTGTGGATGCAGTGATGAACTGTGTTTACAGTCAATGGCTTTAGGAGGTGATTTAAAGCCTATACGGTGATTCCCACTACAGAGTCTAGTATTAAATCTAATTCAACAGGAGGGAAACGTTGAAAAAGAAGGAGAAGAAAGAGAAGAAGAAGAGGAAGGATGTGGAGGTTGTGGGGAACTAAAGCTCGGTTACTCAGCCTTAAGTTGCTTCTCTTCTTCTCTATTTTCTTCCAGCAGCTCACACAGTCATACAGTCACACTCATCCAGCAGGCAAACCACACTTACACACACACACACACACACACACACACTCCCTCACAGCCCCGTCACGTCTATTCTTAGCTGTGTACTGGGCTATTTTTAGACCTCTACCGGTTTCCAGCCATTTAGATGGGAGGGATCGCAGCCAACACAAAGGAACTGGACTAACTCTGCGAGCATATGTGAACGTCAGACTCTGTGTGTGTGTGTGTGTGTGTGTGTGTGTGTGTGTGTGTGTGTGTGTGAGTGTGTGAGGGAGTACTAAAAACTTCATCTGTTTCTAATCTGAACACACACGCTCTCACAACAGAGCGGCAAAACAAGGTTAACAGAGCAAAAGTGAGGAATGCAGAACTCCTCGGGTTTAAAAATAGCAGCAAAGTTCCCAGGCTGAATGAATAAATACAATAAGCTGATAGTTATCCAGCATAAACACACATACACACACACACACACACATACACACACACACTCAGGGGCAACATGCCAACACGCCACATGAGGGGGGGAAAGATGACCAAAACAAAGGAGCCTCTCTTCGCCTGAATTCCTGTCTGAGTTTTTTTTTTTTTTCACAGCTTTGTGCTCTTACTATCGTACGATCCTCCAAACACCCCAGAATAAAACAGCAGGAACTTTCAAAGCTGCTGTTTTGTTTTTTGTTTTTTTCAGCTCTGAACTTATTATGCAAGCTGAAGAATCAATCTTTCCTTTTCCAGCTCCTAATTTGAGAAGACTTTGGTGTTTTTGTTTTCAGAGTTACGTGATGGAAAATTAAACATGTTTGACTTTTAGACTCCGTCACGAAACTAAAAGAGTCTGAAGACCTCGTTTTGAGCTTCAAACACTATGATTGGACATTTTCTAGACTTTTATTTTGTTCTTACTGATAGAAAACGCTAAAACGCCATCAGGTGAGCCCTGAGATGTTGAAGAAGTTTGTCCCTGATACGTCAAATAACCTATGGACCATAAATATGATCCCTGAGCTGCCAAGTGTCACGCTATTTGACCAATTGTCACACCACACGCCACACTTGAAATTTATCACGCTTATTTTTCCCCATTCAATATTCTTGTTTTTTTTTTCATGATAATAAACTTGGCTTAGTGTAGATCGAGTAACTCTGATTGACTGACCGAGATAACCAATCCTAGACCAATCCATCAGTACTTTGTGCCTAATGCTGTGTTCGAGTTACCTCGGAAGTCAGATGTCCGAGCTGAAAATGGTGCTTCACCCGAGTTCCCAGCGTTTCAGTTACCAAGTTGGGAAAAAAGCAAAAATGGAGGCGGAAACAAGATGACTACATCTACGAAAGTTATTTTAGCGCTTGCCTTATAGTCAGACAAGCCAAGCGCTAAAATAACTTTCGTGGATGAAGCCATCTTGTTTCTGCCTCTGATTTTGCTTTTTTCCAACTTGGTAACCGAAATGCTGAGGTTTTTTGGGGGTCTTGGCGTCTCAAACTATCTTTCACACACAACAGTGCCGACATTTAAAACTAAGACAGCACAATATTGTTTGAGCATCGTCATTGCGATGTAAGTGTGTGCAATAGTCACATCGCAGAGCTTGCGATGTAGGAGGCGAATGAACTCATCTCAGTTCAAGGGTAGCTGACTGAGATACACTCCATGTTACTGCATGTGCTGTGCAGGGATCCACCAATCACAATCGTTCTTTACTTAGTTGCCAGCCATCAATCAAAACCAGAGAGGAGGAAACCACGCCCCTGCACATGGAGTGAGTCGCTGGTGTTGCCGATGTTGTGCCGAGAAATGCGTGTCAGCTGAGAATTACTTTGGGAACATTACTCATCACTGTTAAGAACTGTATGGGTTTTAAATTGTACATTTCCATGGACCACTCTACTATAAGCGGTGCATGTTTTGCGAGGTGCATGCAAGTCTCGGAGGACGTGCGTTTTTGGCACAACACCGGTAACAACAACAATAGCAAAATGAGAAACAAACGAGAGAGAACCACTGAAAATGAAGACTTGTTGCCAAAAAAAAAAAGGAAAGTCAGTTATCTGGAATTATTTTGGTTACAAGATGGATAATGTCGACCAAAACACTGTTCTGTGTTCATCTGTTGCCACAATAACGTCCCAGCACAATAAAAGCTAAAAATATCTCTGAGACAGACAGAAGCCAAACTACAAACATTCACAAAAAGAGGTAAGATCAGTTCAGGTTAACTGTCCTCAAGATTTCAGCATGAATTGATATTCAGGTCATCTGGTAAAAATTCCTGTACTTTTTAATGTCGCAATATATCGCAGGGTTGAAAAACATTGCATGTTATTTTTTTCCAATATCGTGCAGCCTTATTAAAAACCTACTCAACACAACACAATGTTGACAAATAAATGAATTTTGTCAAAATTCTTGTTACAATTTTCATTTCTAAATTCTGGTTGATTAAGACTAGCATTAGGGAGAGCAGCTGGCATAGAGGTGAGGACATCAGTCTTAAGGTATAAATAGGTGTTAAAAAAGGCAAAAAAAAATTCCTATGGTCGGCGGCCGAACACATCGAAACGCTTAAATCTCACTCTTGTCATTTTCTAAATCTTGGCAGCCCTGTGATCCAGAAAGGCAGGCAGCTTCTCTGGGACCGATCCCAGACTTAAACTGTGGTCTGACAGTCTTCTGGAAATCATGGACAACATGTCCTCTTATCTGGATGTTGAACAAGCAGGACACAGTTTTACAGAAAAAGCCTTTTAGCTGTTGTTGAACTGCCGAGCTGAGCTAACCCCCTGCCTCCAGCTTTATTCCTCACATGCACTTCAGCTTGACATCTATTTTCTGATCAAAGTCTCAGAAACAAAGCATCAATGTTGAACTCTCCTTTAAACTTCAGCCTGAGAGAATCTCCTTCCACTTTGGCACAGCGGCTGAGACCTTGGCACGGCGTCGTGCCATGTGTTGTTGTTTTACCCTCAGAGGTTACACATGTTTCTCAAAGACTTCTATCCCTCTCATCCTCCATTCAGAGAGCTGCAGATTAAACCTGCTGCGCTGGCACAGAGTCTGAAGTCAGCGGCTAACACGGGAATCACTGCAACCATGTGTGACCACACAAGTCCTTAAGAGCTCTGAAACCGCAGAAAACACATGGCGTACGTACGTATGCTGTCTTCTTTTCTCTGAGAGGAACTTTATGGTCTTTGCATGCGGAAAGTTGTATTTCCATCCACATTTTCTAAAGTATTTTCTACTCCTTCTCTGTCTACATCCGTCACAGTTCATATTTAAGTGTTTTTATTGAGCTGCAGTCGTCGAATTTCACAGCGAATCTGCATGAGCGTGAGATCTTGACAAGTAAAAAATGGGTTTACACTTTTTTAAGAGATATGTAAATTTTTTATCTGAATATAAATAACATTTACAGACTCAAAAAATACAATTTGCTCCCTCTTCTACCTATTTTTTCAAGGGAAATCAGTTAATTATTAAAAAACTTCTGCAGAAATAAAGCGACACGTTTAACATTTTAGAGCTGCAGATTATTTCACCAGGAAAGGCAAGGTGGGACGAAGCAATAAAAGAATAGGAATAAAGAATAAAGCAAATAAATAAAACAAAAACCCCAAACTTCATGCTTTAAATACGATTTTATCCCTAAAACGCCAAAATAAAGAACCAGATTAAGTCCAAACATGTTCAAAAGCCACAAATCCGGCCAGCAGGGGAAAGTCAGGACCAAGGCTGGGTAAGTAGAAGTTTAGTAGGAGTTACAGGAATATAGAAAAATGTGAAAGTTAAGGACACGATAAAAATTCCTTTTTTTTACGCCATAAACCATCAAAACGGTAAACTATAAGAGAGAGTAATCTAGAAACTCACTGGAAAGCTGTAAATCTAGTCAGCACATTAAAAATAATAAAAATAAAGATTGAAAGGACAAGTTTGTCTGAGAAAAACGCAAAAGTCGTGCAGTCAGAGACAATAAAATAAAAAAAGTTTTTTTAAATTTGTTAGAAGATTGAAGAGCAGAGAGAAGTAAATCAGATCGGCAGACAGGAAAAGTGGCAGCAGGTGAGAGGAGCTGCAGGGAGTGGCAGTAAATACCCGGCTGGTTTGCACCGTGTGGATACTCTGCAGAGATGAAGACGAGGCTGCGGGGCAGATTAGAGTAACGAGCTAAACTGGATTGTGGGAGATTACGCAGGATTACAGAGCGTGTAAGCCCGGTTCTGACGGGGCCGGCCAAGAGTCCATGTGGAGGGCCGCGTGGAGGGAAAAGCTCAGGTACAAACACACACACAGGACGTACATGTGCACACACGAGCGCAGATGGGTCTTTGAGCTGAGGCTTCTTTATTTGAGGGGTTTGTAAAAGTTCATATCAGGGTCAGAGAGAGAGACTGGGTCGTTGAAGACCCTAAAAGTGTTTTTATGTTCAAGGAAAACCAGAGCCAGTGACTCATGCAGCAGCAGACTCTGATCTTTGACTCCTCACAGCTTAACTTCGACCTCCTCGACCTTGTTGACATGTCGTGCTTAGCCTCGGTCGACTGTATGTGTGTGTGTGTGTGTGTGTGTGTGTGTGTGTGAGAGGGAGAGAGTGTTAGCATGTGTCCAAGCAGGCATACACTTGCTATTGTTTCTGCTAACCCCGTTACATAAGTGGAGGCAGACTAAGGTTCGGTTTAGAGCAGAGCCTGACTGTGGAGCTCTGAGCTGCTGCAGACTCACATCCGCAACAGTTCAACCCAATCTGAAGGTGTTTAACGAAGGTTTTCAAACATTTATACGCAAACATTTTCTGTTCACATGCAAAAGACGCACCGACTACAAACTAATATTAACAATTCACAATCCTCAAGATTTTTCTCTCTGAAAATGTCTGAAAATGTTGAAGAAAGTCATAATTCCTAAAGACAATAACGGCATCTACAAAAATCCTCTTTAGACGGAGTTCACGTTCAACAAACTCAATCTCTGCTGCTTTTTTCTTGATTGGCCCCCAATTTCCACTGTATCCTGAACGGCTACCAAAAGGCCGGATCTGCTGATCGTAACTGATCGTAACTATTCAAGTTAATGTGTCAATTTCCACTGGCGTCTTTGTGTTCCACTGCAGATCGCCAGACTCCACAGCTGATCGCAAGAGCTCTATTTTTTCTGGAAGCTGGAGCATGCCGGATAAATTCAGCATGGATTAACCCATGCTGAAAAGAAAGTCGGGCACAGACACAAAATAAAACATCCGGTTTCTTTTCAAAATAAAACACTCTGTGTTTCAGGCGGATTGTATTTCACACCATGAAAATGGGTGGAGACGAACAAGTCAAAAGGTTTATAGACGTCATTTCACCCTGATGACACCATGGATGAGAAGATGCGGATTCTAGAAGTCTAGAAGTAGATTTCCTCCTCTGGAAGGACACAATCTACTGCCTATATGGTTAGCCTTTGTGGCTAAAGACAACTTGTTATCACGTGATTGCACGTGAATCCGCGGGTTCTTGTGAGTTCCCATGATTCCTGCTGTCCCTAATCCGCCATGAAATTTGCCTCAGAAACATATCCGGTAGGAATTGGTGAAAATCACCACCGTTCCAGATTGGAGCTGTTCCGGGTGCAGTGGAAATTGGGGGTGACTGATCAACTCATCAACCAAAGATGCAGCTCTGACGCTCTCAAGTGTGCTGAATCTTTAAGGGGTGCAACAACTCGCCAACATAGTCACCAGTGGACCGAAAGAGTCTACGAGTCCAGGGTAGGACAAGAGATCGTTTTGTGACCCTCTACTGCACATTTGAAACAGAGACTGACACGTCTTATGCTGTGTTCCAGTTTCCTGTGAAGTCAGATGCCGGAGCTGGGAATGACGTTACACCCGAGTTGATGGCATTCCAGTAAACAAATCGGAAAACCAAGATGGACGCCTGCTGTTAGCTGTCATTAGCCGTTGTCAGCTTTTGTTAGCTATACCAGTTTTAAACAACGCATAACACAGTATTTTACTCTTACAAACACCATAGCACCATGTTCACAGTTAGACGTTGGGCAATACAACATATACCACTTATTTAACTTCACATAAACAAAACAGAAGTGCAAATAAATAAAAAATTAGGAAAACCTTTACTGTTACTCTCTACTGTTGAAGCACTGTGCCGCCATCTTGGATAATGACCTTGTTGTCAAGTCAGGGTTGGTGAAATCTGACTTCAGGTGGGCGTTTCAGATTAATTTCGGACTCAGAGCTCAGAAATTCTGACTTCAATTGGAACGCACCATTACTTTGATCTCATTCCTCAAATCAGAAAAACCTGGTTACAACCAGAACTTGGACCAGAACTTGGACGGAGCGCACCGAGCTCGTCCAAAGCAGTCCACACACAACAAGACCTTATTCCCCATTATCCTGAGGTAGAAGGCCGTACATTAACCCTGTCCATTGTCATGTGGAGCAACTCAAGAGCCAGTCAGAAGAGAGCACAACAAATGTAGCCATGGCAACAACAGGAAGCACAACTCTTCAGCTGAGAACCCACTTGTTGATAAACGGCGACCACATGAGAGTGTGCACGACATGTTTGTTGGAGAATCCTGCAGAGGGGGGTTCTGGAGTAATTAGCCTCCATCCACTCCTAAAGACGGTCTGATGACACAGCCAAGAGGACAATCATATAGAAAGAAGAAAATCTAAACTTTCAGAGCCATTTTCAGACTCTGAAACTAAACAACACCATCACAGACAAATGGAAGCTGCAACCGAAACTGGCATTACAAAGCATCAGCGCTGACTTGGGGGGACTTGGCTCATTTCTAACGGAACAGGATGGTGTAAAACCCGAGGGCAACGGACAGTTTCCATTCAGCATAAATTCAAGGTTGAGCAGAGAGCTCCTGAGTAGATTCAGACAGAGCTCACCGGTCAATACCGAACCTTAAAATAACCCTCCTGTCTGAGTGATATCCGATCATAGATCACTCTCTCCTACCATCACGCACTTTCATCAACCGTCCTGAAAACAAGACAATGCCTCATCCATCAAAACAAGAGCTCTGGTATCTTAACGTGTGCGGGTCTGTTACTCACATCCACAATGTCCGAGTTAGTCCGGCTCTCGTGGGGCTCGTTGTACTCGGTGTACTTGAGCAGGACTTTGTCCATGTCAGTGCTGGCGTACTGGAACAGCTTGTTGGTGCTGTTGAAGATGATGAGGGCAATCTCGCAGTCACACAGCACGCTCAGCTCATACGCCTTCTTCATCAGACCGAACTTGCGCTTGGTGAAGGTCACCTGGCGAGGAAGAGGAAAGTGCATTAATGATACACAGCTTTAGTGGAGGATGTACTGTAGATGATCTATGATGATCTTTGTGTGTGTGTGTGTGTGTGTGTGCATTTTAAGGCTTCAGTACATGTAATCCTCTGACTCTACCTGAAGTCTGTCTTTGATTTTTGGTGGAATATACCAACGATTAATGAGAGTATTGGGATAAAAATGAGTTCAAATATTCATCAAACCTAGGACTTGGATCCCACCAAGTTTGAAGTTTATCTGATGTTTTTCAGAGTGGCACCATGATGGTGAAATTCCCAGTTTTAGGTGAAAGATCTAAAGAACTTTTTATGTTAAATTTGGTTCTGTTATTCGTGATCCTTGGACTCTACCTAAAGTCTGTCTTTTGGTGGAATATACAGTGGGGCAAAAAAGTATTTAGTCAGCCACTAATTGTACAAGTTCTCCCACTTAAAAAGATGAGAGAGGCCTGTAATTTTTATCATAGGTACACTTTAACTATGAGAGACCGAATGGGGGGAAAGAATCCAGGAAATCACATTGTAGGATTTAAAAAATATATTGGTAAATTCCTCGGTAAAATAAGTATTTGGTCACCTACAAACAAGCAAGATTTCTGGCTCTCACAGACCTGTAACTTCGTCTTTAAGAGGCTCCTCCCTCCTTCACTTGTTACCTGTCTTAATGGCACCTGTTTGAACTCATTATCAGTATAAAAGACACCTGTCACAACCTCAAATAGTCGGACTCCAAACTCCACTATGGCCAAGACCAAAGAGCTGTCGAAGGACACCAGAAACAAAATTGTAGACCTGCACCAGGCTGGGAAGACTGAATCTGCAATAGGTAAGCAGCTTGGTATGAAGAACTCAACCTTGGGAGCAATTATTAGAAAATGGAAGATCTACAAGACCACTGATAATCTCCCTCGATCTGGGGCTCCAGGCAAGATCTCGACCCGTGGGGTCAAAATGATCACAAGAACGGTGAGCAAAAATCCCAGAGCCACACAGGGAGGACCTAGTGAATAACCTGCAGAGAGCTGGGACCAAAGTAACAAAGGCCACCATCAGCAACACACTAAGCCGCCAGGGACTCAAATCCTGCACTGCCAGACGTGTTCCCCTGCTTAAGCCAGCACATGTCCAGGCCTGTCTAAAGTTTGCTTGAGAGCACTTGGATGATCCAGAAGAGGATTGGGAGAATGTCATATGGTCAGATGAAACCAAAATAGAACTTTTTGGTCAAAACTCAACTCGTTGTGTTTGGAGGAGAAAGAATGCTGAGTTGCATCCCAAGAACACCATACCTACTGTGAAGCATGGGGGTGGGAACATCATGCTTTGGGGCTGTTTTTCTGCAAAGGGACCAGGACAGCTGATCCGTGTAAAGGAAAGAATAAATGGGGCCAGGTATCTTGAGATTTTGAGTGAAAACCTTCTTCCATCAGCAAGGGCCTTGAAGATGAGACGTGGCTGGGTCTTTCAGCATGACAATGATCCCAAACACACTGCCTGGGCAACAAAGTTTTAGGTGAAAGATCTACAGAACCTTTCATGTGAAATTTGGTTCGGTTGTTCACGCTTGTCACAGGATCATAAATGCAAAAGATCTGACATGGATGTATTTTGAGTGATGATTGGCTGATATTTTGAACAAAGATGGGTTTAACAAACAGAGATGAAGTAAATCCAACAAACTTTTGATTTGAAAGGTACTTCTCAAAGAAAATGGACATCTTCGTACCCTGCAGCTTTTTGTCACGATGTCAGGGCAACGTGAAAGCAAAGGCAGGGAGAGCACCAGCGAAGACCAGGGTTCAGAACAGTCAAGGCTTCACATGATACCGCTAAGATTAGACACAGCAGAAAAAGGAAGAGCTGGGGTGGAAGCGGGTTTCAAAGAGGCTGCGGGAGGAGCAGGACGGCTAAAGCAGTTTATATTAATGCACATTTTGACTTTTGCTAAATGGACAGAGAGTAATTGTATGAGCTGTCAGCTGAAACGGGCTGGTGAGACTTTGCAGCCTGCCTGAACTAACACCAGGCTCAATTTTTAGAGCAGGGACAAGGAGTGAAACGTGTGATGAAGCTGCACGTTAAAACCCGACACAAGGTGGACGTGGTCTAAGATTCTGTAACTGCAGTAAGCAAGGACGGCCTCATCTGCCCGGCTGTAAACTTTTCAGACTCTCTTTGAAGTCGGCTGTATTTTGTCAGTGATCCCAGACATCCATTAATTTCCATTTATTTTTGTACCATATGAGGAAAAGCAGAGCAGACCTTTAAATCAAACAGCACTTAAACAGCATTACCACACATTAATAATGTAACTAAATGCACACCTGATGTGCTCTGTAATGGATTGCACAATTCATGAAAGTTGTAAGAGTCTGGAAATTGATCTTAACTTAAAAAGGTAATCAATAGCTGCGTGAAACTTAAGGAAAAACAGGGCAGCTGCTGTGAGCTTATACCAAAGAATATATATGAATTTTTTTAACTAAATATGATCTCCTTGGACCTCCTGTAGAGCAGATAGATTATGATTATTGGTTATTTAAAGTCCAGTGTTTGGAGGTCAACTTGAAGATGGGTGCACCTAAGGTTCTGTTGTGGTACAGAGTAAGGGTGTCAACGTTTACAATTTTTTCTACACGTTTAAACGGCGTGCACTCCGACGTGTACCCAGTTACATGTTGCAGATCTCTTTCTATCACAGTTGTGAGAAATAACCACGAGAAGGTCCCGTCTCCATTCAAACACCTCCTAATCCCACTAAATCAAAGCCATTCCAGTAGTTATCAGACAAAAACGTATTTGTGTAGACCCACTTCAAATAGGTACTAAATTAGAGCCAACATAACAGATAAATCACAAACCTTCATTTAACATTTCAAGGCTTACTTATGACAGAAAGTAAAATGAGTTGAAAATAAAATCATCGATCATTTTGACAGACAAGAAAATGTACTTTGATACCCGTGAGCTAACTGTCGCTCTGCAGGGAATTAGGGTTGTGTCGTTCGCGAACAATTCGTTCAAAAGAACCGAATCTTTTAAGTGAGTGTACTGAACTGAATCACTTCCTCAAGTGATTCGTTCAGTTGAGCTAAAGTGAGAGGCCAGCAGCCGGCGAACGAGGGACCACATGCACCGACACCTGAATCACTTGGTGAACGAACCACGCTATGAACTACACTCTCCGGAATCATTTTTGTCTGACAAAACTACCTTTTTTTTCACTGCTAAAATGCCACCACAACAACTTGCATACAATAGGACACAGCATGTAACAAGTAGTGCATTACACCTGCAGCATCCTATCATTGCAGCGGTTTGCGAGGGAACGGTGCATGTTCAGTGTGAATTCTTCTAAACGTTTAGTGAACGAATAAATCACTGAGCCCAATTTACTGAGATGACCTGATAACTGGCATACCATTGGACAGTACACTTCAAACATCATGGCGTATAGACAAGTTCATTTTTACAAACCTGTTTGCCAAAGCAACACAGCCAAACACTCTCATCTTCCGGTCCCAGAAGCTATTAATTCAACTGAATCCTGAAACTTTCATCTGTGTATCAGTTCAGGAGGTCGGAGTCACAGGCTTCTCCCGCTAAATGATTCAGTGATTGGGTGAACAAATCTTTTTAGTGAACTGATTCTAGTGATTCAGTACATCTAAAAGAACTTCCGCGCCCATCACTACAGGAAATTTCATCGCCTGGCTCCAGATATTTCATCAGCTGAAAAAAATCCATCATCCTCATCCATTGACAAAGGCTGCATGTCGAGAGCCACCGTTTCAGCTATTAAGTTATATGTTCACGATGTGCCTTGTCACATTTCTTCACCTTGTTATATGTGTAATCCTTCATGCTAGCCTGTGAACCGCTAGCTGCAGCACCGATGCCAGCAGCAGCACCGATGCCAGCAGCAGTCTCTCCCTCCATCTTGTTCTGGTGTTTCCATCGTAGGTGGTTTCGCGTGGACCCCTGTGCTGTTGTTGTAAAAGCCAACTGCGACTAACAAAACTACACTTGACTTGATTTCCACACGCAGTTTGTTCAAAAAACCTGACTCCGCTTGTTGACTGCCACCATCACGTTGTCGAGTCAATTTGAAGTGAGGTGACACTGGCTGTGCAGGCTGCAGGATTTTTTTTTTTATCAACGTAACGTTGTGCCCCATTATGTATAGACGGGTTTCTTGTGTACAAACAATACTAGGTGTGCACGCAACCATGGGGCAAAAGCCTGCTTCGGAGTAAACTGATTTCAGTGAAGATGCCGTATTCTTGGATTAGGTTCATTGTGTCTTTTTTGATAAATTATGATCAGATGTTCTTTTATACAGACACAGGTTTTTTAATTACCTTGCTGACATGTTTCGACGTGCTGGCAGCAGTCTTCCTCAGAGTGTCACGTGATGGTTGTGTGACGCGTCTTAAAACAGCTGATGTTTCCGAAGGCATGACCTTTCCGTCAGTTTTAAAGATTGGTCACTCCTTCAGCTGCCCGCTCGCCCACTGCAATGCAATGGAAATCCGGAAGCGAGGCCCGAGGACCATCAACCGGGATGAGGAGGCATATATGCTATCCCACACGTGGAGTGCCATATTGCAGGGAGCAAGCGGGCAGCTGAAGGAGTGACCAATCTTTAAAACTGACGGAAAGGTCACGCCTTCGGAAACATCAGCTGTTTTAAGACGCGTCACACAACCATCATGTGAAACTCTGAGAAAGACTGCAGCCAGCACGTCCAAACATGTCAGCAAGGTAATTAAAAAACCTGTGTATGCATAAAAAAACATCTGATTGAAAGATGCCATGTTGTTTTCAAGTTCTCCCTGACACAATTGCAATAAAATGTCATTTCATTGAAAAATCCCTGTCTTTCATTGCATCAAAATCAAAAAAACACTTGCTGAAATATCCATGAATTTCACTTATTTTACAAGGTTGTGACATTGTTTTAGATGTTTTCAATATCAGGAGCATGGTCGTAATGTTTGCCGATTGTTTGTTTTGCAGATTCCTGCAGTTTACAGCACAACAGCTCCTTGTCAATTTCTTTCTCTGTTGGCTCTGCTAGTAAACAAATAAGAAATGTCCCACTTTCTGCCCCAAGGCTGCGCGCGGATACCTGCAATGACGTTGCACAGAAACCCGTCTATGCGGATAACTTCACTAGTGGGAACATTTAAGAGTATAGTTAGTTAGTTAATGTTATTATCTGAAGCTTTCAGGCAACATTATATATGTATATTGGTGAGAAATGATCGAGGAGGAGGAGGAGAAAAAAAAAGACATGGAAACGGCTATTGATTTTTCTTAACAGTTATGATTTGTTATCCGTGTATCCGTTTACATGTATAGATGTTGACACCCCTTGTACAGAAAGAGGGTCAAAACTATTGATCTGCAGGTCCGTTTCTGAGCTGAAAATGCCAAAAAGAGTCTAAAATTGAGGTTAACTACTACCAAAAGTCTCATTATGAAAAATGAAACTCAGATGTTAGAATCTGTGGTTTGTCTAAGATGAGCCGAAACACGTCCAAACTCTGTTTCTTCACACGTGCATCAGCGTAACACCACACCGTCGAGCGGAGGACTACGATGAGGTCAGCGCTGCCCTCCTGCCACTGCTGCTGCTGCAAGGGTCAGGAAGCACATGTGCCTGCATTTCCTGTCATAACAGGAAGAGAGGAACCCCTCCCCCAGACGAGACTTGAGTAAGTAAGTGTGTTAGTGTTAATGTGTGTGCATCTGTGTGTGAAAATGCAGTTAGGTCTCATTGACAATCAGCTCTCGTCTCTCATATCTGCTGGATTGAGCCAGTTGAGGTTGTTAGACTCAGTCGCAGCTTGTGAGGATCATATGATACAAAATCATCAGTCCGAGGAACTACAGTTTTATCGGAGTCCCTTAGGGGTTGTCTTTGGTTTGAAAGAGTAAATTGAAGCGTTTTCCTTTCTCATCTGGCTGTAATTACTGCTCGACTGGAGTTTATCCAAATACAACTATGATGAAAAAGATTTATAAAAAAGAAGATATGAAGCCCAATACCAAAAGTGGAAGAAAACTACAAAAAATGGAAACTTTTTCAAGAGTCTCAAGCTTTTTCCTCTTCCTTAGGGAAACTTTTTATCCAATCAGATTCACTTCTGGCTGCATAACTGGTGCAGATAAAACGAGTTAGGTGCCAAATTTGGTGATTTTTGTTAGTTTTTTTCTGACTAACTTTGCCCAGATCGTTTTTTTTTCATCCCTCTCCATCCAAACTCTGAACTATAGTTACCAAATTTGACGGATGATCTCTTTGAATGAAGCAGTTTTAGCGGATTTGTAATATTCCATCAAAGTTTGGTCAATTATCTCATTTTTAAGCATTCGCTTAACATCATATCTCATTAATGTTTGGTACTATTGCTGCCAAATTTGGTGGAAAGGTGTAAATGAGACACCTGAATGGTGATGCCAAATTTCAGTAAAGACTTTAGTCTGGTGATGTATTTTTAAAATACAAGAAATGTTATATCTCTTTAATGTTTTGTGCGTTTGCTGCCAATTTGGTGGATATGTGTAGATAAGACACCTGAATGGTCTTGCCAAATCTGGTGCCATTGAGCCATTAGGTGGCGCTGTGATGGCATCTTCAACTAAGAAAGAAAGGTCCTGAGTGTGTTTGAATGTAAAAAAAAAAAAGGTCTGTAAATTTGCTTTCGTTTCATCTGTCAAGTTTATTTATATTTATTCACCTGAAAAACAGCTCAAAAATAAAGTATGAGATGGTTGATCCTCCGTTTCTTTAGTAGATGCACTTTTTGAAAGTAAATTTTGAACTTTTTCCACAAAGAAAAATTATTTCCAAAGACTTGTCTGAGTTTATTTTCAACACTCCGTTTTTAACTTTTAACAACTGTCACCAAATTTAGATCAAAACATCTCTTTAGGGAGCTAGAAAAGCAGCTTTTTTTTTTGCTTCAGGGACTGATGTAGTCGGCCTTCAAATATCAGGAAAATACTGTAAACTTGCTTTTAGCCTGACATTATACTACATGTCGACTTTTTTGATTCTCTTGTGTTTTTGCAGCCAAATTTGGTGGATTTTAGGAGATAAGGCACCTGAATAATCATGCCAATTTTAGTGCCATTGAGCCAATAGGTGGCGCTGTGATGGCACCTCCAACCAAAAAGAGTCTGTTTAAGTTCATAGCTTAATTTCTGGTAGTCTGATGGCGTTCACACTTGGTGGACGTATTTCCTAAGACTCGCTGTGATGGTAAGCTGTGATGGTCGCGGTGTGTAAGGACCTTTAGAGTTGATCAAAGTTAGCTCTACTATGCATAAAAAAACTTCTGCACTTTCAAGAGGGAGGTAGTTTGAAGTTTTTGGAGGTATTTGATGAAGTAGGGTAGAGTCTGGATGATGAACCAATAACTGGAGTTCATTTTGAGGTGAACACAAACAGAACTGCCCCACAGCTATGCAGAGAAAATCATTGTGGTGAGTTTGCAGCTTCTGTTTGCGTGCAAATGAGGCAAGTAAACAAATTTGTGTGAAGGACACAAGGCAGCGGATACTTTTGTGGGATTAACAAACTGTGACTTTGTTAATCTGGAGATAAAATCCAATCCAGACGAGTTTCTGAGGCTGTAAAGGTAAACTAAGGTCGTCAAGGTGTAGGATGTGCATGACTGAAGGGTGTTTGGCTCCTCTGCATACTTACATGTCTGTTCCGTTCATCCATAATCCGTGCTATCTGAATCTTTTTCCTCCCCATCTTGGCTATTTGGTCTGTTTTTCCTTTCTTCTTCTTCTTCGTCTCTTTTGGATCCTTTACTCGACTTTCAGCTCTTCACAGTTTTTCACTTTTCAATCCCAAACTGCTGGCTCCTGCAGAAACAAAAACAACATCATTAAACACACAAAACCAATGTATCACACACACACACAAACACACGGTGACATAAAGAGGATAAACTGGTTTCAGGAATCAGTGTCACACCTGAGGAGGTGGCGTTTCAACATCGACACATTTCCACGGTGATGGATCACAAACAGAAGCATGTACCAACACAGCGGTTAATTAGGAAGAGCTGGATTGCGTGTGGGTATCATGTCATGCTATAATGCAGAGTGTAACCGCCATGCACGCACAGACAGGCTGCATTTTATCTGTTCGCATGCTCGCCCTGTATCCCCCTGACACACCCACAGACAGACTTCCTTGGGGGGTTACTGAGCCCTCAGGAGGAAGTGAAACAGACGGGCATGTCAGCATGCAAATAAAAAAGAGCTGTGAGTTTTGGCTCTATCAGGCGCTGCATTTAAAACATCTGCAGCTTGGAGAAAACCACATATAAAGACTAAAGTTTTGACTTTACAGCTCGCCTGAAGCTGGAGCGAGCAGGTACTTTCCAACTTTATTAATTTTATATTAAAAAAAGCGATAAATGTGTTCAAGAGAGGACAAAAAACTAATAGAACGAGACAAAATAAAAGCTCTGAGGTTAAAAAGGGGTTTTAAAAATACACTAAACTGAAAACAATCAGGTTAATTGTTTTTAACTGAGGTTAAAAAGTTTAAAAGTTTCTTTGAGGAAGAAGAAGCTCGATGAGAAGAGTTTGATGTTTCCTATAAAGCAAACAAAAACACTCATCATTCCTCACTTTTTCATCAAACCTTGTTTTTAAGACGAGCTGCAAATGAAAAAAAAAGTTTCTTTTCAGAGTAAATTTACAGACAGAAATACGTTTTTCTTGAGATATCAGCAGAGGTCTTTGATGAAGGTTAAACATCTCACTCATGTTTGAACTTTTTCAACTTTCAGACTCGTCTTCTGACTTTTAATGACACCTCTCAGCACGTACGTATATATATTACAAAATTAAGCTCATTAACGGATGTGTCAGTGCGCCTGGGTGTGTACATTCCTCTTCGACAGTGTGACAGCATAACTCTCACTGAAAGGAAAAGATACCCGAGGAGGCAAACAGGAAACACGTCACCCATTAGTCAACTCCATTTGTCTCCTAAAACGCCGTTTTCTGACTGCTCCTGGTTCTGTTTTTAATGGACCTCAGCTGTTACCTCAACTATTCACTTCAACACATTTGTTCCTGCATCTTCACACTAACGCGTTCATAACTAACAATCAGGGTGAATAAATGCTCCAAATCCCTGAAACTGTAATAAACAGGCACCAAATTATCTGCTCGGAGTCTGAAGAAAGTTTTGAGTAAAGAGAGTTTACCAGAAACTCTGAAAGTCTGCTCGTCATTGGTGAGCTTGGCTTCTACGTTGAAAGCCTCCACAGCGGCCAGTACATATACCCGCACAGTGAAGTCCAGATTAGGGGATTTAACTGAACCCAGACCTTGGATATGAGATCACAGCTTTTTGTTCTTCCTCTGTGGAGGATGAATTTAGTATCCAGTTTTCTGCAGAGTCAATGCTGTCAGAGTTTAACCCCCAATTTCGCCCACATCCATAATGGCTACTAAACGGCCGCATCGGCTGATCGTAACCATTCAAGTTAATGTTTCAATTTCCACCGGCTTCCTTCCGTTCCTCTGTGGATTGCCAGACTCCACAGCTGATTGCAAGAGTTCTACTTTTTTCTGGACGTTCGAGCATGCCGGATAAATTCAGCACAGATTAACCCGTGCTGGAAAGGAAGTCGGGCACAGACACAAAATAAAACATCCGGCTTCTTTTCAAAATAAAAAACACTCAATGTTTCAGGCTGATCATATTTCACACCATGCAAACGGGCGGAGACGAACAAGTGAAACGTTTTTAGACGTCATTTCACCCCAATGACACCATGGATGAGTAGATGCAGATTCTAGAAGTCTAGAAGTAGATTTCCTCCTCTGGAAGGACACAATCTACTGCCTATAGGTCTTTGTTTCTGTCTTTATACAGACAACTTGTTATCATGCGATTGCACGTGAATCTGCAGGTTCTTGTTAGTTCTCGCGATTCCTGCTGTCTGAAATCTGCCACAAAATTCGCCTCACAAATAGATCTGGTAGGAATTGGTGGATGGTGAAAATCGCTGCCGTTCCGGATTGGAGCCATTCTGGATGCAGTGGAAATCAGGGGGGTTTGGTTGCCTTCCAAAGAGGAGGTTTCTGAAAACTCGATCTGGTTGTTGACGTGTGTGCAGGAAAAACTGCACATGCACCAAGACTTCAGGCTGCTGGTTTGTGCAGCTCTGCCCTGTTGGTTCTGTTTGGTTCAGTCGTATGTCATTATACTGTGACACAGAGGCGGATGGATAGATTGTTCCCCAGGACTCAGGACTGAGCTTGAGAAATACAGCTGGTGCAGAAGTGCCAAAAAGTGCAGATCATTAAGTTCACCAGAGACCACGTTCACACACTGATCCACAAAAAGGAGCCGGTTTTTAGAGCCAAAATAAAGATGTTTGCAGCCCGGTTGGGAAAATGTTTTTGGTCTGACAGATTGTTCAGATTTTTGTGAAGAAGGTCACCATCTTCAAAACATGTTTGCTAAAAAATGAAGAGGGAGAAGTGTTTTTTTCTTCTTTTTATTAAACAGGGACAAAAACATGTTTTTGAGAGCGTGCGGATGAAGCTTTAATGTTCTTCATTTTCACCCTGAGTTTGAACGCTTTTGTCAAACAGCGAAAGCGGTCACCAGAAAAGGTCAGTGCTTTGGCGGCCGGTACAGAGCGCACAAAGAAGTGACAAAATCTGTGTTTCACTGTGCAGGACTACCAGTGCATGCAGACTGTGTGTGTGTGTCTGTGTGTGTGCTAGTGTAATGCATGTGTGTAATGTGTGTGTGCCATGTGACCCATGTGTCGCTCCTGAAGTGGAGCTTAAGAGCTTGGGTCGCTGAGTTAACTGGATGTTCACACACGGTGAGACAGACACACTCACACAAACATAAACACACACACACACGGCAGGTTTTCTTGGCAGCTTGGTCGCTGTCATCACAGCAGGACGGAGCAGAAAAGAGACGCAGAAAATAAAAGACATGCTCGCTTTCAGGAGCTGCCAGGCCTCAGGCACGCGGGAGGAAATGGAGAATGAAATTGGGGATTCGTGAAGACGTAAGAGGATGACGCAGGTGTGCTCTCTGAACAAAAAGAGCGCAGATAATGACCGCCGAGCCTCTTTCAGGTCCAAACAGCTCCTCCAATGTTCCTCTTTTCATTTACCTCTCATCCCTGTCATTGTTACACTTATCCACGGTTTGGCAGAAACAGTCCCTTCATCAGGGAAAAGATTTCAGCGTGGCATTTTCATGTTTTCTTTTTCTTTCTCTCCAATGTCCTTAAAAACTACAAATCAAACCACCTGAAATTAACATTGAACACCAAATTAATGCAAATTCCTGCTTTTGAGAATCTGAAAGCATCAAATACAGATTCATTTTTGTAGAATTTCTGGATTTTGCATGAAATATTTCAGCTCCACTCATTTATTCAAAGCCTTTCCTCGCTTAAAATGTGGTTTTATTTATTTATTCACATCCAGTGACCCCCGTTGTAGGGCCTAAAGTCAGTACCTGTTGGCTTTTAAACTGATTTACTTTAATTTCTTTGCTTCTTTCCTTTCTTTTCTCCAATAGTGGGTCAAATACTTTTAGTTTCAGTTATTTTTGACACTCTTTGTCCAACTTGAACTCTTTACAGACTAAAACGCTTCACCATCAGCAGGCGAGGACAATAATGACCAGCTGCAGCTATCACTGCCTCCCTAATCAGTATTTCCTGATAGTCAACAAAAACCAGAGATGCCTCCATCCAAGTAAAACCCGCCACACACCTACGAAACCTCGTCCCTTTTCCCTCCTTCGAAAGTCCAGAAGCAACCAGACACCGGTGTGTTTCTAAGGAGGGAGGAAGGAGGAAAAGAGTCGAAGAAAAAAAACACACAGAGGCTGAACAATGCTGCAGTGAAGCCTTGACAGAGAGACGTCACACCAAGCTTTTCTTTCTGCTAACAAGTGCAGAGTGTGTGTCGTCTTTCTCAGTGCCAGAGCGCTCCATTGTTAAAAAAAAAAATAATTAAAAACATGCCAATCAGAGTGTGAGCTGCTGGACCAGAAAGATCTGCTTTCATTTCCAAGAACTCACACGTGTTTATGTCCTGAACTCCCTGTCCAATCAGATCTGATAGTGCAGGTGCAGTAATGTAGCTAACCTCTAATATGCACTGTTTACAGAAAGGGCCAAACACCTGCAGGTTTGTATCGGACAAACATGCTGAGCAAGAGTCCAGTTTTCTTTTCTGCAGGAACTTAAGTGTGTAAAGTAGTAACGGGGCGGCGGCAAGGTCATGTGGCGTTACGAAGCGGGGTTACATTTGTGAAATCAAGAGTTTAGATTGGTAGGAACAACTCTTGGCTAAGAAAAAAAATAAATAAATAACGAGATTGGATTTATTTTTTAAAAAAATCCATAATACACACACTCACAAAAAATAATTTACGCAACGTTCTGTGGTGGTGGCACTACTGAGTAGTATTAGGAAGTCGCGTCATAGAGAGGTGTCACCAAGCTGTGTCACCAACTGGTATGAAGTGGCATTACAAGGTTGTCGTCCCAAAGTTGAAGTACTTTGAAATTGAGTTCTGACGTGACATTATAATGTGAGGTCATGGTGTGATGCTCAAGGGTTAAAAAGTGAGTTTAAAATTGGGGTTAAAGTTGAAATTTTAAAGTAGGGTCAAAAGGTGAGCTTAAAAAGTAAGGTTAAAATTGAGGTTTAAAAGTGAGGTTCAGAAGTTGTGTTTAAAAAAGTCAAGTTAAAAGGTGAGCTTAAAAAGTAAAGTTTAAAGGTGAGGTTAGAGTTGGGGTTAAAAAGTTGTTTTAAAAAGTGAGTTTAAAAAGTGATGTTAGAAAGTGAGGTTTGAATTGAGGTTACAGTTGAAATTTTAAAGTTAGGTTAAAGTTGAGGTTAAAAAGTGAGGTTAAAGTTTGGGGTTAAAAGGTAAGGTTAAAAAAGTGAGTTTTAAAGGTGAGGTTAAAAAGTAATGTTAAAAAGTGAGGTTAAAAATGAGGTTGAAATTTTAAAGTGAGGTTAAAAAGTGAGGTTAAAAAAAGTAAAGTTTAAAGGTGAGGTTAAAATTTGAGGTTTTCAAAGTGAGGTAAAAAGTGAGGTTTACAGAGTTGTGTTGTCTGTAAATGTGTTTTGTTTCTTGCTTTGGTTGGAAAAAAGAAACCTAAGTAACCAAATAAGTGAATGGACCAAAGCTTTGATATTAATCTTTTACCGCTTGTTTTCCGAATATTTATTAACTTTACTCCTCAGTAAAGTTCAGAAAACTGAACTCAGTAAAGACTAAATTTGATCCATTATTTAGTAAACTTTAAAACTTTGATATCCTTTTTCCTTCTGGTTCCCTCGGTTAGGAAACCTATGGCCTTTCTGAATGATTTGATGAAGTCTAATTTTTAAGTGTCAGGAAAAAACCTGCAGACAGCACTTTGGGCTCTGGGAGCTGTCTGACGTTTTAATGGCCAAAGCTTTAATCGATTAATACAGATAATGATCCACAGATCATTGAATTGGTGACAGTAATCGTTAATTGCAGGGCTGTGTAGTTCCACCCCCTCTCTCTCTCCCTCTCTCTCTCTCATGTTTTTCCACATTAGTAATGGCTCGATATGAACTGACAGCCTCTGACATGAAGTCTTAATTGATGTGTTTTGCCACAATAAAACCAAACACTTTGATTAAATGGAGCGACACGATACAATCAAAATGATCTGCAGCGAGCAGCAACACGCCAGCCGGAGAACATTACATGAATATCTAGAGTCTGAGTCACGCTGCCTGTGAGCCTACCTCGCTTCAGGAAAACAGAACAAGGATCAACACGGTTTAAATTTAGAGCTCCTGCAGACGAGCACACTCAGCATGTTGTCGTGAAGGGAATTTTAGGCCAAAGCGAGATGTGAGGAGCCGAGAGAAGATTGCATAAAACAATCAAGATCAGTGTGCGGGCGTTCGCTGTTATCTGTAGGTATGATTTAATGCAGAGCTTGATCTTTTCCAGGATGACAGCAAATCTCCACCCAGCTCACCCTCCACACGCCCACGTGCACAAACCTCGGCGCTATTTTTAGGCTCAGTGTAAAGCAGAAGGACTCCAAAAATAAAAGAATGAACTTTTTACCCCAAACAACAATACGAGCAGTTTCTGGTTTCACAGACTGAGTGAGCGACTGGAGAGTAGAGGGAGGGATGGAAATCAGCCATCTCATGCAGTCCTCAGCTGCTCCCATGCCAATTATTTTCCAACAGGATGGACCTGCAGAGGAAGAGTTGGAGCCTATGTGGAGGCCTGTTTTCATACGTCCATGTACATACTGTGTGTGAATGCCGCACGCAGCGGCGGAGGGCTAATGGGCGACATGTGGCAGTGCCCTTGTATTCCTTGGCAGGACACTCTGCATGTCTCAGTGTCAGAGAGCCAGGGAGGGTGGGTGGTCGGTGGAGGGTGTTAGGTCTCCTTCATCCAACTCTCTGTAAACTCTTTTTAGACCTGCTGCACCTGGAGGATGGACGTCACCTTAAACACGCACGCAGAGGTGAAAAGATTGATGTTTCAGGATTACTAACTTTATTTTTATGATAAGATAAGAAGAACTTCATCGTTGAACTGAATATGTGATTAAAAAAAAAAACTAACACCACTCACATCTGGGTTTTTAAAGGGATATTCCGGCATAAAATTAATTTAGGGCCAAACACACAGTAACACTGAGTTAGACACCCCCTCCAGAGAGGAATGTTGCCGACCGCTTGCTTCTCTAGTTATACCAACTTTAGTAATGACCGTAGATAGCAATACAGAGAGCCACATACTTAACCAAAAGGCCACTCTATAGCCACAAATAATGCTCACAACAGCACCTAACTTCATCAACAGTACATACAGGGTCCCAGCCATAGTACTAGCCACCGAACATCTTTTTAACTTTGACTAATTTCTTTAGCAAAGAGACTAAACACAACTCACCTACTCTCATCCACCAGCTGCTTGTTTGTAGCGAGACCTCAGGCGAGTCCATTAGAGACTACAGCGGGGTGACGCAGCTCAAGGAAGAACATTTATGATCATTACTTCATCATTTCCTTGAAGTAATAATCACCATATTAATCATTTTTCACTTTAGACGCGGTAGTTCTTCTGCCTTAGCGTCTCGGTCTGATTGCATTTCCATGAAGAAAAGATCATAAATGTTCTTCCTTGAGCTGCATCACCCCGCTGTAGTCTCTAATGGACTCGCCTGAGGTCTCGCTACAAACAAGCGGCTGCTGGAAGAGAGTAGGTGAGTTGTGTTTAGTCTCTTTGTTAAAGAAATTAGTCAATTTAAAAAGTTGTGTGGTGGCTAGTACTATGGCTGGGACCCTATTTGTACTGTTGATGAAGTTAGGTGCTGTTCTGAGCATTATTTGTGGCTATAGAGTGGCGTTTTGGTTGAGCGTGTGGCTCTCTGTATTGCTATCCTATGGTCGTTACTAAAGTTGGTACAACTAGAGAAGCAAGCAGTCGGCAACATTCATCTCTCGAAGCGGTAACTAACTCGGTGTCACGGTGTGTTTGAGCCTAAATTAATTTTACACTGGAATATACCTTTACGTATGCTAGGAAACAAGTCTGTAAACCTTTAATTCTGATTCGACCGCTTTTACTGTTAAGAAAAAACTACCACTACAAGCTTGCTAACTTAGCTGCGCAGAAACATGGTGTATATAAGGGATGCACCGATCCGATATTTGGATCAGATATCAGCTCTGATATTGACAAATTAACTGGATCAGATATCGGATGAATAATTCGAGCATTCCGATCCGGTCTTTTTTTTCTTTTAATTAATTTTTCTTTTAATTCATGGAAGTATTACTTCTTCATACTTCTTTCTGCTGTGTGCTCATGTGTAATTTGTTATTTGTTAATAAATAATATTAGGTAAATTTATATCTGTGTTAAGTTGTTACCTTTTTGAAACAAGGCTAATGTCAAGCCCATAGACTGTATATACTATGGACAACTTGGTTCCACCTCCCACCTGTATACGGATTTGAAGCCAAATAGCTCTCGGTATTTCCGGGATTTTTCTTCATTTCCTGAAACCAGCACTGCGCAGTAGCAATGCGCGCATTCGGCCGCACAGTCGCAGAGAGTCGCTGTGATGACGCTCGGCTCAAACAGCGTGTCCCCCGGGTGAGCTACGCAATCCCTGAACGCCAATAGGCTATATCAGGTGTCAATCATAGCCAATATGAACCCCCTAATAACTTTTAAAAACAGAGCTTCACAGAAAAAAGAGGACTTGAGCACAAACCAGTCTTACAATAACTACATTTCAACATCACAAGCAGGGGGGAGAAAAAATTATGTTCTGTGTAATAAATTTCTAAAGTTTGTGCACAGCTCCATAAGCTTTGCTGGCGGAGGCGGGATTTATGACCTATACTGCAGCCCATCAAAAGAGGGTGCTGTTCTCAGAGTGGCTTCACCCAGCGAGGAGGCAGACTCTGTCCATTCTATATACAGTCTATGGTCAAGCCTGATGCCTTCACTCACAGGGCAAGGTATACAGTTCATTCATTCAGCAGTAGTATTGGTATCGGATATCGGCCGATACACTCAGTCCAGGTATGAGTATCGGATTGGATCGCAGAAAAATGGATCGGTGCATTTCTAGTTTATAACTTGCATGCACAAGATCATATCTTGAGTGCATTAGAAATTAACCGGTGCATACGAGACGATGACATATTACAACAAGATACTGACATTGTGCATAATTTATTAACTTATTATTTTCTTGTGTTCTCTGAAGTTAATATCTTGCATGCACATGATATTATCTGCTATGCACACACATATTTATGTTATGCATGCACTTGATACATAAAATGTTTATAATTGTTGTGCACAAAAGGTAAAATAGAGTTTTCTGCAGGAGGATGTCATTTTCGGCCTGCTAGTTATTAAAAGTCTGGATCTGTTTTGCATAAATGTGCATAAATTCAAACCTGTTCTGGGCATCAGATCTCATTAAATGTCAAAAAGTCTGTTTGCTAACACGTTTAAATCTAAGGAATGGTCAGCCTCAGTCATTTCTGCTTCAGTCTTAACAGCCGAGCTGAGACTAAACCACTCATTTAAAATCAACAGCGTGCAAATAAAAACAGAGTGTACACAGTGTACTATACAGCAGTGAACTCACAAAGCATCCAAATTTAGACCTGTCCATGTTTGGTCCCTGAAGGGAAAGTGATGTGACTGAAAAGAGGATAAATTCTGTAAAATGATCAGCTCAGTGAATCGAAGCTTTATCCGGGTAAACTCTGCGAACTCTGAAGTATAACCGCGGCAATTAAAGCGATTTATTATTGACTATAATGACACAGATTATCCTCACAATAACACAGAGTGGGTGCAAAGATCCTTTTTTTCAGAGTTACAGCTCTTTATCGCTGTAAAACCACATGACAATCACAGAGAAAGACACTGTACGCAACATTTGGTGTACTGTATCATGTAACACACAGGCCTCCCTCTGTCTGAGCCTTTTTGGCTGCAGGCTGCTTCCTTATGTATTGTAAACGTTTCTTGTTACTGCAGAGAGGAGCATGAAGTGTCCTCTGTGGACAGTTTGTGAAGACATTATCAGATTTAGAGGATAGTAAACACAGAATCCCCCTCAGCCAGATCAGGGACTTTTTCACTCAGCGCCAGACCCCGAATAAAGATAGAGAAGTCCGGAGTCGCCGAGGTGGGAAACTTGATCTGATAAATGTGGTTTGGTCAGGGATGCCCCTATAAGTGACTCACACTGTGGCACAGATGCCGCAAACACATGCTCGACATACGTGAACAATATTTCACCTACATCTGCAACTTCTTCACAGCACACACCTCTTTCTCCAGACTGTGATGTGAGTTTGACTTCAGGAAATCTTCACGAATAAAAACGACTTTAAAGTGCTTCAGCGACATATCTGCAAAACAGGAGACGCTAACGCTTTAAAGGTAAAAAGGTTTAAATAGTTCTAAGTCCAGAAAGAACCACACCATCTGGAGGAACTTGGGTTTTCCATGTCTTGCCCAAGGACACTTTGACATGTGGACAGGAAGAGCAGAGGATTGGACTGCCGACCCTGTGATTAGCGGCCGACCGGCTCTTCCTCCTGAGCCAGAGCCGCCGCAGATTTGTCAACAATTTAGACAACAAATTAGCGAAAGCATGTTTGACTTCCGCCACATTAACGCAAAAGCACAGACTATAGTGAAGGAGTGCACAGAACTACACCCAGATGTTTGTGGACTGACGTTCAGGAGCCAAGAGAAGCAGTCGCCCTGACCTGAATTATACCTAACTTTACCCTCAGTTTGACTCTAAATCAGCCTGTTATCGACTAAATAATCCATCTGCGGTGATGGAGGAGACTTCAAACTTCCGATTAGGAGCAGAAACATGTTAACTGAGTGAATCAAGCACATGTTCTCACTGAGCTTATGTCTGCAACCAGTGTAGTCGCCCCCTGCTGGCCAGTGGAGAAACACAGGTGTTACCCCCAATTTCCACCGCATCTGGAACGGCTATGAAAAGGCCGTATCCGCCAATCGCAGCTAATCGTAACCATTCAAGTTAATGTTTCAATTTCCACCAGCTTCTTTCCATTCCGCAGCTGATTGCAAGATTTCTAGTTTTTCCGGACGCAAGAGCATGGTGGATAAATTCAGCACAGATTAACCCATACTGGAAAGGACGTCGGGCACAGACATAAAATAAAACATCCAGCTTCTTTTCAAAATAAAACACGCCGTGTTTTAGGAGGATCGTATTTCACACCATGCAAACAGGCGGAGACGAACAAGTGAAAGGTTTTTAGACGTCATTTCACCCCGATGACACCATGGATGAGGAGATGCTGATTCTAGAAGTCTAGAAGTAGATTTCCTCCTCTGGAAGGACACAATCTACTGCTTATATGTCTATATGGCTGTCTTTATATAGACAACTCGTTCTCGCGTGATTGCGTGTGAATTTGTGGGTTCTTGTGAGTTCTCGCGATTACCGCTGTCTGAAATTCGCCTCACCAACAGATCTGGTAGGAATTGGCAGACGGCGAAAATCACCGCCTTTCAGGATTGGAGCCATGCTGGATGCCGTGAAAATTGGGGGTTAGATGCTGCATCAGGCCATGCAGACAATAAAAAGCACCGACTAATGAATGGTTACCTACGTTTCTTTGTAAAAGTTGTAAAACGAAAGCCTTTTTTTTGTAAAACAATGACGTCAGAGCCGAACATCTGCCTCGATGGAAACTTGTTGCATTAACAAGTCAAGACGGGCAAAAGGAAACAATCCAGATCATGTTTTCAACTGATGAAACAAGATAAGGTTTAAAGAAAAACAAGATAAGAGACGTTTGTAGTTTGTCCGAGGAATTTGTCACACCTACGCTACCAAGCACACACACACACACACACATAAAATTTAAAGGTGGCGTCACAGCCGGTTTACTAAAAAATGACTGAAATGAACGTGTCGCAATTTTAACTCTGATCTTTCACAAAGAAGCCAAACTTTACTAAGAGCTGTAGGAGAGAGTGGAGTAAGTTGAGCCAAAGGGTAAGTTGAGCCACCCCCTGTTTCTTGGAAATGGTTAAAGAAATTGATCATGTGACCAAATATTTAGGAGATGGGCATCAATTCACTGAGTATGGTTTTTAGAAGCACAAAAAACATTTTTCACTCTTGAAAGTGAATTTAATCTGTCAAAAGTTTGATTAGAATTGTGTTCAGACCAAAAAAGATCATTTTAAATTTGTTTTGTACATCAATTGTGGTATCTATGAGCTACAACATGAGGCCAAAAACCTAACATAAAAGTCCACCATTTTAGCTTAGAGGACTAATAAAGTCATCATAGTAGTTCTGGGATAACTTGACCATAGGAGACCACTTTTTCGGCACAATCATTCTGTTGGTTTGCAGGAATGCACAACATCCTGAAATATATGCAGATACACTAGTTAGAGACAAAACTATGATTGACTTGATATAGTGATCCAAAATATGAAAAAAGACTCATCTTACCCCACTCTCCCCTAATACAGGAAATATCCTCAACTCCTATTTGTGTTCCAGCAGACCAAAGGGGACTCAGAGACCTCAGTGCAGGTTTGCCTGAGCCCCCTAAAGTGCTCCATCCGGCCCTGACTCCTTGTACGTTATCGTGGGAGAGGAAATTTCACCAACGCGTCTTAAAACAGACTAAAGATGAAATGTTCTCCCAAAATCACAAAGTTGTGAATCAGCTCCTCTTACCCTCTGTGGCTGAAAAAAAATAACTCTGTCATTCCTCACATGGAGCGACGGAAAACTTCCCGAGTGTCCTCACGAGTCTCAGCCGGGGGGAGCAGACCGATCAGCCCCGTTACATGAGGTTCAGCTGCCGGCAGTAAACTCTGAACCTCCTGGTGAAGAAAACAAAGTTGTCCGGAGATGTTCCAGCTCCTCCTGACTCTGTCAACGACAGCAAAGATCCACGCTGACACTCGACGAGGATTATCCCGCTTCTGTTTGTTTCCTGGCGTGTCAAACCCGCACGCTCCGCACCTCACACACACATACAGACACCTCTGACACCGTCCCGCACACCTCGCCTCAGCCCGTCTTCTTACCTCTCCGCTCGGTCACTTTCCTCTGATTCCTGCGGGTCTCCGTCCAGCGGTTCAGTCCATGCGTTAGTCTCCGGGAGCACGCGCTTCTTCAGGCTTGTCAGCACCTGGACGTCAGGAGGCGGCATCGGCACACGCGCACAGACGCGCGCGCAGAGGAAACAAACAGAAGAGGAGCTCGTGAGAGGTTTGAAGTGAAGTCTGATGAAAAAAGAGTATAAATATGAACTTTGACCTGAATTTAATCATAAAAGTAACGATTTTATCACTTTAGCGTTTATTATTAGTGTTTTATTCAATATTTTCAACAGGTCTATGGTTTACCAACTCTAAAAAAAAAAATCAGTCAACATTTATTCACTAGTTCAGGCTCAATACCGCCGCCCAGTGGACACTTTTAAAACTAAAACTCCGAGGAAGAAATCTACATTTTACTGCAATAAAGTTTAAAATTTCAACTTAAATACATGCTCTTACAAAACACAAGAGATTATTTTAGATAAACTGTAATAAAGTTTATCCTTTAACTACGGTGGCCCTGAAGGTCAACTGCACAATGACATCTCACAAATCACACATGTAAATAAGTAAATAAATTAATTGCTAACTGAAATATGAAAACAGATATATAGAAATATAAAAATATATATTTTTTAAAAATCATTTTTTTTGTTAAAAATTTTGATTTATTTTAGTTTTATCATGTCAATTGTTAAAATGTTGCACTTTGATTAAAAAAAGGATATCATGAATGTTGAAATTATTTGAACTGCTTGTTGACATAATGAACATTTTAAAAGTGTCTGACTCATTTTGATCAGTATTTCTACAAACCAAATCATCAGTTACTCTATCGATTTCAGGAAAAAAAGCATTTTAACAGGCTGAAAAATCACAAATTGCGGTTCTAGATGAAATATATTCAAAGTGAGTTCCTTCTCTACCCATAACAGTAAAGTACTGTTTTTAATATTAATCAATATAAAGTAGAACATTCACAGTGGAAACAGGACACTTTTTTATTTATAACTTTACATGTTCTAACTTTAAATTCAGGGCTTTTATGTGCTTCACTAATCAAAACAGGAATTTTAATCAAACACATAAAAAAACTGTTAAAACTGGTAAACATGTTGAAGATTGTGTTCTTTTTGTGTTTTTTATATCCAAACTGGAACCAACAGTGAATCTGCAATGACCAAATTTTGATTTTTGTGTTTTAAATTTTCATAACAGATGACGTTAACTTTAATGTGAACGTGCAGCTGTTTGTATAACCATGCTCACATTTATAGGTATGATATTCTGTTCATATCTGTATCAGGAAAAAATAATGACTTTGTTTTCTTTAAATGTCTATAATTGCTCTCAGACAAAGATTAATCAATGACAACCATAGAACAGCTGAAATCCATCAATAATGATTCTGAATGAAATTAAAATCAACTTACTTTAAATCTGACGATGCGAAACATCCAAAAAACACATGTTTATAGAAATGCAGAAATTATCTGAAAGCCAGAGAGTGAATCTGAATATGAGCTGAATGTTAATTTCCACCAATTATGATATTTATTATTTAAATTAAAGATTCAGACACAAATATTTAACATTTAGACATAAATTTAATGTGAAGATACAGATTTGATATTTAGATTTAAAATTTAATATTTTAGTTTAATATTAGGCTAAGTAAAAAAAAAAAAAGTTTCCAATTGAATATTTTTGCTTGATATGAACTAATTAAGTAATTATATTTACGTTGGACATTTTAATCAATATCAAACATTTAGATGGAACATTATTGTTTTTAAACTGTCAATTTTCTGCATGTGCAACCTTAACATTAGCAACTTCTAATAATGGGTTTTATAATTATGACAAACAGAGGAGACATTATCTGTAATTAAAAAACTAACTTAAGTTATCATTCACACTGCAAACAAACAAACAGACAAAGAGGTCGCTTCAGTGTCTTTCAGCTCTAAAAAATTCAAAGATTTAAGCTTTTAAAGTTTTAAAACATGTATAAAAGTTCTTTGTGTCCAGAAAAAGTAACCAGAGATTAAAATATGTGTGATTGTTGGAAATTGTGTAACAGCATTCACTCGTGTAGGCCGAGAAAAAAACATGTCAAACTCATTACGTCATTTTCCACCAAACAGCAACGACAAGTTTATTATTAAAACCTCACAATCGACTGTGCAGCCATCACTACACTTTAAACTTGTCTATTATTTAAATATCTGTGTCCTGTCTATAAAAGCCAACAGCAGAGCAACTCAGTTAGAGAAACAACCGCAGAAACTTAATCAACAATTTAGCTGCAACAAAAGACAGGTTCCTCTGGGAAAGTGGTGGAGACCAAAAACTGAGCTCAAGCCTTATCTGGTTTCTGATCAACTTTCTGCAAACTCACTGTGCGCGTTAATGTTCTCAAATTCGTCTTATATAAACAGCCTGTTTCTGCTGCCCCCTAGTGGTCAAGATCGGAAACACAGACAGTCTTTTGTTTCTGTTCGAACTTGTCGTAACTTCGCACAGGCTCCTATTTCTCCTCTGCACAGCTACATTCTTCTCGAGATCCAACACCTGAACGTCCAGAACCAGATTTAGTGGACTCACCTGTGCTTTCCGTCCTGTCTTCACCTGGAAGGTTCCCAGCAGCTCCAGCTGTGGGCGCGCCGCTCGCTCAATCCTTGTATCAAACAAGTACAGGTTTTAAAAAAGAAAGAAAGAAAAAGAGTTTTTAAGCCAGACCAGCTGGCTTAGAGGAGAGGGGGACCCAGGACTGGGCTGCGTTTGGATCTGAGCTCAGACCACACTGAGCTGAGGTAGTCTCTGACAGCCAAACACCACCACCCCTCCCCCCGTCCACACACACACACACACACACACACACACACACACACACACAGAGTTACAGTCGTATACCCTGTGACCTCTGGTGTCCGAGGGCCGGTCTGTGGAGGAGCCCGGTCACCTGTCGTTGTCACTCGCTGTATATTTAGCTCAAAGGTGTCAGTGATGCAGCCTGAGTGTGTGTGTGTGCGTGTTTCACTCTGTGTGTGTGTGAGAGGGAAAAATGTGTTGCTGACACTCGGGCCTCGACGGGCCTCGGTGCGAGAGCCCAGGATTACAGCTCCAAAGACCAGCGGCTCTACACATTACATCCAGAGAGAGAGAGAGATCAAACCTGCGAGCCTGTCCTACATATCAGCGCAGGGAGCATCTGCTGGGCAGAGGATTACACTCAGCTGTCCACTCCTGTCACAGGCCGCAAGAGGAGAGCAGCGGGGTCGGATAACTCGGGTGATCTATGAATCTATCGGCGATCAGAGCAGAAACATGGCTGAGTCACTGAACAGCCCAAAACCAACACACCCCCGCTGGTTTCCACACCAAAGATAAGTGGAGCAGGCAGGCGGGCCGGACGGGCATGCCGCTGACTCACATCCTCCTCAGACGGGTCAAACAGCACCAGGATGCTCTCATTGTTATTCTGCTGACCCAATAAACCTCCTCAGGCTCATCATTTTTCACCAAACACATCCACATGTGAAGTTTCCCCAGACAGGCAGTTTCCACTCGGCCAAGTTTGGCCAAACCTGTGAAGTATTCTTCTTCAAAAGAGAGTTCAGAAAAACATGAAGCTGACCATCTCAGTGAACATGTCCACACAATAAAAACCTTCAGGACCTTCAAGTTTGTGGAGAGAAAATTTCAACTTCTAATAAAAAAAAAAAAACTGCTGATTTCTTTTGGGGTTTGGGTTTCTGTTTCTTCTTCTTCTTCTTCTTCTTCTTCTTCTTCTTCTTCTTATTATTATTATTATTATTATTATCATCATTTTTATTATTATTATTATTATTATTACCTCCGCCAAGGAGGTTATGTTTTCGGTAGCGTTTGTTTGTTTGTTTGTTTGTTTGTTTGTTTGTTTGTTTGTTTGTTTGTCTGTGAACAACTTTACGGAGAAAGTTACAGATGAACTGACCTGAAATTTTCACCAGAGTCTTTAATAAAAAATTACACAAAAGGATCTCAATGAGTTTTATGAGGTGTCAAAAGTTGATCCTGATCCAGACAAAATTCCGGATACTGTGATCCAGAACACACAAAAATAAGGGTGTTGTTGGAATTTTCAATGCTGAAAGATAACCAATGGGCGGCACAATGGTGTAGATGGGCGGCACAGTGGTGTAGTGGTTAGCACTGTCGCCTCACAGTAAGAAGGTCCTGGGTTCAAATCCGGGTCAGGGCATTTCTTGATTTAGGAACATTATGAACAGTGAACATTCCAGTTTAAACACAAATAAAAGTTAATAAAAGACACGAAACACTACAAGTTTTGGTGTGAATCACAATATAAGGGGGGACATGAGCTGCTTGGCGGAGGTCAACGCTCTCCGAGTGCTTTTCTAGTTATTATTGTTATTTATTTATTTATTATTATTATTATTATTATTATTATTATTATTATTAGTGGTAGTTGCAGTAGTATGATTAGTTTATTATTCATTTTATTATTATTATCATTATTATTATTATCATCATCATCGTCGTCGTTAATATTATTGTTATTATTATTCCTCTCAATTTAATTATTATTATTATTATTTTTTTTTTTTTATCATTAGGAGTAGTATTAGTAATATCATTATTATTATTATTAATATTATTATTATTATTATCTAACTTTGTGTGAGACCCTGAAAATGTCAAAACTTCTCACACCTGATGTTTGTCCAAAGACCTACAAAGGAGTGGCTGCTGGAAGAGAGTAGGTGAGTTGTGTTAAGTCTCTTTGCTAAAGAAATCAGGCAAAGTTAAAAAGATGTTTGGTGGCTAGTACAATGGCTGGGACCCTATATGTACTGTTGATGAAGTTAGGTGCTGCCCTGAGCATTATTTGTGGCTATAGAGTGGCATTTTGGTTGAGTGCGTGGCTCTCTGTATTGCTATCCTGCGGTTGTTACTAAAGTTGGTATAACTAGAGAAGCAAGCGGTCGGCAACATTCATCTCTAGAGGGGTAGTCTAACTCGGTGTTATGGTGTATTTGACCCTTTATTCATTTTATGCCGGATTATCCCTTTAAGGTGGACTGAGGGGATGAGGAAAATTGTCTTGTGGTCTAATGGATCAAATCTGACCTTCTTTTGGAAAGGACAACTGGACTTACTTGAAGTAAGTCCAGTTGTCCTTTCAACAAAGAATTGGAAATCATAGATGCTGCATCCACATTCTGACAACAGGGATTACAACAACATGGCTCTGTAGGAGAAGAGTCCTGGACTGACACGGTCCTGACCTGAAATCATTTAGAGCATCATGATCCTAAAAACAGGACCAAGGAGACCCTGGACCGAACCACGAGACTGTTTTTTGTTACGTCCCAGCTTTTGACTATTCACCATCTCGTGCAATGAATTTGAATTTGTGCCGCAGGTGAGAGAGTTTCGGTCGGTGAGGACCTGGTGATGGAAAGAAAACAGTTGAAGTATGGATGATAATTCCACCTTAAAATAAACTTTGTGCTTGATTTCCTTCCTACAACACGCCGACACGGAGACGTGGACAGATTGTTAGTGCTGAGGCTTCGGGGAATGTGTAAAAAGTTCTGGTGTGTTAATTTTACGTGTTTTAATTTCCCCTCAGTTGGTTTGCATCCGTCCACCTCCTCCTGAAAAAGAAATATGCTGTTCATTTACCTCCCCCCTCCCCCCCCAGAGGGCTGTTCAGACTCCTGTCTGCACCATTTAGACCTGAGGAAAGGGGGAGGAAATGAAAAGAGGTGGGAAGGAGAGGAAAGAGGCCAACAGTGATTGTTTGTACTGCAGGAAGACGAGAAAATATGAGACTGGAATTAAAAAATGGCAGATTTCAGCAGTTAAGGAAAGATTGGCACAGATCTTTGACGGTTTCCTCTGGCTGCATCTTTTATATTTTAATATTTCATTTTCTGAAAACAAACAACATCAACAAGTTCACGATTTGAGTCGAGGAAAGGATGATAAACAGAGCCTGCAGAAATTCCAGTAAAGAGCATCTCCTGGTGGTCTTTGGTGCCATTTTGAAGTATCTATTGTAACGGAGGTCTTGCCCCTTAAAGGTGGGTTAGGCAGGAATCTGTCAAAGAAGCATCTTTTTTTGCGGTATATATACAAACTAGAAAAGCACTTGGAGAGCGCAGACCTCCGCCAAGCAGCTCATGTCCCCCCTTATATTGTGATTCACACCAAAACTTTTAGTGTTACGTGTCTTTTATTAACTTTTATTTGTGTTTAAACTGGTATGTTCAGCATTGAAAATTCCAACAACACCCTTATTTTTGTGTGTTCTGGATCACAGTATCCGGAATTTTGTCTGGATCAGGATCAACCTTTGACACCTTATAAAACTCATTGAGATCCTTTTGTGTAATTTTTTACTTAAGACTCTGACCATTTTTATAGAGTTAAATGCAAAAGTTCCAAAATTTGCCCTATCTCACAATGATAAAGAATCCTTCAAAAAATTCCTGGATCCAGAAGACGATCCGGATCACCACCAAAATGTAATGGATCGTCCTGGGGCTGAGACGCACCTCTGGTGAAAATTTCAGGAGAATCCGTCTGTAACTTTCTCTGTAAAGTTGTTCACAGACAAACAAACAAACAAACAAACAAACAAACCAACGCTACCGAAAACATAACTTCCTTGGCGGAGGTAAAAAGCTTTTAATATCAGTCAATAGCTATTAGTTATTGATAACATTTGGGAATATAATGATATCTCTGTGTTTTCTTATGTCTGTGTAGTCAACATTTAAAATTTTTGAGCGGCCCGCTCTTTCCAACTGTAAACAAAGCCGTTCTCCGCCTCCAACTCCCCCGTGTCGTTCATGAGCCCAAACAAAGTAAGCGTGCTACAATATCGGACAGTAGAAACCAACCAGAAAGTACGGAAAATTGTCTGAATCCTCCTTTAGCCACAACTGCCAACACAAGAAAACAAAGTAAATACCAGAGACTGGTGGAATAACGTGGGCTTAAAAGGAGGTAGACCGGAAAAGAGCTAAAAAGCCGGGTCAACTTAAGTTTTTCTTGTCAAACAGGACCTGCTGCATGTTGTAGCGCCGCTAAACTGTTGACCTCGGGTCCTGGACTATGTCACTTTATCCTTGTTGTAGAAGTCCTGCAAACATTGTGTTTGCTGGTAGTCTGTTGGCATCTACAGTAGCACCAGTGCTGTTTACTTTCACGTTGACTGGGCCCCATTTGTAATTATCGCAAGTATTTATCTGCATTATATCTGAATTTAATTGGAAAGACGCGAGCGAGCAGGAGTGTCTGTTTGTGGGCGGGTCTTGCTCGAGCAGAGAGGGAGGGGAGAGGAGGAGCTGAGGGGAAAACTGGTTGGGAGGGGTAGAGTTTACATTCAAGATTTCTCCTAAAAACTGGAACTTCCTTAGATCCTGCCGACCCCACCTCTCAGCATCCAGTTTCTTTGCAGATGTTTTAGGGTACAGGTCCTGACTTTCTCTGTGTTTCCTCTCATTATATCAGGCATACGTTCATAAATTTACTCCTCTAATTCATCTGCTGAGCTCCCCTCACTCCACAGAGCAGCCGACACTCTGCCTGTCTGTGTTTCGATGTTTCGGGCCTCCTGTCCCAGTAAAATAATGTTTGCATGTACAGTATTTTTATGTGCGTAGCTCCACATGTAGTGTGTGTTACTGAGTGTGTAGGCAGGCCTTGCAGGAGTCGGCTGAGGTGTTGTAGAAACATAAACAAACGGAGACAGAAGCAATAATCTGGCTGTGAAGAGAACCAGATGTGAGCAGATATGGAAAACCTTCAGCTTCTGCCAGCTTTTCTCTCTCTCGTAACACTTCATCCTTTACTCTGATTTAGGACATTTATCCACTAAATTACTGATCAAACACAGATCAGTTGATGGACCATAACAAAGATAACAGCCTCCTATAAGCGAAGTAAGCGAGATTTGGACGGTCTGTGAAAGCACACTGATCTCCTCTGAGGGAAACAGAAGCCGACAGTCTCACAGAGCGAGTGGATTTTACAGGAAGTTGTTGGTATAAATAATGACTTTTTTAACCTGATACAATGATTTTTTTTTTCTATTTGACTCTGTTTCTTGTCACATTAAAACTTTTGTTTACACACTTTATTTTTTTAACGTGGCTCTAATTCTCTGTTTTGCGCTGCTAATCAGAAACTTCTCTGATAACTGTAAATATTGTGTTAGCGTGACTGCCTACATGCAGTTATTTAAGTCATGGCATTAAGGAGTGGTGTATGTATTTGTAACTCAAATATACATTGACATTACGTCTGTGGGAACCTAAGCGGTGGGATCATTGGTGGGGAGTAAAAGGCTCAGTTTACCCTCTGAGCTGTGCAGAATAGAGACGCAGAGTCCTATCAAAGTGAAAAACTGAGACTCTGCTGTATTTTGGACCTAATCTGGTTTTCTCCTTCTGATGGTACTTGTCTCTTTTGTGTTGCACATCTATTACTTACAGTTTGGTACTTAAATTAAGTTCAGACTCTGAGTTTTTGATTTGATTTGATCAGAAAAGTCTCTCCTAAACTTTCCTGTTCGAGGTTTGAAGTCTGTGATGTGTTTGGTTTACAGTGTGTGGGATAAGATGCCGTCTGGTGTGTGTACAGGGTGTGTAGAGTGTGTGTGTGTGTGTGTGTGTGTGCGTGTGTGCGTGTGTGTGTGTGTTGGGCTCTGTGTGAGAGATAGAGTTACTGTGAAAGCCATGAGCGTGTGTAAACTAATCCATCCTCACCCAACTGCCGAGCATAGTCCACGATCCTCAGCATGTCTCGAGGCATTCCCGGCTCATGTCTGTGTCCGCTCCCAGAGTCCTGATCCTGCGAGAAGGGAGATCTGTTATCAACAAAAAAAGGCGTTTGATATGAGGAGTTAATGTCGAATAAAACCATCACAACAATATGAAAACATCCTTAAAAGCTTCACTGCCTTTAAACACTCGGATATTTTCTTCTTCATAAGAGTGTAACTGAAACACAGACAGATGTACAAATTAAATCTGCTTTTATTTCACAGTAGGGTTAAATTTTAAGTTGTTTTCTTCTTCCTCTTCACTAAATGGCTTAAATGAACTTGATTTATGCTTATTCTTAAATAAGATTTTAAAAAGTTCCTCATTCTGTGTCACTTTAAATTGATTTGACACATTCTCTTTGTTATAATGTGGATTATAGTGCTTCAGTTCTTCTGCCTTAGTGCCTTTTATTATTATGGTACTTTTTTTAAATGAGGGATTTTTGTTTGTCCTGTTTGGGTCAGAAAAAGTAAAAATGTCAGACCTCCAAAACGATCACATTTAAAAATTCATTATAAATGATTATTGGTGATCAGCTTTAAAAGTTATGTCTTCAGAGTAAAACTATGAAACTGATGTGAGTGAATTCAGAAATAACCTACTCACACTCTGTCCTTTGAACTACATTCAAAAAAATTTTTAATCAATAGACTTTAGAATACGATAAAATATTGTAAATGTTGTCTATATTTTGGGTTGGGCAGTTGTGAGGTACGGGGGGCCCTAATGGACAACAAAGCAAATATTTCATGTCTGCAAAATGATTCACCGTTTAATTAAAAAAAATTTCATCAAACACAAAAATTCACATCAATGCAAAAATCACCAAACATAAAAGCTGAAATTAATAAATGATTAAAAAACAAAAAACTTTTTTTTGTGTGAAATACACAAACATTTCATTAAACACTAAAAAGTGATGAAACAGCCAAAATATAAAAAATGTCAAATGTAACAAATATTCACTGAATAAGACATTGCAAAAAATGAAAAAATGTCAAAATATTTCATGCAAAAAAATCCTTTGTATTGTAAAAGTATTTAACAAACAAAACGTCTTATGGCAAATTAAAGTATTTTATGAAATCAATATTTTTCACAAATATGTGAATATATTAAATATGCCTTTTTTATACAAAACACAAAAACTTTTCAATGACACAAAACAAATATTCACAAAAAATACGAAATTATTAATGAAATGTAAAACTTATTTTCCAAAACATCAAAAAGAAAAAAAAGAAAAAACACAAAAAATTAACAAAATAAATGAGGACATAAGATTTTTAATGGAACATGTTTTTAAAACAAATAATATAACACAAAACATTTTTAGAATTTTTCATAAACCGTAAAACTTTTTTTACAGGTTATGGGATTTCAAAAATATAAATTCAGTGACACAAAATTTTCAAAACAATGTTTATGAAATGAAATTTTTTCAAGTCATCCAAAGATATTTTATGAAACCAACATTTAAAAAATTTTCAATATTAAATAAAATGTTTTGTGTTTAGAAGTTTGATCATTTTTGTTGGTGTTTTGTAAATTGTTCGGACACAGAATATTTTTGTTTCTTACCTCCAGGGCCTCCGTATATTGGTAGAGAATTAAGAACTGAAATAAACAGTTTGAATAGAATAAAGGTACAAAGTTAATGAGCTCAGGTAAATAACAGTAACTATAAGGTTTCTCTCTTTGCTGATAATCGATCGATGTATTGATCAGCTCATTTCTTCGGCTCTACCAGAACAACGTGAAGACAGACTGAAGAAAAAACTGAAACTATGTGAAAAATGTTTGTATAAAATTCATAATGAGCTGCTTAACATGCCAATCATTTCACAATGCAGCGCTGCTCATGGTGGGCATGCAGGTTGAGGTCATTCCTACGGGAGGGGTCAAAGGTCACGGCCCACACCTGGACGCTGGTGTCATAGTCCCAGCTGACAGACGTCGTAAACACTGGGAATCACTCTGACATCTCTCTCTCTGTGTCAGTGAGAGGGTGAATTTATCATGGGGGGGATTAAACTCGACAATTCTGGTTCTGATTCTGAAACAAAATAAAGCATTTTTAAAGTCGTCAGAGTTGGTTTACAACCATCACACCCCCTCAGATCTGAACCTAACCCTGCAGTAAACAGCCCCCTCCCCTTCCTGATCCCCTCCCTGCTGGCCTGTCTGAGTGGGGGTCGGAGGGTAAGTGTTGTCACATGGTCGGCATGTCTGCTCTAATGACTGACAGGTGGACACAGAGCTGAACTCTGACTCTGGTTACCGACGAGACAGGTCAGAGACGCCGGGCGAGCAAACACAAGGACAACAAACAGAGAAACACTCACAGGTTTAATGATAGTTAGGTAAGCTTAGTGCATTCATGATATCTGTGGCTGGAATGAACTCATACTGACCAAAAACACGAAACTGAAAACTACGTGCAGTGACTTTTTTGATGATAAAGTCTTCCTTGAGACATCAAACATCATACAGGACAGGACAGGACAGGATAAGTCTGCAAAGCAACTCAGGATACTGATCTGAACATGTCACTAGCTGCTGAAATCCTTGCTCTAATACCTCAATGAAAGGTGCTGTAAATTATAGGGCGCTATAGGGTGTCCTGTAACCATAGCAACTGAGATGCTGAGATGCAATTGAATGTGCAGAAAGAGACAAAATAACACTTCTAACAGTTAAATAACAATGACTGACTAAAGATAACATATCTACCAAGTTCTGGATCTTCGCAACATGTATCCTGGTTTGAAAGAGGAGAGGAGAAGGGGGAGCGAGGTCTATGTATTTGTGTGTGTCTGAAAAGCCAAGGGACAGAATGAGCTTAAGGAGAGAGGGCGCTAACGAACACTAACGAGCACCAACGAGCACTAGCCCTCTTTTTCATGCTGCATTGAGGTTCATTACAAACGCTGCTCATAGGACCCACCACTGTTCTCTTTATTCTCTAGTGGGTTGGACCTCCCTGTCAATTCGCAGGTACTGGTACATCTTTATCTATAAAGCCATTCTTGGTGACCTCCCATCCTACATTTGTTCCAAATTTCAACCGATCCAAAACTCTCTTAACCTCAGATCAAATAGTTGGTTGTGCTATGTTGTTCCTAAACAAGTTCTGAGGCTGGGAAAAAAGCCTTGCCTTTTTTGGGCCCTGGTCGTGGAACGACCTTCAGACCAGATTGAAATTGGCTTTTTTAATCCCTCTAGTGAGCTTCAAAAGGATTGTCAGGGGCACACTTTCCATTCCCTGCACCTGTTTTGTTGATCAGTGCTTGTAATTGTTGTTATTGTTAACTTATTTTAGCTTATTTTATTCCAATTTTATATAGTGCTCCCTGGTACTATCATTTGATTCTATTCCTTGCTAGTCTCTCCATCCTTTCTGAGCCTAAGCAATTCGTATAGTACTCTCAGTCTCTCCATGTTGTATTGTCATTGTATTGTATTGTTACTGGCAGATCTGTGTAACATTTTATTTGCCTCTTCCCTTGGCCAGTTTGCACTTGCAAAAGAGACTTGTCTCAATGTGATTTTACTGGTTAAATAAAGTTTAAATAAATAAATAAATAACAAGCACTAACGAGTGCTGACGAGCTAACAACTTCTTGTCTAAACAGTGAGAGACATTGTTCAAAATCACAAAAACAGAAAGCTTCGATCCCAACAGTTTAGGACCACCCCCCTCAGGGATTCTGGGTAAATCTAGAAAAATCTCATCCCTGAATAATAATATATTCTCTTTATTTTGTCAATGATGTTTTCACTCTATGATGGGAACATCTGCATGATTTGATTCCCTGCTTTAAAGGGATATTCAAACATAAAATTAATTTAGGGTCAAACACACTGTAACACCAAGTTAGACACTCCCTCCAGAGATGAATGTTGCTGACCGCTTGCTTCTCTAGTTATACCAACTTTAGCAACGACTGCAGGATAGCAATACACAGCGGTCTGAGGAGCCATAAACAAACCTCAACCAAAACGCCACTCTATAGCCACGAATAATGCTCAGGGGCCTCATTTATAAAACCTGGCGTAGGATCCATACTAAAAGTGTACGTAAGTTGAAAAGCTGAAAAGTGCGTAGGCAAAAAAAAAATCTGATTTATAAAACCCTGCCTACGCACACCTGCACGCACTTTCCCTTTATAAATCACAGACCAGCCGGAAAGTTGCGCAGCAGGGATTTGATTCATGCCTCGCCCTCTCCACACCCAAAATTCACCATATATGGTCATGCAAATTCCCTAATGAATGTGATTTGCATATAAATAAGCCTGATGGATCCACGGCATTTCACGCTTAACCATGGCATCAGCAAGTCGTAGAAAAAGAAACTTTTCAGAGATCGAGGTGGAGGTTCTTGTAATTGAGGTGGCGGCGAGACGGGAGACCTTATTCGGCGGCCATTCGAGTGGCATCACCAATAAAAGAAAAGCCACCGAATGGCACGCCGTTGCCTTGGTGGTAATTGCGGCTGGCACTGAGCGCAGCGTTGCCTAAACAGTGTTGTTTTCGTCATATTTCGTCAAATATTTTCGTTAACAGCAGCGTCAAAAAAGGGAAATATTTTCGTCAACGAGAACAACACTGGTTGTTTTTGTTGACGAAAATATTTCCCTTTTTTTCCACGACAAAGACGTAACGTTGACGAGCTAAACACAAGTCGGAGATGACTAAAATGTGATGAGACGAAAGTGCGTTTACGTTGATGGGACCAGACGAAAATGACGAACAGAGTTGCAAAACTCAGTCAGTTAAACGCTAAACATATAGGAGCAGCTTCTGTCCGCTCTGACAGCTCTCATCAGCCTGCTGTGCTCCTCCAACACACAGACACAGACACGCGTGCGTGCGCACACACACACGTGGAGTTTTGTTTTCGTTGACGATGACGTTGACGAAAACAACACTGTGAAGAAGTGGTCTGATCTAAAGGTGGAGGCAAAGAAAAAAGTGGCTTTGCACCGTCGAAGCGTGGCGGCGACAGGTGAGGATCAGAAAAAACAAGCACGTGTGACACTCATGCATGTGTTAAAAAAAAAAGTGCTCCGTTATCCACCGCTGCTTCTGTGGTGAAAGTTCGTAAACCAAAAAGATTTAGTCATATTAATCTTAAAACAAATGCATGTAAATGGAATTTGTTTTTTTGCACATTTGTAAATTCAAATTGGCAAACTTTCTACACCGCCACAGTGGGGTCTGTGCTTTCTGCGAGCATCACTGCCTGTTACAGCAGCTGCAGCTCTCTGGACAGAGAGGCCCTGCATCTAGTCATCTGTTGTGCTGAACGCATCACCCGGACTGTTCTCACCTTGCTCCGATTGTCTCCAAAAAGTGCGTAAGCAAGGTGTGGAGTTTGCTTAAAGTTGCGCACATTCCTACACTAGTTTTTCTTTTATAAATCCCAACTCTTGCGTAAGAAGTGGCGTAAGCACTTTCTAGCCAGGTTTTGTGCGTAAGCAAGCTTTATAAATGAGGCCCCAGAACACCACCTAACTTCATCTATTCTATTTCTTTTTCTATTCATTTATTTTCAAAAATGGGAACAGTACATATTGATGAGCATTTACATGTCAATATGTTGGATTATGGCCAAATGGCTAATTTCCACCCCCAGTCCCATTGGCAGGTTGATGTTAAACATAAAAGCAATAACGCTAAAAGTACAAACAACATGACTAAGACAGTAGAACAATGCACAGACAACATACGCAGAATATGCATAAACAACATACACAGACCAAAAACTAAGTGACCAATAGTAAGGGGACCAAAAAGATTCAAGGAGAATTGTAAAGTGCTAAAGTGCTAATTAGAGTGTTATGTGCTAAAGGTGTTGAAAGTGCCATTTGCTACCGTACAGCTTGTTAAAGTGACAAGTGCTTAAGTGCACAATCACATTGAATTGCACGATGCATCAACGGTACATATAGGGTCCCAGCCATAGTACTAGCCACCAAACATCCTTTTAACTTTGAATAATTTCTTTAGCCAAGAGACTAAGCACAACTCACCTACTCTCTTCCAGCAGCCGCTTGTTTGTAGAGAGACCTCCGGGCCAGTCCATGACGGACTACAGCGGGGTGACGCAGCTCAAGGAAGAACATTTATGATTATTTCTTTATCATTTCCTTGAAGTAATAATCATCATATTAATCATTTTGTACTGCAGATGTGGTAGTTCTTCTGCCTTAGCGTCTTGGTCTGATTGCATTTCCATGAAGAAATGATCATAAATGTTCTTCCTTGAGCTGTGTCACCCTGTTGTAGTCCGTAATGGACTGTTCCGGGGTCTCGCTACAAACAAGCGGCTACTGGAAGAGAGTAGGTGAGTTACGTTTAGTCTCTTTGCTAAAGAAATTAGTCAAAGTTAAAAGGATGTTTGGTGGCTACTACTATGGCTGGGACCCTATATGTACTGTTGATGAAGTTAGGTGCTGTTCTGAGCATTATTTGTGGCTATAGAGTGGCGTTTTGGTTGAGCGCGTGGCTCTCTGTATTGCTATCCTGTGGTCGTTACCAAAGTTGGTATAACTAGAGAAGCAAGCAGTCGGCAACATTCATCTCTCGAGGCGGTGTCTAACTCAGTGTTACGGTGTTTTTGACTCTAAATTAATTTTACACAGGAATATCCTTTTAGGCAAGATGTCTGCAGATCCCCCTGTACCTGAATTCTTGGTGCAAGTCTGAACATTTGCAAGAATCTCGTTCCTTATTTTTGTGATTACATAACTCAGTAAATACATTAAAGTTTCTTCCCCCCTCTGCTTGTGTCTCTATTGTCTCTTCATTGATTGCAGCTGTTAAAGGTTTCAAAGACATAAACCTCAAAGTCAAACTCCTCCAGAGCTTTCAGCACGAGTTCATCTATATGTGGAGCTTAGCTAACCCGCGCTATTAGTCTGAACCGGAGAGCAATCAGAGCCCAACGAGCCCTGCCGGCCAGGCACACTTATCTATTTATAGATTTCTCATCAACACACATGATTACAAGCACTACAAAGAGACAGTGTGTGTGTGCAGAATGGTGTCACGCTAACCACAGGGGGGCGACTCTGAGGTTGTAACTGGGGAGGAACTGGTTTGGTTTATTTCTGGAGCATGTGGACCAACAGCTGAGCATGTGCGCTGCAAGGGCAAAGTCCTGCCGTCTGTGCCTGCAGGACTGACCGGGTCCAGGTTCTGATCATCAACATCAGAGCTGCTGACCTTCAACACACTCCTGCACCTCTCCCTGAACGCGCGCGCGAGCCTCTCATTACTGCATCACTTTCATTTGTCTCGCTCAGATACTTCAAACCTCTCTTACTCAGGAGAAAACCCTCAGAGGCCTCCACCCTGTCATTGCGTGATTGGCTCATGTTATTACCAAAGCAAACTCAGTTAGCCCACCACACTCCTCTTCATCATTTGGGCAGCTGACGAAGGGTTAAAGGGGGAAAAACAGACCACAGACCTTCATCTAAATCAATAGTTTGTGGGGAGCCAAATGACAGGGAGCTCAGGAGGAGCCGCCTTTAAGGGTTTTTATGGTGTGGATACTTCATCTCTGTCGTGTGGACCGAGCTTTTTAACACGTACACCACCACAGAATAGGTTAACTCTGAGTTTTATCACTGGATTAAGTCTGTAGGGGTTAAAAACAACAAGAATAAAAACTTAAACAAAGGAGTTTCCTCAATCTTAAGGCTCCTACAATCATGCCAGACTGATTTTTAGCTGTTCAGTCTCACCAAACACACACTTTGGAAATGCCTCCCTCTAGTGGACAGCTGAGGTACAGCAGGAAGGAAGTTTTGTGAAAATGTAGATTTTAGGCTCAAAAAATCCAGAAACTACCTTAGAGGGTACTAGATGACTCCGAAAAGACACACACACAAAAAACAAACATAAAAGAGCCGAAAAGGGAGGGAGAGACAAAAAAACAGAGGTAAAGCAACACAGAAGAGATGCAAAATAACCTAGGAGAAACAGAAAGGACAACATGACCACAAAGAGGTGCACAAACTCTGACTGCAAAAATATTTAAGGAGTCTGCAGACATAAAAAAAGGAGTAAAGGTAGTGAGAGATAGAAAACTACCAAAGAGATGCACAAAGTCTGCAAGAACAGACACAAAAGAAGAGACCGATGTCAAATAACAGAATAGCTGCAAAATGACCCCAAATGATCACAAGAACAACAATTGACAGTCTGAGCAGACACAAGAGGTCTTTGACCGTAACCCTAAAAAAAAAAAATATATATATATATATATAGTTTTTTAAATGACCACAATAAAGTTATAACCAACAGACACACACACAAAAAACTAAAGTTTACTGTATAAAAGACAGATGAAAACAAGAAAAACAGACCTAAAACCATAGAGGGAGTGATGAAAATGTCAATTAAAATTAGGTGCAATTCAATTCTCAAAATCTGCAGAATCTGATGCAAAAACAACAAATATCCAAAAAGAAACTAATGTGAAAGCATAAAATAGCTGTAAAACAACTACAATGACACACAAAAGAGGGAACATTAGAAATATCCCTGAAGACAAACGCAAAGGCAAGAAAATTTTAACGAAAACTAAAACCAAGAGGATGTAAAAAGAATCTGAGAAACACAAAATTTGGGAGAGTGAGCAAAATATAAACGATTACAGATGCAAGACAGTTTTAAAGAAGCGCGCAAATCTCACATTTTTTGAGGGAAACCTGCAAAAACAAAAGCACAGAGAGGAGAGAGCAGCTGAATTAAAACCACAAAGAGACACAATTCAAGAGTGGACACAAGTGACAACGGAGAGACACAAACAACTGCCAAAATATGCATTAAAGTGATAATGTCAGCAGACAGACACAGGAGGTCCAGAGAAACACAAACTAAGAGAAACAAACCTTAAAAGAAGTGAAAAACAACAAATGGATGAAGAAAAGACTCCTGAAGAAAGTGAAAAATGACTCAAAATCTGATGATGAACTTCACAGAATAAGAGTAAATGTGTAAAAAATAAACTTAAAGACTGAGTGTTTTACGGGGGAACACTCAGGAGGAAGGACTTAATACGAGAGGAAATCTGAGAGTCACAAATTCAGACTTATCAAAAAACATTTTTCTGACAAAATCTTTTTATTTAGTACAAAATAAATTAAACATTCAGACAGCTGCTACACCATAAATACAAAAGCTCAAAAACCTGTACACAAACTCACATCAAAATAAACTCACTTATCTGGATGTGACTTAAAAACAACATCAAGTCTGGAAGGTTCTGGAGCACCTTCTTTCAGACATGTAGAAATCAAACTCTGTCATGATATCAGGAGCTGAACGTAGAGGAGCTACAGACCGACTGGAGCCACATGAAACTTCTAAATCAGTCTGATTCTTTCATGAACGACATGGGGGACAGTTTGGTCCACTCTAGACCCTCCAGAGTCCAAACAGCTCACCAAATCCTTCACTTTCCTACAGTCCATGATGTCGGTCTCTGAGGGCAACTGGTCCAGCACCATCAGTCCTCATCAGGAGTCTCCCATCATAATGGACAGAAACTCCTCCTGGTTTACTGGAGAACAGAAAAACATGTTAAATCATCAGCAGTTTGAAACCTTTCAGTTTTAAGTCATGGTGTTCCTCCTGAAGAAGAAAGACTCGGCCTCTTACTCTCTCCGTCTCCGTCGGTGTCGAACTCGTCGATCATGCTGCGCAGCTCGTCCTCGCTGATGTTCTCCCCAAGTTCTCGAGCGACCCGTCTCAGGTTCCTCAGGCTGATCCTTCCTGATTCATCGTCATCAAACAGCTTGAAGGCCTTCATGATCTCCTCCTTCGGGTCTCTCTCCAGGATGCGGTCTGTCACTAAAACGACAGATATAACGGGGCACTAACACCAAGCGCGAGTAAAATCATCTACTCACTTAATTTGCGTGAATGAATAGTATTTACTCGCTTTATTCGTGCGTCAACAGTAATTCAACCGGCGGGATCAAGCTATAGACAAATATTTTTTATTATTTAGCAGGTAATCCGACCTCCTCCCTCCCTCCCTCACTCCCTCACTCACTCACCTCAAGACGAGCTCCTTTTTACTCCCATTTCAGTGATTGAAAGAATGTGCCAGAGGGGGTGTGTCATGGGGAGGGCGACACAGGTTCGGGGGGGAGTTAGCGTGGAGCACAGAGGGGAGAGGTTTGTATGTGTGGGGGGTGGGACGCTTTTGTCAAATCTGCCTCAACGGCTCGGTTTTTTTAACTGCTTCTCAGATCGTCAACCAGGACTTAATCATGTAATTCATTGGCACAAATGATTTTACTCGCCCTTGGTGTGTGGAGACAGTTAGAGGTTTATACCAACACATCTTTGCAGTTAAGATCGAAGCATGTCACAGAAACACTCACCAACTTCATTGAAATCCTCAAATGTGATTTTTCCGTTCCCCTCCCGGTCGTAGTCTTTAAGGATCTTCAGAACATCCACTTTCTTCACCTCGAACCCCAGAGCTCGCATCGCCACCTGGAGGTAAAACAGAGTCATGACAGGAGTGAGGGAAATAATCCTGTTTCTCTCTCAGTAACTCCTCAAACTCTGCCGCAGATTCCAACAAGAGCTGCTGAATTGAGGCACAAATAAAAGCTGACATTATTGTGGTCAGTCCTGAGATTATGGTGATCAGCCATCTTTGCTCAAGCCTGGCAGAGACTGGAGCTTTATTTACACAGATTCAGGAGGACAATAATGGCTGTTAAAAAATATTGACTTTATTTTTGTCTGTCACTACAGAATATAAAAATAGGATGTCCTGTTCAGTTGTTCCTTCATATACGGAGGAAACTTTGCCATCTGGATGAATCAGAAAATTAGGTTTACACCATCATCCTATCACTCTGTTTGCTGTTTGTTTTCCACACACAAAGAGCTCTCAGTCTGTTGTTTGCCAGACTCAAGATGAACTCAGCAGACTTTAGGAGAAAGGAGAAAGGAGAAATCACTCCGACAAAGCAGAGAGGTGCACGGATGTATCACAGAGGATTCGCTGTGCTTCATGGCTCACCTTCAGCTCATGATAGTCGATTTCTTTGTCTTTGTCTGTGTCGAATAGTTCAAAAGCTTCTTTGATTTCAAGTTTCTGATCTTCGGTGAGCTCTCTCCTCTTCTTCCGCTTGTTTTTGTCTGCAGCGAGATCCGGTCTGGAAAGACAGGACAGCAGGGTTACATAAAATCTCTGACAAACAGGTGCAGCTTTAAAAATTAGAGTGACCGAAAAAAAAGTTATTTTTCCCTTATAACTTAATTTAAAAAGTGAAACTCCCATATTTTCGACATTCATCACACTAACGGAAGAAATACATCAAAACTTTTGATGATTCAACATGAGAATATTACAAAACACACACACAGATAGAAGAAGATTTATGTTAAGAAATGTCGACCCTCTGGAAAATCATGTTCATGTATTCACTTAGGCTCTTTTTGAAGACATTATTATATCACTATGTGACCCGTCATGGAGGTGATCAATCTGTGTCATGGAGGTGATCAGTCTGTGTCTCTGCTGGGCTGTTACTGAAGTCCAGGTTTCTTTGTTAGCTTCTTCAGATGGTCCGTGTTGTTTTTCTGGTGTCTCTCATCTTGCTCTTCATGATACCTCAGAGATCCTCGATGGGGCTCAGGCAATTCAAGCACAGTCTACAAATCAGTTTCTGGTCATTTTGGTGCTGTGGGCAGGATCCTGGTCCTGCTGGAAGAGGAAACCTGTATCTCCGTAAAGTGTCTCAGCATGAACGTCTCTAAAACCTCCATGTAGACTTTAGGCTGTATGAACTCTGGACTTGATCAAGCAGATGATGTGACACCCCAAACCATCACAGACTGTGGAAACTTCACGCTGGACTTCAAGTTAGTATTATCAGTTCTGGACTATAATTCGGTAGTCTGGTCCAATACATCACAAGAGAATATAAATAAGTTCAAATTGTACAAAACAGAGCAGCAAGAACAGTTCTGAATTGCAATTATAGAACAAATCCCACAGTCATGTATAACTGTCTGGGCTGGTTATCAGTTAAAAAGAGATTCTTGTATTCTGGCTAGTGTTCTTCAAAAACATTATGATAACAAAAATCCAACAATTTTGTATGAAAATGTAGATTTAAGTTCGGATAAACATAGGTATGTCACCGGACATGCGACTAGAGGAAAATTTACACTACCCCAAACAAAAACATAATAAAGCAGATGGTTATGTATAGAGCCATGCAAGTATGGAACAAATAACCAGAAAACATTACACAAGAGGAAAGAAAAGCCATTTTTAAGAACTTAGTCAAGAAACACCTTTTCACAACAGAAATTTAAAATTTAGATGGCGAGTAATGTGTGTGTGTGTGTGTGTACGTATGTATGTATGTACTACAGGCCAAAAGTTTGGAAGCAGGGCCATTACAGGCTGAACAGTCAGGAGTAACTTCAAGTTTTTGTTCACAATGCTTTTTTTTTTAGATCCAGCATGAGTTGTATGTATTTTGGGATGTATTTACTCCATGATCAGATGTTACTTTCATGGAACTGCACCATTTTACTCCATTTATGTTTGGATATACATTGATGTTAACAGACCATTGCTAAATATATGTCAGCAGAAGGAAATAAGGGCTTAGTTTTAGGGTTGAAAACATTTGCAAGTATCACAACTTCAGTGCAAAAGCAAAAAAACAAATTACAGTTGGATTATTCACTTCAACTTTTTGGCTTTTGAGAGTCTGCATACAAAAATCCTAATAAATCTCAACTATGTTCAAACTACTGCAGAAATGGCTAGAAAGAAGCAACTGAGTAAAGAAACAAAAGTACAGATTTCTTCATTGAGGAAAGAAGGATACACAGAGAGAGAAAATGCAAAACGCCTAAAGGTGTTTAACAAAGGAGTCCACTACACTCTGAAGAGACTAGACTAGAGGAACCTGGAAGTTATGATGATCGAAAAAGGCCTGGATGAAAGAGAGTTACTACAAAAGCAGAGGATAAACATAGCATTGTCACTAGTCAGAGAGATCGGCAAAAGACAGCACCAAAAATAAGGGAGGAAATCAACATGACAAGGTCGAAACCCATATCTCTGACAACCATGAAATGACGTTTGAGAAAGGCTGGTCTGAGGGGTTGTGTGTCTGCAAAAAAACACTACTTCATCCACAGAACAAGAAAAAGAGATATGAGTGGGCAAAAGCTCACAAAAATTGGACTTATAATTGGACCGGTGAAAGAAAGTTTGAACCATAGACTGTATATAAGATGGACAGAGTCTGCCTCCTCGCTGGGTGAAGCCACTCCGAGAACAGCACCCTCTGTTGATGGGCTGCAGTATAGGTCATAAATCCCGCCTCCGCCAGCAAAGCTTATGGAGCTGTGGACAAACTTTAGAAATTTATTTCACAGAACATAAATTTTTCTCCCCCCTGCTTGTGATGTTGACATGTAGTTACAGTAAGACTGGTTTGTGCCCGAGTCCTTTTTTTTCTGTACAGCTCCGTTTTTAAAAGTTATTAGGGGGTTCATGTTTTATATGATTGACACCTGGTACAGCCTATGGGCGTTAAGGGATTGCGTAGCTCTCCCGGGGGGGATACGCTGTTTGAGCCGAGCGTCATCCCAGGGACTCTCGGCGACTGCGCGGCCGAATGCGCACAACGCTACTGCACAGCTCTGGTTTCAAAGAAGTGGAGAAAAACCCGGAATTACCGAGAGCTTTTTGGCTTCAAATCCGTATACAGGCGGAAGGCGGAACCACGTTGTCCATCTTATATACAGTCTATGGTTTGAACTGTTTGGTTCAAAACGCAGAGTCAATGTCCACAGACAAACTGGTGAACGTCTGAAAGCATCATGTGTTACACCCACAGTTAAGCAAGGAGGTGGTAGTTCCATGGTATGGGGATGTTTTGCAGGTGATGGAGTAGGAGATTTGTTTGAAGTAAAGAGTATCATGAAGAAAAAACAGTACCACTCCATCCTCCAGCACCATGCTGCTCCATCTGGACTCATACTTATGGGTCCAAAGTTTGTTTTGCAGCAAGACAATGACCCTCAGCACTCTATTTATATATATATATATATATATATATATATATATATATATATATAATTTTTTGTTCATGAATGCCTAATTTTAGTTATTTTGTTGCATTTTTATATGGTCCCCTAATGGCACTTTTTTTCCTCCCTTTGGACATTGCACAGTTAAAAATAAAAGAAAACTAATTTGTCACGTATTGTCCTATTTTGATATATTTTGATGACAAGTACTTTTTCTTGGGTATATTATTTCAGGTAAAAATCACCCAATAGTGATGGTGTTCCTAATTTTAGCAATAGTGTTCTAGGGTTAATTAAACAGGACTTCGGACCTCTGAGCGATAGTCCTGTTCTCTTTCTTCTAAGTCCAGGTGAGACTCTTCTGAAGTTGGCTCAGGTTCAGGAGGATCTCGACAGCAGAAACACTTGTAGTCCATTTCCTGGGTTTGAGTTCTGAAATCTTTACAGGACTGAAAACAAAAACTGAAACGGGACTTTTCCAGAATAACCTCATCTTTTACCCTCTTTCTTTTTGCTGATGACAAATAACTCTATGTTACCATGTCTCCTGATGACACAGGGCCACTCAATGCCCTTTTTAACTGCATTTTAGACATTAAATCATGGATGGCAGAGAACTCAACCAGGACAAAACTCAGGTTTTAGTCATTGGGACAGGGTACAAGAGAGAGAAACTGGTCAGCAAACTCAAAGCATTATTCTAAAATCCAAGTCAACAAGCTAAAAATTTTGGTGTTTTCTTTGATTCAGAATTGAGCTTTGAGCCTCACATACGAAATATCACCAAGAACGCATTTTATCATTTAAAAACATAACCTGAGTGCGACCATTTCACTCTCAAGCCAATGCAAGGACATTAATTCATGCTTTTATCACTTGTAGAATAGATTACTGTAATGCACTCCTTTCTGGTCTCCCCAAAATGAACGTTTCATACCTGCAATTACTACAAAATTCAGCTGCACGGATGTAAACAAGGACCAGAAAGAGAGATCACATTACATTGATTTTAAGGTCTCTGCATTGGTTACCCATCTCTTTTAGTACAGATTTAAAGGTTGTTTTATTGGTTTTAAAAGCTCTTAATGGCTTTGGCCCTTCTTATTTTCTTTGGCCCAGCCTCACTGACATTTATAACATAAAACTGGAGTCAACTACTATTAGGCCTGCTGACTGTATTCACATTAAATTAATCTAACATTGTGCATAATTACTCATATCCTAACCCTGTAAACTGAATTCATTTTGTTCCACCATTACATGAGCTGTTGTTATTGTTGCTGTTGTTTTGATGTTGCTGCTGTCCCCTGTCTCTCTCTCTCACCCTCGTTCTCTATTCTCTCTCCCTCCGTCTCTCTCTCCTTCCCTCTATTTTGTTCTCTTTCTCTACCCCTACCCTCTCTCCACTTCTCTCTCCCCCTATCTCTCTGTATTCCTCCCCAACCCAGCAGCAGCTTGGTGGCTGTCTGGCATGGGTCTGGTCCTACCATAGACTGTATATACTATGGGCAACTTGGTTCCGCCTCCTGCCTGTATATGGATTTGAAGCCAAAAAGCTCTCGTTATTTCCGGGATTTTTCTTCATTTCCTGAAACCAGCACTGCGCAGTAGCATTGTGCACATTCGGTGGGAGAGTCACTGTGATGACACTCGGGTCAAACAGCATATCCCACGGGTGAGCTACGCGATCCATGAACGCCAATAGGCTGTATCAGGTGTCAATCATAGAAAACATGAACCCTCTAATAACTTTTTAAAATGAAGCTGTATAGAAAAAAAGAGGACTTGACCACAAACCAGTCTGACAGTAACTACATGTCAACACCGAAAGCAGGGGGGAGAAAAAAATTATGTTCTGCGTAATAAATTTCTAAAGTTTGTTCACAGCTCCATAAACTTTGCTGGCGGAGGCGGGATTTATGACCTATACTGCAGCCCATCAAAAGAGGGTGCTGTTCTCGGAGTGGCTTCACCCAGCGAGGAGGCAGATGCTGTCCATTCTATATACAGTCTATAAGTCCTACCCAAGGTTTCTGCCTGTTAAAAGAAAGTTTTTCCTTGCCACTGTTACTCATGTTAGATGAGATGGGCGAAATCCCAACTTAGGTTGGGTCTTAAGCATGGTCTAGACCTGCTCTTGTTCTTTGAAAAGCATCTTAGGATGACGACTGTTGTGAATTGGCGCTATATAAATAAAATTTGATTGATTGATTATTTATCAGATCTTCTATTACCGTATGAGCCAGGTAGAGTCCTCAGATCTTAAGGAAGTTCTCTGTTAACATTGCCTTAAGTTAAAACCAAGACATACGGTGAGGCATTTTTTATTACTATGGCCCCCGTCTATGGAACAGCTTACCTGAAGACCTGAGGACTGAAACTAATCTACATGATTTTAAAAGCAAACTGAAAACATACCTTTTTAGTCTTGCTTTTGACCAAATTTAATTTCATTCACTTTGTTTAAGTGCTTTAGCCTTTATCTATTCTAGTTTTAATGACAAAATTGTCTTTTATTGAGCTATTTTGGTGCTCTTATTTTAGTGTCTTAGACTGTTGTTTTTATTTCATTTTATTTATCATTTCTTAAATTTTATTGTTTCCTTGTTTTTAGATTTTAACCTAAACTTCTCATGTTTCCTTATCCTGAGTTTTAAAGTCTTAGCCCTTTTTAAGTTTATGTATTTTAATTCTGTTAATTCTGTTCAATCCCAGCGTACGCATGATTGGGTCTTGATAAATGCGGTGGCTGAAATCGATCGTCATTAACATGTTTATGCCCTTAAATATTCGTAGTTCAGAAGCCTCGCCCACTGAGGTCAAACATTAAAGAGGAGAAATATTAGAAAGATGTGAAACTTTTTCGAGCTGAAAGTGGATATCCTCACATCTGTGGTGGAAACTAACAAGGATTTTCTCTTTGGAAGCATCAAAACTGGTATAAAGGCAGTCCAGAAAACTCCTGTCTGGAGCAGGATTATGGTGGTGCTGAAAAACACTGCAGCGGAATAGTGGACAGTGGCTGAAGTTTGAATAAATCATCAGTCAATAAGTTGCTTGTGATGATAAATTAATATCTCATACATGCCTCATATTTTTTTATTGCCGTGACATAGGGTACGTTGTTCCTATTATTCAAAGTATTTAGTTTGAATTTGTTGCGTCTTTGTAATGTAGAGCAGACTGGAGAGTCTGACAGAGGCTGAACAAAAATAATTATTAACCTCACCAGTGTGCTGCTGCTCCTGAGGAACATTTTTATGGATTTCTATTGGATTTTTATCACTGATTAATTAGCAAGAGCACTTTCTAAACTTATACTTTACATGTCAGAATCCATCAATAAGGTCCTGTCTCCTCTGTACAGCACCTTTGTGGAGTCTCTCCTTGTTATTGTTCTCCGTGCATCAGGTCCTCACGTTGCACTGGCACAGCCAATGGCACTCCATTCACCAGTGCAACATTGTGCAAAACTGTACTGGCCCAAATGATGTCCCACACCCTTTCAGGAGTGTACAACAACGTCCCCACTGCTGGACCAAGACAGAGACACCTGCCTTTTAGGAGTCAAACGCAGCGCTCCACAGTGGCGCGTGTGTGCGTAATGTTAAAACGGCACTCCTGCTCTGTGGCAGTGTTTCTGGGCAGAGTTATCAAATAGGCCTATTCACTAAGGACATAACAAATTTATTTTATTTTATTTACGTCTTAATCTTTAATGAAATCTGGCTGATTGCGCTAAGGGACAGGTTTGAGGTTTATATATCAATTATTTTGAGACAGACATTAGCTGCTCCGCAGATCCACACTGACTCAAACTTGCGTACACGTTGTCAGACCTGTCATGACATTTGATCGTAGCGTACGCTCACGTGCAGATTGATAAATGCCGATCCTCACGTCTAAATTTTCGTACGCAAGGTGAACGCAAGTTTTCTGCCGCACGCAAGCTTGATAAATGAGGGCCATTATGTCTTTGTACTCGTTTTTGGTTCTAAATGTTCTGACTTAGAGTTACTGATCCTAAATAGTAACAGTAATTTTAATATTTAAAACTAACGCATCACTGCAGGAAGTCTAACGTGTAATAATGTTTATTTCTCTGTGTTAGTGATAGTTCCTTGGGACAAACCATGACAATAATACCCTTAAAATAACGCTATTCGCTTATCACGGTAATACTGTCGTGTGAAATAAATATTCGGTAGAAAACATCGGTTATTTAATAAATAAAGAGTATTTTTGAACCCCCTTTTAGTGGTAAACCACGGATGCTAACGGTCACAAAGCTAAAGTGAATGAGCTGACGTCCCTTCGCGGCTGCACACCAGCGCCGCTAAAATAAACCACACTGTGAAAAAAAGATCAAATGCGGTCATACAAACGTGTTTACCTGACAGAAAGACTCATTTTTGGCGAATTTATGTCCTGTTGCGCCGTAGATATCACAGCAACCTCACACAACAAATGTGTTTAAGGGCGCTCACACAGACGATTCCTATTGGTCGCTGGTCACCAGGCTGAAGTGCTGCGTCCTCTGATTGGTTGATGGTTGATGGTCACTCTTCTTCTTCTTCTTCTTCTTTCTTGTTAACGATTGCTAGAATCTGAAGCGTTCTGAACTACCGCCATCGTGTGGGCAAGGAAACTGACGAACCGCGTTTCTAGGGACAATCTATTTATATTTCACACATTTTATTTTACTTTTAGGTCTCATTTATGGTTTAATAATTGCGTTTGTTCATCCAAACAGGAGGGAATCAATTATTGATGAGCACAATGATTATATGAGAACAAAAACATGTAAAGAAAAGGAAAATAATGACTAATAATATAAAATAAGGTCAATTTACCTCCAGTCAATATTTACATTAACTACAGAAAATGAAGAAGAAAACAGATGAATAAAAATAAGCAAGTGAGAGAATAAAGCTTCTGATTTTTCTGAAAACCCCAAACCCTGTCCTCCTCCCTTCACCTCCATCTCTCCTCAGTTCTCTTCCTCTCACTTCAGTTTATATTTGGTCTGTTACGGTGCAAAGGAAAGTAAAAACCATTTGGATGAATCCGAATTTCTGACAGATCAACTCTCACAAATGGTATTAACTCCTGCTGCAGAAATATGTGGGAATACATCAACTCCACCGTTTTATATTTCCACTGGGTGGCGCTGCATCACAGTAAAAAAAAGATTATTGTTTTCCATCAACAATACAAACCTGTTCAGACAAGAAGTGATGGTGTAAAGCAGTTTTGGTATTTTGTTGTGATTGGTGGCAGTGATTTGTGGAATCTGGGTCACGGGAATATGGGCGGTGTCACTGAGTTGATTTAAGCACCTGTTCACCTATGTTCACCAGGGACGAGGTTTGACCGGGTCGCTGTATTTTTGTTGACCGCATGCACACATGCTTGTTAAGTCCAGTGATCGCTGTTTCTATAGTTGGTATCGTTTTTTGTTGATTGTTTTCTTTAGTATTAAAGCATGTTATTCCCGTCTCAGCAGATAATTGACAAAGCGCGTCAGATAACTAGACTAGGCCGGTATCTCATCCTCTAAGCGACATCCTGGTTTCTGAGGTCGCTTCAGTCTGTGTTGAATACAGAGAACTATAAACTCGACTTCAGAGCAGAAACTGAACATTTCTATTTCATTATGTCTCATTTCTACATTTCCTGAAATATAGAGACGAGGAGACACTTTTTTCATCACTGACACTCTTACACTCCTGGTTTGATGATTTCTGTTCTCACAGCTTCACTAAAGAAAAAATCCTCTGAGAGGGACGAAGAGTCAGCAGGAAATACTGAATATTTGCTGTGATACTGTTTGGAGTGGAACAGGAGAGATCAGCACAGACTAACTCCAACTCTATACTGACCTCAGAGTCTCCAGTCTGTAGTCTGGACTCTTCTGAAGATCACACAGCAGCTCCATGTCTGAATCCTGCAGATTGCTGTTATATAGCCACAGTTCTTTCAGATGGGAGGGGTTGGAATTCAGAGCTGAGGCCAGAGAAGAACAACTGAACTTTGTCAAACTGTATTTATCCAACCTAAATAAAAAGGAAATAATGAGATTTTAGACCAAACTCAGTTTGGTTAAAAAATTTTCTATTCCTTGATCTTGTCCTGAACAAAAGTTTGAATGGTTCTCATCTGACAAATCTCTCCCTGCTTCTGTTTTCTGTCTGAATGTGCTTCTCACTGTGAAGTCTACAAAGAGTTTTCTTCTTATGTTCAGGTTTTAATTCATCGGAGCTTAGCAGTGATCTAACTGGAGTCAATCAAATAATCCACTGATGCAGAAAATCTACTCTGGACTGAAGGTGTTCAGTCTTGGTCAGTATTTCAGTCCTGAGTCAGCAGTTTAGTGTCATCATCACAAACAAATCATGCTAATGTTTGAATCGAGGAAAAAGGTCTGACCCCAGAGTCTCCAGTTCACACTTTGGACTCTGCAGAAAGCCACACAGCAGCTTCACTCCTGAATCCTGCAGATTGTTTGCACTCAGGTTCAGATGTCTCAGATGGGAGGGGTTGGACTTCAGAGCTGAGGCCAGAGAAGAACAGCTGATCTCTGACAAATTGCAGTCCCACAGTCTGAAAAAAAAGAAAAAATCTTTTAACCTCTGAAGAAACTGTTCCTGCCTTTAATGATTCAATGTTCTTGAGCCCCTGAAGGACATGAAAGAACTTTTTTGGAGTTGATCTTGAGGAACTTTGTAAAATCCTCTCTAAACTTTTACAAGATCCTGAGAAAGTAATGTGAGAAATCTTTTTTGTGAGAAGTTTTTTTTTTGTAGTCATGAATTCTTCATGAAGATTAAAACAGTCAGGCATATATTCAGGGGTCTCTCTGTCTGCTGTCAACAACTGCCAAACTACTTGTAAATAAACCAACAGATCATTGATCAGAGAGGTTTTTATGGACCAACTGGACAAGATGATGTTAATGTTCAACAAACTGAAGTAAAAACTGTAGAAAAATCTGGATCTTGTATTTACATTTGAACACGACTGAGCAAAGAAGAAATTCAAGTTTTCAATAGTTTCCAAATGAAATATCCAGAGTTGGATTAACTTTGTTCTTCAGGTTTCAATCTGCAGCTCATCATTTCTCTGACACTTCATTCATTCATTAGTGATCACATTAATTGTGGATCATTTCAATATCAGCCTTTAGTCTGTGTTGCTCCTGCCCTCTACAAGCATGTGTAATATTTGTGGGACTGATTTTCTCCTGCTTCCTTTCTACATCCATCATTCTACTCAAAGTCAACTTTGAAATGTTGGATTTTTCTTCCTGTGTTGAATTTTTACAACTACAAATTCAAACTGCTCGACCAAAGTTGATGGAAAAACCAGAGAAAAATGTAAGGTAGAAACTGTCACATCTTATTGTTAGATCAGAAGGAAATGGTGTCTGACCCCAGATACTCCAGTCTGCAGTTTGGACTCTCCAGTCCTGCAGAGAGAAGCTTCACTCCTGAATCCTGCAGATGATTGTAACTCAGGTTCAAATATCTCAGATGGGAGGGGTTGGACTTAAGAGCTGAAGCCACAACTTCACAGTGAGTCTCTGAGAGTCCACATTCAGAAAGTCTGTAACAACATAAATATCAAACAATATTCAACTGAAGGGTCATTTGATGTTTCTCTTCACCAAAAACAACGCAAACATTTTATTTGGTTTGACAGATGGCCTGTTTTTAACCAGACGGCTACTAATATCAGGACCACAGACATGAGAGAAGACAGGAAGTCAAAGTTTTGAAAAAACTGTTCAGATGTTCAAGGCAAATGACTCCATGACTTATTTTAGTCATTCTGTTCTCTAACAGTGTTGTCTTCATCTTAGTGCAGCTGTATCATTATGATTGTGTGAATTCTTGAGTTCTGGTTGGAGAAGGGGACTGAGAACCAGGTTTTTGGTCCTGGTATGTGATTGGTTAGTATCCAAAGTACCTCTTAGCACATGGAGAATCAGTGCTCCTCTCAGTATTTAATGTTGACATCCTGCTGTAATGTAAGTCTTTTCATGGACACTGACTGGTGACCAAACAGAGGACAACTCACTAAATCACAGCAGCTTGTTTTTCTATGATTAAAGTGTTTAGTTTACTAGAGGGTTTGATTTGAGTTGTATGGCGAGTGTGTGATATGCTAATAGAGTGATGTAGCATTTCTGATTGATGGCAGTTCATTCATTAGTAGGCAATTTGTCTGATTTCTCCTTTAGTTTTTTTTCAGACACACAAATATATCCACAAGCTCACACATGCCATCTCCCTACTCAACTGTATTTTGTTTTAGGTTGGAATTAAAGGGAGTTGTGATGGCTATTTGTCAACAACAATAAAATCAAAAGGTCACTGAGGGCACCGGGCAGTGAATCTTACTCGGAAAGTGCATGCAGGTAATGAGTCCATGGTCCAGCCAGAAAGTGCATTTTTAGGCAGGTTTATTTTAGCTCTGGAACATAACAGAAGATGGTAAATTGCTTGGTCTCAGGCCTACTGCTCTTTCAGGTAAAAAAACTTGTGCCCTCCCGGTGCGTACTGCCTGCCTGAGTGGCTGCATCAACTAAGTAGATTCACCTGTGTGCCCAAATTGCCCAAGTCCTTCAAAATAAAAGTGCGTAGCTGTGACCCAAAATAACTGAAATTATATAACTGAAACTGAATCAATTAAGCAAAGCAAAATGACAAAAAAGCATTAAATAGATAATACTAAATAGCAAAATTACTTAATAGCTTCCACATTCTGGCCCCTAATTGTGAACCTCACAATTACCAATAAAAAAACATGTAAGGAAGCTATTCTCTATCTATGCAATGTCTTCCATGTCTTCTTTGTGGTCACTGAAAAATAAACAGAGAGTAGGAAGACAGGATAGTAAGAGAATTAGATAGAGAAATTGTCCATGGGCTCATTCTGTGGCCTCCACCAGCAGGAAGATCTTCGTCACAGGTCTCTCCAGAACGCTGGTTTTGGTTTGGATGCACACAGAGTGAACCAATCCTTTGGAGTTGGACTTGGTGCTCAAAACTCGGCCCATCTTCCAGGAACCTCTCGGGGCTGTAGAGTCAGCGATGATGACGATGTCTTCTGGGGAGAAGTTTCTTCTTGGAACTGCCCATCTTTGTCTTTCTTGCATCACAAGTAAGTATTCAGCTGTCCACCTTCTCCAAAACAGCTCTGCGATATACTGTACTTGCTTCCACATCCTTCTGATGTAGAGGTCGCTCTTTTCAAAGAGTCCAGGGGGAAAGATGGGTTTTCCTTTCAGCAGGAGAATGTGGTTTGGGGTGAGGGCCTCAAGGTCGTTGGGGTCATCAGACACTTTTGTGAGGGGTCTGTCATTCAGAATTGCCTCTACTTCACAGAACAGAGTCTGCAGGCCTTTATCATCCAGGACCTGTTGTCCAAGAACGCCACCTTGGTGTGAGGCTGCTGGCGTATTAAAGTTCCATTTGATTCCATCCTGAATCAAGGCATCCTGGATCTTTGCATTATTCAAATCAGCCGTTGTCGGACCTCAAATTTGACACAGGGCCTCTTCTACATATGAATCTCCTCAAGGCACTAA